CTCTGCGATGTCGCTCGGTTCGTGATAACTTGCTGCCGCCGCTTCTGTCGTCCGCCGCAGCTCGGTCTTCACGGAGGGATCGCCTTTGCGTCTTCATGTTCCAGCTAATCTACTCCCTCTACTCCCTCTATTCGAGTACTCCCTCTGCAATTGCAGCTCCCTCCAAAAGGCAATCGATACGCACGGGAGAGGGCCACAGTCCACCGCCCACCGCGCGCCCATCCGCTGCCCATCCGCCGCCCACCGCCCACCGCCCACCGCCCACCGCCCACCGCCCACCGCCCGTCGCCGCTGCTCTATCCCAGATTCCCAATGTCACGAACGATAATTATATTCCCCACACACCCTCACGGATAAAACTGCACCGTACTGCACTGTACTGCACATCGAAGAAGAAACGGAATAGAGTATGTAGAGCATGTAGGGTTGGATTGGCTAGCAGAGGAAAGGATAGGAAACCGCCCACACATTGATGCGGGCGTTAATGGGAAGAGAAGAGCCGACTTCCATGATTCACTTGCGTTGCAGTTGCGTTGGATGGTGGTGGTGGTGGTGGTGGTGGTGGTGGTGGTGGGTGGCTGCCTCTTTCTCCACCAGCAGCACCACCTCCTCCCCTCGACAGCAGCAGCAGCAGGAGCCCACCCTTCTTCCCTCGACGCACGCAGCCAGCCCAGTTGTTCGGGGTGCAGCTCGTTTTTTCTTCTCCTGCGGCAAGAACATGTGTGTGTGTGTGGGAGTGGGTGTGTGGGGGAGAGGATGGGATGGGATGGATGGATGGATGGATGGATGGTTGCTTGCTTGTATGGTTGGTTGATTGGTTGCTTGGATGGATGGATGAGGGGAGGCAAAGCATGTAGTCTATGTACTATCAATACTTACCATACGTTGGCCATCTTCAGGTACTCTCTACCATAGTGGGCATAGATACCAGTTCCTGTGAGTACTTACCAATACCCCAACGTACATACTTCTCCATACATTCTCCACCTGCTCGGGGGCAAGTACTTCGGTACGTACTACTCGTCCAGTGTCTCTCGAGTGTCTCTGTTTGTTCGTTCTGGTAGTCAACTCTTATGCGTGTCGGCCGCTCCAGAAGCTGCAGCAGAAAAGTGCCGTTCATGCCCTGGTTCTCGAAAGCTGGGGAACGTGGAGGTACATCACATCCTCTCAACTACATGCTCTTTGTAGTTACATTCTCTATGTACATGGGCATGGTTTGGTACTTAGCATAGGGTATCCGGGATCGTTCGTGTGTGGTGGACGTAGGCAAGGGCGAGCTGCGCTGTCCTGTCCTGTCAGAGCATCGTCAGGTCAGCCCGTAGGCTGGGCTAGGCGGCGGCGCGTGTGTCTTTCTCGCTCTCTCGCTCTCTCCCCCTCCCCCGCTCTCCCACGTCCGCGTCCATCAAAGCGGAGGTGGAGAAGAGAAGGCAGAGTGCCGCTAGAACATTTACAGGTACTTGGAGCATAAACAATGCAATGACTTCCACTTCGAGGGAGGGAGGGAGACGCCAGCCAGCGAGCACTATTCGCATAGGTAGCACGATGGTTATCGATATGCTCCTACCCAAGCACCTACCACCACCAGGTCCACCACCACCACCAGGTCCACCACCACCACCAGGTCCACCACCACCACCAGGTCCACCACCACCACCGCTAGCATACTCAATCTATTTCCAGTCGCTGTTCAAACTTCACTGTTCAAACTTCAGCCTGCTGCGGGAGGGAAGAGGTGAGGGACGAAAGAGCACGTTCCGTATCGCTGGAAGGGGAAAAGCATCGTCGTCTGGCGAGATGCACTTTTCCTTTTCTTTTCTTTTTCTCTTCACTTTGTTTCTTTCGTTCGTTCCTTCGTCGCCAGCCTCGAGGACGTCCGTCCCAACCGGGGCGGTGGCTGAAGTCTGAACATGTTGCCCACGACTACTCTAGCACCGATTCTACTCTAGCTGGCTGTTCGTGTGTGTATCTCTGGCCACCACCATCACTGCCACCACCACCATCACCACCGCCTTCTCCTCCACCCACCGTCGCCGACACCGAACCATAGGTAGCGGTGAACTGTGCGTACGTGCGCGTGCGGTGTAACTAACTAACCATTAGTGCGGTGCGGTGTAGTGTGCTGTGTGGGTGAGTATGGGTGTGTTGAGGGTGAGGTGGTTTCGAGATGAAGCCCGAACGGCCCATTCGGTTCGCCAGATGAGATTCTCATAGGCCGAGGAGGCCCGAGTGTGGAATTCAACCATTCGCCGGTGGTCTGGCGTACGCACGACTTTCGCTGGGAAAGCCCCAAGTATCCTGCCAAACCGGCCATTAGCTAGCCATTAGCCACCAACCATCATCATCGTCATCATCAAGCAGCATCACCGTCGTCTTCGCCAACCACAGCCGACTCGGCGAGCCACGCGGATGGTCGTTCCACATCCACCAGTTGAAATGCACCTCCGTTCTCTAGATCCTTCTCTGCGTGGAAAATAGTGGCCCACGTCCTAGCTACATACATTGCTCTGCTCCGCGTTTCGTGGTGCGCCATGTGAGATGGTATCGAGATGGCGAGCTGTGTTCGCTGGCCGTTATAACAAAGAGTCTTCGCCGTCCCCGTTCTCGCCCCCGTTCTCTCCGAACTTCGAATGTTCGTCCATCGTTCCTCCACGTTGTATGTACATACCGCCGATTGCCTTTCACCAGCTATCCATCTGCGAATTGTAGCCCATCCCAAAAAAAAAAAAGCCAATATAACAGATATACCGATATACCGATATACCGATATACATTTCCCCATCCATCCATCTATCACACGGCTGGTACCTGTTCGATGCTGCTGGCTGCCTATCGGTCCCTGCGATCCGCATCTCCATCTCCATCTCCACCATCGCCATCAATATCTACATATTCGAATTCTTCAATAACGACAACAACTTCAACCACCGGCACCAACGAGAGCGAGAGCACCACTGTCACCACTGTGACTCGTTGCCCTTCCTAAGTTTCAAGTCCTCGATTGCTCTGCACCGAAATCTACTGGGTATATTTGGCACACCCACAACCGGATTGGCCTGACATCGTCCTCTGGCACCCCCGACACCACCACTCCCACCACTACCACTTCCACCACTCCCACCAACGCGCGCCCCCCTGGTCAGAGCTGCTCTCAGGCCGGTTTTGAACACTCCGTCGCACCCACCACCACCTCCACCACCTCCTCCACCCACACACACGACATCTCATAGCTGCTTCCTACCTTCGGCTTACCTACGCCTGCAGCAGCTAGACAACAAATCTACTACTACTACCTCTGCTCAACAACTACTACTAGAGCACAGAGTACTGCCACCATCGCCCCCCCCCCCCCTCAAGAAAAATAAAAACCCGGACTGCTCCCCCAGATACTATAAGAGCCCTCCCAGCGCTTCCTGCTGGTATCACCAAACAAAACACCTCACCAACGCACCCACTACCACCACCCCCAGCTCTTCCAACCTACCCACTACTACCTTGGACTCGACACTGCCTCACTACTCCAACCTGCCTACTTACCTCCAGTGCTACCCCGCCAATATCAAGCAGTAGCAACCACCACCACCACCAGCACAACCACAACCACCACCACACACAACATAACTACTTGCTGCCCCTCCGGCGGATCCTCCGTTCATCATCATCGTCAACACCACCACCTCACCGTCAACAACCACAATCATCACCAGAATAAATCCCGCATCGCACGCGCCGTCGACAATCTTTAAAAGCACCCTCCATCGCATTACTGTTACAGCAGCTCTTCCCCATTGCACGTCACATCGCCAAAAAAATAAAGACACACAAACAGGTTGCTGCAACCCAAACCACTACATCGAACTACCAACTGCCTTCCACCCCCAACCCTGGCACACCTTCTAGCACTTGTACGAAGGTTTCAAAGGAATAAAAAAGCACACAATACCTCGATCGTCCCGCTTGGTTTATCTTCCCTCGGAATAGATAATCGCATCCACGAGGACAATCTTCTGCCTCCCTGCTTTCACCGTTGATCGGATCTATACACCGAGTCGACTGGAAAGCTTGTTCTTCTTCAGAAAGGAATAGGCCAAGTTGAATCACATCATTTATTTTTTTAGCGCACCGATCGACCGACGTCATGATTTCGAATAAGAGAAGACGCTCTTCCGACGGCAGTGCCACTTCTTCAAAGTTCGCAGCCGTCTCGGACGAACAGCCCCCCACATTCATCTCTCTACCGGCGCCCCGAATACCCGCTACGACACCAACGTGCCAGATGAAACGTCGTTCACCACTCACTCCCCCGTCAGTAACACCTCCGTCGGTGACGGCATCGGATCCCGCGACTATGCATAGGGAGAGATGCAGTTCTCCAAGTTCGAGGGCGAGCGCCTTGCTCGCCAAGGTGGCCGTGGTCAGCTCCACTCCGAGCACAGTCCCGTCATCACCGAGATTATGTGCCGCGAGCTCCCCTGGCTCGACCGGCATGAGCTCGTCTGAAGGCACACCGACATCTACTCCACCGGATGAGGGCGGGCAATTCCCGTTCTCGACGAAACAGCTTCCAGAGAGCCCAGATGGTTGGTTCCCTTTGATCTCCGTTCGCAGCTTCCGGAATGAATGCGTTGCTGATATCACATTTTCTCTTGCAGGTGGCTACATCAGCTTCCCAATGTTCGAAGCTTTCAAAGGATGCGGAGGTGACGACGAAGGATCTCCCTAATATATCACGAAAACCTCGACAGAACCTCCCAAACCTCGATCTGCCAATCTTGCACGACTTGAGCGCTACTTTCACCACAAATTTTGCCCGCAGCACGGACCGAAGCGCGCTGAGCGGATTTTACATATTCTTCGGATCTAATCGCTGTCGACCACCTTCAGTATCATTTCGCCCCGACGGCTGTTTCTTGTCCATTTGTTTTTTCTTTAACCTTTCCGGCTTGCTGGGAGTGTGCTGGGCCTTCGGTCGCACCGGGCGACCGAACAGCCCCGGCACACAACACACCTTCACGGATTCGATTTTCTTTTTTGTTTCTTTCCTTTGGGTATGGGGCGGGGGCGGGTTTTTTACGGGTCGGTGTTTGAACTTTCATTTTTTGGCTTCTGTGGGTGTCTTGGTTTCGATTTGCATTATTATACATTTTTGTGGCGCCGGTTTGTGATTTTTCTGGCGCGAGTTGTGACTTTCTACTTGGTGGGGTGGGGGGTGGGTGTGTGTATGTACTATGCGGTGAAGGTGTGGAGTGGAGTGGAATCCTGTATTTGCCATGTACTTATTATCTTGTGCCGCGAGCCAGAGCCCTTCCGTGTGAGGTACACATGGAGGGGGACACTTGACGATTTGTAAGAGTCGATAGAGAAAAGGCGGCGGGACGGAATGGAAACATATGTCAACAACAATGCCAACCGTGCCAGTGACAGTGACAGTGCTCAAGTGTCTGTGTGTATGTGTGTTGAAGCGCCGAAGTGTTTGAGTGTCTCAGTGTTTGAGTGCTTATGTGTATAAGTGTCTGTGTGTTCAAGTGTTTGGTTGTTTGGTTGTTTGGTTGTTTGATTGTTTGATTGTTTGATTGTTTGATTGTTTGATTGTTTGATTGTTTGATTGTTTGATTGTTTGATTGTTTGATTGTTTGATTGTTTGATTGTTTGATCGTTTGGGTGTTTGAGTGCCCGTGTGTTTGGGTGCTCGTGTGTTCAAGTGTTCAAGTGTCCAAGCGTCCAAGAATTCAACAACACAACACAACAACCCAACAGCAGCCTGACAACAACACAACAGCCTGCTCTGTGTTGCTGTTGCTGTTGCTGCTGTTGCGCTCTACTACATACTTGCCTCCCATCTACGCGCCGTGTTACCATCCTCCTCTGGATCCTCTGGATATTTCGTTGCATCTGCTCTACTCTACACGTAGAGTATCTACAGTATCTAGAGTATTAGATTGCGCGTCCTCGGTGCACATGGCCTCAGCCCGACGTCGACCTCGAGGAGCTCACAGAACCTGTTTGACGTACAGCTGGCAGCAGACATCAGAGATGTGAATGATGGATATAGGATGGGTGGGTATAGGATACAGGATATAGGATGGGTATAGAATGGATGGCAGGATGGTGGTCACCCTACTATTCCTACTATTCCTACTATTCCTGCTATTATTGCTGCGGATGCTGCTGTTACTACTATTGCTGCTGTGGATGCTGTCCGCAGACGTCGAGGAGACGGGATGCGTATGCGGCCTAATCTACAGTGTATAGTAGAGTGGAATAGGTAGTAGAGTGGTAGAGTTGTGGAGTGGTGGAGTGGTGGAGTGGTGGAGTAGAGACGCGGACGGACGTCCGTAATCAATACATTATGAGCCATCGAGGGAGGGAGCAGGCGCACTGATGGACTGGTGGACTGACTGGCTGATGGATGGACGGGCATATCGGGTTTCGCATCAGGAAGCTTGCTTGTCTGCTCGCCTGCTTGCTTGTCTGCTTGTCTGGTGGGGCGCGCGCGCTGCGGGTTATTGGAGAACGGGCTGGCTGCGACTACATATGGTGGTGGTGGTGGTGCTTTTGATTATGCGGGCTGCAGTGATCGCCGTGGAGAGCTTGAGTCTCTCTTTCAAGAGAGAGAGCTGGGCTAGGGGAGGGGGGGCTTTGGGGGAGGGGGGCTGCTCGTGTCGCGGAGGGGAGGGAGGGAGGAAGCGGTTGGTGCTGGGTGCTTGCTGCTTGGTCCTTGTTGCTTGGTGCATGCCGCTGGCAGCTGATGCCTGTGGTGATTACTGTGGTTGGTGAAGTCGCCTGGCTGCATCGCGTGGGGGTGGGTAGTGGTGGTGGTGGGGGGGGGGGGGGAGGTTCTGGGGGTGGCGTGGGGTTGTACTATACCTATGCGATGCGTGCGTGCACTTTTTGCAGCCGCATTCCTGAGCGTGATAGAACATGACTACTATATACTATCGACACGGACTTCGTTCTGGGGGTTGTGCTTTGTTGTGCGCATGTTCTCAAAGGGAGACGAGGGGGCTCGTTGCGCTTGATGCTGTGCCATGACGCATATCGTGGGTTCTCAGACTCTAAGGCTTAAGCCCGGGAGGCTACTTTAGTACTTTGCTACTTTATGCAGCCACTGATTCGTGCGATTGTAGCGCTGGTGGTGAAGCGGGGCAGAAGTCTCGTTCGTCGTCGTCGGTAGGGAGAGAGACAAGGTGTGGGGGAGGGGGGAAAGGAGGCTAGTCATGAAGCATCACTCTGTGATAACTGGTGGGCGCTAAGTCTTGGCGCACAAGGAGGGGCTGCCCTGCCCTAATCGCAGTCATAAGCGAGGAGGGCCATTCGCACACTAACACAGCAAAGCAATTCCGCCCACACACACGCACAACAAGCAAAGGGCACTCCCACACGACGACAACCCGGCCGCCAGCTATACCACCCAACGCCTAACGACCCGACGTCCCGCCGAACGACCGACGCCAGGTACTTTTTCGCCCTCCTACCAGATTTTCTGTCGACGCGAGGCGTTGTTTCTGTTTGAGCGCGAGGGCTGATTTATTGGTTTTGTTGTTTTCGCGCGCAGAAAAGAATAGCACAGCATGGCCGTAGGAAAGAACAAGAGACTTTCGAAGGGAAAGAAGGGTCTCAAGAAGAAGACCATTGACCCCTTCACTCGCAAGGACTGGTACAGCATCAAGGTGAGATTGAGAGCTCACATCGACACGACCGAGAGCTTGATGACTGACGGGTTTCCCCGACTATAGGCTCCTTCGACCTTCGCCACTCGCGAGTAAGACACCCTCCCCTCAACCCCCACATACGTACCTACGAGCAATCATGATACGGAATCGGCCGATATCGGACTCGGGATCGTGTTGGATGGATTGGCTGACGGGAATTCGAATCGCGCGATTAGTGTCGGAAAGACCCTTGTCAACCGTACCACCGGTCTCAAGAACGCCAACGATGCCCTGAAAGGACGCATCTTGGAGGTTTCCCTGGCCGATCTCCAGAAGGACGAGGAGCACTCTTTTCGCAAGGTCAAGCTCCGTGTCGACGAGGTCCAGGGCAAGAACTGCCTGACCAACTTCCACGGTCTCGACTTCACGTCCGACAAGCTCCGCTCGATGGTCCGCAAGTGGCAGACACTAATTGAGGCCAACATCACCGTCAAGACCACTGACGACTACCTCGTTCGCCTGTTCGCCATTGCCTTCACCAAGAAGCGACCAAACCAGGTCAAGACCACCACCTACGCCCAGACCTCGCAGATCCGGGCTATCCGCAAGAAGATGGTCGAGATCATCCAGCGGGAGGCTACCACCTGTAACCTGACCCAGCTTACCACCAAGCTGATCCCCGAGGTTATCGGTCGCGAGATTGAGAAGGCCACCGCTGGAATCTACCCCCTTCAGAACGTGAGTCGAACCCGAATCGACACCCTGTCCCCTCAGCTATCTGACGGTTTTATAGGTGCACATCCGCAAGGTTAAGCTTCTGAAGCAGCCTAAGTTCGACCTCGGTGCCCTCCTGTCCCTGCACGGAGAGTCTTCCCAGGACGATTCGGGCCAGAAGGTCGAGCGGGAGTTCAAGGACGTCGTTCTGGAGGATGTGTAAATTTTTTTGTGCTTCGGGATAGCTGTCAAAAAAATTTCTTGTTCAGATCAAAAAGTTCTCGGTCGTCGTCGTCCTGTCTTGCAAATGAGAGAGGCGTACACAACATAACCATCCGTCGTCTTTACCGCGCGGGGTTTACATGCATAACGACACGTCTTTGGGGTTTGGATTGGGACATTTTACAGGGTGTGCGGTCGGGTTCTTTGGGGTAATCTTTTCTTCTTAGTTTAGGCGTACAGGAAAATGTTTTCCAGCGGACGTCTATCTTTTGTGCAATCCAAACCCATGTTTAGACTCGGCGGTCGGGTCCTGCGAGCCAGCCATATCGTGAGCCAGCCATATCGTCCGCCATGCCATCCGCAGCCAATGTGTGTTGATCGAATGAACCATAGCCGATAGTAATGCCATATCGAAAATCTAATCTTCCGTTAAGACGAGTGTGAATATCACTCGGCTTTCCGTCACGTAATATCCGTTACGTGGTACAGGACACATGGGTCGCCGTCACAGTAGAGCGCAGAGTGCAGAATGCAGGAGGAAATCGGGTTACACTTTGGGTTTGCTACGGTGAAACTCCTCCCTTCAAAAGTTCTTCCGGCCGAAACTGCAGCTTCCGCGGGCTGGGGGAAAGGAGGGAGGCTTACAATCGGGTCGGGCTGGAAGTTATTCCTGAATGGACTGAGGTCTGAGAGGTGTTTGGAGAGGGTGTTTGTCGTCGAGCTCGACTGGGGCTCACGGGGGAGCGAAGCTATATGACTACATAAAAGCACTTACATACTCGCTCTGGTTGTCTCTGGAATAAGGCACAGTACCTATTCGGAGCAAGGCACCGGTATACATATTAGAGTCGAAGACGGCCACACTCGTGCCCGAACCTTGAGTCTGATTGATTTGTGCACTTACCACGCGAGCTGAGCTGCGTCCGAGCTCACTGGGCAGTCAATGGGAGCCGGGCGTTCCTGCGTTCCTACGTTCCTGCGTCTAACCTTCGCGGGCTCGAGGTCTCGACCGCGGGGTTGGGGGGGGGGGGCTACGGAGGTTGAGGGGGATCATTTTCTTGACGTATCTATGGACCTAAGTAGATCATGACGTCCACACCAAAGAGAGCCACCGCCGCGAGACTAGCTAATCGACGTCTCTCGCCTGCCCGCAAGAAAGAAGTACACAGTTATGGAGGTGGGCGCAAGCCGCGAGATACATCCGAGAGGGTAGGGCGTGGTTCGGCCTTACTAGTAGTTATCTGCCCGACCATCCATCTACCTATCCCGGAGGAGGGAACGGTGACGGTGTTTGTTGCACGGGTTTTGGTGTTTGTGGAAGGGCCTATTCGGCCTGGTTTGCTTATTTTCGGGAGTGGTAGGTATGAGGTATGCGTGCATGAGGTTTGTATATAGGTTGGTACCTGAGGATGAATGAAGCCCAGCCAAGGGAAATCGCGGCTGGGGTGCGGGTGGTGGGGTGGGCCGACACTGCGATGCGGCATCGCGTTTAGTGTGACTGGGAGAGCTGCTAGCTAACTACCGCTACTCTACCACCCAAAGTCACCCCCGAGCGGCGAACTACTTCACGCTTCACAACATCAACAATCCCTCCTCCTTCATCTTACTTCCACCACACCACACCCGACAACAATACAACCACCACAACACCCGTCCGGTTAATAACAACAACCACAACAATTATCACCGCTACAACCACCACCACCACCATAACCACCACAACGACAACAGTGACCACAGATGGAGGAGACACCGCCCGCCCAGCGCCGCAAGCGACCGGCAGCCGTCTACGGAAAATCGGCTAGGAAGCGATTCTCGGCGATTGACGACATCTTCCTATCGTCGAGCTCAACGTCTCGGGCAGGAGGAGGGGAGGGCATGGGGGGAAGAGTGGGTAAACCAGCAGCTCGAGCAGCCAACAAGAAGCCGACCTCCGAGAGCGACGATGGAACTGCGACACAGCTGCGGATCGAGAAGGAATTGTCGCAGGAGCATGCCCGTGAGGACGAGATGAAGGTGTTCGATTTCCCCTCCAGCGACGAGGCCGAGGATGCGCAGGCCGCTGTTCGCACGTTAAAGCGCAAACGCGTCCCCACTACTACCACCACTATCACCACCACCACCGCCCCCGCCGCCGCCGCAGGCAAGACCGCGAAGAGCAAGACTACAACTACAACCAAAACCACCACCGCCGCCGCCGCCGCGACCACCGCCGTCCCGGTCAAGAGAGCTAGCACCACCGAGGCGGATAATATGGCTACGAGGAATAAACGCACCACGCGCGTGAAGCTGGAGGAGCCGAGTACGAATAAGCTTACCTCTACTGCGAAGATTACAAAGGTTGCGAGACGAGCGGCGCCGCCGGCAAAGAAGAAGGAGAGTGCCATGGAGAAGGAGGAGGTGCAACCGGAGAGGATGGAGGTTGAGGACGAGAAGGTTGTGGCGCCGCCGAAGCGCACGCGCGTGATGCGTACGCAGTCTCACCAACCTGAGGAGAAGCCGGCTGTGACCGCCGAGAAGCCGAGCGCGTCGCAGGACCGCAAGCAGAGGCCATCAAGGAATATCGAGATTGTCGTTGCTAGTCCTCGACACAAGGCCGCACAGAAGCCTAAGCCGGCGGTTGAGAAAGCGATGACCGAGAAGCCGACGAACGAGAAGATGAAGGCGCCGAAGCTGCAGAAATCGAAGCTAGCGAAGACGGACAGTCTGAAGACCGTTCCGGAGGAGACGAATACGGTGCCCGTGACAGCTGCGAAGAAACCTAAGGCCGCTCGGAAAGACGCTGTAGCTGCTGTGAAGAAGCCTAAGGCCGCTCGGAAGGACGCTACAGCTGCTGTGAAGTCGAAGAGAGATAGTCCACCAACCGACTCGATCTTCGGGCTTTTTACGGAGGAAATTACCCCAGTAGTGCGTCGCAAGAGGCTTATTGATACTCTTGGAGCCAGCGACGCTACCGAGGGGCCACGGAAGAAGAGCCGCTCGCCATCTCAGGATCTCGGCGGTCCTATTGCTCGACCGAAATCAGGCTCGACCTCCCAGGAATCTTCGCAGGAGATCCTAGTCACTGGTTTACAGAGACAGATGAACGATGGCGCTCGCGTCACATATGCCCGACAGAGGTCATACAGGATGGAAGAGCCCGGTAGTCTGGAGGACCTGCTGAATATCCCTCTTCCCGATATCACGTCTATGCAGAGCGGAAGACGCCGTCTTGAGTACCCCGCGCCGTCTACCACCATCGAGAAGACCAGTACGAAAGCGCCAATTGGGCATCCGGCGGTAATGAGCGTCCACGAGATGAAGGTGACCGGAGAACAAACTATGTTTCTTGACGATGTTGAGTACCTTTTCGATGGCCTCGAAGGAAGCCTCGAATCTAGACGAACCGGGTGAGAACATTCCCCTCCGCGTATAAGTCTACAACAGCTAACCGGTGCACATAGATACTTCGAGTTGGTCAAGAAGCTAGCCAACAAGGATTTCAATCAGAAGTTTCGCAGAAACTCATTCGATGAACGACTCCTGGTCAAGATGGACCAACAGACCGATGAGGTAAAGGGTTTCCCCCCCGGCTTTCAATCAACACAGCTAACTTTGTGGAGATGATCTTGTGCGCGCTCGGCTATCTCGTTCTCGGCTTTATCAAGAACGATCCAACGCCTCGGATCATGTTTTATGTCACTAAAAACGGTGTTATGCCGATGTTGACGAAGATGCTGGGATCGTCTAAGGACGTATCCGCACTCGCTCAGGATGAGAAGATTAAGTTGTCGAAGTTTGCAACCGAGGATCTCAACGACCTTCGTGCTATGATTGAGAAATCTGGAGTTTTGGGCAAGGGCGTCAACACAATATCTTTGCAGCTGATTGCGCTGCAAATCCTGGACCTACTGGTCAGGAAATTTCGGAGCCACGGAAGCACCAGCGAGATATTGTCCAAGGGCGTGCTGCGGGGCTTGTTGAACATCCTCAGTCCGTTTGCGACTTCAAAACAATATCCCAAGAGCCTTAAGATACGCGGACCGTATGCTCTGGAGCTTCCAATTTCGATCCTCGAGGCATACACCATGGGTGGATGCGGATCACTCGAGATGCAGGTCGCGGCGGACAAGTTGGTTGTTCTAGCCAACCTTCTCCCGGCTATGCGCGGGTGGGGCTGCGACGAGAAGCTGCGCGATTCGTTGTTGCTGCTGCTCCGTTTGCACATCAACATCACCAACAATGTCCCGGTCGTGTGCGATATCTTTGCGGAGTCTTCGATTATCTGCAGCCTGGTTGCTATAATCAAGGAGATGTTCCAGGCGTTGTCCGGAAACCTCGAGGAGTTGCAGCGACTTATCTCCGTGGACTTTCTTGTCCTGAGCTTGGGACTGATGCTGAATTTCGCCGAGTTCTCTTCGAAGGCGAGGGCGGCGGTTGGCGATAGAGGTTTGTTCATCCCCCCCTCACCCTCGTGTGATCGCTCTTCTAATTCGGTTACAGTGGTGGAGTCCATCGAAGGGACTCCCCTGGCAATCGATGTTCTCCTAGATATTTTCCTGGAGAACCAGGAGCGTATCGCGGAGGTAGGTACCCCCCTATATCCTTGGCTCGATGTGCTCTAATGTAATACAGGCGGACTCAATGGAAGCCTCGCACACGAACGTGGCCTTCGGATATCTGGCAGTTCTCCTGGGGGACCTCAGCCAAGAGGACCACATCCGCTACCGGATGCGCGGGCGGCTCCCCAACTCGAGTCTGAAGTGTGTCCTGACCGCGGTCGAGGAGTTCATCGCCCACCACCGCAAGGTGGACGCGGCCATGTTCGGCACTGAGGACGACGACGACGAAGACCTGGCCAATGCCGCCGCCCAGAACCCTGACATGGAGGCGAGCACGGCAAGGCTCCAACATGTCGCGATCCGGCTTCGCGCTTACGCGTGATCCCTCCACGGGGATCATGCGTAAGGCACGAGCGGAGCGGTCGCGACTGTTTTTTTTTTTGTATGTTTTATTTGGGTGGCTACCAGTACTTCTATGAATACATGTATTTTTTTTTCTTTCTTGTTTTTTATTCTTTGGGCAAGGCAGATGGAGTTGAATTGGGTATCAAAGTTTACTGTAACATGTATATCTTAGAGGGGGGGTTGTATATTCTTTTTTTATGTTGTTATTATGTTGTGTCTTGCAGGCGTTCCATAGCGGATATATCTACTGTAAAGGTATGGTGGTTGCGGGTAATTGCGGATTTTTTGGTTGGAAATGATTGTCAATGGATGGATGGGTGTACTTTTTGGTGGGGAAATGGAGCTGGTGGAGGTGGATGTTCGGGGGAATAGCATTACTCGCGGGATAGACCAAGAGTCTCTGGTGCGGAGAAGCTGTTCGCGGGGGAATACGATGCCAAACGTGGTGGATGATCGGATACAAAAAAGCGAGTTATTTCTTATGTTCACTGCTTTCAGAGACTGCACTGGCTGCGACGCGGGTTGTAGAGGGGAGCTTAGAGGTGGGGTTTCTAGTGGAGGTCGATGCTTATTCTTTCGGTCTTATGCGATACACACGGCGTCTATGAATACAATTCCATTTGCATTCAAATCATTATATCTAGCATTATACCGCTGAATATACGCCGTAAAAAAGGACTTTTCGAAGTATGTACAATACACCACACCACGCACGTCGCATCGCATCCCACCACACGCAACAACTTAAAGCTGAAACTTGGTCCGCACCTTATCCATCCCGCCCTTCCACTGGAACACGGTATCCTTCTTGACGCCCCTCTCCACTCTCCGCAGCTTCAGCGTGAACCGCGGCCCAATCTCTTGCAGTCCCACCCGCACTCCCAGGCCCTCCATGCCCTTTCCGCCATCCGCCTTGGTGGGGTCCAACCCGAAGCCCGCTTCTTTCTCGGTCTCGCGCTTCTCGCGGAAAACGTATCTGTGTCGCCGGAAGAAGATGAAGTCGCGCTGGTTGTGCAGCGTGACTACCTGTCGTCCTTGGAACTGTGGCTGCTGCGGGAACAGAGACTGGAATAGCCCCGCGGTGGTCTTTCCTAGCGGCGTCAGGAAATTGTTGAGGATCAGCTCGGGGATGTGCGATGTCGGCCGGCCGTGCCCGCTGATGCGCTTCGCCGGCTGGTAGTTGGAGACGGTGAACCGGAAAGTCGGGCCCTCCGGCAGCACGATGATGGTCAGTGCGTCGATGAGCTTGCTCTCGACGTTGGCGATCATGATGTGTGAGTACGGCTTGCGGACCTCGCCGGTGGCGGGATCGATAGTGGTGGGCTTTGCGGCGATCTTGGCCATCTCGACGATGCCGAGGTCGTTGTTGCGCGGGAGATATGTGGTGTTGGGGAAGAGATTTGCCAGCTCCTCGGCCTGGTCGTGGGTGTGGTTGAAGCGCGAAGTGGTGAGCAGGATCCGCGGCGGAGCTCCTGGCGGCCGGTCCAATGTCGGGAACAGCGCCGCGGTCTCCGCGTCCTCCGCCAGCGTCGCCTGGTTCTCTTCGTGCGCCGCGATCTCCGCCGCTGCCGCTGCCTCCTCCGCCGCCTCTGCTGCCGCCTCCTCCCCCGTCACTCCCTCCGCCTTTGCCTCATCCGCCGTGCCCGCAGTGGTGGTGGTGGGCACCGCGCCCGGAATCCGCTCGTCCCATACCCGCTTGCGCTCTATGGTGTCTGGGAGGTTGGTAGAAAGACGGGTTTCCCGCAGCGACGGGTCTTTAGCTTCGACCTTTTTGCGGTCGAACTTTTCCTTGCGCTTTGCGGCGGCGAGCGCGGATTTGATGCGGATGTTGTGCGCTTGCCGGTGCACCTTGTTGGGGATGTTGAAGGTCGCGGACGTGTTCTGCGACGTGGAGGTTTTCTTGACTTTCGGCATCGTGGCGGTTGTGAGGCGGTGCGGTGAGGTGATGGTGAATTGTGTGGTGGAAGGTGCAGGTGAGGTTGCTGGGGAAAAAATGTCCCAAGTTTAGTTACCAGGGTTCGATTGAGAAGTCTCAGGGAGCACATATGGGGCTAAGACATTACGGGAATAAATACCGCATAGAGTTAAACTGGCCTGGAAACTTCCTCGATCTGGCTAAATCGACCCTATCAGACAATTTTTCGGTATTTGCAGAATGCAATTCCTATTTTCAGGTGTTGAAAGCCAGAGGGAAGTGTGTGACTTTGGGAAAGCGCGGTGTGGACCATGAGTCGCCAAATACCCCTCCCCCGCTTCTTGGTGTTTCCTCCAAAAAAGTCAAGACTATTCACCACCTCCGCCACAATACGGGCCGCAACCCCGACATTACTCACTCCGAAACCCCGGCTGTACTCATCGGCCCAGTACTTAACCAGCAGAGTTTCAGCCAGTCCTTTGTTCTCGTGCCGTACCTTCTCCACCACCGTCCGCACCACCGGCCGATTCGAAGTCCGGGAAACCCAGCTATCCACGCAAGAGAACGAAATGGCGACCACCAAAACCGGGCAGCCGCTTGACCGCGGCATTCTCGACACGCTCCTGCGCCGCCGACTCTTCTACACGCCCTCGTTCGAGATCTACGGCGGTGTTTCGGGGCTCTACGACTATGGGCCCCCGGGCTGCGCCCTGCAGGCGAACATCGTCGATGCTTGGAGGAAACATTTCGTGCTCGAGGAGGACATGATGGAGGTCGATTGCACCATGTTGACTCCTCACGATGTCCTGAAGACCTCTGGACACGTCGATAAGTTTGCCGATTGGATGTGCAAGGACCCCAAGACGGGCGAGATCTTCAGGGCCGACCATCTTGTCGAGGAGGTCTTGGAGGCAAGGTTGAAGGGTGATCTCCAGGCGAGGGGCATCAAGATCGAAAAGGAAGAGAGTGATGATAAGAAGAAGAAGAAGGTCAAGGAGATCAAGGCCGTCAAGCTGGACGATGCTGTCGTGCAGGAATACCAGGAGACTTTGGCAAAGGTGAGTGCCGTGGAGTTGTTCAGTTCGGGCTCATTATATCTGGCTACAATGAGTCAAGCGATCACTGCCCGTCACTCGAGAATCTTCGAGGATTGGACTGACATTGAGTCCAGATTGACAATTACGATGGCGCTGAGCTCGGCGAGCTCATCTTCAAGCACAACATCACCAACCCGGCCAATGGAAACCCGTTGGAGCCCCCGGTGGCCTTTAACCTGATGTTCTCGACCTCAATTGGTCCTTCCTCGAACCTGCCCGGTTACCTGCGCCCCGAAACTGCACAGGGCCAGTTCCTTACCTTCTCCAAGCTGTTGGAATTCAACAACGCCAAGATGCCTTTCGCCTCTGCGTCCATCGGAAAGTCCTTCCGTAACGAGATCTCGCCCAAATCCGGTCTTCTCCGTGTCCGCGAGTTCTTGATGGCCGAAATTGAGCACTTCGTAGACCCCAACGAGAAGTCTCACCCCCGCTTTGCCGAGGTGGCCGACACCGTCTCCCTCAACTTCCTGGACCGTCACATCCAGCAGTCCGGCAAGACCACGCTCGTCACCAAGACTGTCGGCGAGGCTGTTAAGGAGGGAATGGTGGACAACGAGACTCTCGGATACTTCCTCGCTCGCATCTACCTGTTCCTGACCGAGCTCGGCATTGATCCCGAGAAGCTCCGTTTTCGTCAGCACATGCCCAACGAGATGGCCCACTACGCCGCTGACTGCTGGGATGCCGAGCTCCTGACTTCGTACGGCTGGGTCGAGTGTGTTGGCTGTGCCGACCGTTCTGCCTACGATCTTACCGTGCACTCCAAGAAAACCGGCCAGCCGCTGATCGTCCGCGAGAACCTGGACAAGCCCGTTGAGTGGGAGGAGTGGGACGTCGACGTGGACAAGAAGTGGATGGGCCCGCGCTTCCGCAAGGACGCCAAGAAAGTCGAGCAGGCAATCGAGGCGATTCCGCAAGCGCAGCGCGAGATCCTCGCCGTCCAGAAGGCGAACGGCCAGCCCGTGATGATCACCGTCGAGGGCCTTGGCGAAGTCAAGCTCGAAAAGGTCGAGATCGTCAAGCGCAAGAAGCAGCAGCACGTCCGCGAATACACGCCGAATGTCATCGAGCCGTCTTTCGGTATCGGCCGTATCTTCTACTCGTTGATCGAGCACATCTACTACACGCGCCCCGAAGACGCTGCCCGCGGCGTGCTCGCGTTCCCGCCAAAGCTAGCACCCACAAAGGTCCTCATCGTCCCCCTCTCCTCCAACAGGGACTTTGACGCCACCGTCGACAAGCTCTCGCGCACCATGCGCAAGGGTGGAATCGCAAACCGTGTAGACGCCTCGGGCGCCAGCATCGGGAAGCGGTATGCCCGCAACGACGAGCTGGGCACTCCCTTCGGTGTCACTGTGGACTTCCAGACGCTGAAGGATAACACCATCACTCTGCGAGAACGTGACACGATGAAGCAGGTGCGCAGCAGCATCGAGGACGTTGTTAAGATCGTCAAGGACATCATTGAGGGCACGGAGACTTGGGATGTGGTCGTGGAAAGGTTGGGCGAGTTCCAGGGTCAGGAGCTGGAGTAAATTTGCCTTTTCTTGTAATTTCAAGAACGGGTGGCTAGATGTACACAGCAATCTAGATCTTGCGGGATGATTGTTCTTTGCTGCTACACTTGTTGCCTTGGCTGTGGTTAGGAAAGTTTTCTCTTCTCGCTTCAGGATGGAGGATCGTGCACATGCACCGACCTGTCAGAAATGCTTGTCCTGAGTGATAGTCACAGAGCCGCACCTTAAACCTGAAGGATGATATTTCTCAGTGAACGCAGCCCAAAAAGGTAATGAAACAGGAAAATCCGCAAAATCCAGCAAAGCAAACCCCCAAAAGGATAGAATGGAAAAAGAAAAAAGACAAAGCGAATAGAACAACAGTAAGTTGACTACAGAGCAGGAACAGAGAAAACGCCTAGAAACCGAACTCAACTCCTCCGAACGCGCCCATCCAGGTGCCTGCCTGGTCATGTCAACTACAGTCTATTCATACACCCATCAACTGGAGACCGAAGAGGAGTCGCCGTCGTTGTTGCCGCCGTTGTGGTCCTCTTCCTCCGTAGCCCCGGCCGCCGTGACCCATCCCTTGACGAGATAGGCAGGAACGACAACACTCTATGTCACTGTCGTATCCAGTCTTGCCCGTTCAGCGCCCGGCAGCTGCCGTCCCTGCGTATCCTTCAGATCACCGGCCTCCCTTCCAGCCGCGGCCCGTTTCCTAGCCTCCGCACGCCTTCTCTCCCGCCGTCTCCGCTCTCCCTCACTCTCCTCGCTCGAGTAGCCGCCGTCGTCGTCCTCATCCGCACTCGACTCGTCCCACACATCGTCGCGGTTGACACTGTGTCTGCGTCGTCCCGGGTGCGCGTGCGCCGTCAACCGTGCCTCCTCGCTCTGCTCCTCCAGCTCGCACTCGGGCGGCTCCACCCAGCCCGCGGGCACCACGCATGGCAGCGCTACACCAATGCTCGCTGCGCGGTTGAGGTACGCCGGCGCTGGTTGCCCCGTGAGCGCCGCACACAGGTGCGAGCTGAAGTGGTTGCAGTTCCGCGTGAGGAGATTGTAGCTCGGGCCTAGAAACACCAGACTTGCCTTTCACGCACACCACACTTATCAGTTCCGTCCCGTTCCCCCTTCCTCCCCCTTCCAAAAAAAGAAAAGGTGAACTCACCTCTCTCACGATCTCGTCAATCTCCTCTGCATTGGCATATGTGAAGCCATGAAGGATCTCAGTCTTCCACGTTCCACCGGGGGGCTCGGTCTTCGGTTTCGTCCAGTATACGCCCGTGACGCCGGGGCGGTCGTGGCCGCCAAAGGCATACTCCTTGTCGCCGATTGCGACGCCCGTGTGCAGCAACGACGTGCCGATCGTCCATAGGAACGACGACAGCCGCCCACGTGGGAGAAGGTCGTACACGTTTATTCGCACTTCTGTCTTCGCGATTGTGTGTGTCGATGGCCGCGTGTGCGTTGACGCCGTGGAGGACATCATGCTTGCGGTTGCTATTGCTGCTGGTGGTGCGGGTGCGGTTGCTGCTGCTGCTGGTAAGGGTAAGGGTGCGGGAACGGGTGCTGGTGAGGTGCGTGAGGTTGGCCGGGCTGAGGTGGGAGTTATGTACGTAGAGTATAATAGCTCTTCCTTGAATCGCTCGCTTGGCAAGGGATGCTTGCACCGCCTGCCTGGGGTAGTCCTATCGGAGTGAAGCTTGGTGCCGTCGTTTTGGTTGTGTTGTAATTAGCGCCTATAGTGGGATTAGCCCGGGAATGGGTTTCTTGGCAGATGGGTCTTGTAGATATCGTATGTACACGGGTGTAAGGGTAAGTGGTGCACCCCATTCAGCGCCATTTGGTAGTGGTGGTGGTGCACAACTTTCCCTCACACCCGAGTACCTAGTAGACAACACCTGGTTCGCTCGCAGAGATACCTACTAGTAGAACTTCATTATTCACTCTGAGCCTACCTCCCGGTGCACAGCACATGTCCACATCCACTTGATCTAACACGGCCGCACCACCGCACCACCGCACCGTCCCGGCCACACGCCAGGACCGCTCCCCCCACAAGGCCGTGCTCACGGCCTTAGGTATTGGAGGACAGGGCACGGCAACTAGAACACCCAAACGCCTCAACTACCTTCGTTGCTGCTCTTCATCGTCTCCTCAAACCGATTCGTCCAGGAAATCTAGTCCAAGCCCGTGGTAACAAGCCACGCGTTATTGGCCATGAACGGGAGGCTCGTTTGGGGGGGATTTCCATCATAGCCATCATAGACAACAGTGGGCCATTGACGTTCGTTTCAAAGCAGATGAGCATGCTCCTGCCTGCTGGAGGAGGAGGAGAGGGACTGTCCTAGGCGAGTAAACTTGTGGCTACATATCGGAAAAGGACACCCGGCTACGATAGGCGGACATCGCTATCTGGTTTACATATATCTCGCCGGCGGACTCGAGCTTTGCCGAGATCAAATCATCTAGGTATGGTAGCTAGGTGCTGGTGCCGACTTCGGCGGTGCAGAGGCCTTCCCGACGTAGATAACTACGATTACCTATGCGAAGAGCAGAATAAAATTTTATTCCGACGGACATCTTGTCCGTTGGCTCCTTTTTTTGAAAAAGGAGCGAGATATTTCCAACTCGTTTCTGGCCATTCCTCCGAGGGTTATGTATTTTTACATCTCGACTGGTGGTCAGATTATTTTCCAATCGAGGTCAATTCATTAGTGTAGTCGATTACAGTTGCTCGTGCGTGTTTTTGTTTTGGGATTTTGTTGAAAGTACCGACGTTCAGTCGTCTTTTTTTGATTCACATATGTCAAGTCTAGACGGTCGAATTTTATCGATTTGCTGTTTTGCTGTTTTGCCCCGGGAAGAGCCTCCGTCCAACACTGCTAGCGAAACGGTCTGAGCCCTCAAATTTAACGGCGTCAAGCTGCAAAAGATAAGAGCTGCCTTCCTCCCTCAATGACTGTTCGTAGAGTAGGGTTGAGTGAATATGTCTTGACAGAATCGTAGGTTTGTGTAGATATACCGGCGCCGAAAAGACGAGGAGACGTCATGCCCGTAGAGTACGTGTGATGTGGATACCGCGCGTCCACAGGGAAGCTGGCGGTCGATCAAGCAAGAGACGGCGCCGCGATGGCCTATAACTAATTCATGTTACACGCGCAGCGGAAAGAAGCCTTACCGCGACTAAGAACCCCAGCCTGATGGAGAAGTTACTCTACGGTACGCACAAACCCATGGAACTCCCCAGGAACGTTCCATTTACCACAGGTCTGTGGGGTGCATAGGCTTGAGCTTAGGTCGCAGCTATGCATTTCCAAATGCTTCTTTTTGTGATGGGCACTAGCTGGGCGGGTTTGTAGGCCTAGCGGGAGGGCATGAAGCTGGGCAAGAACGCAAGAGCACCGAAAAGAGCGCATGTCACTTTGATCCTCACAGTCTTGACGGAAATCTCCTTTCGCGGTAGTTGTTTTGATTATCATTGCGAAAACGTCACCGAAAAGAAAAAAAGCGAAGCACAGCCAGAAAAAACCATCTAATCCTTGGTCTTTTGGGTACCACGCAGCAAACCAGTCCGACGAGCAGCAATGACTATAGAAAGCGTTGATCAGCACCACCGCCTCACACCAATCTGGGGCATGGGAATACTTACGACCAGCCTTCTGACCGGGCACAGCGTAACGCGAAATGGTCGAAGCCTTTCCGATATGCTGGTGGTTACCTCCTCCGTGGGGATGGTCGACGGGGTTCATGGCAACACCACGAGTCTTGGGCCAGCTGTTACCCTTGGCCTTGTACTTGTGCATGGCGCGCGAAGCCTTAAGCATGGGCTTGTCGGTACGGGCACCACCGGCAACGATTCCGATCATACCACGGGCAGTGGAGGGAACGATCTTCTTGGAACCAGAGGGGAGCTTGACACGGGTCTTTCCGGTGTCGGTGTCATGGCCAATGATGGTGACGTAGTTACCCGATGTCCGTCCGAGCGCACCACGGTCTCCGGCCTTCTCCTCGACGTTGGTGACAACGGTTCCCTCAGGCATGGAGCCGAGAGGAAGGATGTTTCCAATGTTCAACGAGGCCTTCTTTCCGGCGTAGATGAACTGACCGGTGTACATGCCCTCATTGGCAATGAAGCTACAACCCAATGTCAACCTTCCATCCCGTCGAAACACGTATCGGTGAAGCTCGGACAAACGTACGTCTCCTTCTGTAGCTTGAAGCGGTAAGGGTCGCGGAAGACAACCTTGGCGAGGGGAGCTCCACGTCCGGTGTCGTGGATGATCTCCTTGACGATACCGCGAGTGTATCCGTGACGCTCGGCGTAATCAAGGGTTCTGAACTTGGCCGGGTTCTATAGTCGAGGGAGGAATCGTCAGTATTCGATGGGTAGTGTGGCGAATGGATCGGTGATGAACGTGCCTTCCTCAGCCGTGTGTTGGCAGCTAAAAACCATAAGTCAGTCACCCTGAAGCGCAAAAAGTCGAAGTTTTATGCTGCGAAACGTACTGAAGATGGAGCCGGCTCCCTTTCTCTGATTACGGATAACTCTGCAAACAAAAAACCGTTAGTCGGCGATTTATCGATGTAGCGTAGCGATCGTAGACATGCCTTCCCATTTTGCCGGAGTTTCTGGTGCTGTTCGGTTGGTGAGTGTCGAGGCGTCGTCGTTATCGTGGTTCTGTTGGTTGCTACCCGTGAAATTGTGTAGTCTAAAATCAGCAGTGGGGCTTTGGGAGAAAGACAGTCACCGCACACCCCACAGTCCGCACACAACAATGTCTTGGCAGAGTCCCACTGACACGTGACCATAATTTCGTTTTCTACGCGTTCACTCGCCCACTTTGCGTACATCACTCTAGTGAACTAGAGACTTTGGCAACATCGACATACATAGGAGCGGCGGTCTCGGGTATATCTACGTTTTAAAAACTTTACAGCGATCACTCCTTGGATCATCACCACCACCGTGCTCAAAAAAAAGCCATCGTATCGTACAAAACCTAACTTTACAACTGGCCGCCGAGCACACCCACCAGCCAGAGTGCGAGTCTAACTTTGAGGGATACCCGTCTTTCGCTGCGCTGGAAGTCCTCTAGAGTAACCTTCTGCGTGTTCTCTTGCAACCAATCGGTTTCCGCACCCAGGCGCTTCTTTAGTTTCTCGTCTTTGGTCACGACCAAAGCATTCATTTCGAGATCCAAGGAGTACGATCTTTTCGTGTAGTTGGATGAGCCTACCAGCGTGATGCTGGGGCTATCTTCGTTGGGCATTGTCACCCACACACCTACTTGATTAGTATCTTACGGGTTGCTGTGGGTGGGACAGTGCGAACCTTTGGCATGGTATGTCCACGCATTGGGGTCTTTGCCGTGGACACCCTTTTTCCACTCTCGCAACTCGATACTGTTCTCCTTGCCGAGTTTGATCACGTCTTCCAGAAAGCGACGGGAGAGTAGCGTGTATGCTGGTGGAAGCATGCCCGAGACTCCCTTACTGCCGTAGAATCCATTCGCTTCTGGGGCGGCAGTCACAACAGTTCCCTTGATAGACTTTGAGTTTAGAAGTAATTCTTTTAGCTGCGGGTGGATGTTGAAGTATCCAGCCGTCAATAGCCACTTCGAGCCCTTCTCCTCGCCGAGGACGCGTAGCACCGTTGACAGCGCCGGATGTTCCGTGGAGATGTCAGTCGGATGCAATAGTGGTGTAAACTGTCCAACCGGGTATACAACTGTTTTTGCTACTGTCGGGGGTGTGTTTGCGCCTGTGGCCGGCGGCAGCATCAACGGGCCGAGCAGCGATGTGGCCGCTATCTTGAAACGCTCCGGTTCGTCGACTGGGATGGGTGCCGGATTTGATTCGGGCCAGTCCAAGACATATCCACCCACTTCCTCCGGCCCTGGTAGGACCCTATAACTTATGGAGCAGACAGCATTGTGTATCCGCTCAAAGTAGTCGGTCAAGTGTGGACAGGAGAATAGATGGTATCTGTCCTGACGGTTGGTGAAGTAGTCTGTAGAAAGGTTTGCCCTTCGCCATCGTGTTAGTCCGGTTCGGATTCGATTCGACCCCACAGCTACCAATGCCATACCCCGACATTATGATCTCATCATCGATACCATAGAGCTTCATGTGCTGCAGTCCCCATCCCTCGTTCAACCGGTTGGGCACAATCTTCTTCTTGAGGCCGGTGAAGTTCGGCGTGTGATACATCCTTATTGACACTCTTTCCTCGCCAAACTCTTCCACCAGAGGGGCAAGCAGAGAGGCACATGAGGCTTTTGGTGTCTCTCGGGTTCCTCGCAATGCATCCGAAAGAATTGAAACTTTCAAGCTGGGTTGAGACCGAAGGGCTTGCCGTAGGGTATCGATCTAATTCGTCAATGTGCGTGCACCGTCTGTTGCTCTAAGATGACCTAACCAGCTCGTGTTCGGTCTTTCCGATATATAACGTGGACAGGAATATCCGTGTCTTTGCCTTGAGTATCCGTTTCTATGGTTTTGATAAGCGCCCATTCATTCACATGAAATCCGCACACATCGTCTACCTTAAGTTCTGCATAGAAATCCGCAGGGCTCCTTATTATCTGGATCCTCTCTGCATCCACCTCGAATCTCGGAGCAATCTTATCGAGCTCATTCGTCAATGAACTGAGGATTGCAGCTGGAACTGCGGCGGTTGGTGCCGGTGAATGAGGCGGCCCTGAGGCTATGAATCGTTTCGTGCAATTGACACATCCATGCCGACCCAAAGTCGCCGGCAGACGCAGAACTGCAGGACGGAGACGAGTGACTATCATTGGCGGCCGTTTCGGAGTGGTTGAATGTATTCACCTCCGGTTGCCTATCCGGACCTAGCAATGTCGTCGTTGCACATGCTTAGATCCGGGTATTAGCTCAGCATTGTGTTACCCGGATATCGGGGGACGGGCATGATGCGCGCCAGCTGCTTCGACGCCACTAAACATCCCCACTCGATCCACGACTCCATCAGACACGTACGTTACGACCAGCTCCACCGCTCCTCTCTCAGCGCTCCAAGAGCTCCACCCGCTCACTGTTACAGCATGTCTACTCCCACCCGAACCATCAAGAACTTCTTGCGGATCGGACCCAAGCAAGCCTTCTGGCAGATGCTCGTGGGTACCCCAACGAATTATGGCGCGGCTACAGTTTCTGTTGCTCCTTGCTAACTGGCGTAGGGAATTGGTTTGCGCTCAGAAGTCGAGTGATAGCTCCGCAGCATTAACACCCGCTCTCAGGTGACACCAAGGCCGGAACTCTCGTCGGCACCGATCGCTTCGGCAACAAGTTCTACGAGAACAATAACGAGGAATTGCCCCGTCCGTACCCGCGTCCGAGTCGAATAGCGCCACTCAGCTGATCTCTGATAGTGCGAACCAAATGGGTCGAGTACAAGGAATTTGACTACGATGCGTGAGTTGGCCTGTCACGGAATGATCTGCCGGTGCGCTAACAGCTTCGATAGTGCGCACGTTGAGCCTGGATGGTAATGCGCCCTTCAAGTCCTCACGACAGCTACTACGACTAAGCTCTGACCTTCAACCAGGCACGCCTGGCTTCATTACCTCACGGACAAGCCTCCGAACGTTGACCCCAACATGATGCATCAGAAGAGGCCATGGGAAAAGCCCGACCACATTCCCAACCTCACCTGGACCCGCGGCGCATACAAACCATACTCCACGTGAGCACCCTAGAGCTCCCACGGCCCAATCGTGATGTATTGACAATGTGCAGTGTGAAGCCCAAGCTTTCGGAGTGGCAGCCTGTGGCACGGCCAAGGGAGTAGGGACTGTACCGAGCGGTCAGGCTTGGGTAGAGTGCCGAGAGTTCACCGATTCAATCGCAACCAGAGCTTCTGACAGGGGGGAGTTGTAGTGGAATTAAACCATGACACTTGTATATTTCGCTCATTTTTGAAGGTCTGAGGTTGTGTACGTAAAGACGAGTGATCCTATTTGCCGCCATGGAGGTTACACTCCTTCCCGTTGAGCTGTCAGACGAAATACATACATGATGTCAGAATGCTGCAGATTCTCGCTCCCCCGAGAGGCATGGCGATATATAAAGGTGCGAGTCGTTAAGTGGCTGTGACAAATAGACATCTTCACATGCCCTGGTACGCTGGGCGGTAGTCTCCGATGGCTCTTGTGGTCACCCGCGTCCATTATTCCTACCAACTCTGACTACATTTAAGAGCCCACCCGGGCGCCCTCACAAACAATCACTTGCCTTCTACGTATCCAGACAGGTATCATCACTCGTCAAAATGTTCAAGTGAGCGCTCTCACCAGCCAAACCAACCCTTCGTCCTCACTTAAATCCCATCCAGCTCTCTCTCCTCCATCATCACTGATGGCTTTTCCATGCTCATGGCTAGCGCCAACGTTCAAGCTGCTGGAGACCTGTGATCTGTCATAACGCCGACCCGAAGTAGGAAGATCGTGGAGCTGTTGGAGGTGGCCGTGGTTACGCTGCTCCCGCTCGCGTACCGAGTGCTGGTATCATCGTATCGGGACTTGAGCACTCGGAAACTGGGGCTCGTGTTTATCAAGTTCAGCAATATACGACTAGGTAGGCGGAATGGGTAGTGAGCCAGACTGCACAACAAGATTTCTTGGAAGCAGCGAGTCCCGCTATTACCACAGTAGCTGTCGAGAGAACCCCAATGGCGGCTAACCAGCGTGGCTCGCGCGGCGGTCGGTTGCTCGTGCCTCACCGCGCCCATATATATGCTCATGCGTAACCGTGCGCCACATCATCTTCAACTGTCGGCACCAACCGCGTTAGTGCGCGCAGGCTGTTTTATACACAATACCCTCATTGATTTATTCCGGTTCTTCGTGGTCAAATATACAACTATGCAACGACGTTCGAGGTTAATGCGCCCTTTGGCGGGCGAGAATATATACTCCTTGGAACTCCTTGCTCCCATTGGACGATTGGATGGCCAACGAGGTTCTCTAAAGGTAGATGCTACTCGCTCAGGATTCAATCCACATGCGGCGCCTTCGGTGCCTTTTTATATTGGAGCTAGAAGTTGAATGTAGAATACAAATCTTCACACTTTCGAATGGATTGGTTCATGAAATCTCGCTCGGCGTGATGCATACAGGGTGAGATACAATTCGGCTGGAACGAAAACGGACTGGGCTGACGTTCTCACATAAGCCGACGAAGCAGCGGAGGGATACCTCCCTACACTATGTTTGGTATGTACCATCGGAGCTTGCGGACATGGGGACCGCTCCTGCGCAGTGGGAAAAGAAAGGAAGGAGAAGAAAAAGGGGCAACGTCGGAAAGGTGAGTCCCGTCCTGAGCTGATAAGACCAGGGACAGGGCGTCATTTTGAACGTCTTCATCGGCTAGAACAGGGACGCCAGACCGCACATGACACGCAACCCGAAGAAGGAGTTGGGGGCGAGAGGCGAGGTGGAGGGAGGAGCCGGCATATATGTACTTATGTACGCCCATACCAGCCTTACCGTCGTATCCATCTTTTTTTGCCTGTATCAGCTCAGGCGGCGGAGAGAGGAAGTAGGGTGCTCCAACGAGCTAGAAAATGCTCATAGTTTTTGGCGTAAACCAACGGGGGTCGGGGGGGAGCAGAGGAGACGGGAGCAGGATATCCCAACTGCCACGATCAGAAACCCGCCGCATGGAAGGACGAAGAAAATAAAAACGATAAAATAATTCGGATAGTGCCTTCTTCCGAGTCCCGGTTCCGAGCGCATCTATCTACCAAAGTCCGAAGTCCGAAGCAGAAACGTGCTCGGAGATGTACCGCTAACTACCCCCGAGTGCTTCCCCCAGCCAATCGATTATGATCCGCGAAATCCAAACGTGTTTAGCCGAGCGATAGCGGCTGCGGCCTGGATCTGCGGGGTCATATGCCGCCGCCGCTTGTGCCTGCATGTGTCTTGTTTTCTGGCAGCTGAGAGTTACTTGGTTATGTATAAATGGCAACGGATTTTGTCCACGGGGTGAGCTCTCGCACTGGTGACTGCGCAGTGCTTCGATGCCAGCATATGCAGGGGTGGGTATCTGTGGCCAGGATTCTTGCAGGTTCTGCCATTTTTTCGAGCACTAGAATATACCGCTTTTCTTGCCGGTGCAGCTTGTATGTAGGACTGTCCGGTCCGCACGCCGCTCGCGTCGGGTTCATTGTTTGGCTGTCTGCTCGGAGTTCGGTTTGCGGTTGGAATTTGGGGAGGGAGAACTATATTAGGAGAATCAGAGGGATCAAGATCCGTAGTGGCTACTACCTTGTTGCATCTAGGACTACTCATACCGGCTGCCCTACGATTCACCAAAGAAGCGGGACTTTTCATCTTCGTAATGCACCTTCGCATCTGAGGGATTCGGACCAAAGCCTGTCACGAGATCTCACTCGTACACCTTCGACGTAATCCATTAGCTTCACGCCTTTTTGATGGAAACGGGGTTGTGGTCGCCATAGACTAAATAGGCCGTAGGCGACAATAAATTGATGGATGCGAGTGTTGGAGTAAACCCTGCTGATGCCTGGCAGCTGAGGACTCGGCAGTTGCAAGAATAGCGATTGAACAGTGGTATGGTAGAGTATCAAAGGAGCCGGATCTGCGCCGACTGTCTGTCATGTGCCAACTAAGAGCACTCTAACGTCGACGGATTGATTTTAGGATCACTATTTCTCTTGCTATGTACTCCTTGTGGCGGTGATCTCAACGTCTCCCACAGGAGTTGTAACCGGAAATGCGAGTGGCCAGAAGCCCTGGATTCGCAAGGAATGGCGGGTTCGATATGACCTTGATGCTGGCCCTCTGTGCTGGGAGCTGGGTTCCGGATGCCGATAGTACTTGGAGCGCTCTCGATGCCACAGAAGAAGAGATACAGGTATATACCGCCGCTGTCAAGTGCCTCCCTCGACAGTAAGCCGAGCGTCTCTTACAACACCAAGATCCTTGACGAAATACGTTTTTCGAAGGCTTTATGGCTATCCACAAAGTCCAAACACCATAGACACATTGTGGTAATCAATCTCGGGCCGGTTGGGGATGATTAAATGGCGGTCGGGCTGTCATGGCATTGACATTCCTCGGGCACCATCGGCTCTGCCGTCTAGTTACCGCCCCCTGCTAGTGTTGCCGATCACTCAAAGCTTGTCTCATGCACAGATCTTTTGATTCATCAGGAATCATCCTGCAGACGATGATGCGGTGAGCGACAGAGCGTTCCCGGAGCAGTACTTCTATGTAGCTCTAGGGCGGAGGCGGAGGCGGAGGGGGGAGATACCCCATTCTTCCCCATCGGCAGTGCTCCTCAAGCTACCACGGTAGTAGGCACCGCTCACTTTCCCCTACATGGGCATCATCCGGTCTCCAATGCTCTTAGGATTGTGATTGATTGACCACGATATCGAGGGATTCTGATATCGATAACATGGATGCGGGGCTAAGTAGCCATCTAGCTTCGGAGAATTAGCATGACAAATTACTATCTCGATAAGCTGCGCCGCAGCCAGGCGTAAAAGGGGGGGATACACGTATCCACTATGATACCTACGTACATAGGAAATCCCCACGGCTGGTGGCTTCGCTCCACAAACCCAACAGCCTGGAAGGTGGAAGTGGATGAAGGCTCAAATCTTGCTGTGAATTCTGACGCTTCCACAGCACTGCGCGCAGTCAGGGGAGTTAACTAGCCGTGCGCGTGCAGTCCCCTCCCTCCCTAATCCGGTGCATACATAAGTTTACCTATTCCCTTTGAGTCGGACAACATGGGAGACACAACTATCGGAATCATCCGCGAACCCCAGAGTCCGAGGGTTGCATATCTCCGAGCTCGGGGCGCCAGGCCAGCAAATCCGGGCGCCAACTAGATAGCCACCAACATCTGGCTCGAATGTTGTTGCTTCTCGGCTTCTCACTCGGGCTTGCGATCAGCGTGACGCCCATCAGCCTGCAAGTTCAGCCTTCAGGCATCTGCTGCTAATAATAACCGGGCAGGAGCCTGGGGCAGTAGGACTGGGCAGTGGGCAGTGAGCAGTGGGATGGGCCTGGGCTGTTCTTCCCCCAGCCGATCACGCGAGCAAAAAAAGCCCACAACTATTCGACTCGGCCTCTCGTGGTTAGCGGCGGCGGGCGTCTCCTCCAAAACGCTCTACTCGTTCTTGTGTGATGTATGTACCTACAAAGGCATTTTCGTACATGGAGAAAGTTCGGACGACCGTTTTCCCCGTTGCTACGGTAGGTACTACGGTACCACGGAATAAACTGGCGAAATTTCAAATACCTAAGCGGCCGTTTTTTGCCCTCCACGAATGTCGATATGTACATAGCCCACTCTTCGATCGCCTCCTCTCGATTCCCACCCCCACAAGTCGGATCATGGACGCGATGATGCATGCCCCTTACGTACGTAGGGCGCCACTAAGGGTAACTAAGGCCGCATACATGAGGACTTAACCACTTGGGTATGTAGCTGGCGCAGAAGGAAGCCGCTCCGATAAACGCGGCCCGGGCTTGCTTGGCCTGCCAGACTAGCAAGCAAGCGAGGCGTCGGATCTCGGTGACGAGCCACGGACGCGCTCAGGTGGTGGTCAAACTGGTAACTAGTAGTTAGTGGCCGCGAGCCGCGCGCAAGACGGTCGGCTAGGTAGGTATGTAGGCAGCCGTTGATGGGCGAGATTGACCGATTACCGGTATTTAGAGTAGAGTACCTACCTGTTCGATTGATAGGGCATTGGCACTCACTTTCGCGCGTAGAGTTCACGCCCAGGGACTGCTGGTTACATAGGGCGGAGTCTGATCGGATGTGCGGTTCCAGCGGTGCGGTGCGGTGCGGTGCGGTGGCTACGGCTATCGTAGGCTTTCATGTCAGGAGGTGACTGTGCCCGTCGGTATGATACTCTAGGTACCGATTTATGTATATTGTGCAAAGTGTGAAATGGTTTGACTTTCTTCAGTGGTATTAACGTTACTTAAAGTAAGTACCGATGTCATGTCGTCTTGTGGTTTCACGGACGGTTCGGATGAGGCGGATCCCGGTAGTTAACTGATTGGGAATGGCCGCTAACTGGTAGCTACTTGCGCACACACCACTCGAGAGTCACGGTGTATAGTCCCATATATATCGTGCTTGTCGACCACACGGACGACAGCAGTGAGCACTCCCTTGATTCTTCGGTCTACTATGAGGTGTGAAGAATGGCTGCTGGCTGTTGGCTGTTGGCTGTTGGCTGTATGCTTCGGTCTGCGTTTACTACATATTATACATACCACCCGTCACATCAGCGAATAGGTAGTGCAGCGCTTTCCCTAGGAGCTGTCATAAGCACATGTACCTACGCGTGTATGCATTTCGGGAATCTAGGTGCAGGTTCGTGCTCTCGTGTAGGTACATAGGTAATTCGGAGTATACTTCACGTACATATGAATACAGAATTCCTGGCGTGTGTATGGAGGTGGTTACAGTACATATATCCACACTCGGTTGCTCCGATTATTCTCCTCTTCCATTATTTACATCCTGTCCAGTGTTCACAGGCTTGCGGGTAGGAGTTCCTCGGTTGGACTCCTCGATCCGGTCGAATCCCTTGTAGATTTCTTTTGGAGATGTACTCTAAGAACGCCGAACAACTGGGTTGCTGCTGTACCTGCCGACAGAACCAGGCAATCCCTGAATTTCGGACTGCATGGACAGACGATGGGAATATAGAGACGATTAGTTACTCTCCGATATATAGTGGGCCAGAACATGTTCGGTCTCAACGTGGACACCGTGCATCAGTGGCCAGTAACGGCCGGGCACGTTAGGGGGGTGGGGGGGGGGGGGGGGGGGCTGTGCCCTGCTTCAGACAGAGTGAAGTGTCTGGGCGAGTATTCCGTTCTGCGTGCGCATTGAGGCCGAGCCATAGGGTCCTCCGCTATGGATGGAGACTTTTTCGGAGGTTTATAACCATGAATTTGACCGCCAACAGCAAAACATGTTCATTGTGGACCCTTCGTTCCTACTGCACGGGTTCCCTCGGCCTTCCGATACCAGCCGTCCCGAGGTATCGTGACGCGCGCCTCATTGATCAGGACACCCTCATGTACCGAATTCACGCCAACTACTACTTCCTTCCTCCTGGAAGTTTGTTCGCATGTACATATCGAATGTAAACTCCCACAGCGGCGACTTCGATTCGGCCATCCTCGTCAAGATTCTACGGGTACCGTCCGATCCCAATAGTGCCGCATATGCCGCCGATTGCCTTGAGGGAGAGGAGGAGACTTCCCCGTTGGATTCGGGAAGCCGAGCTGGTGCCAATCGTCCTAGAGCTGGCGCGCTTCCTCATCCTGGAGGTTACTCATCCCTGGTTCTCGAGCAAGAAGGTTTTTTTTTGATGAAGAAGAGACTGTCACAGGGAACATTAGCAGTTATTCTGGCTAATCTTCGGAAGAAAACTTTACTCATGGTGAAGGTGTGCTCATTGTATATGGTATGTATGTAGCATTATTATCGACCGAGCAGCGGCTCCAGGAGAGAAATCATGCCGCCGGGTATACGTAGCGAAGTCATGCTTTCGTGTGTTGCGGGAGGGATGGACGATTGTCGCTGTCGGCGCCGAGAAGATGGAATTCCATGGAAGGCATGGCCGACGAGAAGAGAAAGTGATATGGCTCGATCCTTTGTATCGTACATACCGGTATAGCCACTAGATCACTTCGGACGAGACACCTGGGAATTGTACCTGGAGGATGTCTTGGTACCTGAATACTTTTGAAGTGATCTACATACTTAAGTAAGCAGGTGGCACTTACTCTACAGCAGAGCGGCCGCACCAAAAGGAAGTGAAGAACTACTGAGCTAAACCCCACAAGCAGAAAGTGCACCAAAAGGAAGCGAAGGATCACTGGGCTACACCCCCACAAGTAGAATGTGCGCCAAAGGGAAGTGAAGAATCACAGACCTAAGCCCCACAAGTAGAAATTCAGGCCTTTGTTTTTGCAGTGTTCTCTGACGAATTCTTCATGCACGCTATCACTTTTGTCTGCAGCGTCGAGGGCGGCTTCTGTGAGTGGCCCAACACCCCGTTTGTCGCGTACTAGCCTCTTTTGAGCCAAGCCCCCAATCTCCTAGAAAAGCCTAGTCAAACCAAACATCCAAACGGAAGGTCGAATCTCAGTTGGGCGACTGTTCGCGTGGGTCGGGGATGCGGCGTTCCCCTTTTCCCTCGCTCCCTCTACTTCTTCTTCTTCTTCCCTCCACCCCCCGTCACCCTACATCCTCAATCCTCCTCCTCCTCCTCAATCTCTCTTCTCACCTCCGACCCCCCCTTCGCTCCTTTGCAAAACGCTCAGATATCAGCTTCACTCTTTCGCTGGTAGCTGAACGCCCGTCGCTCTCTGCAACCTAGCCAACCACAAACAACACCACGCTCGCTGCCTCGCCGATCGATCTACAAACTCCACCGCAACTCGGTCAATACATCATAGCTACGTCTTGGTCGTCGACGTACGTTCGTCCCACTCTCCATGTCTCTTCTAGCCGAACCGAGTTCCGCCCCAAGCCCCCCAAAGCCCATCCCTACAATTCACCCAACTATTCCCCCCTCGTGCCCTTTACCATGCCATCCAGTCTGACAACGCATGCAACCAACTATCATACCCAAGCTGGCGGTGCTCTGGCCGCGTCACCTTTTGTTCTCCCCTCATTTTCCCGCGTTCTCATGGCTCGATTTTACCTCTTTGTTCCCCCGCGCTGACCCGATGGCCTCTACCAGCAACTACTGTAGTTAATCACCACACGATCGTTACCCAAGACTACCTTCCGCCATAATAATAATCCTCCCCCCCTCTCCCCGCACACTCGCTCACTGCTCACGACCTGCCAAATCGAACCGTCCTCGCGTTACGTCTCGGCTGCTCGTGCTACAATATCCTCGTCACTCGATTACCGCACTACAATAATCGACAATGCCCGCTATAATTTCTAAACGCGATGGTCACCATGAAAGGGCTCAGGAGGGCTCTGGCCCCAGCTCCAACACCATGAGGGACCTTCTCATTACCCTCGTGGTCCTCGTAGCCTTCTGCTTGGTCATGTGTGGCACCCTTTTCATTCTCCGCCGCATCCGCCGTGCCCGCAAGGAGGCTGGAACCCTACCTTCCTACGATTCGGCTACCCGCAATCGCGGAAACCGCCTTACGATACAGACGAACCGCGACTCTACTTTCATCTTCTCGGAGAAGCAACACCTGATGGACAATTCCAGCCCGATGCCATTGTCCCCGGACAACGTCCCCGAGATCAGGATCACCTTCCCTGAAGAGGAGGATAAGGATGGACGCAGGGTCTCCGGACGTGTTGTCGTGGTTCAGGTTGGCGAAGCCGGCGTCGGTTTTGTCAGGCCGTTGGACCAGAGCAACCTCCCGCCATACCAGCAGAGTCGGCCACAAGAACGCTTCGATTCGGTTGACATTGATCGCATTGGTGGACTGAAGGAGATCAGATAGAGTGGTTGACGAAGCAATCGAAGGAGACGAAAATGATGGGGGCGTTCGGGGAAAGGTAAAGGGGGAGACGTGGAGACATCTTTGATGGTGGTCTCGCGCTGGTTCTTTGTTTAGTGGAATGCGAAAGGTTCTTTTCAAATACCATCAATGTTGGAGTCCCGGCAATTCTCTTCTGCTACTTCCATCTTGTTCATTTTTACCTCTGGTCATTTTTCAGGTAGGAATTTGGAGTGGTTTTTTTTTTTTTGCATCTTGACCGTTACCGTTACCGCAGTAACTAGTATTTCTCTTCTCTTGTGCCTTGTTAGGTGCCACAGTTTTTTTTTTATTTTATACAGCCCATTCACCCTTCCACTTTGTGCTTGTGTTTTAGTGCTGATTTGTTTTTTGCTTTGTTGTGTATTATGATGGGACTTGTTTTTTACGATTTGGGTGGGCTTTCCGTTGTTTTTTTTATTTTACTGTACAGGTGCTAGGACTTTAATGTCTGGTTTGGTTTGGTTTTTCGGTGGGAGATGGAGTGGGAGTGGGAGTGGGATCGGGACGGGACGGGCATGTAATCGGGGAGACGAGAGGGGGGCGGTGGGGGAAGGGAGGGAGGAAGGGAGGAGAAACACCCGGTCCAGCAGCGCGAGAAAGCAAGGCTGCATGTTCAGACTCCTACATACCATCCGAACCACCTAATTGTTCGACCGAGTGAGTTCATGCGATGATGAACTCACTCCACTCTAGAGTAAAGTCTACAGTGAATTTGGGATTTTCGCGGTACCTGCGTTCATTTCCAAGTCCTGTTGTTTTTTCCGACTCTACGTACATCAGCGCCGGGCGGAGGTGGGCCACTTTGCTCACACTCACTGCACTCGCTGCACTCATGGTGATATCTGGCTAATGATGTTGGAATTTGGACTTGGACTTGGGGAAGCATATCTATTTTTGACATGGATGGGATCTCTCTCTGATTCTCCCCGCCCCCCCCCCCCCCCCCCCCCCCCGGCCCTGGTAGTTACTAGGTAGGCCCTCCCTGCTGCCGTCAACGAACCGAAGGTCCGATGTGGAGATGACATAACGGGAGATCGGTGGCGAACTAACTGGGCTATATCGGGTGAGAGGTATGTACGATACGTAGAGTACAGTTTTGCCGGCCGAATAGAATCGGATACTGGGGACACCGAAAAAAAACTGATGAGGCGGTGAGGCGTGCGATGCACGCGAATGATATGCTGTGATGTGATCCGCGGCTGGCGTTTGGCGTTTGGCGTTTGGCGCGGTGGACGGTGTGCCAGCCCCAGGTCCAGGGGTAGTTACTGTGCATGGTTTCTCACTCGTATATGTTCGGCACGGGCGGGCGAGGGGGTGTTGGTCACTTTGCCTTCTGCCTTCCTGGCTCTGTTTCCCTGGTTGGTGCGCTATATGGCTTCGGGGGGAAGGGCCATGGCGGAAGATGGCGGGAGGTACGAGGAGCCGGCGCCGACTGGTCACTGCGGACTGGTCGAGGGAGGGTTTGATGGTGGACGACGGTGGATGGTGGATGGTGGACGGTGCACACGGAAAAACGCTATGTGTATGTATAGGTGTTGGCATGATCTAGACGGGTCACGGGCAATTAATTATTGAACCTGAAAAATGGGGGGGCATGATCGGGTGTAAAATAACCTACGGTCCAATGCGGAGGACCTCTGTATGGACGAAAACCGGTGCGGTGCGTGCGGCTGGACCTATCGTCTACGAGAAAAGCAGGATACATACTCCAGTCTCCATCGTTAGTTATTGGCAACTTTGCAGAAAAAAAGCCGGGAAAGCCGAAAGCGTGTTGCTCGAATTTTGATTCGACGGATAGATCATGGATACATATGTATGTAGATAATAGATCCTGCCGAGGTTTGTCATCAATCAATCAATCAATCAATCAATCACTCGGCAGGTCATGCTAGGTAGTGTAATGTGCACATGGGAAGCGCAACTCTCGCCTGGGTTCACTGCGATTCGATCTGTGGACCATATTTTCCCCGAAAACCAGCAAAACTATATGTAGCCATGCTCACCTACGATGCGCACCACCCTATCGACCCAAGGAAGTGACCAGGGACCTGTCCGCGCTGTCAGACAAGTTTTCCGCGGGGTGCACGCACGTAGGTATCCATCCGCAAGGGGGTAGTTCAGTAGGTAGGTATTTCATTTACGATGGAGTAGAGCGAAGGGGAGGGAGAGCCAGGTGATTCCTAGTTATGTACCTAGGTAGGTGTCATAGGTACATACATAGGCGGACCACAGGCGGACCAAAGTCGAAGACGGACCGTTCTGTGACGGAGCGATCGAAGAGGAGCCATATTTTCGTGGTTGGACGGAATGACAGGCGATATGTATGACCATTGATGTAACACCTTATGTGGTCCGTGCTCGGGCACTTGGAGTGGTGGTAATGGTGCTCGGTAAATCTCGGTGGTGATGGTGGGCGCGGCGGGAGAAGGTTGAAGACTTGGAGTTGGCAGCTTCATGGATGGCGTTGCGGGTGCTTCCATCAGCCCACTGGGTACAGAGTTCATGGGCTATGTATGAGGGAGGAATCCACGACATACATGGAAGCAAAGTCCACCATTGTTGACTGTTGCAGCCACATCGTGAGCAGTAGAGTACATAAATTATCACTCGACTACCGAAGCTTTGGGGAGGGAAAGAACACGACTTCCATCCTGACCAATCGGTAAGGTTGCCGAGCGCCGTAGGTACCTGTACCCATCATGCAGTGAATAAGGGACTACATACCCCCCTTCACTCGGTTACCTCGCTACTCCTTGGATGGGAGTACCCGCGGTTAACTAATGTTGTGGACACCTCCGGAGTCGAGTTTGAATCGCTGCGCGCACAGGATCCACTACCACCACTACTACTACTAACACCACGCACCTCCTCCTTCTCCTCTGCGTACTCTCCAGCTCCAGGCAGACGTCAAAGACTCGAAGTGGCTCATCTCATCTCATCGGGTGTGCGTGCGGCAGCCTTATGGAAATACCCACCTACATACATGTCGGTAGTTGCAGGGTACATACTTCTTACCTACATAAAGGTCAGGGCCCAGTCAGGGCGATTGTGACCGACCAAGAAGTATATATATACCGCCAACTGACGAGAAGTTAAAGGAGAGTAGAGGAGGAGGAGGAGGAGGAGGAGGAGAAATGGGATTACGGTGATTCCGAGTTCGAGTTTGACTTCGAGTTCGAGTTATGGTGGAAAGGGGGTACCTACATACCTCCCTACCTACATAATGTACCCAGGGGGTGGGGTGGATAGGTGCATGAACTTCGGGAAATAATCCGAATGCGACGGTGACGGTGACGGGTGCGGAGTGCGGAGTGCATCGAGTACCTATGTACCTACCTCAGGTATGTACACTGCGGGACTATCTGGTTGCATCCGTGGAACTTTGGCAAGACGGCTGGATTGGATACTAGGTAGATAGATAGGTGCCCGTGGATGGCTGCTGTGGCCCTGTGGAAGTTGAGATACCTACAGTAGGTACATACATAAGTTTGGAGGTTGGAGGGCTCGACTGTCGGACTACTGCGTGACTGAGCAGCGCGGGACGCTGTGATTATCCACATAATGTAGCTGGTAGCCTCACTCGTCACGAGGGACGAGGGAAGAAGAAGAAGAAGAAGTAGGCCCCCCATCTTGTGCAGGGGAAACAGTCTGACTCTGGCTCTGACTGTGGCTCTGACTCCAACTTCAATTCCGCCTCCAACTCGAGCTCGGACTCGATCCTGCCCCCGCCGCGGCAGGCAGGGCAGGGCAGAGAAGGGAAGTCAGCACGGCCTCAGCCAAGGGCCAGGCAGCCACGCGAGGGGACAAATACCTAACAATGGGAAGCACCCAGTGGTTTCCGCGGGCTGGCATATGTTTCGAACCAGAAGCAGCCGTATTAAGCGATCAGTGGTCCGAGTTTTGACGAGAGCTTTAATCCCGTCTTGCCATGTGGATGTAGAGACGAGCGGGGGGGGGAGGGGGGGGGGGGGGGGGCTGGTGGAGACGAAGTACCTAGATGAAGTAGATGAAGTAGATGAAGTAGATGAAGTAGATTTCCGAGTCCCAATATCGGCTGGCTGGCCGTTGGGGGTGTGAAGGTCCCTCCATACCAAGGGACGTCGGCAGCCGTGTTTCGTTGAGCGTATACATACCGGCCTGTATCTCCATTGCCGTCGTAGTCGTAGTCGATGCGTGAGCACTCCTAGGTATGCTACATGTAAGCAAATAACGGATGCGTGGGTAGTAACCAGTAGCACAAGAACGTACGCACGTACGTACACACACGCACTTTAGGTTCCAGTATCGCGGAATCATCGCGGAGTCACCGACTCATCGGCGCGAAAGCATCAATCGTGTCATACCCCATACGATAAGGTAGATGAGATGTAAGTCCACACATATAAGTACCCGCCAGGCCATGAACACACGTAGTACGTACTCGAGTACATACACAGCCAGAAAGAGGAAGGTTCCATCGACTGACTGAGTCGAACACTAACAGCAACAGTTACATGGCATGGCGCACCGGAACCGGAACCGAAACCGAAACGTATTGTACTCTACATGGGATTATAGGTAGACGAGTGATACTTGGTGCTGCTCAGCGGGAGGAAAAACAAAAAATAGTAAATAAAAAACAAAACACAAAAAACAAATTAAACGCCGGCGTGATTATGGTGTTCAGGGGGAGAAGGGGGGTAGGGTGCTACCAGAGGAGGGCCCCTTCTCCAGCATCCAGCGTCCAAACCCCAGCACGGGTCCACCGTCCGCCCATGATATGTACTCTATACCTAGGAAAAGCATGACTGTACACAGGCAGGGTGCATTCGCTAGACGGACGGACGCAACCAGAGCAGGTACATAATCTAGCAGTTACTTTGGGAGTACCGTGGAGTACCGTGGAGTAACTATCGAATGTATCAACTGCCGCTCCGGCGTTCATTTGGCAGGCAGTTGGCAGTTGGCACTGGGCACTGGGCACTGGGCACGTGGCAGGTGCCACTTATCTTCGTAACTTCGTTATTCCATGATGCTACTGCCGCTGCCGCTGCCGCTGCCGTTGCTGTTGCCGTGCCGCTGTCCATGTCCATGTACAGACTCCACAGAGCCACAGAGCAATCGGGGCAAACGGCGTAGCATACACAGAGCAGAGCAGAGCAGAGCAGAGCAGAGCAGAGCAGAGCAGAGCAGAGCAGAGCAGAGCAGAGCAGAGCAGAGCAGAGCAGAGCAGAGCAGAGCAGAGCATTGACTCGACATCTGTAGAGATGCACGGTACTAGAGAGGGCGTCTGGGGGAGGGTCCGAGATAACTTCCCCGTCCGCTATGTATTGTACCTACTCCACTCTTTCCTTGCAAGTGTCACGGTGGCATAAATACTCCACATAGGTATATGCAAAGGCGGGACAATCCAGTGCACCACATAACTAGAGTCCAACCACAAGTTTCACATGACAGATAGTTAGAGTTATGTAGTTAGGGTGTGTCCCCCCCTCCCCCTCTTCAGGCTTCCGCCCCCTCCCGCCAAAAAAAAAAGTTGAGGGGACGAGCTCGAGCGGGGGTTGGTTTCGGCCAGAAATCGTCAGCGTCAGAGTATTAGTTAGTTACGACTCACGAGGCAGCATGCCGAATTCCATTCAGTTCATTTGCTCCCGCAACCGGGGCCCCAGCATACGGTATGTAGGTAGGTAGTAAGTAAGTACTCGTTGCGTACTCAGCAATCCGCAAAAGAGGAGGAGTGCTTTTTCGGTTGGAGACAGCGGGAAGACCAGTGACCACACGTCCGAAATATACATAGTACCTAACTAGCATTGCTATTACATAGCATTGCTTGCTTGGAGGCGATCCTCAATGATGCAAGCGCAACGGGCCCAAGTACTCCGCCCCCGCCTCCGCCGTCTGGGGTTTGCAGCGTTTGCAGCGGCAGTCTTTGTTACCTACCTAGGTAGTTAGCCAGCCACATACCGCAGCGCAGCGCAGCACGGCCCCACCGCGCCGAATCCTTGCAAATCTTGCAAATCTTGCAAATCTTGCAACAAGAGCAGGCAGAGTTCAGCTTGGGATATGCCTCAGCATCCTGGCCCTGCATCCTGGGCTATGTATGGGCTAGAACCGCAGAGAAAAAAACAACGAGACGTTTGGCATGGCGGCCAGCAGCAGGCAGCGAGGAAACGTGGTTGGATGGCCTGCCTTGGGGTTTCTTATGGCACCCCTGCCTTCGTCTCACAGGGAGGAGGATGAGGATGAGGATGAGGAGGATGAGGATGATGAGAAGGAGGAGGAGGAGGAAGATCAAGAAGATGAGGATGATGAGAAGGAGGAGGAGGAGGAAGATCAAGAAGATGAGGATGATGAGGAAGAGGAGGAAGAAAAGGAGGAAAGGGAGGAAAAGGAGCAGAGGAGGAGCAGAGGAGGAGGATTGGAAGGAATGGAAGGGAGGACGATGAGGAATGGAAGGAAGGGAAGGATGCATAAGGCAGGCTTTGCGAGTGTAACGATAGCCTCCCTTTCGACTGCCTGCCTGCCTGTTTGCTTATCCACGCCCTGGCTGTTGGTGGCTTGGACGTGTTGGACGACACACAGGTACCGTAAGATACTTACGTGGGTATTGTGTCGGCGGAGTCGGAGGGCACCAGAGATGGGGGCTTTCCAATAAAAGGCGGAGGATATCAAAGAAGGAGGCGCACCAGTGAAGGCAGAGGGCACCAGAGAAGGATACGTTCCAGCGAAGGCGGAGGGGGCACCAGAGAAGGAGCCCGCTCCAGCGGAGGCGGTCGCTCGTATTCCGTCGAGCGTGCGTTCGGGGAGCCCTCTGGCCGAGCCCGGATTGGTGGCATGCGCAGCAATGAATCGGCAGCATCTTGCTGGTTGAATCGGGCAAGCACAACGGTTCGGGCTAGCCGGCCGTATGGACGGTTTCTGCAGCAGTAGCAGCAGCAGCTCGATCGACAACCATACGAGTGGGAATGCTGCGTCGACACAGCGTCTCATCGATCTGCTGCGACCGTCGGCTGGTGCGATGTGGTATGCAAGAGTCATGTCTTCGCACCGCTTGACACGTAAGGCGGTAGTCTGAAGGCATTACGCATCTGCCGGATCCTGTCATTGGGTTGAGCCGACGCAAGAGCTTACTGGTTTACGACGACGTACCTCTTCGATAGGCGGACGGTTTCCGAGGGATGGGCAGGATGCCTAATGTTCGGCGCGCCACAGGCCAGGCGAGAGCGGTCGAATGAGCACAGGAAGCCCGGGAGGGATTCCGAGTCATCGGAGATAGGGATAGACGCACCCCATCGATATGAGATGGTGATGGTGGTGGTGGTGGTGGTGCAGAAACGTGGACGGGTAGGATTGCGGCCGCCGGACTTCGAACTGCTGGAGATTGATCTCTTGCGCACGAAGGGCTCGATTACGACCTGGCCGCCGGAATTCGAGCTGTTGGAGATCGATCTCTTGCGCACGAAGGGGCTCGATTACGACCTGGTCGCCGTCATGTTGGATCTATAGAAATGCGGACGTCAGCCAAGTACTGACATATTTATGCACACGACTGAGCGGATATCCCGTATATACTCCGGACATGAGGGGATTGCGTCTCATGCTCGTAACTGCCAAGTCTCATCGTGTAGCGTTCCCTTTTGGACCCGCAGTCCCGTATACCCGCTCCATTCAGCCACTCCCGCACCGACATATCGTCGCTTCACTCTTCCAGAGGCTCTGCTCGAGATGATAAATCAATATACGGCCTTACTGGAATATGGCTCTGCTCACGATGCAGGAGAGAGAGGGATCATCAATGTACCGTTGCATGCGCACGATCAGTGTTTTTTTCTTCTTCCTTTTTTTCTTTGTTTAAACATTGATTCTCTGACGATCCATGTTTTTTTGGAGGGGGTTTCTTTTTAATAATCATTGAGTATCTCACGATCCATGTCGAACCGCAATCGCAGCACTTCCTTGTGCTAACGAGTGATGGGAAGTGAGTGCTTAGTTCCAGCCCTTCCATTAGGCGTTCGAAGAGGGCCGTCCAATGTGCCGAGCTCTGACGGTTGATTCTAGAGCAAGTTACGGTATCTATACCGATACACTCGTCGATCTGTGATCTAGCAGCAGAAACCGGCGGGGGTTCTCGTCTGTGACACGACAACTACTTGGGTGTATGTACCTACAGGAGAATGGCGAACGGCCGTCGAATGGCAATGCAGAATCCGCCATCCTGCGCTGTGCTGCTCTTCTCGCTTCCCCCTCATCCATCCCAAGCGGAGCTACCTAACCCACATACATCACATACATGTCTGCCAATCGGACAACTATTTCGGTAGGCACTACTGCAGCCTCGCACACCCGCCTTCAGATCAGAGCGGGAAAACATCTGGAGAAGCTAACCCAGTAACCACCACCACAGTCCACTTATTTCCGAGCACACACCTTGCTCACACACACCACGGCCCACGGACCACGGACCACTGCGTGCTCTGGATCCCAGGTCGGACAAAGAAACGTACGGGCAGAAAAAAGGGCCGTGGTTGCTGCCGTGATGGTCTCCGATGGTTGGAGATGGAAGAAGAGAGAAAGAAATGCAAGCACCAACCCAGGCAACCCTGCTTTGCAATCGCTCAGTTGCTTCTCCGCTCCCCCCACTTTTCCGTGCACTTTAACCTATGCCGTCGCCGGTTCAACTTGAACTTGAACTTGAACTTGAACTTGAACTTGCCGTGATATGGGCCGTGGACATTCAGCAGGCGGCCATCGTCACAAGAGGTGGAGGTGTGGTAGGCAGATTGTTAGCTGCCATATTCTGCAGCCATCTTCAGTCCTTACATATTGCGGTTTGCTGTGCATCGCTCTCGGAGGGACACTGCATTCATGGCCGGCCACAGCTTTGGCCCGTGGCCGTCCAGTCTGACTTGACTGTCCACGCCTTAGCACGGTATTTCCGAGAACAAGAGGGTGGATGAGAAGTACCTAAGGTACCTAGTGCTACTTCTTCGTGCTGAAACCCGTTTGCATCGAAATCACCCCGCCCACCCACACCAACTACCAGACCTTCCTTTCTTCCTCCTTCCCGCCCTGCCTTACCACTGACACATTCGCATTCTCACCCATACTCTCAGCATCTACACTCAGCATCTACACCGCAGCATTTACACTCATATCAAACAACATCACACCAAACAACCCTACACTACCGTCGACGAAGCCTACCTTTTGGATCCAGACATCGGCATCTTCCCCGCTACCGGCGCCTTCGTAGTAGGCTTCCTCAACGCCTTGCCTCACCGTCAAGCCGGTCCTTTCCAGCTGTTCGGAGTCCTACCCCTTGCATTTCATCGTCGGAACTCTCACCGCATGACTACAACTTCAACCTGTTAAGCATTCAATCGGGCGGAGGGCCGGTCACCACGCTGTCTGTCGGCATTTTGGAAGCCTGGCTGCTGTGTTCGGACTGCTGTTGATATTTGCTGCGTTGCTGCTCGCTGTTTGAATACCATTCGATTATCTCGTCGGCCTCACTTCTCGTTCGGAGCGGTTTCCTCGAGAGTCGACATACCTATTCCAAATTCTCATTCTCACAGCCAGCTTGCACCTTACTCCTTACCTAACATTCCTGCCCCCAATTTCAATCCGACTCTTGCACTACACGCATATTCATCTACCTATCACTCATTCCTTGCAATCACCGAAACACCCCCCTCCTCGACTGGCCATTCAATCAATTGCTGCACCAAACCTAACTCACCTTCTCACGTCTCGAACCGGTCAGCCTAGAACGGAAAACAATAGGCAACCATCCCAAAAAGCAACGACCAGCGTCATCCTTCCTCCCCGCTTCCTTTCCAGAGCTTCCTTTCACATCCTTTCAACCCTTCCATTCGCAGCAAATCTTTTTTTCTTTCTTTCTACCCAGCGCCTGCAACTCGCAACTGCAAATCGGGAAGCCTCTCTTCAAGCAAATCACATCGACATCGCCTGCGAGAACTGCACTACTGGGTGGGACCCTCCGCTACTCGGTAAGCTTAACCAATTTTACCGACCGATTTCGCGTGGGGATTTTTGTCGAACGAGGGTTGCCGTCGAACGAACATAGGGCTGACACTAGACCGTGCTCTGTAGTTTCGGCCCCGCTCCATCACCCAGCTCGAACAGCGACGCGTATCATCCTCCTGCTCCTCCCCCCACCTCGGTCCTTTGTACAAACCCACGTCGCACACCGAATCTTTGTACAAACCGAACCTACCAGTAGTGCTGGGAATCGATCGAGCTATCGTCCTTCTTGCTACCCTCTTCGACAACACCGCCCGATACCCTGCCTCGCGACACACTTCGTAAGCTCCGCCTGCATTTTCTCGACACCTCGAAAAACTCGGAAAGAGCAAGTGAAACAAACGTACATCGCACTACTTCCGCGACATGGCGGATCATCAGACCACGGCAGCTTCGCGTGCTGCGGCTGGCACCAGCAATGTTCGTTGCGATCCTCCCCCCGGTCCGCGACAGCCGCAAACGAGTCGGGCAAGGACTGACAATGCGATTCTAGATGAGAGGAGGTCGATTTACAGACTTCACCCGATCGCCCGGCGCTTCGATCGACGAGACCACGACAGCTTCACAAGCTCCGTCGCAAGGGCTTCCGAACAACCCGCCGAGCTGGACGATCTGGGGATCGCCTCCCGGAGCCGGCGCCAGCAGTAGTCTCGGAGGTGGCTTTGGCGGTGGTGGTGGTGGCGTGACTGATCGTAGAGGTATGTCGCATGCACACTCTCCGGTTTGCTAGGAATATTTTTCACTGACTTGCAGCACAAGGTCCCGGGTCCGACGATTCTTATCCCCCGCCTGGTGCTTCGGCCGGCGCTTTCGATGGAAAACAAGGTTCATCGGCGCTGCTCGAAAATGACACGTGGAACAAGTCATCAATGTGGTCGGGAGAAGCAACGTCGCCCGGAATCACCAACGTGGCTGCAGCAGATCTCTCCCGGTCTCCCGTCAGGATGCGCACGAATCCAAAATATGAGAGTCCCAAGCAGTCGACCGAGATTCCTAGGAGCTCATCACCTTTCTATCCTATGCCTAGACAGGCAGCCGTCGGACGCGGGACAACCCTGACGCAATCCCCGGGTAGCAAAGGATACCTAGACCCTTCGTCCGCCAGCTTCGGAGATGCCTTGGACTTTCAAAACAACCGTGGGCGACCCATGGAGATGGGTCAGTTTGGGGGTCAACGTTTCGGTGGCGCCAACAACACTGGTGGTGGACGACATCTGGGGTCCGTGTTGGCGGGTGCTATGGAGAGCGATGAGCACAATCAGCTGCGTAGAGGGCGTGGTCTCTCGAACTCTCGAGGGATCGTTCCCTCTGCCGATCACCTGAACACTGCTGGCCGTAGCGAGAGCCTGCCCCCTCAGCAGCGCGCGAATTCGACCCCCCCAACTTACAACCCGGATCAGTCACCACCACCCAACGGTGCTGGCTACCCTTCATACACCCACATGCCGACTTCCCACGGCGGAGCCCAGCTCGGTGGCCATCCCCTTCAAGGGCAGCCCTACTCCCAAACCAGATACCCGGAACTGAGCCGTGAGACCCGGAACGCCGAGATGATCGCCCAGGTCAGTCAACTATCCGTCGAGGACGACGGCGACCTGTACCAGGGAGCCAGGCAGCGGCCTCCGTATCCTGCATTCACCACGCAGACGCCGCCCACCGGCAATATCAATTACCCGCCGCAGCCGCAATTCGGGGAACTTGCGTACCAGAGACACGCTGCCCAGGGATCGCATGGCTCGTCCCCTTGGTCTCCCGATGAGACTCTCTTCCGTGGACAGGATCAGTACAACGATCAGTTCGGTGAATTCGGAGATGGTTATGGCGAGCAGCGCATTCGGTCCTACGAGCGCAATGGGGCGATGTCTCCCGGTGAGGACTACAATCGGAGAAGTTTGGGCAGCCCGTACTATCCAGCTGGAACTCCGCCCTCCGGCATGGAAGGCATTCGCTCTCCCTCTCGTGGAGGCTCCACCAACCGTACGCCGTCCGGTCAGATTGGTCTCCATCCAGAAAAACTGCGTCAGCAGTTGCTGGTGACGCAACAACAGCAGCAACAGAACCATCATCCGGCGATGCTGATGCGTGACTCGTTGTACCGTTCCCAGCAATATGTGCCAACGAGTGGCAACTACGACTATACTGGCGCGTACAGCAACACCAGAATGCAGATGCCCACGTTCCCCGGATCGATGAGTCCTCTGATGGGTCCAGCGCAAGCTGCACCACCCAGGCGTCACGATGACTTTGGTAGTTTGAGGAGTGCCCTCCTCGAAGAGTTCAGGTCCAATTCGAAGTCGAACAGACGCTACGAGCTGAAGGTAACAATCACACCTGCCCCGTGTATTGGAGCACCTCGATACTGATCCGACACGAGTAGGACATCTATCAGCACGTTGTGGAATTTAGCGGCGACCAGCATGGATCTCGCTTCATCCAGCAGAAGCTCGAGACGGCCAACAGTGATGAGAAGGAAGTCGTATTCAAGGAGATACGCCAGAACTCTCTGCAGCTGATGACCGATGTATTCGGGAACTACGTGATCCAGAAGTTCTTCGAGCATGGGAATCAACTGCAGAAGAGCATCTTGGCAAAGCAGATGGAGGGCCACGTCTTGACTCTGTCGCTGCAGATGTACGGATGTCGCGTAGTCCAGAAGGTACGGGGTCACCCAGGGGTGTCAACACAGCGAACGATGGGCTAACGTTTTCAATAGGCTCTCGAGCACATATTGACGGATCAACAATCCACCCTGGTAAAAGAGCTTGATGGCCATGTTCTCAAATGCGTGAAGGACCAGAATGGCAATCACGTGGTCCAAAAGGCCATCGAACGGGTTCCTGCCGAGCACATCCAATTCATCATCTCGGCATTCAAGGGCCAGGTCCAGACTCTTGCAACCCACCCGTATGGCTGCCGTGTGATTCAGCGCATGTTGGAACACTGCGATGAGGAAGCCCAAGCCTCTATATTGAAGGAACTTCACGCCTGCACCTTTTCGCTCGTCCAGGACCAGTACGGTAACTACGTGACCCAGCATGTGATTGAGCATGGCAAGCCGGAGGACCGCGCGAAGATCATTCAGATGGTCACCGGTCAGCTCTTTCAATTCTCCAAGTAAGGATATTCTCTCTCTCAGCTCCGCCGATGAACGTTACGCTGATCGTGGTGCGTTTCAAGACACAAGTTCGCGTCCAACGTTGTTGAGAAGAGCATAGCCTTTGGGAATGCGGAACAGAAGCGTGAGATTGTTAGAGCCGTCACAGCCCTGCGTCCTGACGGTACTTCACCGTTGCACCTGCTTATGCGGGATCAATACGGCAATTACGTGATCCGTACGTTCCACCGAAATATTGCTTTCTTTCTTGCTGCATAATTCTAACAAACGTTGCAGAGAAACTTCTTACGCTTCTCAGTGGCGCCGATCGTGAGACGCTCGTCGAGCAGATCAAGCCGCAGCTCCAGGCATTGAAGAAGTTCACGTTCGGAAAACAGATCAATGCCGTACGCCCTGCCCGGGTCAAGCAAACGAATGGGACTAACATGGCGCAGATTGAGAAATTGATCTTCAACAGCGCCTCTACTCCCCAAGCCACTTCACCCCTGGAGTCGGCACTGACCACGCCTCCATTGCTCACCACTGGTTGCCAGTCGCCAGATTCCTCAGTAACCCCCTCCACGGGCACTAGTTCGGCCGGCGAAGGACTTCCCGCGACCCCTCCCAAGCCTGCGGCTGGTGGAGTCGAGGTTCAGATCGACGGGCCCTAGATCATGGGGACAAAACGCCTTCTGCCCTTCTTTTCTTTCCTTTGCTCGGTTTCCTGAATGATTGTCGTCTTGGGTTGGGGATAGCGATTTGTCTGCTTTGCTGATTGTTCTCTGCTGCATTACTACGGGCCACTTCATATTGTCTTGAATTTTCATGCGCTGGGTCTATCTACTTGTATCTACGGCGCGCACGGGGTCATGTGGGTAGTTTGTCTGGTTGGTTGGTTTGGGGGGGGGGGGGGGGGGGGTTACATTTCGGGCTGTTTTCTGTTCAATTCTGTCATGATATCGTTACCTTTTCATCTTCACACTTTCTGTGTATCTTCAGGCTTCCACTTACCATGGGCTAGCCACACTTGTTTCTTGTCTATTATTAGGGCTTTTCCTTTTTTCCCCTTCTTTTTTTTTTTTTTTTCCCTTCTATATTGGCTTTTCCTTTTCCTTTTTTTATTATCTTCAGCGTCTATTTTGTCCCAGGTAAAAAAAAAACGGACTGTTTGGGGATTTGCCTATCTTTTTTTTCTTTTCTTCTCCTTCTTGTTTGTCTCATACCCATACTAGCTTTTTTTTTTGAAGGTACATACATTATTTTTTAGGGGCACCTTTTTTTTTCTTTCTCTTTTCTCTTTTCTCTTTTGGTTTTGGTTTTTTTTTTCCTTTTCCTTGTGTTTGGGATTGGGGATTGGGGATTGGGGGGATACTTGGTATGGCATATTGGTTTACGATTTATTCAGTCAGGGTCTGGCCGTGGAAAAGAGACAGTGAGAGAGAGAGAGAGAGAGAGAGAGAGAGAGGGAGAGGGAGGTTGTCATAGACCGAGGAGAGGAGAGGAGAGGAGAGGAGAGTGGCAGAGGAGAGCAGAGGAGAGGGGAAGGGGAAGGGATGGGAGATTGTGTGTGCGTTGTTTAATTGTCATTGTACAGACGGAAATCCAAAAATTCGGCTTTGGTGGTTTGATTTGATTGTTTCCTGATTGTTTCCGCAAGACTGCGGCTGCACATGTGAACGAACGCGGGGTTTTGGTTGATGGCGACATCCAACACAAGTACCCTACATGTGGGACTGGAGGTGTTGCGGGATATATAGCCATGCAAAGCCCGGCCGGCAGTGGCTATGCAGCATCCATCCATCACTTGCACCCTCTCTCTCAGCGGTGCACACTAATGCAATTATGCAACGGCCGGGAGGGGGGCCCACTGCTCACTGCCCACTGCTCACAGCTCACAGCTCAGGCGACCAGACCAGACCAGGTGCCGAAACACCTAATACACGGACCCACTGCTCCCGCTCCCGCTCCCGCTCGGCAGCAAGCGGGTTTTCTTTTCTTTCTCTTTCTTGCGAACCCGTCCAGCCCAGCTATCTGGGCTGGTTATGTATGTATGTACATATGATGAGTGTACATATGTGTGTATGATATGCAAGTCCCGCCTCCCGCCTCCCGCGCCGTTGCAGACTTGCAGTCTTGCAGATCACCTGCCTTGTTACCTTGTAGTGTCTCGCAACCGGATACGGTACATACATACATACATAGGGCCGGGGTTTGACACTCGCTTCCGCTTCGCGCCTGGGGTTTCGCGGTGCGGTGCGGATGCATGGCGATCATCCGCCGAGAGAGGGGGGGGGTTGTATATATGGGTAGAGTGCTTTTTAGATTGCCGGGCTTGCATGGTGGATCACTCGGATGTTCCAAAAGTTGTTCATTAAACGCCTAAAATACATGAGTGCCCCGTTTCGCCATAGTCCAGATAGGCTGTATGCGAAATAAACTGAAGATCTCTCTCTCTCTTACATGAGTGCCCCGGGTATCCCGCACCCCTCCTTTTAAAAAGTGTGTACGTAATGTACCGTACCGTATTTACAGCTTATGTTTCTTCTGGCCACTAGCGACCTTCGCGAATTCCGCCTGAGGAATCCCCCTGATGAACCTCTCGACGCCGGTGACGGCCTCGCGCACATTCGCCGCCTCCAGCTCGCGTTCCCAGCCCTCTCGCACCAACTTCTTAACCTGCATCATGCTCTCATGGTTGAGGTGGGGACCAAACGCATCGTCTATATAATCCCTGACATCCTTCGCAAACGTTTCGCGCGGAAACACCTTATTAACGAAGCCGCACTGCAGCAGCTCCTCGCACTGAATCCTCTTACTGAGTATGAGCGCCTCATTGGCCCTGGCAATGCCCATGCGCCGCACAAACATGTAGCTCGCGCCGCCCTCGGCGACGAGCCCCAGCGACGTAAACGGCGTCAGCACGAATGTCTGCGGCGTGGCGTACACGAAGTCGCCGAACGCGACGATCGCCGCCGACAGCCCGACCGCGGGCCCGTTCAGTGCGAAAATCAGTATCTGCGGGTGCGTAAATAACGCCCGTGTAAGGTCGATGTTGTTGGCCGCGAACCGCCGGAACCAGTACCCGCCGCGTCTCGTCGGCTGAGGAGGACGTCGTGGGCGCCGAGGCGTCGGTTGTGGTCGAGGTCACGTCCGCGCCGCTACGGAGGGGGGGGGGGTTAGCGATGTGTGCGTGCGTGCGGGGGGGAGTGGCCTATGTACGCGGAGAAGAAGCGCCCCGTGCCAGTGATTATGGTGATCGATACCTCGGGCATCGCGGCGATCTGCCGCAGCATCGAGCCGAGCGCGAAGTAGCCGTCGAGGTCGAGGGCATTGAGCTTTTCGGGGGAGTTGAGGGTGATGGTGGCGATGTTCTGGTGACGGTTAGCTACTGGTAACTAGAGCTCGGGGGGGTGTCCGGTGTAACTGGGTAGTTGGTACCTTGGTGACGGAGAGCTCGACGGGCGCCATGGTTGCGGTTGTGTGCGGTGGTGGTGGTGCGGTAGTGGTGGTGCAGTGGTGTTGCTACGGATCGATATGGACAGACGGAAGGACGGACGGACGGTTACAGCGAGAAAGAAGAATCTGTGGGGGTCTGGGGAGCTTTAAGACAGCATGCTCCGTTCCTGGTGCCCATCGCCGGCACTGGAGCGGGATACCCGTCGAGCTGGGATGCGGTGCCTCGGCTGGAGCTGATTACCCGTGATATTGTGGCTGTGGTGGCGCATGGAAGCAGCCTGCTAGCCACACGTTGATGCTGATAGGGAGAAAAGTGGGAGTTCAACACTGCTCTGGATTTTGAGATCATAGGCTGCACTCGCAATGGTTGCGCCGTTCGTGGAGCGTAGACACTGGCCTGACGGAGAAGAGGTCATTCATATTCAATCACTCGAGGACCATGTATGAGCATAGGTGACGACAATGAGAGCGATGCTCTCAGCCTTCCCGAGACGGAACCGATCTATACCGAGACGTAGGAACACTGAAGCTTGCAGAATCCCCGTGAAGAAGAAGGACGATTGCAATATACGCGTGAGTAATCGGCTGTACTGGAATCTATGGCAACTGGCGAGGTAGCAATTGCCGCGGCAAGAAACACACCTGACGAGGTAGCTGCTGATGTCGCACCAAACAGAAGACCGACTGGGAGCTGGAAGTCTTACTCCGCTGGGCCGCTACAGAGGCACATATCAAGTAACGATGATTCATAATTCTACCGAGAAGCACTGTGTAGGTAGTGCCCTATACAGACAGTGGAAGACTGCCATGATGCAGGAATACGTCTCTGCGCAAGGGAACAGCGCATTCCTACCCGTGGAACTTGCTGCGCCGGTTCAAACGGTACGCAGCAAGAGGGGGTATTGTAATATATCACTCGCTTTCTGGCCACGAGCTCCTCCAATCCGTCCCTTTCCACCTCTCTGACAGTTCGCTCTTCACGCTCACTACCACCTGCAAGCCGCAGCGTCCTGCACGCGCTGCTAATCCCCGTCCTCGAAAAGCGCTTCTACAAAGACCGCAGTTTCCGCATCACATTCCCACGCGTGCCTTCGATACGCGGCGCCACCAAGTCCACGGACACCGCACTGCATTGGGCCGCATACTATTCCCGAGCGTCGACATGTAGCCGCACGGTTGCTGACAGATTGCCGGTCTTGGGAGCAGCAGAAGGTGTTGGCGCTATGTCTCGCGGTGAATAGTGGAGGTGAAGCGAAGGTGAATTATTTGCTTCGGCATGGCGCAAGGATTCGGTGGCCGTCTAGTTGGAAGACTTCTCCAACAGCGGAGAGTTTGCGTGTATCAGGCGAAGAATATGACGTTGAGTCGTTGGGCGAGGGAGAGTTGAGGAGGACTAAGGGGACGGAGAAGGAGGGCGGTCGACAGGAGGAAGCGATGTGTTGGATAGCATGTGTATATAGTTTTCTTGGTTACAACGACTATCGTACAGATATATTTATACACGAAGACTCGGGGTAGAGAGGTATCTCGCAAAAAACGATAACACCAAAAGATAGACGGTTCTTGTTCATCCCAGTGACACCAGGCCGGATTCTGCAGCTTCCGCTCCGGGGATTGGCACTGGGTCGAAGGGTTTCTCGTGGCGATCATCCTCTTCTTCGCGCTCCTTCTTCTTGCTCTTCTTCTTGGCTCGGTCGTGAGAGCTATTGTTTACTCGGATGGAGGTTACTACGAATACTACTCGGTGTCAGTACATCATCGAGGAAGAGAGAGGGAAGGATGATAGGCATCACAACAAAACGTCCCCCCGCTGAGATACCACCGTCTTTTCGGACGGTCCAAAGGCCAACAACGGATGGCACGGGCTATTAAGATGTCCAATGGGGAGAACTTACAAGCCAGGCATGCAATTGCTATCAATCCCCGTCTGGTTGTCGTCCACCGTAGCTTTTCAATCTCCGACTTGAGATCACTGTTGATCAAGATAGTGATCTTATAATTCAACTCTTGTATCTGCCGCCATCTTATTAGCCTTCCCTCCCTTCCAACATCTCACCTCGCAGTCCGAGACGTACCTTGTTCTCCATAGCCCTCTGCTCCGCCCTGGTAACCATCTTCCGATCATTAAACATGCTACTAAGCTCATCCCTGAGTCCCATAATCTCAGCCAGGAACTTCTGATTCAGCAGATCGAACTCGGTCTGGATCCTCGTCCTCTCACCCCGCAGCTCCTCCACCGCCATATTCTTCGCATTCTGCATTTCGTTCCTCAGCTCCGAGCAAGCAGCCTGGAACAGGTACGTCTCGTTCTCAATGTTTGATTTGCTCACGAGGTTTTCCCTTGCGGCGGTAAGGTTTTTGTCGAGCAGTGCGCGAAGGAGCTTCATAGTTACGATGGATTGCGACTGCGTGAAGCTGCCGGCGGAGAGGCGCTGTACCGAGGTGTACGTGTCGAAGTGGTGGGTATAGTCGCGGGGCGCGAAAGGGCGGTCGGTTTCTGCCAACGATGTCGGCGTCGTCGGCGGTGGGACGGAGGTCTCATCGGTTTTTGGCGCAGCGTCTTCGGCTTTGAGATCGGCGGGGTCGCGCCCGGCGATTTCGAGCATGTCCGCCGTTACATCGTCCCCGGGGCCCCGGACATCGGAGTCGCCTCGGGGCGGCGGAGGTGTAGGCGGCGGGTCAGGGTGGAGCTGTGTCGGCTCTACTGCGGAGCCGTGACGGTATCGTCGCGGTGTTGTGACGATGCTGCGCCGGAGGAACGGGTATAAGAAGGGTAGACGCGGGAGTGACATGTTGTGGAGTGGTGGTGGGATGCGGGTTGGTGGGGTGGTGGGGTGGACGGACAAGTGTTGGATAGACTCATTCGGCTACGTCACTGCTGCCGAGCCGGGCCGGAATGTTTCACGAGCCGGATTAACGTTGGAGTACTACTTCAGTAAGTAAATCTTATATCCCCTCCATCATCGCAGTTTGGATAATCGAGATAGGTATGTTAAGGACCGGATACTTCGTTGTTAAGGGTAGCTTTCCGTTTAAAAACAAAAACTGACCGAGCTTCAATGAGCAACGGCCCGGAAAGGGGATCGGCTTCATTGAATTACATAACCGATCCGAATTGACTATTTCCTCAAGTCCTTTGTTTTGGTCAGTCGCGGAGATAGCTTTTGTACTTTCTTTGTTTACCGCTGCTACCGTGAAGAAATAATCGTAAGTTAAGAGCAGCAGTCGGGGAAGATGGATGAATTGTAACTACAGCACCATGGTACACCGTACACAGAATGGATTCTCCGAAGCCTTCTCCTAAAGCTACATAGCACGTGGAATCAGCTCGCATAACTATCGTTCCGCAAGTTAGTGGGGTGTGCTAGTTAGTAGGTGTCACAAACGCGGGGAGAGCATCAAGCGCAGAGGCAGAGCGGCGAACCAACCATCCCCATCCCACTCCGCTACGAAAACTTCTCCTTAACCATTCACCAAAATGACGACCCCGACCGCCCCCCTCGACGCAACGGTAACCAAAGTTCTCGACCGGGACCGCGCTGACTCTGACGACGAAGACGAGCTTCTCGCCGAGCTCGAGCGTGAAGACAGCGCGCTCGACGGCTTCCGCGAGCGGCGTCTGCAGCAACTCCACGACGAGTTTGCGCGCGCGGCTGCGCACCGCAGCGGTGGCGGCGGAACATATCTCAATGTAGAGGATGAGAAGGCGGTCATGGATATTACCACGTTTGCTTCTCCGCCGCGGTAACGATGGGATTGGGGGCTGATGGCGGCGGGTGTAGAAACAACAAAAACAGCGTCGTCCACTTCTTCCACAGTGATTTCCGGCGGTGTAAGATCCTAGATACACATCTGGAGCTGCTAGCACCGAAGCATCCCGAGTGTCGATTCGTCCGGATTGAGGTGGAGAAGGCTCCGTTCCTGGTGGAGAGGTTGGGCGTGCGTGTGTTGCCTTGTTTGATGTCGTTTATCGACGGGAAACAGGTGGCAAGGATAGAGGGCTTTGAGAGGCTGGGGAATTCGGATTCTTTCAGAACTGTTAGGCTTGAGGAGCTACTGGTGGATGCGGGTGTCCTGGAGAGGGTGAGGTTCGCCGAGGATGGCGGGCTTCTGGGCGACGAGGAGGCGAGGAGGAGGGAGGAGGTCCAGGATGAGGATAGTGGAGATGATTGGGATTAGAGGTGGTAGGAGAGATTGGATGTTCGCCGTTTGACTGACACGAAGGCGGATGGGTGTGGAGGGTAAGTACATTCAAATGAACTGATGGAGGTTTGTTGTTGACGATCGTTAGTAGTCTTGCTTTGCTGTATCTCTGAATCGGCGGCTATGAAACTACGGTTGGGCAGGAATGAAGAGATCACGGTGCGCCATGGCGGAGATGTGTTTGAGAAGCACAACACAACAAGTCCAACCCCATGAATCAAGCACCCTTGTACTGGTACCTCAAATGCTCCAACTCCCCAAAATTCACGGCCTCCATCATCCTCTCCATGCCATACCCCATAACTGCTATCACTGTAACATCCACCTCATCAGCACTCCGTTCATCAATTTCTGTTACAGGGAGCACTTACAAAACGGAAAAACACAAACATATTCCTCGTGGACTCCCGGCCCCTCGCGAATACCGAGCGAGTAAATCTTCGTCCACGTCCAGAAACACAAGAGACAGCTAAAGATGATGTTCCCAGTCTGCAGCCGTGTCCGTCTCTCGTCCCGGTGTCTGAGGTGCCTCGCCGCTGTTACTTCCGGCACGCAGGAAAACGATATCACCAGTGAGCCGAGAAAGAAGACGTTGTTGTTGAGTACCCAGCCGCCCGCCGACCAGTAGAAGTACCATCGGATCACGAAGTACGGAATCGCCGAGGCGGTCAGGAGCCTGAGTGCTTTCTGTGAAAGGAGCTCGGTTACTGGTGGGCCGTGCAATGGGAGCTGAAGATACCTACGCTATAGAATTCGTTGTGTGCTAGGTCTTGTTCTTGTAGCTCTTGGATTAGCTGTTCTTGTGATTGGTCGTCCATATAGACAACATCCTGGTGGTGGCCATCGGCGTCGAGGTCTTTGTAGCTGAAGGCTTGACGGAAATGAACGCCGGTTGAGGGGTCCGAAGGTCTAGCAGCAGCAGAGGAGGAAGAGGACATGTCGACGGTTTGCGTCAGAAGCAAGGTACAGCGTTGGAAGCCGAAAGGGTGTTGAAGCTGAAGGTTGGCAGTGGAAACAAAGAAGTGCATGGATGGAGCTTGCCGCTTGCAGCCCAAAGACTTGGCGGACCACGTGGAAGAGACGGGATGTGTAGAAGTGGAGGTGAAGTTACAGAAAGAAGGATTGAATGAGTTGATTACAATGGGAGCCCAGGACTGTCTTCTCCGGTACTATTGCACTCCTATTCAGAGGAACGTGCCCAGCTATCCTTAGAGATTCCAAGTCACCATTTGGCACCAGTTCCACCACACCAAGCCGGTGCCTTCGCGGCCAAACTGCCCAGAACGGCATAATATATATACAGAAACACACCTTTAGACATCACCGATAAACCATGCTTGGAACCGGGAATGTCTCGCGAGAATATCATCCTTTCCGAATGCTGCATAGCAACCTAGAACAAACCGCTGAAGAGATCGTCGATATCATCAGCCTTCTTCTTCTTCTTCTTTTTCTTTTCTGGTTCCGTCGCGTCCGATTTCCGCTTGACCGCAGTTTTATTATTTTCCTTTGGCGTCTTCTTGACCCTCTCAGCCGGAGCTGAGAGCTCTGATGCCTTCGCCTGTGACTGGGTTCGTATTGGCAGTGATTGGCCTTTTGTTGATGCATCTCCTGGCTTCATTTCAGAGGGAGCTTTCTTTCTCTCCCTGTCCCCATATTCTTTGCCTGTATTATCACTTCCCTCCCGAGATGCCGCTAGCCTGTCGTATTCCGCTCGGTCGATGATTGTCCCACCATCATCGTCTCCACCGGCATACTCCTCTCGCGGGATCACCACACCCAACTCATCCGCCGCATTCTCCTCCTCCAGCGCCAGTACCCTCGCCATAGCCTCCTTCTCCTCTTTCACCTCCTCCCCCGTCGGCCTGACCACCCTCCACACCCTAGCCAACACGCCCATGAGCACCAACCCCAACGTCGCAAAGTTCTTCATCCCCACCACACTCCCGAACGCGTCGTACGCGTTCGGCACCACCACCTTCCGCATAAATCCTAGGCGGTCTTTAAACTTCGCCAGCGCGGAATTCCGGTTCGGCGTAGTCTTTGCGGCCGTGATCGCGTCGTGCTCGGCAAGGAGTTTGCGAAGGTGCCGCCGAAGCGTGCTCAGCCATTGCCACCATTTTAGCAGCCGGTGCTGGTTCTTGTTGCGGTGCGTGAGTAGGTGCAGGAGGTCGCTGTCGTCGCGGAGGAGCTGGAGTTGGACGGGTGTGAGCGGCGATGGAGGTGGCATTTCTTCCTGTTGGCGGCGGTGAGGCCTTCGGGGGAGATGGCAATGATGCCCCGGTAGTGGGGTGTGGACATAGTTAGAGATCTACCTAGTGGCTTGGCCGTGTTAGCTCAAGTGCTACCTAAAAATGTCCCATGCACGCGCACAACATTTCTCTTCCTCTCGTCACTCGCCATCAAGCTCCACCGCCTCCATGAACATTGCCGGCCTCTTACGGCGCCTGGTACGGCTGCCTTTACGCAAGCTCCCACCACGATCCCGGGGGCTAGCCACACTTTCCAACGACCTCAGGTACTGCTTCTATTTCCCAACCGTAGGCCCACTTCTGACGCCCGCCGCAGCAGCACTACACTCCGGGAATTCGACGTAATAGTAATCGGTGGCGGGCACGCCGGGTCGGAAGCGTGCGCAGCGGCCGCACGCACGGGCGCGCGGACGGCACTCGTCACGCCGTCGCATTCGACCATCGGCACATGCTCGTGCAACCCCTCGTTCGGCGGCATCGGGAAGGGCACGATAATCCGCGAGATCGATGCGTTGGACGGCGTGGCGGGCCGGATCGTGGATAAGGCGGGTATTCACTTCCGAGTGTTGAATAAGCGCAAGGGTCCGGCCGTTTGGGGCCCCAGGGCCCAGATCGATAGGATGCTCTATAAAATCCATATGCAGCAAGAGCTGGAGGGGTATCGGAACCTCGAGATTGTCCAGGGGAGTGTGGCCGATATTGTGGTGGATAGGAGTGGCGGGGTGGGTGCGGATGGGCAGGTGGGTGCGATTGAGGGGGTGAGACTGGAGAGTGGCGAGGTCATCAAGACGAAGAACGTGGTTATCACTACTGGCACGTTTTTGGGTGGAGAGATTCATGTGGGGATGAAGGTGTTTCCGTCGGGGAGGATGGGAGAGGCGGCGACGTTTGGGTTGAGCAAATCGCTGAGGGAGGCGGGGTTCATGATGGGACGGCTGAAGACAGGCACTCCGCCACGGCTGGATGGACGGACAATTAACTACGCACCGCTGGAAATACAACCAGGTGATGAACCACCAACACCCTTTTCCTTCCTCAACTCCCGAGTGTCAATCGACGAGCAGCTGCACTGCTGGGGAACGCAGACCACCGAGGCCACGCATGAAATAATCAAAGCGCACCTGCACGAGACCATCCACATCCGCGAGACCGTCAAAGGGCCGCGGTATTGCCCCTCGCTCGAAAGCAAAATCATCCGGTTTGGCCACCGCCAATCCCACCAGATCTGGCTGGAACCCGAAGGTATATCCGACCACGTCGTGTACCCGAATGGCATATCCATGACTGTCCCCCCCGAAGTGCAAGAGCGCGCTCTCCGCACCATCCCCGGCCTCGAAAACGTCACCATGCTCCAGCCCGGTTATGGCGTGGAATACGACTACGTTGACCCGCGCTCGCTGCGCGCCACACTGGAAACAAAACTCCTCAAAGGTCTCTTCCTGGCTGGACAGATCAACGGCACGACGGGCTACGAGGAGGCTGCGGGACAAGGCATAATCGCCGGAATCAATGCCGGCCTTTCAGCCCAAAACAAGCCCTCAATGATCATCTCCCGCGCCGACGCCTACATCGGCATCATGATCGACGACCTCATCACCAAGGGCGTATCCGAGCCGTACCGGATGTTCACGAGCCGTAGCGAGTTCCGGATGAGCGCACGAGCAGACAACGCCGACAAGCGACTGACCGCATTGGGGCGACAACACGGTGCGGTGGGCGACGCGCGCTGGGCCTCCTTCTCAGCTGAATCCAGCACTCTCAACGAGCTGCGCGAAACCCTCGAAAACACGCGCCTCAGCCCGCCAGCGTGGATCCGCCTCGGCTTTCTGATCAAAGACAACACGGAGCGCCGCTCGGCATTCGACATGCTGCGGGTCAAAGACGTTGGCCTGGCACAGCTCGAAGCGGTCATACCCGCGATTAAGAACTATCCCGACGCGATCCGCCGCCGCATAGAGATTGAGGCGGCGTATGCGCCCTACGTCGCCGCTCAGGCTAGCACCGTAAAGGGCTTCTTGAAGGACGAGGGGTTCAAGATCCCTGGCGATATGGAGTACGCCGCTGTCGTCGGATTGAGTACCGAGGAGAGGAGGGCGCTGGAGTTGACGAGACCCGAGAATATTGGCCAGGCGCGCCGCGTGGAGGGTGTCACGCCAAATGGCTGCATACAGTTGCTGCATTATGTTACGAGACGCGCGAAGAAGGAGGCAAAGGAGGTGGTGATGGAGGAGGAGAGACTGAGGAGGGGGCTGCTTGACGTGGGCGTGGACATAGGTCTGGGAGTGGAGAGTGGGAAGGAGACTCTAACTACGGTGGCTGCCTAGACGATGGCGGAGGTCGAGTATTTGTATCATAGGTTGGTGTCATTTTGGAGTGGCGGCGTTATCTATGCTTTGGTACCTAAGTAATCTGGTGTTTTGGAAACTCATAGGGATTGTGCAGGTATCCCTCTTCACCTTTGGAACATTGTTCACTACAGGTAAGGGCCGTGATGTTGGGCAAAACAAGATTAGTCGCGCACATCTCCTACCTATCACTCTGCAAATAACATGGTATCAATGGTTTTACATGCCCATGATCTAAGTACATTAAGAAAGTAATTACCAATCCGACGAAAATCACCGAAAAATCGCAGTCCCTTTTGATCCCTTAAAGCTTAAGCCTAAACTCGGCCGGTGGCCATCATATACTTCTTGAGCAACTCTTTCGCCTCACCGCTGAGCTCATTGTTGATCCAGCCATCCACCCTTCCACCCGTCTTGGTGTTCGCCTCCACCAATTTCTCACCTACGAATCTCCGGGGGTCTACCACATCCGGGAACACGTCGACCGCGCGCTTCTTGCAGGTGTTCAAGCGTGCGAACGAAGCGCCGAAGCTGACGTCGTCGATATCTGCCCCTTGCAGGTCGGCCAGAGGGTCGTCCTTGACAAGTACGGGCGCAAGTTCGAGGATTTTGAGAAGCGCCGTCACCGTACTGGCCCAGGCCGTGTGGTATGGTCCCGCCAAGCCTTCCGAGGAGCCGATCAGCTGTGTCAATCCTGCGACGGCGATCTTGCGGTCGGCTGGTCGGCTGAGCTTCTGTGTGTCGGGAAGCAAGATGGCGGTGTATAGTTGACCGAAGATACCGCTCTGCACGGAGTCGATTGCCCGAATGACAAAGTCGGGGCCGACCTCTTCCTTACCAGAGAGGAAGTGGAAGAGGCGCGCGAACCTCTGTGCCAAGACCTCGGTCTTGGAGCCGTTCAGACGAGTGAGAAGAATGATGAAGATGTCCTTCATGTACGGCTGAAGAGCAGCGCTGGAAAAAAAGGTCAGTGTTGAAACGTCAACCCTGACATCAAGGGACATACGCAGGGAAGTAGGTGAACAGCGACTCCAGAAGGTCAAAGGCTTGGGATTCCGTAATCTTGGATGACACAAGCTTCTGGAAGATACCGAGGATAGGGGTGAGCTGGTTATTTTCGGTGATCACACTCACTCCGCGCGCCATGATCGCCTGAAGTAGGCGGACCAATGCAGGAGAATTGCCTCGCGATTCCCACAAGGCTGGTGTAAGGAGAGGGCCAACGAGGTCCTTGTATCTCTGAGGCAGTGGCGCTTGGGGGTTACTCTCCAAAAGCAACGCAAGAAGTTGGAAGACGTATGGGATGAATTCTAAGAGTCGCGTCAGCGGACTGGTAAATCGACATGGTAGGAAGGTAGAGTAGCCACGAACCAGTAACGTCATTTCCAAGGATGGACATGAATGGGTCGTGCAGGGCGTTCTCCAAGCTCTCGGGATTTGATGGAGCGGCAAACCTTCGGTTCGTCAGAATTACCTCTCCAACTTCGTGATGGAATGGGGACAAACCTGATGATAGCACCCAAGCTCTCGAAGGTGTAGTGGTTGAATCTCGGGTTACTCGGGTTCTTGCTGGTTTCTGCCGTGATCTTCGACAGTTCGGTGAGAACGAATTCCGCAAGTGGACCGGTAGCGTCTCGCGAAACAATCAATATCCTCATGACACAGCGCATTAAGAACTCGTTCTCCGCGATCTTTTCGGGAGTCTCGCCTTGCTCGATCAGTCGGAAAAGGTGAGACAAGATGTTCTTTGCGTGTGGGTTGACATCCTGAGAACTGAACACTGGCACACCCTCGACGGTCATGGCAAGCAGGCGATCGATGGTAACCGCTGTGTAGGTGTAGACCACGTAGTTTTCGGAGGCCATATGGTTGGCAAGCAAGGGGAACGCATCGTGCAGATGAGCCTTGGTCAATTGACTTCTAAAAGTGTACAAGTATTTGATGGCATCAACCTTGAGGATTGGGTGAACAGCGTCGGCCGACGCTACAAGGTCGGCAGCAACATTATTCTGGAAGAATTGAACGACATCCAGGAGCACGTTAGTATGGACAACACCCTTTCGCTCAGTTGATCCCCGAGCCGCAATGGAGGCAAACAGATACAATGCGGTATCCTTTGATTGCCAGTTCTCCACAGGCTTTGCGCTGTACTCCTGGAGATAGTGAGTGATGTACTTCCCCACCACCCCAGTGACCAACTCTTCAAACTGGTCAAGCAACTGGCGGAGGAAATCAGTGGCAGAGCGTCTCCTAGTATCGCTATCTGACCCTTCTAGATCCCTTCGGATGAACTCGATTGGGTCATCTTCGAACAGTTCAATGTCGGAAGGACGTAGAGCCATGTTGGGGAGGACGATCTTCTCCACCACCTGTGTCAAAATGGCTTCCGAGTTGAAGTTCTGCGCGTGTTTAGGCGATCTTGCGACCGCGGTCAGGAAATGCAGAGCATTGCTGACGAGAATGTCGTTTTTGGGCTCAGGGCCTAGCTCCGTGAGAAGTGCCCAAGTAGAATTGACAAAGTTCTGCAGCATGTTGTCAAATACGTCCTCGTATTTCCCAGCGAAAAGTACGAGAAGTTCGCAGATCCCACTCTTTGTTCGTTCGAGTGGCCCAGCTTCATCGTCATCGTCCGTCTCTAGCAACGGATTCTTGTATGTGAGGTATTTGTGGAAGATGTTCATGATGGTTGGAAGGTTCTCCTCGAAGACAGGTGCCAAATCCTGGCAGTTGAGATCGAAAGAGAGTTTCACGACCAAGGTCAGTGTCTGGAAGAGCTCCTTGAGAGCAGCCTTGTTGTTGGCATTTTGGGTGATCAGACCATCGGTATTTTGGAAAACCTCGAGGAATGGAGCAGTAAATCGCTCCAGTACATGGTTGATTTCGGTGAAGAGGTTGTCGGAGCGGAATAGAGGTCGCCACCGCTTGAAGATGGCATGCGCGACCTGGAGGACTCCGTTGTTCACTTTGGGGTTGTCGCGGGTCAATCGCGAAACGAGGTCCTACGAGCGATACCGGAATTAGGCTCCCCATCAACATCGGAATCTTCGAAGAAAACGCACCTCGACAAGTGTGTCCCATCGCTCAAAGAAGTCACTCTCCGCAATGATGCTGACTGCTTCTCCGAGCTGTACCTGGAGATTCGTCGGCACCGAGATCATGAGTCCGATGATCTCGCTCTTGATCGCAATGACGTCGCTCGCCGGCAGCTTGTGTACACCTTCTTCATCCTGATATCAGCGCAGAATCAGCAACCTGCCTCCCAGCAGCCTCGTCGATCGGCTGCTTACCGTCCACGTTCTGCCGATGAAGTTCTTGAAGTAGAGGGCGCCCATGAGGCGAGTGTTCATTTGCGGTGCATCGGACGCAACAAGCTGCAGTAGTTTCAATGCGAATCCAGGCTGGGTTTCGATCGCTCGTAGGTACTTCTCGGCTATTTTTTACATCAAAAAAGATCAGTATCGTCAAAAGCAAATAGCTGCGACAAAGATGAAGCAGAGAAATCGAAAAGAGCTATGATACCCTGTTTGTTCTCCGAAGGAATCAGGGATCTGTTGAGAAGATCTCCAATTTCAGAAACCTCGGTAGTCATGACGGAAGTTGTGGAATGTTGTGGGGATGGTAAGAGGTGTGTTAGATTGTTGGCAGTGAAGTGGGGGGTTTGAAATAGCAATTGCCATGTTGCGTCGCGAGACGCCAAAAGCCTTCGAATTGTTTCCGGGTAACCAACAAAGGCATGGATTGCGCACGTGCTTCGTGCGGTAGCCTTGTCTGGTCTGCCGAGCCCCGAGTGAGTGTTTCTGAGCAAGGTCTAAAAATGCCATTGTAAGTACAACAAAAAGATGTAACGCCTCTGCCCTCTGTGATGCAAGATGCCCTCGCCGGCGCTACACGAGTCATATCGGTTATTGATTACCATAAGCAGTCATTGACTTTGCCATAAAAACGGATTGACTACCATGTGCGCACGCATTGACTTTACCATTAAAATGAATTGACTCGCCACTGAAGAAAAAAAACCAACGAAAGTCAATACCGCACTCCATCGACGGGACCACAACGTAAGAAAATCGTCATAGGGATTTGAGAGCAACTCCTTTGTGGGCTTTAGGGCGTAGCAAGGAAGAGAGCCAGTCTTATCTACTTGCTCCCTTTCTTTCCGTCAGATGGCCGACTGTGCATGCTTACCATTTGTTCGAATAACCAAAGTCCGCACTGCGTTATTTTCTCCCTCACAAGGTTCTGGTGCGTTACTTTATCGTCGCTGCGTCGGCGTGGTAGGTAGTAGAGAGCTTGTTGGTGGAGAGGTGTGGCGCCAGCGAGGGAATATTGCATCACAGAGGGCGACATTCTAGACCTTTGCTCATTTTCTTTCCGGTTGCGCGGTTGAAGGGACATGTGCGGAAAGGGTTTTCACTTCTTCCTCAGACAGGTACTTATGAAGAGTACATGTTCGCATCCACTGGAGAGCTACAGGTATTGTCACCATGCAGAGGCCTTGCTACCAGGCCAATGGTAGTACGGTATCGGCTTCAATTCCAACGACCATGGTGGTTGTCGAAGCACTCGTAGGCTACAACGCCGAGCTTTCTGATCGCAAACGGAGAAGTCACTTGGTCAGTCGGATTGGTATGTACTTCCGAGGGAGTCAAGTCATCAGACCCTCACACGACCAACGGAAACACCCCACCAGTATACCTCATCATGATCCTGAGTCGTCACAGAGGATTTCGAGCCCCAGCTCGTCTAGTTACTGCAAGACTCGAGGTCGGACGGAAAGAAAAGCAAGCACTCTCGGACCTCGAAAGCGGCTGCTTTGTGGACGATAAGTCTGTTCTCATTGATACGCTCTGGGGACGCAATTGCATACGATGCAGATCCGTCATCTTTGCCGTCATCCAGATCTGAGCAGTCACTTCTTCCGTGCTGTATTTTGCTCGTTGCGGGTTGTTGGTCTCACGAGCTGCAAGTGAAGGTCAGCATGCGGAATTTCCTTCGTCACGTGACGCGAAGGCGCATGCGATACGCCTGTCGGTACATCGCTCTACTTCGAGTCCTCATCTCAAGCTCTTCCCATGCCGTCCGTGATCCCGTTGGGCATCGTCATCGCCAGACCCGGAGCTTTTCCTCTGGCCACTCCACATGTTCTGGAACTCAACAGACGCACTCTGGCTCCTGTACGCCCCCACGAATTCCGGCTCGAATTTGACTGCTTGCTGCCTGTGGATAGAGTGCGTCGATGCTGCCTGCAGCATGTCACTCGACTGTCTCCTTCCCCCTCACCAGATCCTGCGCCGTTTCAGGTAGGTAGCTAAAATCTCCCCCGTTTCTGCCCTCTTTTTGCTTTTTTCGTGATCATACCGATATCCACTTCGAACGGAGGGTGTGGGGAAACAGAGGGACGGCCCTGAAGCTTGAGGAATCCACACAAATGTCCCACAGCAGCCTCCGGGCCGGATCTTCAAGGCCGGTCCGGTCAAGCCCCATCTCCGTCCCCATCTCCATTCGCGGCTCCAACCGTGGCCGAGATATAAACGCCCCTCCTCCCAAGGCCGTCACCCGCAACGCAACTAAAGCGGGCTAAACGCCGTGGTAGAATGGTTCCCTGCACGGCGATCACACCGCTTGTCACCCCGCTATCTTCGGATCTTTCCTCCTCCCACGGCTATCATACATAAGAGTACTCTACTCTAGATAGGTAGACTTACACACCGATTACCTACCCATCACCTCACGCGCAGCCCCAAGCACGCATCCATCCACCACCCCCCCCTCCCCCCTCCCCCAAAGGTCATCGTGCAAGCATCCTTCGATCTGCACAGTTCCTGGATCCTACCGAAAAATTACCTGCCTACCTGCCGCGTCTGCCTGCCTCTACCTGTCGGCCCACCTACCTGCTCTCGGCCCACCTACCTGCTCTCTTCTTTGCCGTGCTCCGCTCTATTCCACTGCATCTACTCACTTCGTTACGTTGCTCCAAAAGTCGGAACCGTCACGGTCCCGCCAGCCCAGACAACGCCAGACATCGCGCGGTCTGAGTGTGTGTGGTGTGTGTGGTGCATGTGGTGTGCGTTGCCCGTTGCCGTTGACGTTCGATGCCCGATATATGAATCACCGAACTACTCACCTCCGTCCACGACGCTTTCACAAACACATCCGCCTTCGCCTTCTCCGCCGGGACTCCCGACATATCGACCCACATCCCTCTCACCAACCCAGTAGCAGTAGCAAACCTTGCACCTCGTCCGCTTCCGTGCCCGCTGTCGCCGCCGATCCCGCGACACTCCGCCCCCTCTGACACCCGGCCCCATCACTCTTACTGTTGGCGTTTTGCGCACGGCGATAGCTCGTCCACGCGGGCGCCGCAGGACAGGTCGGTACCCAATATATTTGCTTGCTTAGTGCTTGCTGTCAATTATACCCTTATATTGGCGAATTATTATCCCAGCACCGTTGACGTTATCGTCTTGTTGTTTCACTCAATCATCATCATCATCATCATCGCACACACACTCCCATACCCCAACACTTTTTTTTTCTCCCCCCGTTCACACCGTTCACAGCGCTTCGTTCGAGAAGGGCACTTATTGGCTACGTCCCAGGTGGCCTGTTATATCACCGCTCCAAAGCTTTTTTTTTGCTTTCAGACAACACCATCTGGGGCCCGGCAAACTTGAAGAATCTTTGTTTGACACTTTGAACGATCCCAAGACCTGTCTCCCCGCTGACGTCCCACTACCAGCCCTAGATGACTCCAACCCTTACGCCTGTCGATCCCCCACCTCAAGAACCGAAAGCGCAATCTGGCCTCGCAAACGTGTTTCGAAATCTAGGTCTCAGGAATCGCTCAGGCTTCTCGATCCCGTCCACCCCCGTAACACCGTCCTCCAGCAATGCCAACCGCTCCGCGTCCCAATTCGAGTACTTCGCCGAGCCTTCGGAGGAGAAAGGGCAGGGGGAGCTGTTGGACCGGCTACGTAAGGATAAACCGCTGCAGGACCGAGTGGTGGCTGCCGAGCTCGTGAGGACCTCCGTTACGGACTTGCCTTCACCCATTGTTAGCGAGATATGGCACATTGCGCAGGATCTGGTGGAAGACGATAACTCCGTGGAGGCTCGTCAGGCGGGCTTCAAACTCATGACGGCATGCCTGAAGGCTCTAAACGACCCCTCCGCACTCGATCGGCTACGGTACTATCGTACCATTGCCCTGCATGAGAGGATCGAAGATTTCGACGATCAGTTGCAAGCGATGCTGGTGCTCACCTCCGGCGGCCGGAACCTGGCGTCGTTCGAGAGGGAGATTGGGGGCTTGCTCTCAAAGTGGCTAAAAGTTTTATTTCAGGAGGCCGGCAGAGCCCGTAAGCTCCGCCAGCGGGAAGGAGGTTCGACGGATACGATATCTGGGGCCGAATTCTGCTTGAAGGAATTATTCAAGTTTGTGACGGACATAATCAAGTTCAACTTTCAGACCTTTGAAGAACGCGAAATCAGCCAATTGTTGTCAGACATATTGTTCATCTCAAGAAAAACAACCAACAAGAAGGACATTGAGTGTGCCATCGCCTTTATCGAGACGCTGATCACGTACGGTTACATCCCGCCCGATTCGCTTCGCCCGTGCATTGAGATCTTGTGCGGCACGTATTCTACCATCCGCGACCTCGCCGATGACACCTGGAACGCAGTGAGCAACCTGTGCAAGAGCCACATGGCGCACAAGTGTGTCCTCACTTTGCTGGAAATTTCCCGGAAGTCCAAGAGAAGCAGTTCTGCACCTAATATGAACACTCTCCGTGGTGCAATCTGGTTTTTGGAGAAGCTCCTCTTGGAGAACGGAGAGAATGGCTTGCCGAAGCTTCAGGTTTCGATCGTCATGGTGGCCTTCAGGGATGCGCTTTCGAGAGACATTCCACGCTTGGATATGAGCATATGCGGGGCAATTGGGCGTGTTCTGGCTAGGCGCGACATCGTTTCACAGATCTCGTTTGATGAGTGGGCGATTCCTCTCGAAGTATTGGTACACGTCTCCCGGCGCACCACCGAGCGTGCGGACGGAGTCTCCCTCGTACGGCTGGGCATCCCGAACGTCCCCAAGGCGAAACAACAAGACAAGGAAGTCAACACCGCCATCTCGCAGACGCTTTTCACCATCATAAATCAATTGGAAGAGGCGTGCCGGCAGCCTGACTTCACCCAAGTGGAAGGAGTGGTGCAGTTTTTTCTTGACGTTTACGGTCACATTCCGGACTCTGCGGCGGAATTCGTCCTCAATTACTATGCGTCGGAGCACCTCTGTTACCCTTCGTGTGCAGAGTGGTTGGAGAACTCGCGTCGCCTGGTGGACGTCTTTTTCCGGACAAGAAAACGGCCTTCGGAATTGCGCGTCCAAGTACTCTCCCTTATCACAGATGTATATGAAACGATCCGAGGAGTTTGCGAAGAATCGCTCCTCCATAAGCTAGTTTTCGTAGCTTTCAATGACTTCCGGACCGAAACCGATCCGCGGGTACTCGAGGTGCTGGTCAAGATCATTGTAGACGTGGCTGCCGATAGCAATCTCGAAATGTTCCATCAGCTGGCGCGCATTCTCATCGAATACTTGCGACTAGACCAAAACTCTGGCCTTTCACCCGGTGGTGTGCTTTCCGATATCGATCGCTCGTCTGTGCGGCCATCGTTGGGTGGTTCTCATCACTCCCATGGCTCGCTCGTCAACATCGTCGTCCGCGGTTTGGTCAAGTTGTTTATCCGCAACATGAACACGGACGCATTGAAGGCTGTGCCGGTGTATGAAGAGCTGGTCAAAATCGCTGGGTCCGCGGATTGCGAGGATGACGCCAGGTTGACCGCAATGAAGTTGCTATTCCGCCTACGCGCCGACTCCGAGAACCGTGTTTTCCTAACGGATAGCACCGAGTCGGACTACCTGGCCGGGGTTCTTAATAGGATTCACGAAGCCATGGAGCCGCTTTCGGCCCTCTCCAGCCCCAAAGACGACGATACCTCTTCTTCATCCCGTTCGAATCGGAGCAATTCGGTATCCCAGACACTTTCGCTTCGGCATTCGAGCAGCAGGGGCCTGTCGGAACGGCACGATAAGAATAAGCGGCGCGCCCCCTTGTGGAGTTATCCGGAGACACGGCCTCTGCCAGACAAGGCGGAGCGGGTCGCAAGTCCGGTTCTGCAGACTTTCTACGACCCGAGCTCGGACTCTCCTCCGCAAGAAGGACCAACTTTGGACCCGAAGATCTGCATGAGGGTTGCCCGTTGGTTGGAGCAGGTCATTCCCATCGTCCAACAAGGATGCGACTGGGAGATCTACAGCTATGTTCTGTGCCATCTTCCTTCGCAATTGGCCAATAAGACCATGTTTAGGAACTGCAAGGCTCATGTCACATTCCTCCGGAACTTGGTCTGCGATCAGCTTCACACGAACCGACTTCCCGACACGGATCTCCCATCCGACGTTAAGAGGGCGGATATTGCAGTGTCTCTGATCCATCTTCTCACAGTGCTCATCAGCTACCGCCAGCACTTTGCGAAGAACGAAACTGAAGGGATCGTGAAGGCATTCCAGCTCGGGCTTCATTCGTGGAACAGGACCGCTAAGCCTTGCATTCACGCTCTGGCTCTATGCTGCTACGAATTGCCCGGCTCGACCAGCAAGTTTCTCTCTGGAATCCTAACCAAATTGTCACAAATCATCACGTCACCGGTGGTGAGCGTGCATATCCTTGAATTCCTGTCTGCGCTCGCAAAGTTACCTTCGCTCTACAGCAATTTCACCGAACCGGACTTTCGGAATATCTTTGGTATCGCATTTCGGTACATTCAACACGCCAAGGAGACTGCGACCCAACGATCTAGCTTCCACGCTCGGGCAGCCTCCCGTGAAACACACGACCAGCTGCCGGCGGAACAGTCAGATCTCCCGCAATATGTTCTGACGCTTGCCTACAACGTGCTTACGACATGGTTCCTCTCTTTACGACTATCCGAGAGACCGAAATATGTTTCGTGGATCGTGCGGGGCCTGGTCCTTCACGATCATTCGAATCATTTGGACGAGCAGAGCGAGGCGTGCATCGATATGCTGCAACGGTTCACGTATTCTAAGCGAGACCTCAAGCCGCCGAACAAGTTGAAGAGCCCTGGCATCGTGACCAAGAACTGGGTGAATGGAATGACTATTCTTTCCATCCAGATGCAACCCGAGTCTGGGATGTCGAGGATCACAATACGAAGACCGGTAGGTCTGCTCTGCGAGGAAGGATGTATGTTGTTTCACCCACTGACTTGTGCTTAGGCGGGAACGTCTTATTACTCTCTGAAACCAGACTCTCCGGATGCGAGGAACGCATTGTTGCAACATGTCGATGTTGACGACGATCTGAAGGAAAACGAGCCTGACGAGTTTGATGCCACGAAATTGCTACCTAGTCACCTGCTGCTGCAGTTCGCGGGAGGCACCGCTCTCACAGAACAAAGGCCGATTTTGCTTCCCGACGACGACAAAACTACCCGTGCGATTGAAGTGTTTGATCGGATACCTATCGTGGATTTCCACAAGATTGGTGTCATTTATGTCGGCGCCGGGCAAACCGATGAGAAGGAGATATTGGCGAACGCCATGGGCTCGCCTGACTACACCGACTTTGTGGATGGATTGGGCGATTTGGTGAAGCTAAAGGGTACTGACCTGAACACTGGAGGCCTGGACCGCGAGGAGGATTTCGACGGCGAATTCGCATACTTTTGGCGCGATCGCACCACGGAGATCGTTTTCCATATCACCACGATGATGCCCACACGTGTAGAAGATGTCTTCTGCACCGGCAAGAAACGGCACATCGGCAACGATTTCGTAAATATCATTTTTAACAATTCGGGTCTTCCATGGCGCTTCGGCACGATTCCGAGCCAGTTCAACTTCGTCAGCATCGTTATCTCGCCAGAAGCACGGTCCGGCTTCGTGTCATCGAGGCTCTCGACTGGTAGGCTGGGGGATGCGTTCTATCGAGTCCAAGTGTGCTGCAGAGATGGATTCACGGATATCTCGCCTGCGCAGGAACCAAAGATGGTCTCCGCCAAGAGCCTTGCCTCCTTCGTCCGGAATATCGCTCTTAATGCAAGCGTGTATTCTCATGTCTTTAACGAGGGAGGACGCGAGCACATCTCGAATCCGCGCCACCGGCTCCGCAGCATCAAGCTGCTGCGCGAGCGCGTTGGTGCCCCGCCAAACATGTTTGGATCCTTCGCCAGGGCCGCCAGTCCTATGCGCCAGACTAGCGCCACCAACCGCAGGGTCTCCGCCATGAGCACGCAGACGGTGTCGACGGAACACTCCCTCCGCAGCGCGACTACGCTCAACGGCGATATTGATAAGGACTCGGAGACGGAGGACTTGCTGATGAATCTTGATTTCAGTCGGTACACTTAATTGGTCTGGTATCGTATGGTTTGGGGAGGGGTGAGATATCCTATTCGAGACACATACACATTATACTTCTTCTTCTTCTTGTCCTTCTTGTCCCTTCTTGTCCCTTCTTGTGATTGTTTCAACATTCTGTAACATTTCATGCGTGTGTTGTGCTGTGTTGTGTGGTGTTGTGTTTTGCCTCAAAAAAAAGCGGTCTGTTTGTTTAGGGGGTTTGCTTGCTTGGGCTTTGGGCTTTTCGAAATGCATTGATCGGTTGGCTGGATTGGAGTTTTATTTTTTTCGTATTTATATATATTTTATTTTGTGTCTATATATGTGTGTGTGTGTGTGTGTGTGTGTGTGTGTTTGTATGGTAGGATGGTAGGATGGTAGGATGGGAATAGGGAATAGGGAATAGGTACTTCACTTGCTTGCCACCACTGGTTGTGCTGGATTGGACGGAATTGGGGGAATTGGGGGAATTGGGGGAATTGGGGAATACGTGAGTATGTGCTGTGCAAGTGGAGGTGGAAGTGCTTTTGCGATCGATCTGGTGGATTTTTTCTTATCAAAAGTTTGGTGGTTCTCTTCTTCTTCTTCTTTTTCTCAGGACTCGGGACTCGGGACTCGGGAGGTGCTCGGGAGGTGCTTGTCCGTACGCAAGTATCTACATAGACTGGTGATTTTTTATAGGTGTAGATTGAGATTGATATGACGCCAATGGCTGGACAAAGGGATGGCGGGACGGAGGGATGGCAGGTGGGGGAAGGGTGGGGATGGTTTGTAGGACTGTTCTGTTTTGCGAACCGGATTGAGAATTGGATGTACGCTGGAGCTGAAGCATGCGGATGGAAAGTATGCTCGTTCATGTCATGTTGTGTCACTCGGATTTTGAGCCGTGATGAAACAAACAAAAATGTCCCTGGATTGTTGAGTCATGAGCGGATGACGACAGCATGGCCATGGAGGAGAGGTCGAAACTGTTTGCGGACTTCGGCTTCGGGGGCTTCAGATAGCGACTTACGCGTTCACGGTTGAAGGTCCATGATAATTATCATCAACCCCCCGTTTCCCTCTCCCTTTGCACTGGGGCTTTTTTTTCCGCCAAGAATGTCGAGTGAGTGCAGACGCGTGGATACTCTGGATAGTACCAGTACTCATGAACCGTGAACCGTGGAGGAAGTCTAGGCTGGTGAAACTGGGCACTGGACGCGTAGGACTGTGTTCTGACTCCTTTTACCGCGCGGTTGGTGGATGCAACCTGGGTGGGGGGGGTTTCTTGTAAAGGGCAAAGGGCAAAGGGCTGGTTCGACGCGTGGGCTGGAGAGCAGGAGGGAGTCATCGACTCGTGGCCGCGGGCCGGTACGCGGGAAAAGTGCGGATCTGTCACCTATGTACTCGTCTGATGGAGGAACGGCATGGCATGTAGTACGACCAGACGGTGTAAGGTCGCCCTGGAGTCTGGACGCCTGAATGATATACGGTACGGTGGTCGTGAGCTGCGCATACACATCAAGACCGGTCGGGACTCGGAAATGGCTGGACGGTACCTAATAGCGATCCTACCTACCTATTCTAACTAATGGTGAGCGTTGCCCTTGATCGGAAATTGTATCTCGCGCTCGAGCACAAACATCTCCTGTGTAGATACTCTAAAGAGTACGAATACGAAATACGAAATAGGTACGAAATACGAATGTTTGCGCGCCTAGAATAGTACCGTATCTACAGGGTCGGAATGACAGGCGGGCCATGCGCAGTTGGCTGCGGAGATGATTTCTTATTTTTCTTCCGCTTCAGACCTGTACTCTATGAAGCACTGATGAGATGACGAGACGTATTTATCAATGAAAGGAACGGAGTAAAGCAGAGTATCATACATGTTGAAAAAGAGCATAACTCTACATATGACAGTAGTTATGGTTGCAATTGTCGTCTCGTCTCACGGATTGGACACTACCATGCGTAGCGTATCGTTGCTTCCACGTGCATCCACAGCCTTCTCGTGCATTCTGACGTCGATTTACTACTAGCAGTACATACTAGAGTACTTCAACCCCACCATCAGCACTCGAACGACCAAACCACCACCACGACGAACGAAACGAAACGATTTTACGTAGCAACACTCCAATACTCACACACTCGCACACACACATACACACACACACGAATCGCTACAATGTCAAACCTCGGCAACCTCCTCAGCTGGGGCATCGAGAACAGCGACCCCACAGCGGCGCCGACCGAACGCAAAACCCAACTCGTGCATCCCCTCCGACAGCGTCCCTTTCTACCGCTAACCTTTTCTTAGAACCCAGCACTCGTCGCGGAGCTCTTCGGCATGCGCCAAAAGTCTGACGCGGACCTGATGAAGGAGGCGATGGCGGCGATCCTCGACCCAGAGCTAGACCTCGAGAACAAAGAGATCGCATTCGACAACTTCGAGCTGATGGTTGAGCAGCTGGACAACGCGAACAACATTGAGAACCTCGCGCTGTGGCCGCCGCTGATCTCGCTGCTTGGGTCGCCGGAGCAGAAGCTGCGGTTCATGGCGGCGTGGTGCTGCGGCACCGCCGTCCAGAACAACGTCAAGAGCCAGGAGGCGTTCCTGAGCCATGGCGGCGTCCAGAAGCTCGTCGATATCGTCCTAAAGGATCCCGCGGAGGACGTCAGGAAGAAGGCGTGCTATGCCCTTAGCAGTGCCGTCAGGAATATGCAGGAGTCGCTGAAGATCGCGCTGGATCTGCTGCCTGAGGAGGTGGTCGGGGCTGGCGGCAGCAAGTTGGATGCCGATGATATGGAGGGCATCGATGCGTTGATGAAAACGCTGCGCGAGCGCGCGGCGAAGGTTATTAGCCAGTAGTTGGTCGGTGGCGCTTCTCTTTTGTTCTTTTGCTGTTTTGGGTATAAAAGTTCGGGTGTTTGTGGGGTTTCTTTCTTCTTGGGGTTCTGCGGATAATTAGAAGCATCATCAACATCATTATCACCGTCAGTGAGAATATCGTCCTGTGGTATCGTTCCGTGTTGACCTGGAGCTTAAAAACAAGTGTTCTCGTTGATGTGTAGGACGGCAGAGAGAGAGATCTTCCTGTTTTATTTCGCATGCAGCCTATCTAGACTATGGTGAACCGTCACACTCCTTTCCTGCCCACTCTGGCCGGCCAGGGGGTGTAGGACGGCAGAAGGTCTTGTTCTTGCCTTTGGGCTTGGAGACCGAGGATTCGATTTCTGGCCCACATCCTCGTCCCATATCGATCACCCTCCATCTAGAGTCAAGAAAAGAATCACAGCAGTCAAGACACGAAGCACGACACGGAGTACCGGTACATCAACCAATTTTAGTGCTGATGAACGCCAGCCCAGACTTCACCGGGAGGATAATGGAGCCGAACGATCTCAAGGGGAATCTACACACATTGTACCTGTTGACTCGGGTCTCGGATCGATTGAGTTTTTGTTTACATTTATCGGGGTTTGAACAATTCCGCTATGATTCCGGTACGTACCGAATGTATAATCGTAAACCGCACACTACTTGGGCGGCAGCTACTTTACTACACGCGCTTCATCGCATAAAGCTGAGAATATCTCCTTATCCTATCACTCGGCCAAACACATCTCGACTTTGGAGAACAGTTGTAGAGTACGCAGAATTCTACGTCGCACGAGAAACGAAACTACCCCGCCAAGTTGCCCCACCTTCACGTTTGTACTCTGTGTAGCACAGGCTTTGTTTTTTCATGACTGGGATTCCGAGAGGTCGAGCAGAATAGGTAGAACACCTGGAGGTGGTTGTTGTTTAAGATGAGGCCCTCTTACATACCTTCTCGACGTCGATCCTGGCTACGTAAGAGGAGAGGTGAGGAGAATCCCTCATAGCTGTTGGGCATCAATCCGGAGAGTCGTGGCGGCCGGGGGTCGTTTACGAAAAGCCGCGCAAGTTCCCCGCACCACATGACTGAAATACATTTTTTTACCCTTCTCGCTGTCAGCCTGCTACTGCTGAGTCTGACGTTTGCGAGTGGCGGCAGGGATGGACGTAAAGGCTGCAAGGCGCGCGCCTGTCTTGTCTTTTCTGTATGTTATAGCTACCGTCTCGTGTTTCCCATTCAGCTGGGGGGACAAATAGTGGCCAAGCCTTTCTGGACTGCACGACGGGACGGTTGCTGGTTGCTGGCTGCCGTTGCTGGTGCAATCGAGGTGACGAGTCCCGAGCACTCGATCAAATCTCAACCTCACCTCGGGCCTTGCCAGAGTCATAGCCCTGCTCTCTCTTCCCTGCTTGGCGGCGAAAAGCAACGTATGTATGTACGGCAGCAACTACTCTCGAGTAGAGTACTCTACGCATGAGAGGTGTTGAGCTCGGTGGCAGAGAGTCTTTGATGGAACTGAAAATGGGATGGTGGCGGGACCGCTCTCCTCGTGGGGGAGAGGTAGCCTGTAGGTACTTGCTCTAACTACAGTAGAGTAAGAGTAACATGTATCTATCGTGGTCTAGGGTGCCTACCTACCTCCGCTGTCTGCTTCTGTGCTCTATGACCATGCTGTTCGACCTTCTCTGTTATGGTTGCTCTGGTCCCGCTCTTGTCCGGTCAGGTCCAGTTAGGTCCAGTTAGATCTGGTCTGATCTGCTCTGCTTTGCTCTGCTTCAGAAAGCCTTTGCGTGCTCTTTGGGCTGCGGTACACCACGATGCCGATATTTGGCAGCTGCGCTTGGACCATAACCCAGAAGGAATTTCCCGATGTCGTTAGAGAGCACACCTCACGCCCGCGCTTGGCACTCACCCACCAACCACAAAAGCCGTTCCTTCAAGTAGCCCCCTCTTTCCCGACACCCCCTTCGTGGAACTACAAAAAAGTCCGCTTCTCTCCCCCCTATACCTCTCTACTTATCCTCCCAACACACCCATCCAACCACTACTTCTACCTTCACCCTCCCCCCATCAACCTCCCTTCAACCTTCTCCCGACACCTTCAATCCATCTCACGGCCACCACGCTTCATACGAGTTTACACATCCTTTAAACTTACACCCTTTTAATTTGCCCGCCATGGAAGGTTGGTAGTTGTTGCTCCTCCCCTATTCCCGTCTTCAACCCCCCCACCTGTTCCTTCTAGCTGCTGGTTTCATCACCTTGGAGCTCGGGGTCCATCCATTCTCATCTCGAGATCAATTCCGCTGACTAGAAGTGCTCCCTTACAGACGAAGTCGCTGCTGTATGTTACTTACCTGCCTTGCTGCTCCCCAATTCTCGTCGTTTTCGGCTGCCGTCGAAGGCGGGGTCCGTTTCAAACTGAGACATCCTTGTGCTAATCTCCAATTCTCGTTGCAACACAGCTCGTTATCGACAATGGGTAAGTTCTCTTCCGTCTGACGTAAAGCTATGTCTCGCAAGAAGTTCCCTTCGTGCTGACGGTGTCCCGAACAGTTCCGGAATGTGCAAGGCCGGTTTCGCCGGTGATGACGCCCCTCGTGCTGTCTTCCGTGAGTTCTCCTATCCAATTGAAATCTGTTCCCTTATCAGCACCAAGGATAGAAGAAGCTGACCCCTGTCTTTCAGCCTCGATTGTTGGACGTCCCCGTCATCATGGGTACTTTCCCTCCTCCTCCTCGACTCTCGTGACACAATCCCTACAATGCCATCTGATGCTGCTACGAGAATTTAATTCACGAAGCTTTGCTCGCAGGAGTCGAACTCCGTAGCAGCAGCAGTAGCTAGGGCGGGTTTCTTCTCGACTATCGAAACATGGCTAACTCGCTGGTCTCCACAGTATCATGATCGGTATGGGACAGAAGGACTCGTACGTTGGAGATGAGGCACAGTCGAAGCGTGGTATTCTCACGCTGAGATACCCCATCGAGCACGGTGTTGTCACGAACTGGGACGACATGGAGAAGATTTGGCACCACACTTTCTACAACGAGCTGCGAGTGGCTCCCGAGGAGCACCCCGTTCTGTTGACCGAGGCCCCCATCAACCCCAAGTCCAACAGGGAGAAGATGACACAGATCGTCTTCGAGACTTTCAACGCCCCGGCTTTCTACGTCTCGATCCAGGCTGTGTTGTCCCTGTACGCCTCCGGTCGTACCACCGGTATCGTCCTGGACTCCGGTGACGGTGTCACTCACGTTGTCCCTATCTACGAGGGATTCGCCCTTCCCCACGCCATCTCGCGTGTCGACATGGCTGGTCGTGATCTTACCGACTACCTCATGAAGATCCTCGCCGAGCGTGGTTACACTTTCAACACCACCGCTGAGCGTGAAATCGTTCGTGATATCAAGGAGAAGCTCTGTTACGTCGCCCTCGACTTCGAGCAGGAGATCCAGACTGCCTCGCAGTCCTCTTCCCTCGAGAAGTCCTACGAGCTTCCCGACGGACAGGTCATCACCATCGGTAACGAGCGTTTCCGTGCCCCCGAGGCTCTCTTCCAGCCTTCGGTCCTCGGTCTCGAGTCAGGCGGTATCCACGCCACCACCTTCACCTCTATCATGAAGTGTGATGTTGATGTCCGTAAGGACCTCTACGGTAACATTGTCATGTCCGGAGGAACCACCATGTACCCCGGTATTGCCGACCGTATGCAGAAGGAGATCACTGCTCTTGCTCCTTCTTCCATGAAGGTCAAGATTATTGCTCCCCCGGAGAGGAAGTACTGTAAGTTATCCCCCTGATTTTCTCTCACGATTAGGTGTGATGGATTTCCGCTGACACGTGCGCAGCTGTCTGGATCGGAGGATCTATCCTTGCGTCCCTTTCTACCTTCCAGCAGATGTGGATCTCGAAGCAGGAGTACGACGAGAGCGGTCCTTCGATCGTTCACCGCAAGTATGTATCTCCGAACCTCTTTATCGATGCTATCAGTACTAACCGTCTGCTACTAGGTGCTTCTAATCGCCGTCTGTTTTTTTTGCGCATGGTTGTGTGCTTTGGGCAGGGGGAAACATGGGATACTTTTCAGCGACTTTCCGCAATGATAATTAAACAACTCCACGAAAAATGGGAAAGTGATGATCGTCGTAGTCCGCAATGTGACAGTTGGATGGGGGTTGTTCGATTGTTTTTTTTTTTTTTCTGTTTCATACTCGGTTGCCCTTTTTTTTTGTTGTGAATTCGTTTTTCAGTAATGTAGCCAGTTGATTGTTTTCTCCGAGGGAGAGGAGCATTCGCGAATGTTATCCGGTTTCCTCGTCACTTGCTTTCTCCGGTGTACTCCATTGCAGTGTCGATCTTCAAAAGCTCAAGATATCCTATTGTGCATCAGTCTGTCCTTTCCAGGCTAACGTAATCTTATCTGATGCCAACCACGCTTGTGCACTTGATGCTGTCATAGCTTGATAGGTTCACGTCCCTGTCTGTCCTGTCCAGGAACAAAACCCGCCAACTTTCCCCCCTCAACACTTTGATCTCTTCAAATCCCTCGGATTCTGAAGAGTGTGCGCACCATGTTGCCCTTCATAGACCTGCGTACATACCTTCCTCGTTCGTTCCCGTGACAATGAACTGACTGACCGGAATAGCTTTCGTTTGGCTTGCCAACGCGATTGGCGCTTCGAAAGATGAATGTATGTGTCCCCCCCGCCGTCGCCCGTCGCCCGTCGCCCGTCGCAGCCGTTCACATTTAGCAGTAAAGCTCATCTTCACGATCCTCGTATCCTACCCCTTCGCCGGCCTACTAAAGCGCTTACCCGACGCCGAACCATGGAAGAAGAGCGTATTCCTCATCGGGTCCGTCCTGTCTCCCTCCCTCCCCACGCTCTCCCGCTGATAGGCGCAGGATTTCGTTATTCTATCTCCTCGGCGTCTTCGACTTCTGGGAGGGTATCCGCACGCTCTTTATATCCGCGGCGGGCGCATACACCATCGCCGCATTCATTAATGGACCGTTCATGCCGTGGATCGGATTCGTGTTCTTGATGGGACACATGCTCTGGAATCACATCTACAGAGAGCTGCATCCCGTGCCGGGCGTGGTCGATGTTACGGGTGCGCAGATGGTGCTACTTATGAAGGTTCGTCCGGGGGACCCAAGGATACTGGCTAGGCTAGGGTGGAGGATGGACTGACGGGTGATAATAGTTGACGGCGTTCTGTTGGTCGGTTCATGATGGTCGGTTGCCGGATGAGGTGAGTGAGAAATGAGAGACGGCGGGGCGGAGGCATGAGTGCTAATAGTGCGTAGGAGCTGTCGGAGTTCCAGAAGGACCGGAAGATCACCAAGATGCCGAATCTACTTGATTACGGAGCATACGTTGTTTGTACCCCCTCCGACCCCGTCGCAGCAGGAGTGCTAAATTGCGGTAGTTATTCTTCCCCTCGCTTTTCGCTGGCCCCGCCTTCGATTTCCGCGAGTATCAGCGCTGGATCGACTGCACCATGTTCGATGTCGTAGCCCCAGACGCGAAGCACGGCGGAACGAAGCGAAAGCGAAAGATCCCCAAGAGCCACGTGCCCGCCATGTGGAAGGCCGTTTACGGAATCCTGTGGATAGTCGCGTTTTTGAAGCTCGGTTCGGTTTACACCACCGAGTTTATGCTTAGTGATGAGGCTATGACTTATTCTTTCTTCCGACGGTGAATCTCTATGGGTACCTGTGACCGAGTGGTGGCTGACTGGTGGCAGGTTATGGTTCATATACGCCTTCTGTTTCACCGCAAGGACGAAGTACTACGGTGTATGGTCGCTGACCGAGGGTGCATGCATCCTTTCCGGGCTGGGCTATAACGGCGTGGACGAGAACCGTAAGGCGAAGTGGGATCGCGTTACGAACGTCGACCCTTACGCTCTGGAGACCGCTCAGAACACGAAGGCGTACCTTGAGGCGTGGAACATGAACACTAATAAGTGGCTCAAGAACTACGTATACCTCCGAGTTACGCCTAAGGGAAGGAAGCCCGGGTTCAGGAGTTCGTTGGCTACTTTCACCACCTCCGGTATGATTTATCCAGCCATCCATATTGACTTCTCGGTTGCTAATGAAACCCAGCCCTGTGGCACGGCATCTCCCCGGGCTACTATCTAACCTTCCTAACCGCCTCGTTCACCCAAACGACTGCCAAATACTTCCGCCGGCACGTGCGACCTCTCTTTCTCAGTGCAGAGGACCAAAAGACTTCTGGCCCGTATAAGAAGTTGTACGACATATTTAGCATGCTCGTAACGCAACTTGCGTTTTCCTACATTGCGGCTCCATTCATAGTCCTCACCTTCTCCGGCTCGGTGACAGTTTGGGCCCGCACCTATTTTTTCGTCCACATTGCCATCATTATTTCCCTCGCATTCTTTTACTCTTCGGGGAAGAAGTGGCTAGTCAAGACGCAGCAGCGAAGACTCGGCAGGGCCGCGGAAGAGGCGGAAGAGGAGGAGGAGGTGCTGCAGCGTACCGGTGGTGCGCTCGGCCTGCCAGAGGATCCGGAAGGTGATCTGCTCGAGATGCGCAGGGAGGTGGAGAGGGCAGTCGAGAACAGACGCAGGAACGGTTCGTTTACGGGCGTGGTCAACGCGAAGAAGTTGGCGAGCAAGGTTCATGTAGGGAAGAAGGCCATGTGACGGAGTTGCTTAGGATCGTTGAACGGAGTGGCGTTTGTTTGTTATATCCATGGACTGGCTGGCTGCACGGTTGGATGTAGATGTAAAGGGGCTATATATCTTAATATTTATTCATTTCTCCTTCTACCTACTAGTACTCTATTCATCGCCAAGTATTACATCAACTCAACTCAACTCGGCTCAACTCAACAGTGCAAACAATAAACACGTCCTCTTCCAATACTCACTCGCCGCGCCCTCAAGCCGTATCCTCAGCTCCTCGTCCAGCTCGACTTTGCCCCCCATAACTGAATCGATCTTCCCTACAAGACTCGTCACAGAACTCCCGTTGGTGCTTCCGCGCCGTCGCTTGCGGTGCAGTGCTTCGTCCAGGTAGAGGGTATCGAAGAGGAGCTGCAGAGCCCAATCGCGGGTTACGTACGGTTTTGGCGTAGGCGCGGGGGTTGGTTCCGCCGCCGGGGGTGCAACTTCCTCCTCCTCGCCGTCGTCGGCTGGTGGCGGCGGCGGCGAGGATGGTGCCACTGGCGGCAGTGACGGGGGAGACGGAGGAGGAGGCGGAGGCGGAGTATCGTCGGTGGAATTTTTCCATTCGCGATCCCTCAGGACCTCCTCCATAGCGCCCCACATATGGTTGCACGCCCTAGCCTTGACGGTCTTTACGGCGGCAGGGGTCCAGACGTCCTCGCCGGCCAAGCGCATTTCCTTGACGATCTCGTTCAGGAATCTAAACACGAGCGGGCTGGGCTGGACCGGCAGCGGCTCCATGTCCGGCTGGTGCTCGTACGCTTCCCACAGCGGCCGCGAGATCACGGGCGCCTCCCATTTTCGGCGCTGCAGGAGCGTGGTCACGGCTCGGATCGGAGGCGTCGTCACCGCTTCGGCGATGGAGCCGTGGAGTCGCGGGATCAGCTCTGCGCCGAACCACGAGAGCGAGATGATCGCGTTGGCGTTGGCGTCCTCGCCTTGCCGCTTGGGCGGTAGCTGCCGGATCTGCCGGATTGCGCGCAGGAGGAAGACGGTTTGTCGTCTGGTGATGGGAATGGGCGTGAGTTCAAATGTGGATTTGAGGGACCGCTCGAGGAGCCGGTAGACTCCGTCTAGGGCACTGGTGAGTTCCTTTTCGGAAAGGAAGGAATCTTCGATTCCGGCTTGGGAGCGCTCTTCTTCCGATTCAAAGTCTTCGTCTTCTTCTGTGCTGGGGTATGAGGAGCTGCGGAGGTCGCGCGCGATGGTCGCGATGGCGGAGATCCGAGAGAGCCAGGAGGTGTAAACGCTTAGGAAAGAGAGAACCACCGGACTACGGCCGTGCACCCGGTTGGAGATGCTGGTACGGAAGGAGAGGGCACCATTGGTTAGGTCGATGCTGAGGGGGGTTTCGGGCCAGAGGCTGGTAGAATCTAGGGAAGAGCTGTTAGTCCTGTCATGGTCGAGATGGTCGGGGTGGAATTACCGTCCGATTCGTACTCCGCCTTCGGAAGCAGCGCATGTATCTTCTCTGCAACATGTCTGAGTTCCTCGGCGACGCTCTTCATCACCTCCACCACTCTGTTCATGAGAATGGTCCTGAAATTCTCCCCGCATCCGCCGCTGAGCAGTTTCCTTCTGATCTGCGCGCCGGCTCTCCACAGTGCCAAAGCCCCACTACGCAACTTCACAATGTCCGCGACATCGTTCATCGCCTCCAGCGTCTTCTGCAAATTCTCATTCAACTTGACAATCTCCTTCTCGGCCCACGCCTGGACCAACTCCTTTACCCGCACCTTCTCCAAGTCGTCGTGGCGCACCCACGGCGTGAAACTGCGGATATCATCCGGTAGCCAGCGCGCGTTGATGTCAAGGCTTAGCTCCGGCACTGCCGTGACCTCGGCGTCTTGGAGTAGGCTCTTCGATTTCAGCGCTACCAGTGCGTCGCTGAGCTTGCCCGGGAAGATTTCCTCCGTGTCATGTAGGGTGCGGTTGAAAAGCGCGATGGATATTAGGATCGTATTCGGCTCCGTACTCCGCTGCAGCGAAGACAGCGCCGTGGAACGGATATAGAGGAAGTGTCGTAGCACCTCCGACGGTGATGAGGTCTTGATGATACTGAACGCGGCGAGGGTAGAAACGAGGACGCGCGTGGCGAGCGGAGCAGACGAGGAGAGGAGCGTATCTATATGCTGTAACAATATGGGACGCAGAGTGCCGCACTGCGAGCGGAGGGTGGCTAGAAGCGGGAGTGAGTTCTGAGGGCCGGAAGTAAGTAGATGCTCCACGCGTGCGGGCGTGCGGGCGGAAACCTTCTCGGATAGTGACTTGAGGAGAAGCCGGGAGATCACGAAGACCTTGGAGGCGAGCAGGCAGGATGCGCCTTCGTCTTTGTGGAGGAGCCAGGAGATCACCGTGGGACAGGCCTCGAGTACTGCGAGCTGTGCTGCGAAGGTGTATTTTTCGCGGTCTGTAGCTAATCAACCAGCCGTCCATCCAACCTGTAACCGCTCGGGGAAGCTCCAGCATACCTCTCTTATCCGCAATATCGTTGAACAGGCGCAGGTTCTTCGCTTTCCGCTCGAGAAGTCGGGAATTACAATTCCTCGAAGCGTCGCCAAGGTGCGCCTCGACGTTCTGCGCGGCCACGTCCATATCGATTATGCGCTCGGCGGTCTGTAGTAGATCACGATAGCTCTCCCTGTCGCACCGGGCCAGCTCGACGTCAGTCTCCAATTGCTAAAGCTGGTGCGGTGGGGCATGGGAGATCGCTACTGACCCGACCAACCCCCGCAACTTCTCCTTATTACCCGCCAGGTCGGCACGCAGCTGTCGCTCCAGCTGCCGCACCTGCGGGATCGGATGCTGGAATGCGTCTTCCCACGTGGAGATGGAGGAGGGATCGATGGGGGCCGACATTTCGTGGGGTGGGCCGTTGGTGGGGGAGCTGCCAGGGAGAGGTGCCGGACGGAGAGTTCGGCGCGTGGAGAGGTGTAGTTAACGGAGTTTGCCGTGGGGAGATTATGCTTGTTTACGTTACGTGGCGCGAAGTGTGGGAAATGCAATGAAGTTAACACTCATGGCTTGCGGTGAGGATTGGCAGAATCGCGGAGGAATAGTGGGATGCTATGGTAACCAAGTAGTTGCGCGTCCATAGTTATGGCGCGGTTGAGGAATTCATAGCGGCAGCGGGTTGGGGGTGGTGCTTTACGCGGGTAAATGTGCTCTGCTTGACATGCAAGCTCCCTCCGGCCACCTGGGCGACGTTGAAACTTCATGGATGCGAGGATTCTCAAGGTCAGGCCGAGAAATCAGCTCCGAATAGATCTCCTCGGTCTAACTGGATCTAAGCCCGGGTTGAAGGAAGCCGAGAGTGACCATCGATGACGCGTCACCTGGCAGGCGGTGAAGAGGCGGGCGAACTGGTCTTGGCTGAAAAGCTTAAACCGACGTCGGCATCATCCGAGCGGAAGGAAGGCAACCCCCACCAGACCAGCCAAACAACGGACGAAACGAACTATCCTCCGCCACCGACGCCGCCACCACCACCATAACCACCACTATACCCACAGCCATAACACCACGACACCTCACTCAATCCACAAACAACAATCGCAATCATGGGAGGCAGCAATCTGGAAGTCTTCAAGGTCTGTATCACCTCTCGTTCTGCCATGCGAGCTAAACTAACGCACCCTCCACCGACAGTTCGGAATGTACGCCATCACCACCCGCATCCCACCCCCCCACCAAATCTCCAGCTAAGTTCGTTATGCAAGGTACATCATGTTCCCGATCGCCGTAATGTACTACTTCGGTACGAACCTCGACAACCGCTTCAGCGTGGAAGGCTTTTGGCCGAACCCCAACCAGACCCACAAGATCCCGCACGACAGGGAAGATATCGTCAGTGAGCTCGAGCGTATGCAGAAGCAGCGACTAGAGAGGCGTGCGGCCAGGATGGAGTTGGAGCCTTTGGACAAGGGGGAGAAGAAGCAGTAGTCGGATGTGCCTATGGCGAGCTGTGTGGTTGGCGGGGTAAACTGCTTGGGATTCGTACAACTGGTTTTTCGTGAATTTGGAGGAAGACGCGATGTGACGACGATGAAGACTTGTATCATTATTGTACTTTACGCTGTATGGCAATCACACCACCGCCACCATCACTATCATTCCGCCATGGCGAATGTTCTGGAGGAGTTGACAAAACGGGCACGCATAACTAACAAGTTGGTCCTTACGGTTTCGGTTCCATCTCCGACACAGTTTCACACAAAAAAGCTCGACGTCTCCAACACTAACCACGAAAAAAATCACTGAACAACTCCGCTGCCATACTGCGTAGTTTTCGTTGGAAGTCTTGGGAAGGAAGAGGTCTACGTAGTCGAAAGCAATGCGCTGGCCCAAAATCGAACGAGGCCACAAGGGGGAGTAGAATCAAGATTTAGATATACCCAACTTATCCCAACCGAGATACTTTCTTTTCATTCATCATGATTGCGTGCAACCTCTATCTAGCTCATGGCAATGTACACACTGGGTCCGGTTTTCCTTCCGGCTAGACAAATCTCTCCAACACAGAGGATGAGTTCGAAATGACGAGTGCTACCTCATGATATGTTCAGGCGTTCGTCCTTATAACGACTCTCATGCGGCCGTGTTCCTTGCCTGGGCCACGGATACCGAAATACTCGAAAATTTATCGCAGCAATATCTAGGACTTATAGCCCCCATAGGCTACTTATTTGTACGTAATAGGTAGTGACCATTCCTGTTAGCCACCCAAGTAGAGAGTTCTAGTGATCACGATAATGTCGGGCCGTGAAGCTCCGGGCTCAGTGGATACACACATGCAATAAGAACCAAGATTAGACGATGGGATAATAGTTGTTGAGGAACTCGACTCAACGTACCGTACTTTCACCAAAGTTAATGCCCCCCGGCTCGAAGCTTAACTAAGCCGACGCATTCTGGATGCGCATGCTGTCGTAAGTCCACTGTCAAAGCCTGACGAAAGTACGCAACATTTTATGTACGAGCAAGCAACCTACATCTTGTCTACATATTTCTATCGTGACGACCAAGAGGATCAACTCGCGCCGGCTTAACTAGCTCTTGCGGCCCTGCGACCCCGCGATAGGTATTCTAGTTGCCTGGAGCTACTGTAGCAAAGAGTGCTGGTATGATGTACTGTGCTATTCGGTTGAGATTCTGCGAATGATGGTGTTGGACGCTGGGCAACAACACTGCACTGAGCTCAACACCACATCCCCCAATGGAACCAGAAACTGACGTCGATAAAGAGGTGGCTGCACCCTAGTTACAAAGGAAGATGCAAGGGAATTCCTCTTCCTCCGAAATGTGCCGTAATCGGACTGCACAATAGTTACAGCCGACTACCTACCTCATACACACCGAAACCAATTGGAGCGGAGCCATATCAACTCTCTCATGGTTGGCACGCAAGCCGAGCCTCCTGATGATCGCGATAAGAATAAGTAGACGTGTATGTATTCTCATAGTGACAAGCACAACGACCGGTGTCTCGCAAGTGAAGGGTGCCCTTTGAATCGTCACGAAAAGGCATTCTATGCAGGGTAACTGCTCTGTAATCCTGTCTCCCCTCGGCGGATTGATCCAGACTCCCCAGCGCCAATGCAGACAAAATTCCCCAGAAGTGCTCAATTTGCCGGCAGATCATCGCATAAGCTCATCACGTGGTGCTGTTTAGCCCCAGGTCTAACTGAGCACTTGGGCTGCGGCCACTCCCATTCGGGATGGTCTGGGTCGACATCGCTTCCTTCGTTCGCCCGTGGCCCCGCAGCTTGGTTAGGCCTCACCTCTTCTTCTCACAAGGAAACTGCTACTTATCTTGACTTGTCTACCAGCACAATACATCCCACAGCACAGCTCATCGCTCATCGATTGGTGCCGAGAACTCTCATCTATTCCCCCAAAGGCCACAGGCACGAAGTCGCTATAAATCAGAATCTCTCACTCCTGCCCCAACCCAGCCTCGCGAATTCCTCTCCGTCAAAGTCGCTTGCTTCTACTAGTACAACTCGAACGGCCCACGCACGCACGCTATCGATGGCTACACCCGCGGTAAGTTGCCCATCTCCACGGACGACCCCGATATCAAAACCACAGTCCCTAATGCCCGGCTCTCAACAGCGGGATTCTGCTGCTGCTGTTCCTGCCGAAAATCCAAAGCTTACGCTCCTCTCGCTCCCGCCCGAGCTCCTCGTCTACCTCTCGACCCACCTGCACACGAGCCAAGACTACCTGGCCCTCTCAATGACAAGTCGTCAGCTTCGCGCGTGCTGCTTCTCGCTTCGTCCGAAAGAGCTCCGCACCCTGATGGAGCGCACCATCGCCCGCGGCCTAACCGACGAGGAGACCATGACGCAGTATCTCGCCGCACTCAAGGACTGCAAGTTTTGCGATTGGTACTTCTCCGATGAACTGAATCGTCGTACCTACGCCCAGACGATGACGACTCGTCGCTATCATCTCATCTTGAGCCACGATCCCGACCACGAGACGAAGGACATCTGCGGCGGATGTCTCACGCTGGCTCTGGTGCTTAAGTATTGCTGGTACCCGTGGTATGAGACGATGGATGCTACCGATGAATTCCGCGCGAGCTACCTGTATGCCATTCGCGCCAGGGTTACTGACCCCGACAAGTATCTGCATCAGACCTTTTGATTCCAAATTCCGAATTCTGCTTCCGAACTCTGCTTCCGAAATCTGCTTTTCTCTTTCTTTCCTTCCTGCCTTCCTTCCTTCTTTTATTTTTGCGTACCATTCGTCGTGAGAAGGTTTTACATATATATTTGATGTGCGGGGTCATGCCGAGTTTCGGAGTTGGGAGTTGTCGAGAAACGTCTGTATCTTTTTTTAGGTGTTGGTCTGTTGGTCTGGCAGTGTTATATCATGGTTGCTATACCTCAATGTTTGTTATGATTGCAATTGAATGCTCGGTTTCAGAGCGGTATGATCTGAAGTATCTCAGCGGGTTCTGTTTCACCCTATAAGTAACGTCTCGCCATGGCTACCACAATGGTTACTTCGCAATTCACTTTGGAATAGGTATTGAAACATCAGTGGGGCTGAGATTGCTCTATCGTCAAGTATATGGTACAAGCAATATACACGTTCCATCTCGTGCCGTCTACAACTGAGAGAATAAAGGTTATTCTCTCATGCCTTTGCATTGGTATAAATGTCGTTAACTTCAGGCACATCTTCTAGCTTTGCCAGCAATTCTTCCAGCGAATCGGCCGTCCTCTCTTTGTCCACTTCGATCATGGTATCCTCGTTCGGCACCCACTCGATGCCGTAGGTGATGATCTCGAGTCCCGGAAGCTTCTCTTTCACTTCTGTAGCGACCACTTTGATCTGCGCCGGCTCTGTGGTAATCAAGATCTCGGGTTTCCCATCTTCCCCCTCGGCCACCTCCTCGACGTCCTCAGTCCCTTCGATCTCCAGGGCGGTCTCCAGCACGGTATCAAACGTATGTCCTCCCGACTCTGCTAAAATACGCACGAGTCCCTTCCGCGAGAACAGGTAGGCCGTCGGCGTAATCTGCACGTTGTGCTTGGTGAGGATGCACTTGACATCCTGTAGCGTGCGCAACTTATTATCCGTGGAGCAATCGATGACCAGCGCGACCTTTCCGGGGCCGATGGCCTCGATCGATACGGGCTCCAGCGCGACGCCGGAGGCAGACTTGCCCTGTCCGCGCCCTATGGCCGTGGTTATCCGATCCTTCGGCATGCCGGCTGGTGTAAATTAGAATCAGCCCCGATGGCAGGTAGTATACAACAGGGGAGTTCTCACACTAACCCTTTTTTGCGGCCTCAATGGCGGCCTTGAGCCGGAGATTCGAGGGATCGGTGCCTCCATCGCGCACCGCAAAGCTGATTTCCTGGCTCAGCTTGGAGTAGCCCGCGCCTCGCCGTGCATCGACTTTGGCTTTGTCGTGCTTGATTTTGGACCAGCGGCTGTGGCCCGAGGCGGTGGTGGAGGTGGAAGTGAACGTGCGGATTCCCTGTGTGGCAGGGCGGCGGCAGGTGTATGTGGTGGCATTAGCGGTGGCATTGATCGACGCCGTCGATGCGAATGAAGCGCGGCAGAGACATTGGAATGTCCGAAATACTGGAGTGCGCATCGTGAGACGGTTGTGGTGGGGGAATGGCGACGGCGGGGTCCGGAGGTGGAATATTCATTCAAGGTTAACTATTTTTGAGCCATCAGGAGCCCGCCGGGACCTACTCGCGTCTTGGCATGACAGGCTGCTGCTCCTGAACCAGCGCAGCTGTCCCCCTCTTGTGCGTAGTATACCGCATCTCCACCATCTCTCCTCCGTGAACCCTGATACTTCCCACGCACTACTACGCTACCCCCCTCCACGGCACTCGCCCACAATGGCTGTCGAGATAGCCCCCGAGGCTGTTCAGCTGGACCTCATAAAGCTCTCCGCCATCACCGACGAGCCGCAGCAGCAGCTATACGTTCTCAACTTCCTGACGAGCATCGAGCGCTTGGTCGAGCGGCTCGACGCGGACGGTGCCTCCGCCTACCAGCTGTTCGTCCAGCGCGAGCTCCTAAAAGTTATCCAGCTCACCGTGCCGGCGCCCACACGGTTAACACGCAACATCCTTGGCCGGTGCTTCTCGGGAGTGTTCTCCAAGGGCGACCGGAAGCTACTCTACGATTCGGTTAACGAGCTGGTTGGCATCATCAATGGCGGGAAGGATAAAGACGTACGGACGAAACATGCGGCGGCGCATTGTCTAGGGGAGATCTTTGCGGTTGCGGGTGACAGTGCTATATCGGTCTCGACGTTTGCTTGCAGCTCGTTGTTGAAGCTTCTGAAGAACTCTGGAAATAATTGCGGTGTCAGGAGTACTACGCTCAGGGCTATGGGAAACGTCTTTAAGCTGCTTGGCCCTATGGCGGATGAATCCATTGCAAGGGATATATGGAAGTCAGCAAGGAATGCGGCCGCTGGGGACAAGGCGGCGGTCGTGCAAGCTTCGGCTTTACAGGTAGTTTTCGCCGGAATCTCTCAGGGTCGCGAATTACTGATGTGGATGGGTGAGCCGGTAGTGTCTGGAAGATATGCTCAAGAGCACGCCTTACTTTACTACACTTCAAGATTACGAGAAACTACAAGCCTCAATACTCAAGGCATTCGACACACAGTCAGCGAATGTACGGAGGGCTGCTGCTTCGTGCCTGGCTTTGACATTGGTCCAGGCATACTCGACCGATCCGGAGATGCTGATCAACAAGAATCTCAAGAAGGCTAAGAAGGTGAAGCGATCGTCGGTGGCACTTGAAGATGACGACAGGGTGGTAATGGAAAGACCAGGATCGCCGGCCCCGTCGAAGAAGACGGTAGTACGGATGGCTCTGTCACTGGATGAAATATTGCGGCAGCTCTCTGGACAGTATACAAAGACAACGACACCGCCGCGAGTCCGTGCGGGTATTGCGCAGACATATGTAGAAGTTATGATGCGTTTTGGCACGAGTATTGTGGAATCAAACTACGCTACCATCTCCAATCACTTGCTCGTAAAACTGCTGTCAAGCCCGGTAATCACTGCCAACAGATTCCGGCTGCTGACTACGAGGAAATACGTAAGGGTCATCTTGGAGGAAGTGATCGGACAGAGGCTGCTGGGGGAGACCGGCCAGCTGAATGCCGCACGGACGCTGGTGAACGACACCATCAAGGACTATCCACAGGTCATCAAGGACAAGCCCGAGCCCAGCAAACACACACTCATCGGTGCATTGCATGCATTGTCGTCTCTCATCAAGGCCTTGGGATCCGCCACAACGGGAATACAGGATGCGATTAGAGATGGGCTCTTGCAGGTCATCCAGCATCCAAACTACTCGGTTCAGATCACGACGAGTTGGTGTCTACGGGCATTCGTCATGGCCATTCCATCTCAGCTGCTCCCGATCCTCACTATCTGCATGAACAATGTCAACCGCGAACTGACGCAACTGACCACTCGCCGGCCACTATCGACGGAGACCATACGGCGGTGCACCGGATATGCCAATGGACTCGCCGCGGCCATAAGTACCGCCCCTGTACAGCCGTTGTACGCGTCGGTGGATGTCACATCCCGCATCCTTTCCATGGCCACAAACCTGCTGAAGTCCAGTGGCGAGTACGAGCTCCGGATCTCGAGCACACAGATTCAAGTGGCATGGATCATCATCGGCGGACTGATGGCGCTGGGACCGAATTTTGTCAAGATACATCTCTCGCAGCTTCTCCTGCTGTGGAAGAATGCATTGCCCAAACCGCTCGCGAAGGATTCGACGACGGAGCGGTCGATGCTGGAGCTCTCGTTCCTGGCACATGTGAGGGAGTGCGCGCTCGGGTCGATTCTTTCCTTTCTGGAGTTCAATCACCGCCTCCTGACGACCGATGTCTCCAAGCGGATAGCAGCGATGCTGCAGAATTCAACGCTCTTCCTGAACGGACTGCCATCCCGCAAGACCACGGATGACGTCACGCAGCTCCTGCAACAGTCGCTCCAACTACTCGATTTTGACCTTATGGTGCGACGGCGAGTGCTGCAATGCTATGTGAAGCTCGTCAAGCTCTCACACGCCGAGGCGGTTCAGGCAAACCTGTTGACGATTGCGGTGAGTTTCTTCGCCGATCCGGAAAAGTACACGCCGTCGTCGCTCAGCACCGCCATCGCCACGGCAAGCAACTTCGAAAGTCTATGGGAGATCGCGGATAATTACGCGTACGGTGTCACCTCGTGTGTTAAGGGCTACGATGTGGATGCGTTTGCGTTTGAGGGCCGGGGAAGCAAGAAGACTATTAAGCATTGGATGACCAGGGATAGCCCGGATGCTAGGATCGAGGATTCGCTGCATACGCCAGTTATTGGGTCAATCGAGCATGACTCGGTGAACCTGTACCTTTCCGACCCGCAGGGGGAAGAGGCGTCGCCTGCCCCACCGGCTACGGCAGTTGTCAACTCGGCGATTGATCTATTCACCGCGCTCCTGCCGATCCAGCAGCCAAAGGTTCAAGAGAGTATCTTGGAGCAGATCGCCACGTTCCTAGCATCAAATACCCTCCAGCGGGACCCAGGACGGAAGGCCGCAATGACCGTTAACGTCGCTGTGGCACTCCTCGGCGTGACCAAGTTGACCGTCAGCGGTGAGGTGCCGGGCGCGAATCTTAGTGCTCCTAGCGTTCTCAAGATCATTTCCGAACTGCTTCAGGGCTTCGTGGTTCTTCCAGACCCATTCGTTAGAAATATCGCTTATGAAGCGCTGGGAAGGCTTTGCAGCATCGGCGGGAATAATTTCACCGGGAATATCATCAAATGGCTGGTCGATACGGTCGTCAACAATCGAGATCCGAATGCTCGCGCTGGTTCCGCGGTAGCTCTGGGCTGTATACACTCCCATGTCGGTGGCATGGCTGCCGGGTTCCATCTCAAGACTATCGTTGGGATTCTCATGTCCCTTAGCAGCGATCCGCACCCGATCGTACATTTCTGGGCGCTGGAAGGTCTGGCTAGGACCATCGACTCGGCTGGATTGACCTTCTCGGGATATGTGTCCAGCACGATGGGAATGTTATCCCAGCTGTATGTTGCTGAAACGCATAACGCCGAAGTCTCTTCACTGGCGACCTCGAATCTGGAGCTGGAGCTGCCAACCACGGGAATTCTTGTCCGTTGCATCGACTCACTGATCGGTGTCCTCGGCCCGGAACTCCAGGACATGAGCAAAGTGCGCGAGCTGATTCTAACCATGGTCGATCAGTTCCTTAAGGAATCTGACAACCTCACGGTGATGGAAGCGCTCCGCTGCCTGGAACACTTCTCGATGTTTGCACTCGGCCATGTGGATGTCACCCGGTACCTCAAGATGCTGCATCAGGGACTCGGATCCGACGACGGCGAGATGAGGAATGTTGCCGTGGATGGATTGTACCAGCTCCTGAAGGCTCATGCAGAGAGGATCCTCAAGACGGCCGACCCGAAGCTCGAGGAGCAGTTGTGGATTACGCTAGACGAAAATCCCACACACGAAGGTGTTCGGAATATCGTACGCAACTGGATGGGACAGACAGGAATCACTAAGACGGGTGAGTGGGTGGATCGCTGCCAGATGGTTATGACAAAGACGGTGGAGAGGAAGGGCGGTCTTGCCGTACACGAAGTACCTAAGCCTACCGGCGGGACAACGACGGATCTTAATGATGAGGAAGTCGCGGGCATGGCTGGCAACGAGGCCGAGTCAAAGCCGACGGGACAGGAGCCACTGCGATGGCAGGTACGGACCTTTGCAATAGAGTTGCTAGGAGAACTACTGTCGCTTTCTGCAGAGGAGTTGGCAAGGAATCCAGAGTCACCACTGCAGCAGAGGCTCCTCGAAAAGATAGGTGATATCATCAAGATGGCGTTCTCCGCGTCTACCGCGAATGTGGTTGATCTCAGGATCGGTGGTCTGAGGATTATCGATCAGGTGCTCAAAATGTTTGGACACACCGCGGACCCGGATTTCCCGGATGCACCGCTGCTGGAGCAGTATCAGGCGCAGATTGGAAGTGCATTGACGCCGGCATTTGCCGTGGATTCGAGCCCGGAGTTGGCGACGCAGGCGGTCAATGTTGGCGCTGCGTTTATTGCAACCGGTATCGTGAAGGACATTGATCGCATGGGCAGGATTTTGAAGCTCGTTACGCAGGCACTGGAGAATTTTTCGAGTGAGTTGTGTGACACATTGCCAGTTGCACAAGAGTGCTAACTTTTATACAGCGGATGCGGAGAACGCATCAATTGGGGACTTGAAGGGACTTAGCTCCAATGCCCAGGTTATGGTCAAAATGGCGGTACTCAGGGCCTGGGCAGAGCTTCAAGTGGCCAGTCTGGAGCAATCATATCTGGTTGATGTCGTTAAGCCCCATATCACCACGCTTGCTCCGATGTGGCTCTCGTCGCTACGGGAGTTTGCACGGTTGCGGTTTGAGCCGGATATCTCTGCCGGTGGATCGGGATCCTCGTCAATTGGTGGGTCGATCGAAACGATCTATGCTGCCCTCAACCGCGAGACTTTGCTCGGTTTCTATCAGGACTCTTGGTTGAAGCTGGTCGATGCGATCGCCAGTTTGATTGAACAGGACAGTCAGTTCGTTTTCGACGCTCTGGATGGGAAGTCTTCTCCTCCAGGAGCGGTCATGAGCACGACGCAACCCCGCGACGATATTAACTATAGAGACGAGCCGGTGGCGTTCTTTTTCGTGCTGTTTGGTATTGCGTTCGAGGCGCTGGTCGCACGGCCGGGCGTGGACTCACTGGCCACAAAGGAGCAGACCTTGGAGATTCTGCTGGCTCTTAAGAAGATTCTGCATCCATCTGTCTGCGGCCATGCAATCTACCAGGACACCATATTTTCAGAAACGATGGACCTGTTGGATAGACTTGTTCTCACGGAAGGCCTGGCAGTACAGTCGGCAATCGTGGACATTGCCCGAGCACTATGTGTGGAGCACCCCGCGGCCCGGAAGAAGGGTGGAAAGGATGCCAAGAGCGCCGATGGGTTGACGGAGGAGATTGACCAGTTGTTTGAGCTGACCCGTCTGATCGTGCTGGTCCTTGCCGGCTTGTTGCCGAACCTTGTCGATTTGAAGACACAGATCCGACAGCAGCTGAGTGATGAGGCTACAAACTTGATCAGAGTCAGTCTGGATGCCCTGGTGGATGCGGCCGAGGTCTTCCCGGCGGTCATTAGGATGGATCTGTACGCGTCGATTCTGCATGTCTTTACAAGTAGGTTTGCCTTGACTGGTTGCTCAAGACAGCGGGCTGACAATGTGGTATCTAGCGATTTTTGGCACGGGTGTTTGTCAGTCTGATGTCGTCCCTCGTTCACTGCCCATATTCAAGAGGTTCATCACGATCCTCACGAAGGGATCCAGTAAGAATGATGCGGATCTTGTGGTCATGCAGGCCCGCAGCTGCCTTAGCAGCATCATGCGGGTCCTCGAACACGCTAAGTATGTGGCTCGCCCCTCTCCTACCAAACAATCACTGACAGCCCTAGAATCCGCGGTGAAGTCGGCATCCCCTGCGTCCGAAACACCCTGATGGCCGCCACAATCGTCGTTACCGCCGGCGTCAACATCCTGCCGACGAATGAAGAGCACTTACCCAAGCTCTGCGACCAAATCCTCAGCTCCCTGGACGACCCCCTTACCTCCACTATCGCCGTACAATGTACGCGGTCGCTCGTCATGTCCTCCCCCAAAACCGCCTGTGACCAAGAAATAATCCGCAATCTTCTCCCCAAGCTGATCAACTTTGTCACGACGACCACGCCCTCCACGCCCGCAACCGGAGCCGTGTGTGCCATCCTCACCACTTTCGCACGTACGCTCTTTGGCGAGACGCAGATGCAGGTCGCAATTAGCCTGTTCGTGCCAATGCTGCTGGAACGTGCACGCATCGATGGCACCCCCGAGGTGGGAAGGGAAACCGCGACGAGACTGCTCGAGCTCGCACAGACAGACCAGAATGCGTTTAAAGCGGTGGTGGCGAACTTGGATGCAAGGCAGAGGACATACATGGAGGAGGTCTTGAGGAGTAATGTTGCTGGGCCGAGGAGGGAGGTGGTAGTGGGGAGTGGCCAGCCGAGTATTGCGCTGAAGATGAATTTTGGCTAGATGGTAGATGAGACAGTGTTTTGATGGTTTTCTTGCGGTTGTTCCGAGCGGTCTTTTGCTGTTGAAGAGGACTGGAGGTTGTGGTTGTGCGGTCTATTTACTTGCTTTGCTTGTTGATGTTGCTGTGTGCTGTGTGCTGTACATACGCATGTCGATCTGGAGAGATCGATTATGATGGGTAATTCCGAATGGATTAGATGGAAATGAAGTGTCGGGACAAAATCCAAATGCGAGTGATAAGCATGACTTTCTGTACATCACGTGTCCATCGTGTCACGGCAATATCCGTCAACGATGCCACACGTATGTTGTACTCGTACTTCCTGCTTCGCGACATCATAGCACATCCACCGACATACGCCTCGCACCACCAGCTTCGACCACCACAACCACCTCGCACCACCCACCACCACCACCACCACCCACCCACCACCCACTACCCTCGACCCCCCCATCACCCACTCCTACACGATGCCGCCTATCCGCCACACGCGCGGCTCCAAGAAGCCGCCGCCAGAGGGCTTCGAGGAGATCGAGGACACGCTGCTGGACTTTGCGAACAAGATGAAGGACGCGGAGGCGGCGCCGCACGAGGGCAAGAAGAAGAACGAGGCCACGTGGGACATATTCCGGATTTCGCACCAACGTAAGCTATTGCGGGGGGGGGGCATCTTGAGGGTAAAAAAAAAATGGGTTGCTGATAGAGATGGGGGAAACGCAGGGTCGCGATACGTCTACGAGCTTTACTACAAGAAGGAGGCAATCTCTAAGTCGCTGTATGATTGGCTGCTGAAGAACGGATATGGCGACGCGAACTTGATCGCGAAGTGGTTCGTTGTCCATCCATCTGCTCCATCTGCTCCAGGAGGGAGGAGACTGATGCTGTGAATACACAGGAAGAAACAAGGCTACGAGAAGCTCTGCTGCATGCGCTGCATACAGGCGAAGGAACACAACTTCAATACCACCTGCATCTGTCGCGTCCCCCGCGCCAGGCTCAACGAGGAGAGCTCCGGGATACAGTGCACGCATTGTGGATGTCGCGGGTGTGCTAGTAGCGATTGATCAGGGGAGGGGAGGGGGAGGTGGGGGGGGAGGGCTGTATAATACCGGTACGGAGGCGAACTCTTATGATGGTTATGATGATGTTGCTGTTGCTGTTGCGTGTTTGTTTTATAATGCTGGGGGTGGGATGCATTTTGGGGGTGGAAATTTACTCCCCTTGTCTTTATGCTGTCTGCTGTCTGTAGGCCAGCGAGATTGAGATTGAGAATGCATCGGACAGTCTATCCACGGAGAGGCATGGTATGATGTGATACGGGGAGCTAGTTGATACAAGCTGCATATGTGATACCGTTCAAATATCTGCCAACAGTCTCAATACGTTTCGACGTGATGTCTGCCTGCCGCACCGAATAGCAAACCTCCTCATCCACGCTTTTTGCGATCAGTGTCACCCATCGCAGTAGAGCCCCCCGTGCTCCTCCCCAGTTTTCATCTTTCCAATCTCATCATGAGGTATATCTAAGCCGCGTGACACCGAGCATGCTTTCGTCATTGTGGATGATGGATTTGCAGAGTCGAGGGCCGGGCCCCGGTAGCATTTCTAATGCCGCTCAGAGCTCTGCACGAAGATAACGGTACCATCGGTGATTATAGTTGGACGTAAAGTGCAGCGGGAAATGGTCATATGTAGGATCTCCAGAATCTAACCGTAGATTTATCACTATCACTAACCATCACAACTCACTCTTCACCATTCTTTTTCTCCAGACAGCACTCGGAGGACGTCTTTGATTGCGGGACAAGAACTGAAGGTTACTATAGTGACACTTCTCTGCGCTTCTGATCCACCATGGTTCTCTCCTCTCCTCTACTACACATATGCGCCACCCCGAAACGGACTCCTCAACACTCTTGCCCAGCCCAGCTCATACAGGGACGTCCAAGTACCCCGTTATACTCAATTACACTGGTTAGGAGCTGAAGTTGACCAAGGTATGTATAAGCAGAGAAGCTGAAGTTGACCAAGGCATATATAAGCCCGGACACGAGACGCCCAGGAGTCAGGACGAACGCTGACGACCGAAATCCAGAGCCCAGACTCGGTCACTCGGCGGACATCTTGTACCTACTTATTCTTTCTTGGGGAGGTTTCAAGTTTCAAGTTTCAACCAACCAACGGGAACGTGTACAGTACATACGGCGTTCTCGTTTGCGGCCCACATGGTTTGGAAATGTCGACACCGCCAGCGGCGAGGATGCTGATGGAGCTCTCCGAGTTCTCAGCATCACGGGGTCGAACATAAGCTATGGGCTTACGGGAATTCGACTGCTCTTGCTCTTGGAGTATGTGCCAGTAGTCAACAGTACTCATCAGCATCCGAGAGACGAGAGACGAGAGAGATGGGCTGGAGACTAGTTACTGACAGCACCCGAAGCAGCTGGAGCCTGGGGAGACGGCACAAGCTGATTTGGGACCAAGGACCAAGGACCAAGGTTGGCTGCGTCGGTGGCCGCTCCCCCCTCAGGAATCAGTAGTTAGTGGCAGTCCATAGTTTGGCTGATGCTGATGTTTTTTCGTCGTGCATAGATAGCTTTCCGTGCTCAATGTCAACCGCATCACCACCCTATGTACATAGGGATTCACACCAGCCGATATCCCTATTTGCAGTAGGTATTCCCAGCACTCCGGTACCTACTGTACTGTAGCGTAGCTTAGCTATAACCCAGTTTCAAGACGCTTCTACAGAAGCGCAAGGCACTGTAGGTACCCCCCGGGCTCCCAAGTGCCGTCTGTGATGCAGATGCAGATGCAGCTGGCGCTTTGTATGTACACAGTGTTCTCCATAGTCCAGTCCAGTCCAGTCCAGCCTGCAGTCTGGACTGCCAAATTCCAGTCCCGTCCGTGCCTTTTGGAGGACGGGATAAAAGTAGTCCGTCCGACAGACACCTCCGGACGGACTGGATGTATGTAGTCCAGTCCCGTCCATGGGTCCAAACGGACTGGACTGGACTATGGAGAACACTGTATGTTGTACAGGAGCAACTTGCAGTCCATCGTCATTGTCACCGGCGGAATCTACCACAGTTACCACAGTTACATACAGATGCTTACAGATGCATCGTCGCCGCTCTGGTGTGCTTGCCAGCTCCCGATGGCTAGGTACCTAGCCACCTACCTACCTACTACCTAGCATGAATGCGTGAATGTGTGAGTGGAGAGCAGCAGCAGCAGCAGCAGCAGCAGATATGCAGGGATGCAGATATGCAGCGGAGAATCGTAAATGCCCGACGGTATCTGACTGACTGACATCGGCGAGCAGCCGCTGCGATGCGGATCCCCGTGACGGCGGGAACATTCAACAGATGAGCGTGGCGGACTTCTAGAATCGAGGTGAGATTGAGAACCCGTAGGTCCGTAGTTCTTTAGCGTGGAGCTCACATAGTAAATAGATGTGAGAGCCCAAGTGGCAAGCCGGACAAGCCAGGCTGATGCCGTGGCTGCCAATAGAGAGCTACCAATAGAGTCGAGCGTCGAGACTGGACTGGACTTGCTGCATTGTGGATCCCACTCCCAGCAGCACAGCAGGCCAGCAGCACAGCTTCCCCTTGCGGTCTTGCCGGCTCACCAAGGGATACCTAGTCCCTGTGTTTGTGTCTGTATCTGTGTCTGTGTCTGTATCTGTGTCTGTTCCTGTGCCAGCGGCAGCGTCCAGGCAGAAACGCATCCCAAGCTCCCAAGCTCCCAACAGCCTGCCAAACCCAAACCAATTCCGATCCATTGGCTAGGGATTAAACGTTTTAAAGTGCACTATGCACCCGCGCCACAGACGAGACGCGGATGACGACGCGGATGACATGATATGACATGGCAGGGCAGGGCAGGGCAGGGCAGGGCAGCGAGATGGATATCCCAGAGACATGCCGTGGGGTGGGAAACCCAACGGATATCTATCGACCTGCAGCTGGTCCGTTGGGTTCTAGCATAATCCAGCCGTGCCGATTCGTAGGAAGAGGATATACCGCCAAGGGCTGACTGACTGAGATGGCGTATGGTCTCGAGTGAGCAAGAGAGAACGAGTGGTGGCCGCTGTATCGCGCTCATTCGAGGGCATGGCATGGAACATTTTGGACGTACCCCGACCACGAAAGTTGTACTCTACTCTGCATAACCACATAACTGCATGTGTATCTAGAAGTGACATCGCTAACTAGAGGTGTCGCAAACGGCTGGACGGTGGGACCCAGGCTTCGAAGTGTGAACTTCGAAGGCCGCAAGCGCCGTAAGGCTGCAACTAGTGGTAGTAGAGTACTAGTTGTAGCCGCCGAGGACGCTGCCAACGTCGGCGTCTGCAACCTTAGCACCCCCACAGTACGCCAGTAAACGCACCCGATATGCCTCGCTTCGCGCCTTACCGCCCACCGCCCACCAACGCCGCCGCCGCCCTACCGTTGTCGTCACTAGAGTAGGCGTCACCTCCCGCTCCGGAGAACCGCGTAAAGTACCACCCCACCCTTCCACCACCCCACCGCCCACCCCCTCCACCCCACCACCACCACCACCCCACCAAAACTACCACCAAAACCAAAACCACCCCACTCCACCACCACCACCATCAACCTCGATCTCGCGTTCGCCATCGCCATCCTCCATGCCCATCCTACCCGCATGTCCATCCCATCCCCAGCCCCAGCCCCCCCAATTACCACTCCCCTCTATCCCTCCAAGCTCCGGAGTCCGTCACGCACATCATACCTATTCCTCCCACCCTCCCCCCCAATCAATCCATCCTACCCTCCCGAGTCCCGCCAGATGAGTGAAGGAGCGAAGGAGTGACAACTCATCGCCCTTAACCCAGCAACCCAGCACGTAGCTGAACATAGCTGAACATGAAACACACCCCCGGCCGGGTTGCCACACACACACACTTTACCATACAAATATATTTCCTTTTTTGGCTTCCGGGCGATTGCGTAAAGTACTGCAGCATAGATGATGGAGTAGAGTAGGTAACGGACGCGCTGCGCGACATCACGGGAGTTGTGTAGAGTACTAGAGTAGGTACGGTGGAGGGCGTAAAGTACCCTCTAGTTGTACCAAGCAGAGGAGCAGCAGATGGAAGTGCGTATGACGCAAATGCAATGAGTGAATTCCCCCCGTCCCCGTCCCCCAAGCCCCCAAACCCCGCCACAAACTCCGCCGCATGTCCGCTCCACTCCACCATGCCCGCTCCACCATGCCCGCTCCACCATGCCCGCTCCACCATGCCCGCCCCATCCTCATCCCCGCCCCATTCTCATCTTCATCCCCGCCCCGCCCCGTCCCACCGCAACAAAGAAAAAAGAAGCGACCGTCTCCCCACTCCCAATGATCAATCCATCCCGTAATCGTAATCCACCAATCCGACCCAGTAAAACCCGAAAAGAAAAGCAGAATCCCCACGCGCCAACCGGCCCAAACCCAACCCAACCCAAGCCCAGCAAACAAAACAAACAAAAAAAGATACAGATAAAACTGAACGAACCCGCAACCGAAAGCCAAACACCCCCGTCCATGCCCGCCCACTCGCCCCACTCGCCCACTCCCCCCGCCAAATCCCCCTCTCGTCGCTGAAGCCTGACTGTCAGTGCTTGCTGCCTAAAAAGAATATACAAAGAGATACAGGTATCGGATATCAAACAAACAAAACAAACAAACAAACAAACAAACAAACAAACAAACCGTCCGCCCATCCGCCCGTGCGTCCACAGCCTTGCGTAGTGCCCACGCAGTGCCCACCCCCACCCCCACCCCCACCCCCAGCCCCGTAACAAAAGAACAAAGCAACGCTCGCCCGCTCGATGGCTCGAAGTAACAAAAAAAGGGAGAGAAAAAGCGAAAAGAGAGTACAAAGTGTGCCTATCCTCACCCACCGATACAAAATGAAAAAGAATAAATCACTCGGAAAAAAAGAAAAAAAGAAAAGAAAAGAAAAGAAAAACGGCAAGCAACGGCTGAAAAATAAAAATAAAAAACGAAAAGACAGAACCCTCCCGCCCAGATCCTATGTAATGCTCGCTCGCTCGCCCGCCGCCCCCCTCACCCCACTCTGTGTCTCCCCCAAATTCGTGGTCGCGTTGGTCTCGTGGTCTCGTTAAAAATATGGGTGTAAAAGAAAAAGATCGCTGAAAAGTGTAGCAGGGAATAATACTACACCGAACCCGTAAAAGCACAAGGTCCCACAGTAAAAAGAATTCTTACACCCTCGCACTATGCAAAGTTCCCAAACTTTTCATGGGACGTGAAGAAAAAAAAAAGAGGAAAGGAAAAAAAAAGACTCGCTGGCACCTGTCCCAAACTGAAAAGAGGGCACATGGAAAAAAAAAGAAATAAAAAAAAAGATCCCCAACGCCGAGATTGCGGTCCGGAAAAGCCAGAAAAAAGTGAGAACCGCAACGGGTATCCGCCGAAAAAACTCAAAAGTTTGTGGTGTGACTCTTGTGTAAACCGGGCCGACTGCTCATACTGCCGTGGCCGGCAGTTGGAGATTCCGGGCAGTCGTTGGTGAACCTCTCGAATCCATTCCTCATGACGCCAAACACATCGACACCAAAGAGATCCGGGGTGTCAAAGAGCCCGTCGGCAAATATATCCCGGGGGGTGAACCGGATATTGTGTCCCGGAGAACCAAACGAGTTTCGGGGGACGATATCGTCGGCAATCGCAGTGGTATCCATAGCGAATTCATGGCAGGCGAAGGCGGCGAGGGTTGAACCCCACGGATCGTCGTCGAGAATGTCCACATCCCGAGATGGTGATTTGACCAACTGCCGGATCTTATCCCGATGGATGCGGAGATTGGTGTTAGGGCTGACCGATCTTGGTGGCTTTTGGGGTCGGAGGGTGGTGGCAGGGGTGAGAGGCGGCAGCATCGGGTTAATATCGTAACTCCTCAACGGAGACGAAAGGCCCAACATGGAGGAGTTGGGTGCCATCGTGGATCTGCGGGTCGGACTCTCGTGTTCACGGATGCGCGCAATGGCCTCTTCAGCCCTACCACGCTTGATCCTCGGCTTATCCGAGTCGGTATTGCTCGGACGGATGACCGAGGACTCCAACGACGAAAAGTAGCCACTGTCATTCATGGACGAAACCTTGCGCTTTCTCATCCCGGACGATGACGGGAACAATGGCGGTGGCGTCGCATCTCTCAAGGAGTGGTTTAATTGCGACCTCGTTAGTGGTGGAGACGAGCACATGATGTTGATATGAGGGGGCGAAGAGTTGGCAAGAATGATCCCTTGCGGCGAAGACGGGCGGAAAACATCGTCATCTTCAAGAAGAAGAGAACGACGGGTCGGTTCGGGACTGACGCTGCTTGCACTCCTCGTGGCATCTGACGACAGTGCCAGCACTTCCTCATGCAGACCACTACTGCTGACAACCTTCTCTGTAGCGTCCGTGCTCCCGGCATGTTCCGATTGGGAGGGCGTAGGCGTAGGGTCCGGTAGCTCAGAAGCATCCTCGTGTACCTGAATCTCAGCAGGTGTCGACTTTTTGTTCTTCTTGCCGGTCGAGGTGGTGGTGGTGGTGGTAGCGTCGTCAGCCTGAGAAGATTGTAGTTTGCTTTCCTGGGAAGACGAGGGCACCGGTGATGATGTCGCTGCTGGCACCGATGACTTCTTGCCAGATTTACGTGAGCTCTTGGTCTTCATGAACTGATGCTCGCATCCCTTCTGGATAACCCAATAATTTCCCTTTCCCGGATCATCCTTTGGCCTCTCCTGTTTCACGAATGCCTTGTTGAGGGACAGGTTGTGTCGGATGCTGTTCTGCCAACCATTGTTTGACGTCTTGTAGTACTGAAAGCTGTCGGCGATCCACTTGTAAATCTGAGCCAGAGTCAAGTGTCGACCCGGTGCTCGGAGGATGGCCATTCCAATCAGCGTCGCATAGCTGTACGGCGGTTTCTTCCCATCATCCAGGACCTGGGGGGGTTCCCACGTATCCGGATCAGGTATTGCTGAGTTGTTCGCCGACTTGTCCTTTGAAACCTTCTTCTCCTTGATGGGTGCCGACTCCATAAGTACTCGCCGAACCCCTCCTCCTCCCGGTCCCGCTCCCGGCTTATGTACCTTCCCGTCCAGTACATGCCCGTAGTTCTCCTTTTCGGCCATCGCCTTTGAGGCCTGGAATTGAGTGAACAAGGCAGCGCTCGGCTTCCGCTGAAGCGAGGGCATGGGTATCGCAGTGTCGAAAATGGTTACTGGCGGCTTCTTCATGGGTGAGTCGGTGGTGAACGCGTCCGGGTCCGGCGGGGGCATTGCAATCCGCTCGAAGGAATTTTCGAACACGATGGTAGGAAACGAATTCGGCTTGTGGTTCTGTTGCTTCCGCTTGAGTGGTGAGTTTCCGAGGCCCGCGATTGGCGGCCTGAACATTATCGACTGGAGGGGATTTCCAGTTGTCGATCGTAGGGGATTGGGTTTGCTAGAGGTCGAAGTAGTTGTTGCGGCGACGGACGAGGACGACGAGGCGGCGGCGGCGGTGGATAGTCGTGTGGAGCTAGCGGTCTCAGATGCAGGTGTAGCTGCTGAGTTGTTCGTCGAAGGTGGTGGTGGTGAGGGGGGGGTCTGTGGGAAAGGTCCGAGCACATCTCTGTGAATCGTCATTGGAGGCAGCGCCGAGCGTGTGGCGGCCATGATTTCCAGCGGGCGACAGGCTTTCGGGAAGGCTACTGCAGCAGACCGAACAGAGGTGAGCGACGCGTGAAAAATAGCGCGAGGATTGCTGCTGTTCGGTGGATCGTTTTCGCCGGCAGATTGGGGGGTTTGGGGGGTGTTTGCGATGTAAAGGGAGTGATACCCGAGGAGTGGAGTCGCAGCAGATATGTAAGTGAGTATGTAGAGTATGTCGCAGGGAGGATAGGTAAGTCGCAGCGAGGTTTGCAGGGCGGCTGGCAGCTATAACGGGGAGGGCAGATAGGCGGAGGGGTGTGAGTGAGTGTGGAGGGGGGGAGGTGGTATAGACGATATGGGTATGGATGGTATAGGTTGGTCGGTATGGATGGTGGACCTTTGGTAGTATGGGTAGGGGCAGGGGTATTGGGGGGGGGGGGGGGGTGGAGGGTGGATGGCGGACGGTGGAGGGGGAGGATGGCCTGGGGGGGAGTGGCCTGGGGGGAGGTCTAGGACTGGGCGATCGCTTTGGGTGCGGCGTTGAGGCGGGCGCGCTCGTTTGCTTTCGTACAAGTCTGAGCGCCGAAACAGTGCAAGCCGGATATTCCGAACAGCCCTCTGCTGCTTTGGCGTGTTCGGGATGTCTTCGCCTTCTTGCTCCGCCTGGCTGTGACGTCTTTTCGCTTTGGGACTGTCTCGGGTAAATCCCGAGTGGTTTTCCTTGAGCTCGAGGACTCGATTGAGACGGAGGTTGATATCGAGATTGACAACTATGGAGATTGAGATTGAGATTGCGATTGAGATGGATCTGCTTGTCCGTCCTCCGCCGACCGTTGAGTGGTAGGAGATGCCTTTGTCTTGTTCTTTCTTTCGTTTTGGCCGGTCCTTTTCTTCTTCTTTTGGGTCCGTCTTTCTTCTTCTAGTCTTTATTTCTCCCTGCAACCTATTTTCTTGCGTGCTTCCGTCCGGCCTTTCCTTCTTTCTTTCTTTATTCCCCCGTCGCTCTGTATCCGGCAAAGGAATACTCTTCGGCAGACACGCTCTTCCTTTCCGGAAGTACTCTACTTTTTGTGAGCGGGACGGCAGACGGACTCGCGACCGGAGCCGGGGAACGCACAGCAATCAGAGTGAGGACCCAGGCAGGCAGGGCAAGGCAGCAGCAACGCTTGAAGAAGAAGAAGACGAAGACGACAACGAAGACGACAGGCCGGGGGCAGGCCAGGACAGGGAGTGTTGAAGGTAGTGGTGGTGGGGGAGGGGGAGGGGGAGGGGGCACCGAGGAGAATAAAGACAAGTTCGACTGTTCGAGCAGCGACAGCCACAGCTCGTTCGCGAGCGAGCGAGAGAAAGGCAAAGGCGATGAGACAGCCGAACGGACAAGTTACAACCAACCTTCGTCGAAGACAGTTACGATGCAGTTGCAGTTGCAGTGGACGGAATGGAGTAGGTAGAGTGTGCAGCGTCCGGAAATCTTGGTTTTCCATTTCCCAATCCACTCTATTTCGTGTCCCCATCCATCCATCCATCCTACCATCCTCTCCCCTCCTGCTTCCTGCCTGCCTGCTCAAAGCACTATACATACTCTGGATAACCCTACATATCATACATATCACACATATCACACATGCCCACCACTCTACCTGCGGATCCGCCTGGACGCTAGAGTAGCTAACTGCGTTGCCGAGAAACGCTGCAACGGAATGACGAAAGTCGAAAGTGCCATCGTGCTATTTCCATAGCGATATGCTGTGTGTGTGCATTGTGTGTGTGTGTGTGTGCATTGTGTGTGTGTGTGTGTGTTGCCTCCGCTGCCGTGCAGTGTGCATCCCCCCCACCTGACGATGGGCGTGGTGGATGCAGTGGATGTGGTGGATGCGGTGGATGTTTTGGATGTTTTGGATGTGGATATTGTGGATGTGGATGTGGTGGAAGTGGATGTGGTGGATGTGGTGGTGGTGTGGTGGTATAGTGGAGTGGTGTGGTATGCTAAACGATGCTCGGTGGGGATGGATACTCTACTTGGATGGATGTGATGTCTCTCCCTCCGCTCCCACAGACACTCCGCTCCAGATGATGCGGGGCATGCGCAGCATGATTGATTGACCGACCGACCACGGACCATCACCAAGATATGTCGGCACGCTATGTAGGTGTGTATACGGAAGGGATTGACAGGTGAGGGAGGCCAGGGCGTGCGTGCGGTGCGTACGGTGCGGTGCGGATGATTCAGTTTCGGAGTCGGTCGGCATTCCATGTGTCTCCCTCCGCCTGCACCAATCGCTGGGTACGTAACCACATCCTGCTTCCATACTTCCCTGCTTCGCTGCTTCCCTACTTACTGCGGATCCAGAGTGCGGAGATTACTCGGACGACTGGAACTCGAATGGAGGCCAGTCGTTGAAACTTGACTACCTGCTCTACCGTACAGATAGCACGTCGAAGCGGTCGATCCGAATGGACGGCGAGGGAGGGAGGGAGGGAGGGAAGGAAGGATGGGAGGAAGGGAGGGAGGAACGCAGTGATGTCGTTGACTCGACTTGACGCAGCAAGCGAACCAAGCAGCTGTTGTTCACTCGCGCACTCGCGCACTCCCGCACTCTCCGCTGCTCTACGGTACTCACTCTACTCTACCTGACGTGCTTCGAGATGCCTAAAGAATCCACCACACCATCACACCACTTCACGCCATGCCATGCTGCTCTGGAGCTGCTCCGGAGACTGCACCGACGCTGGAGATACCCGTACATATAGCACTCTACATACTCTACATACTAGTAGATACATACCGGTAGGAGGCCGCTCCGCAGACGAGACGAGGCGAGACGGTAGGTAGAGTAACCAAGCAAGCACTTCCTACAACTCCCCTCAAACATTCTGACATCGAACTGCAGTCTGCAGTCTGCAGCTGTGCTCTGCTCGAGGTGCTCGAGGTAGAGTACTCTGCCTGCCTACCTGCCTGCCTACCTCCTACATACCGTATCGTATCGTGCAGAACCCCACCGGGCCGGACCAAACCGAGCGAGTTCAGCTCAGCTCCGCTGCCATGATCATCTTGACCACCATCTCCACCCTCCCTCCCTCTCATCGCCAGAGCAACCATCCTACAGGCCAAAAACCCCAAAACCTGAAGATTGCGTACCTACCGCATGAGTTGTCCTTCCTGCTGCACGAACGAACGAGCGAGCGAACGAAAGGATGGACGGACAGACGGAACATCCCTGCTCCCTGTCCGTGTCTCCGCGATCCGCCGTCGAAGACGAAGACGAATCAGGGCCGTGCTTGGGCGCGGGTGTAGATTACGTTGATTTGACCACCTCCATCACTGCTACATCTAGATACCTACATCATGAGTTCCCCACGATAACCGGTATGGGTATCTACAGTACAGTCCCACTTACATAGCTCGGAGGAAAAGAAGAAAATGGAAAAGGAAGCCTCATCCACCCCTCACTCAGCATATCCCCGGCGCCTCCATTCCCCTCCATTCCCGAGACTCAGTAGTTAGCCACTCGCCAAAGTCGCCACTGCGTCGCCGCAAACGCGCGCAAAAAGCAAAAAGCAAGGTTAGTAGTTACAGCCTATTTCGGTTGTTACACAGCTGACGGCGCTGCTGAGTATATGGGGTGCTCATCTCGATCCACGGCTTCTCACTCGTCGAGATTCGACGGTTACTAGAATGTAGGTGGTTAATGGTGGTTAATGGTGGTTAATATTCTGCACATGGTGAAACGGACCAAACGGATTAGAGCGTATTCTCTTGCTCGATTTGTCGATCTTTCGGCGGATGCGTAGGACGGTACGGTAGTGCGGAGTTAGGAGAAGTGCTTGTGAAGTAGGTAGATAGGATGCTCAGTACTATCTCGAGTCCTTCTCGCTCTTCTTTCCGAGTGTGTTTGTCCGTATGTGTGAGGGTGTGTGTCTGTCTCTGTGCGTGTGAGTGAGCGTAAACAAACCAGTGAACACACGACGAGACGAGACCATACGAGACAGTGCGTACGGTGCATACGGACCCGGACAAACAGATTATGCGGCGATCGGATCTCAAACGTTTGCTCTCCTCTCCCTATGCCCCTCACCCTACCCCTCCCTCCCCCTCCCTACCTGACTGTCTGCCTAGATGCAGCCTTGAAGCTGGAGCTATCTGGAGCTGGAGCTGGTCAATGATTCGTTCCTGGACGTGTAGTGGGGTGTGGTAGACCGACGAACAAGACCATATCGAGCCCCTTCCGTCCGTCCATCCGTCCATCTTTCCCATGAGCGTCGGAACATGATACTCGATCGTGCATGAATCCATCCCCTTTCTCCGTGTAGACGTGTCAATCGTCCTCGCTTCTTCATCCTACTCCTCCGACCCCTCCTCCGCTGGGGCCGGGTGATCCTCTCTCTGCACAGTCAATTGCGAGACATCTCACCCCCTCCCATGGCAGCTGCGAACGGAGACGGATCATCCAAAAATACTCCAAAAATACTGCAAAATACTCCAAAAATTCGGCAAAAATCCTGCATAATACAGCAAAACTAATAAAAAGGTAATTCAACCAAGCGGCATTAATTGTATTTGTATCACATCTAGCCTGGCGCGGATGATACGTAAAAGGAAATAAGAAAGATAAACAACCATTCCTCCGGATATCATCGCCATACGTACGTAAAACCATGAGATATCGTTCACATGCACCCCCGCATCCTCCCCCCCCGCACCCTCCCCCACCACCCCAATCTATCCACCCACACGACCACGCACACGGCCGCCCCCATCGAATCAAGCAAGATGCCTCTTCTCCAGCTGCTCAGTCTCGTTCTCACCGGCGGCGGTGGTGGCGGGGGGTAGCAGCCTCCGCACGGCCGTTCTCCTTCTCGAGCTTACTTTCTCCGTGGCTGTCCCTCTCCTCAGCATCCAGCTCGGGATGGGGCCTCCAAAAGTCCCTCTTCCCATCCACCAGCCTAGTAAGCCACATGGGCAGTATACCGCCCTTGATCTTCCAAGTCCAGGGGTCCTTGACCTCCTTGGCATAGGGGACGATGCGGCCGCCAGACGCCTTCTCGACGAGCCAGGCGAGGGTGTTGAGGATGATGTACGTGATGATGCCGGCGATGAGGCCGTACGCGATCGAGTACGTCATTGGCATGCACAGCAGCGTGATGAACGCGGGGATTGCGTCCCCCGGGTACGCCCAGTTGATGTCTGCCGCTGAACGCATCATCATGCTCCCCACCAGGATCAGAGTGCACCCTGTTGCCCACGGCGGGATCGATGCGAAGATGGGCGCGAAGAAGATGCTAGTGGGAAGGATGTGAGCGGTGGGCGCACTGGTGGAGACGGATGGACATGGCGAATACGCTCGAGGGAGGGGGTGGGAGACTTACCTGATGAAGAAGCACAGGCCAGTCACGCATGCGGTCATTCCGGTCTTGCCGCCTTCGGAGATTCCGGCGCCGGATTCGATGTAGGCCGTGACTGGAGGGGAGCCAAAGAGCGAGCCGATGGAGATGCCAATCGCATCGACCATGTAGGCCATGGCTGAGCCCTCAAAGTCTAAGTGTCGTATTTGACGTCAGTAAGATATTCCCTTTCGAGACACGGCAATGGTAAAGGCAGTTTTCCGTCGGATCGACATCCTGCTTCCTGGAATCAAGCACGATGGTGCCCATAGTGGAGATGGTAGGCGGGCGAGGGTTGCTAACCTTGGGTTTCCTCATCGACGAAGCCGGCGAAACGAGCCATCGAGTACAAAGTACCGGTACAATCGAGCTGGATCACATCAGTATGCCTTGCCTTGCAGCATCCCCAGCCTTCCAAAGGTACTTACGATATCAACGTAAAGGAAAGTAACCAAGGCTGTGCGAAGCAAGAGGTTAGATACCAAGCCGCGCCACAGTGCATCATGAACTGGCACTCACCGAGTCCGAATTGGGGGCCAGCGCCACTGATGTCCCATTGGAGCACGTTCAACGACTTCTCGATCTTGTGGAATGCAACCACGTCCTTGAAGAAGTTGAAGTTGTCGTTGCCGACGGGAGTGTACGGGAAGTAAGTGACCGCCGTCGTCCTGGGCCACGAGACGATGCTGACCAGAGCGATGCCGGCGATGATGGCACCCTTGACACGGTACATCATCAACATGGCGGTGAAGATACCGCCACAGAAGATACCGAGCCAGAGTGTTGGATTCCGCATCTTGTGGGACAGACACACTCCCGTGTCTGGGTCCTTATACTCGGCGGTACAACCGGCCAGTTCCAACGGCGTCGACATAGCTCCCGTAATCGCACCGATACCAGCGCTATACGTCAACCCGATCAACGCCAGATACAGTCCGATGCCAGCACCAGTAGCCAACTTGATCGACGCGGGAATCGCACGGGCCAGCCATTGCCGCATCCCCAGAATCGACAGCCCGATGAAAACGAATCCCTCAACGAAAACAGCCGTGAGCGCAAGCTCATACGAGACCGGGCCGGTTCCGTGGTATCCCACGACCTGGTACGCAAAGTACGCATTCAATCCCATTCCCGGCGCACACGCGATCGGAATATTTGCGCCGATGCCCATCAAAAACTAAGCCCTCACGGATACGCGCACGGTCAGACGCCACATAAAGCTTATATAAGGACACGGACTGCGGGCGCGACGAACACTAGTAAGTGCCGCGATGGCGGCTGTGGCCGTGACGATGTCGCGCTTGACAACGCCGAGACACATTAGGTACTCCTGGTCGAGGTCGCAGGCAAAATCCGCCTCCGTGCGAGGACACACGCAGGTGCCCCCGGACTCCGAAGTGATGGTGGAATTAACCTGTGGCAAAGGCCGGGTCAGAACCAACCACGGCGACGATACCGATGCGGACACGGGGACTCACGGCAATAATATAACTACAAAGTTGCGCAGCGCAACAGCAGTCAGTACAACGCCCAACCGCCGACCGACCAACACGGTTCCACCGCAGTTCGGATGATTCATTCGGGTTCCTCACGCCATAGCAAAGAACCTGCACGCGTGGGACGAGTTAGTACCTATTCCGAAGTCACACAACCGGAAGGAGGTGCGGCGTCAACATACGTTGCGAGCCCAGCTCGAATCTCGGTGAAGAAACGCGAGCCCTTCCGCTCCTTGGGATGTCCCGAGAACTCGAGTCTGAAGAAGCGCCCCACAGGGCTGGTGGCCACGCGCCTGTTGAAGCGGTCGATGAACGTCATGGCTGTTGAACTGTTGAAGCGCAGCGAGAAAAAAAACTGGTGGCAACGCAGTCGATTTGCAGCCCGTGCTGGTTTTTTTCTTCCGGTTGATCGAACTGGAGGAGGCGTGGGAGGAAGAGGATGCCCCGCTATATGTACCAGGACGGTGATGGCGCGCAGGCAAGTACCGTACGCCTACCTACTTCTACAGCGATGGTGCTGGTGTTGGTGGGGATAGGATATCAGAAGGAGGAAGGAAGAGCACAACCAATTGCCCATACAGGTTACAGGTTTACGGACATGCAGGGCACTTGGGATGGGAACCGGTGCCGGATTATTGCGAAATGAGAGTGGCTATCTTTGGTCGACAAAACGTTCTGGAAAAGTGCTCTGTTGCGGAAGCTGCCCACGCGGTAGGATAAAGATCCCAACCAGAATCCTAGCCCCCCACTTAGCCTGCGAAGTCGCCGTGGTGATGTCGGCGGTGTCGGGGGTGCAGAAAATTCCTGTGGGCCGGCGCCGGGGCGGGTGGGCGGGCTAACAGGCTAGGACAGGCTACACTACTCTACTCTAGAGTACCTCGATGCACCAGGCTTCGACCTTGACAACATATGCTTTTATCTTCCTCCTTCTCCTCCCGCCTGGCCGTTAGAATACCTGTCAACCCTACATACGATTTTGCATGGCAGGAGTGTCTGTTTTGGAGACGAAAGTGATGGCCTCACCACTGGTTCGCCTCTACTATATCTACCGTATCCCACTCATCCGAGTCAATACTATACCCTGTCGATTCTCGGAGGATCGTGACAGCCTCGGAGTTTGAAGACGATGGATCTCCAACATCATATTAACTAACCGTCGCAGTAAGCCGAGCTTGCTTCGAGACTGCTTCTGCTGCATGCTGCAGGAGAGCTCCACTGAGACAGCTCTAGGTATGCTAGGCATCGGACGAACCGTTTCCACCAAGCTCCCCTTCAGTTTCGTACGCGTTCTCGCTGATGTGTATCTGCTCAGGCGCCGTATGGATGCATACTTCCTACTAATGCCTGTGATACCGACCGCTTATCTTTCCGGCCCGGCTCCATTCCGTGTCGGAGTCCCCCGATGGATGGACAGACAGCTCATGAGCAGGCGACGAATTGCTTTTTGCTCGGTTGTCCGTCTGGCGTTCGATTCGACAGCAATTGATCGCTACATACCTATGATTACATCGCTATTGCATCTTCGCTTCGAGGCTTCCAGTTCCGCTCCACAAAACCGTTTCCCACCCCCACCCCTTCGGTGGAGCCGTCTAATCGTCAATCACGGGGTTTGTGTGTCGATCCGTCAGCTTGGGCCGGTGTATCTACATAGAGTACATACACACAAGAGATGGAGGCCAAGCATGCAGGCTTCTGGAAGGAACGTCAAGCGAACTCAAGAGCCGGCGGCATCCGCCCGCCGGCGCGCAGGCCTATGTATGTATCTAGCTTTTGGGGCCTCCGGTACCGATTCCCTCGTGTTCATATCTCCAACGGTACGCGGTACATACTCCGTGCTGTCGAAACAGGTGCGTTTTCGTCTCGCTTTGTATGTATTTATACCTACCTCCACTCTCTAGTATGTACACAGCGGAAAGAACTGACGATGCCCCCCCCCCCATCCATTGCCCCACCCACTGCGGGCCCGAAAAGAGCCTAAGCTTGAAACACCCTAGCCTTGATAGCGGCGGCAACAAATCCGAGAGGCAGCTTGCTTGGGTTGGGGTTCGCTGAAACATCCAAGTGGTTCAGGTTGCACAGGGTTATCAGCTGTATCAGCTGCGTGCGTGAACGGAGCTCGCCAGATTCCAGACTCCTGTCAAGGCCGTGATGCTATTATTCGATGGGACTTAAGGTAATTGGCCGTAGATACGCGAATCGGCGGGCCGCTGCGAATGTAGATACCCAAGTCTGTAGATACTCACATACCTATCCTCTGAGTCGGTATCGGTACTATGCGGTGGTCAATCCCAGCCCTACTGCTCCCCGCTCCCCCCACGGCATCCTATATTGATCGTCCGGGCTCAATGAAGTGCGTGCTGGCTTGTTACACATGCGATTGCCCCAGATGCTTTGACGAGCTGTGGAAACTACGTAGACGAATACCATGGTCTGGTAAAACTCGGGTTTGAGCGGCCAGTTGAGCGCCTGGGTTCACAGCGTCATTGATTCGGCGAGTGCCTGGAGATCTCTCTGGCTCGGGGGTATTCCACCTCCGTATCTCGCCGTCTGCCCACAGGTGCTAGAATACAATCGTACAATTGCATGATAATAGGTGTTTGACCGAGCCAGACACCAACGCTCACTCCTCAGCCGCTAGAGCAGCGTGCCTCGCCAAGCCCCAAACCGTGCGTTAGTTACTCTACTCTACTCTACTCTAGAGGGAAAGATGGAATTCGTTGCTTGCAGTGTCACCTACCGTCACCTACCATCACCACACGACACCACACGTCGCAATGACCAGTCTCAAGCGCTCGCTGACCGAAAGCCGAACGGACAGCGGCTTCGCCTCGAAGGTGTTCCTGCGCTCGTCGAAGGGGAAGTGCGTCAAGGTCGTGCGCGAGCTGTACCTGCGACAGGATATCCCGTGCTCGTCAGATCTCTGCGTGCCGTGCAATATCGCGGCTCCTCCGGACTCGAATGGAAAAGGTACTCTACGGACAGATGCATGGGCGGGGGATTCGGTGGATGTGGAAGGGCGTGCGCTGACCTGACCGCGCTTGCGTACAGTCAAACCGTTCGTGCTCTCAGCGACGCCCGCGGGCACTTCGGCGTTCAAGGACGGCCACTACCTGGTCCCGGACACCAACATCTTCCTGTACTGCATGGACGTGATCGAGCACAAGTCCGCGTTCTACGACGTGGTGGTTTTGCAGACGGTGCTGGAGGAGCTGCGGAACCGGTCGCTGCCGTTGTACAACCGTCTGCGCGCGCTCGCCGCCTCGCAGGATAAGCGCTTCTATGTCTTCCACAACGAATTCCGGAAGGAGACGTATGTGCGCCGGCTGCCGGCCGAGACGATCAATGACCGGAACGATAGAGCGGTGCGTGTGGCTTGCGCTTGGTATAAGAGCCATCTCGAAGAGGCCGTGGCCGGGACGAAGAGTCGTTGTCCCGAGGTGGTGATGTTGAGTGATGATAAGGACAATCTACGGAAGGCCAAGGCGGAGGGGGTTTCGTGCTGCAATATCAAGGAGTATGTCAAGGGACTGGAGAACGCCGATGAGCTGTTTGATATGATCAGTGCGGCGTTGGAGGATCAGGATGCTAAGGCGGCGCGTGGTGATATGATCTATCCCGAGTACTACTCCATGTCGAAGATGAATACTGGTGTGAAAGCGGGGACGCTGCACCAGGGAATCTTCAACGTCAGTACCTACAACTTCTTGGAGGGGTCGATCCATGTTCCATTACTCGACCGGCCTCTGATCATTCTCGGTCGTGAGAACATCAACCGTGCCGTATCAGGCGATCTGGTGGTTGTTGAGCTTCTTCCGCAGGATCAATGGAAGCAACCTTCCAGCAAAATCCTTGAGGAGGAATCCCTAAACAAGAACGACAATCCCGAAACAGACCAACCGGAAGCGGTTGAGACGGAGCAAGAGCGAAGGGCATTGATCGAAGAGGCGAAGCGATCCCAAGGCAACAGTGCTGAGGGAAAGCCGCAGCCCACGGCGAAAGTTGTCGGCGTTGTCAAGCGGAACTGGCGGTACTACGTGGGCCATGTTGATCCCTCGTCTGCCTCGAAAAACAAAGGGAGGGGCCAGCAGACTGTATTCCTGCTTCCCATGGACAAGCGGATTCCCAAGATTCGCATTCGCACACGACAAGCCTCGGAGCTGCTCGGAAAACGGATTGTGGTGGCCATTGACTCTTGGGACAGGACTTCCAGATACCCAGTGGGCCACTTTGTTAGATCGCTAGGAGAACTGGAGACTAAAGAGGCCGAGACCGAGGCGTTGCTGTTGGAATACGATGTTCAGTATCGGCCTTTCCCTAAGTCGGTCCTGGACTGCTTGCCCAGCGAAGGACACGATTGGAAGGTACCAGAGATGACCGACCCTAGGTGGAAGGGCAGAGTCGATTATAGAGAAAAGTTAATCTGCAGTATCGATCCTCCGGGTTGTCAAGATATCGACGACGCACTCCATGCTGCTCCTCTTCCTAATGGCAACTTTGAGGTGGGCGTTCACATCGCTGATGTCACCCACTTCGTCAAGCCCAACACTCCAATGGATGACGAGGCTACTGCCCGAGGAACGACAGTATACCTGGTGGACAAGCGTATTGACATGTTACCGATGCTGCTTGGTACCGACCTCTGCTCCCTAAAGCCATACGTCGAGCGGTTTGCCTTCTCCACCATCTGGGAGATGACGCCAGACGCGGAGATCGTCTCGGTCAAGTTCGACAAGTCAGCCATCAAGTCTCGCGAAGCTTTCAGCTACGAGCAGGCGCAGATCCGCATCGACGACGCCGGTGCGCAGGACGACCTGACGCAGGGAATGCGCACGCTCCTGATGCTCTCCAAGAAGCTGCGTGCCAACCGTATGGCCAACGGTGCACTGAACCTCGCCAGTCCCGAAGTCCGTATCGAAGCGGACTCGGAGACATCGGACCCGATAGATGTCAAGACTAAGGAGCTGCTGGAAACTAACTCTCTGGTCGAGGAGTTCATGTTACTCGCCAACATCTCGGTAGCCGGCAAGATCTACGAAGCCTTCCCCCAGACAGCCATGCTGCGTCGCCACGGCGCACCACCAGCCACCAACTTCGAAGAGCTCCAGAAGCAGCTCAAGGTCCGCAAGAACCTGCCGTTGAGAGTTGACTCGAGCAAAGCCCTCGCCGACTCCCTCGACGAGTGCGTCGACCCCAACGACCCCTTCTTCAACACCCTCGTACGCATCCTCGCCACGCGCTGCATGCTCTCCGCCGAGTACTTCTGCTCCGGCACGCAAGCCTATCCCGAGTTCCGCCACTACGGCCTCGCCTCGGAGATCTACACGCATTTCACGTCGCCGATCCGCCGGTACGCCGATGTCGTCGCGCATCGCCAGCTCGCCGCCGCGATCGAATACGAGCGCCTCGACCAGTCGCTGCATTCCAAGGCCAAGCTCGAGGCCGTCTGCAAGAACATCAACGTGCGCCACCGCAACGCGCAGTTTGCCGGCCGTGCCAGCGTCGAGTACTATGTTGGCCAGGCGCTCAAGGGCCGCGTCGCGCAGGAGGACGGGTTCGTCATGCGCATCTTCAGCAACGGGTTCGTCGTGTTCGTGCCCAGGTTCGGAATCGAGGGCGTCATCAAGATCAAGGAGATGTCGGAGGCGGGAGTTGCGTACGAGCCGAAGACGGAGTTCGATGGCGAGAACTATACGCTCAAGGTTGAGACGGGGAAGAGGGAGGTGCTGCTGGAGTTATTCGCCAAGGTCAAAGTTACGGTTACCGATGCGAAGGAGGAGAGTACTGGGAAGAGGAAGATTCAGTTGAAGCTGGTGATTTGAAGGCATGTGACTGTAGACAGTATTTTCTTCTTGATTACCAAATTACGATCTATGCTCTTCACCTTTTTTGGCTCCCGTGATATCTACCCAAAACAAACCCCAATCCCAATCCCAATCCCAATGCAAATACCTAACATACACAGTAGTCCCACAACTTACAACACGCCCTTAGTACTAGGCACATCGTTGCTCCCAGTCCTCGTAGTCGCCTCCTTCAGCGCCAACGCCAGCGCCTTGAACGCGCTCTCGGCCTTATGATGATCATTCTCTCCCTTCAGCACGTCAACATGCATAGTGATACCTGCGTTCTGGGCAAAACTGGCCAGGACGTGAGGAATCATCTCGCAGCTCAGGTCTCCGATCCTCTCCCGCTTGAGCTTGAGATCGACAGTGGCACAGGGACGGTTCGAGAGATCGACGACGGCGCGCGAAAGCGCCTCGTCCAAGGGCGCGAAACCGGTGCCGAATCGCTTGTACCCTACGATAGGGCCGATGGCGTCTTTGAATGCGCTCCCGAGCGCCAAAGCGCAGTCTTCGGCCGTGTGGTGATCGTCGACTGTCTCCTTATCAGCTACAACTCCCTTTCCCACCCCCCACTCCACTCCCCCCACTCCCCCTCTTGCGTGTATGTGTGTGGAGACGTTACGTACTATGCAAATCACCCTGACAAGCGAGACTCAGCGACCAGCCGGAGTGCTTTGCGAGGGCGTGCAGCATGTGGTCGAGGAAGCCGATGCCGGAGTTGATGTTGATGCTCTGGGCGGCCGAGGTCTGTGTAGCGTGCGACGCATCTTCCGCGGCGCCACCGAGAGATTGCAAAGAGCCGCCGTCGAGCGAGAGTGAGATTTGGATCTTGGTCTCGTTCGTGTTACGGTTTAGGGTCGCGGTGCGGCGGGTGATGTCGGGGGCGGACATCGTGAGGGTTGGGTGCGGTGGTGGTGTGGCGGGTGTGCGGGTGCGGTGGAGGGGCGGATTGAGTTCTAGTGGGGCAGAGGCGGCAGCTTAAATTTGTGGGCCAACTCTATCCCTGCTTGCGCCATGCGGCTCCGCGGCCCACCTCGGCCGGGTAAGTCCTACGCCTCAGCGCTGCCAGCCAGCTCTCGAGCTCGCATCCATCCAACCAACCAACCTACCAGCGCGCGCACACAACCTTTCCACACCAGCACCACCCTCAAACCAACCAACAACAAGCAACAATGTCATCCAACGTCGGTCTCTCTACGCCGCGCGGCTCAGGGACGTCCGGGTACGTACAGCGGAACATGTCCTTTTTACGACCACGGGACGCGCCGCACCCACGGGACCGCGACAGCCTCGACGCGAAAAAATACCAGCAGCGGGCGCCTGACGCGGAGATCCTGCTACACGACCGGAAGCGCGCGGTGGAGGTGAAGTGTCTCGAGCTGCAGGACCGGCTCGAGGAGGCGGCCGAGGTCGACGAGGAAGAGATCGGGAAGCAGGTGCAGAAGCTCAGGGTGCAGCTGCTCGAGGAGATGGAGAGGGGCGGTGGTGGCATAGATAGGGGAAGGCTGAAGCCGCATATGGTCCATGAGATTGCCGCGGCGAAGATGGGTGAGTGCTTGGCGGTCTGTTTGCGATGCGTGCGTGCAGAGAAGCTGATTGTGTGTAGTCGAGTCGGAACGGCTGAGGAATGCGCTCGGCATCTCGAAGGACTACGAAGAGGGCAGTCATTGGCGCCGCCAGGAGGAGGAGAAGATCCGTCGGTTGGAGCAGCGCGAGATGGGTGCGAACCCGGGCAATAACAATTCTCGGAGACGGAGCGCGTCGCCGCCGAGAAAACGGATGTCGCCGCCGCCGAGGAGGGAGAGAGCTGGCAGGAGGGAAGAGAGGAGAGACGACAGGAGAGACGACAGGAGGGAAGACAGGAGAGATGATAGGAAGGAGGACAGGAAGGAGGACAGGAGAGAAGATAGGAAGGAAGACAGGAGGGACGACAGGAGGGAAGACCGAAGGGAAGACAGGAGGGAAGATAGAGGTGGAAGGAGGGAGAGGGAGAGGTAGCCTGTCCGTCTACTGTATTGTTCTACAGGACTTTTTTTCATTCTTCATATGTATTTCCTTCATTCCTCAAGTTAAGCAACCGGCGTTTCGGCATTATTTGGTCGCACAATTCTCCCGATCGTTATGTATAACCCTCTGCCGCTGAGCTGAGCTGAGGCTCTTCGGCACCTCCGGCGTAAGCCAACAATCCATCATGACGTGACATGCCGCCTCTCCTTCAGTTCACCTCCACTCCACCTCACCCACCGCAACCATGCCGTCCCCACTCCCCAACGACGACCGTCCTCCTCCCCCATCCTCCCTCCCTCTCTCCGCATCGCTAACTCATCCCAGCCCGCAAACTCTCGCACGTAGACTCGGCAGCGCGCGCCGCCAGCATCGGCGCACTCGTTGGCGCCGCGAAGTGGGGCGCCGTGTCACTGGCCGGCGTAGCACTGGCGCACGCGTTCTCGCCGCTGGTGCGCAACCTCACGATTCAGTTCCGCGTGTACCTGTGGATGTGCCCCACGACCATTGGGTCGATGGTTGAAGCTGACCAGTGAGTTCGCCCCCTCGTGCTGTGGGGGGAGGTGGGATGGGGGAGGTGGGGAGGTGGGATGGGGGAGGTGGGGAGGTGGGATGGGGGCTAATCGGCGGCGGGGGGTAGTCGGTTGAGGATGTATGAAACCATGGTGCGCGCGGAGAGGAGGGAGAAGATTGAGGAGGCTAGGGAGAGGGCGCTGGTGGAGGAGATGGTGCTGCTGGATGAGATGGAGGCAAGGGCGAAGGAGCGCGCGGCGACGAAGGGGAAGTGAACGCGAGCGCGAACACGATCGCGATCACGATCGCTGGATGCAGGTGTAGGATATATGGATGTAGCATCCAGATGTATATTAACTACTACTACAGGAGACTTCTTCTTCCTCCAGTCATCCTCTTCTCTATGGTACTTGCGACCCCGCCTTGGACTCATTACAACACTCCCGCACCCCTCCTGGCCGTCCCCAGAAAACAAATAAACGGGTATCCTCCTACTACTGCTCCCAGATAATATATACGAGAAGTGAACACCAAAAAAGAACGTCGTCAATCATCAAAACGTGCACTAAAAGTGGCAGGCGTGAAAGGCACACTGCCTAGTAGGCGGAATATCTGACAGGAGAAGGAAGCAATTACAGGCCAGTAAACATGAAAACAAACAAACGCAAGTGCCCCCGCTTTCGTACGTGGTAACTCAAACTTCGTGCTTGATGGGCTTGTATCCATTCTTGCTCCATGGCCACGACCAGCTGGAGAATGGCGAGGCATGGGCACTGTAGTTTGAGTCGCGGAGGTGGACTCGCCGGTATGCGTAGAATCCGCAGACGTAGAGAGACGCGCAGAACGCAAAGACTACAACCGTCACTAGCAGCCAATGCTGACCCATCCAGAAGATGGTCTTAGCATCGTTGCGGTGCCACGAGGATCCCTTGTACACGCCGAAGAAGCTCCACGGATGGTCGTTGTACTCGGCAGGCATCAAGATGCGTACACGAGTCTCCTCCGATTTCACGGTGGGCAAGTACTCCTTCCAGATGACGCTGAGGAACAACGGGCCGGTGTTGTACATGACCGTCACGTAGGGTATCTGCCAGTTGCGGTTGTACTTCTGCAAGCTGTCGAGGACGCTCTTGAAAAACGGGTGGTTGGGGACACTGCCCATTGCATCGTTCGAGATTCCGCTGGGGGTGGTTTTGCGGAGCCAGGCGTGGTATGAGAGAAGGGGATCGAGGCGGCGCTCACAACCCTAATGCCAGAGCTGTTAGAAAAAAAGAAAGCAATTGTCTCGGAGAGGGACATACATCATCCAGGTCGATGTAGATTCCGCCGTAGTGGTTCAGAATGAAGTATCGGATAGCATCGGCGCGCATAATCGGGTACGGGTAGTTATCGTAAGTCTCCAAGAACCAGTCGTACTCCTTCGCGATGAAGTTCCTGGCTTTCTCGTTTGTCCAGAGCTGTTTCGCACAATCAGCCATCAGACCACAATACCACCGCCACCACCGAGAGACCCACCATATATTCATAATCCTCATGCAGATCACGACAGCTCTTCTGAGCCTTCTGCCACTTTTCGGGAATCGACTCATTCGCCCAGGTCTGGTGGATGATCTTGGGGATGTATTGAGGCAGCTTGTTTATTTCTTCGAGGGCATCGGGGGCCGGGATATCAATTGCTGGAATCGCATCGTTGGAGCAGTCCTCGAATAGCAATGTGAGAAGGGTGAACACCGAGTGCAGCAACAATCCGATTAACAGCAGGTTGGCAAGGAGGAACAATAGCAGCCCTCGACTGGGTCGCATTGTGAGACGTTTGGTGTTTTTGTTTGTTTGTGGTGACCGGCGCGCGTTCTCCAGGGGGCGCAGAATCGAGACGAGAATCAAAGGAGCGACCAACGAGCTTTAGTGATAGCGTCTGTACTTTCGGAGGTAGGCGGAGGCAAAGGAAGGACCGAAGGAACGAGGAACGAAGGAACAATGAGAAGAAGGAAGGAAGGAGTTAGTTATGTATGGTACGAGAGAAGATGGGGGAGTGAAAGTGGGATAGGGCTAGGCTAGATGGTTCGGGTTGGAGAAGGGGGCGACGCGCTAGTTACCAGGTAACCACTCTGTCTGGTTAGTGGTCGACAGTCCGGTTTATGCATAGGTGTGCGACCCTGCGACGCCGCGACAGTCCTTCTCCTCCTCCATGTGTAGCATGTGCAGGAGACGGCGGACAGGCGGAGCGGGGCAGATGGGCAGCCGGCGGGGCCAGTGCGAAATTCCTCTCACATCCTCTCTCCGTCACTTCTCGAAGCACAACTTCATTCCCAGCTGAGATCCGAATATAACTAAAGTACACGAATACGGTACATAATAACAAAATCCCAGGCTCGTATCGAACATTCCGTCGGGTGCTCCACATACCCCCCTCCTTCGGACGCGCGGCGAGGCGATCAACACTGGCGGAGCCATGTCCGCTAGGTATTTATTCCGGTTTTATTCAGGCACAGGAGGTCCAGCCCAGCACAGCCGCGAATGCTGCGACAGCGGCGATGCGGCATGCTGAGTGGCTGACATGTGTTTCACCGCCAACCGTGTCAGGACCCTGAATTCCTTCATGCAAGGGAATAGAGTACGGTGGGTACTCTGCATGGCTAATTTATACACGAAGCTGCGGTAGATACTGCGCTAGTCTGGCATGGAAGCCTGCCACTGCCAAGTTGTGAGCAACTGGATTGCAGGTCGTCTGTCTGGAAACAGAAACCTCTCCTTGAAACCCACGGGCTTCTTCTCCACAAGCTGGCCATCCCCATCGTGGGGAAGGAGAAGACGGAAAAAACACATCTACATCGTACCAATCAATTGTGTACCTACTTCCTCGGACGGCAAACACACCCACACGGTACGGTATGTATCAATCAGTCGTGTTGTCCCTCAGACGAATGGACTCCGCCGCACTTACCACTACAACTACTTACTCTGGTCAGGTACTTCTACTCTTCGTGGGTGCGCTGAGCGATCTTCTCTGTGGCCATGTAGAACTCAGAGCCGCAGCCAAGCACAAGGCGGCAAGTCACACTCAGGAACACATGAAGCAGACAATCGATCGACACGCTCGCCTATCCATCCTATCATTGGCCTCCTCCATCCTCTGGGCATCCGACTTCGAGTCGATCAGTTATGACAGCACGATACCTATTGGATTTGGATACCCAGAGACTAGTTTCCGAGTCCACCTTCTCGTGGTCCACGAAACGCTCCGATTTTTGGAATAAGCAGGCAGAAATTCGGAGTAAATAGGCAGAAACTTGGTCGATCTGTGGCTTGGTCGGTTCCTGGGCAAGCCTTTGGAGCGACAAAAGGTTTCAGCTAAGGGAATACACGAAACCGCCGAGTGACATTCAATGGATCGCTCTGAATGAGAATTACATATCTGCTCTGGATAGACCGATGTGCTCACGCAGTCTTCTTGGAGTTATGAGTCTAGCAAGGTTATTTGGGTGCTTGATAAACGGATTCTCGTCCAGTGGCGATGGAGTGGCCCCAGCTGCACCGCCGGCGGCGAGGGCAGAGTGAGCATCGAGTGGCAGCTACTTGGCTACAGCCGCGGTGACCAGAGGGGGAGTCCGAATAGTATTTAGTTATACTGACATCGGTGAAGTCGCCGTGCAGCATGCTCCTCGTATGAATTCCAACCAGCATCTTTGAAGCAGATGCCCACGCGCGTATTCGTTTCGGACCCTCGTCGCGTCGGGGAGCATAGCAGATGAGCATATCATAGCTAATCGGAAACTAGACACGAGCTTAGCCACAAAGAACGCACATTCCACTGGTTCTCGCCCAAAGTAGATGTTCATTGTTGAGGCCTCTCGGACACCATAACTTTTGGTGACTGTCCGATCGAAAATCTTATGTACCATCACTCCGGGCATGTCCCAAATCCACCCGTGTGATTTCGGATTCAAGCGGTATCCGTGGACAAGCGATGCCAAGAGGAATAACATGCTACCGAAGGCTGAGATGGTGAGTCCGTGCGTTGTATTCCACGGGAGAGAAGTGTGGATACCGCTGCCATAACCTCACGGTGGAAGGATGCGATATACACACACTCGAAACGCTGTCTTGTACCGGACCCTTCATGCACCGGTACACGATGATAGCCTCGTTATTCGGTGTCTCCAATGTCCATGGGAGGTGGTGGTGTTGCTATCACACGAGTGACGATGATCTTGGGACACTTGGGCTGAGGGCTTGGTACTATGCGTCCCAATACTTTCCTCACTAGTCCGCCATGCAGCAAGGGGCTGCGCAGTGATCCCGGCGTTCCTCCAACACTTCATCGATTGTTTCCGTTGCAACCATCCTAACCAACCACAACAATAACAACCACCCCTCGCCCCAACAAGGCCATCCCTCCCTTCTCTCCTACTCATTCACCCCCCCATCCTCAACTCCACGCCTCTCCCCACGACTAGTCGAGCGAGACGCGAAGCTCTGAAACAAAAGCGCGTAACCTCACCACAGAACACACCACACAACCCCAGCGACAGTAACCCACTTGAGCCGCCCGTTGTCCCATCAACCACTTCTCCCCCACCACTACCAAAACAACACTTCGCTCCGCTTCCCCCCCGCGCTCCTTCGCAACCACCGCAAGAATGTCCACCAAGCAGCGTGCCCGCCCGCGCCTCCTCACCGACACGGAGCGCGCCCGCCTCGACGAGTTCACGGACAACATCCACTACTCAGACCGGTATGAACCTCCTCCTCCCCATATACCCGTCACTGCGCTGCTGCGCAGGGGGAATTTAATGCCCATGAACCACCAGAACCCCCGCTGACTTCGAACCTTATAGTTATTCTGATAAGAACTATGAGTATCGGTTCGTAGAGCCCGCCCTCCCCCCCAACACCCCGCTCCGCCGCGCTCGCCTATTCGAGCTCACAACTAATTTCGGCACCCTTCCAGGCACGTGATGCTTCCGAAGGGCATGCTCAAGATGATCCCCAAGGATTACTTCGACTCCGAGACGGGAACCCTCAAGATCTTGCATGAAGATGAGTGGAGAGGCTTGGGAATCACCCAGAGTCTGGGATGGCAGCACTACGAGATTCATGCGCCAGAACCCCACATTCTTCTGTTCAAGTAAGTTTCGTATTCATTTGCAGCAGCCAGTCGCTTTGTTCTGCTGCTGCTGCCTCTGCTGTTGACCGGCCGATTGCATACTGATGCGACCCTTTTTTGCAGGAGGCCCAAGAACTACGGGCAATAAATTTCCTTGGGACATTGAAGTTCTTTCCTACTTTACCGGCGTTCATTCTTCCTTTTGTTTTTCTTTCGCAAATACAGGCGCTTTGGAAACAACTCCGTCACCGGGTGGGGTGGGTGGACAACACACCTTGCTGCTGCTGCTAGCACTACTACTACTACTACTACTACTACTACGCACCTGACCCAGGGACAGAATTCGACGATACCAATGAATTTTTGCTGTGTTTCCGCTCGCAAGTTTCGTCCGGGATTGGGTTCTGTGGGATGGGGAGGGGCTTTGGATTAGTGGACTGTGGTACATAGCAGTAGGTGTCATGGAAGATAATTGCAAGTGGTTTTCTTTTCGTGTGTGTGCATGCTCCTACCTACCTACCTACCTACCTACATGTCTCGTCAGCTGGGTGCAAAGCCGCGCGTTCTGGAGTGCGAATTGGAGCATGTGGAGCCATACAGTCGGGAGCTCGGGGCACAACATCGCTCCGAACCCGCTCCACGAAACACCCGATCCAGCCAGCGGAATTCTAGAGAACGGCGCCATTCGGGTACCGACGGTCAGGAATCGTATTCGCCGGCCGAATGGCACTCCACTCGTAAACCAGTAGCGGATGAACAAGACACCGACCAGCCACGAAGGGGGGAACAGGCGCAGTAATAATCCCGAACCCGTGAAATTCACCAAACCTTTTGGTATACATATATCTAGCCAATATCTGATTATAGCTACACCCCCAAACCCCGTCGTGACCGCCTGTTGAAAAACGCGAGCCATAACATAACCCCAAAATATACTCCGTCCCGTCCAGTCCAGTCCCGTCCAAAAAAAACCAGATAACCAATAACCAACATATAAAACAAACGCCCATCAAACCTTCTGTTGAAACGAAGCAAAGCAAGCGCTGTCCCGTCTAGGTACCCACATCCCACATCGCACCTACCCACAAAACGCCCTCAACGTGCTCTCGAGCTTGGTCTCCATCTCCTCCCACTCGCCGTCAGGCGTGCTGAGCGCCGTCACCGCGCCGCCAGCCCCAAGCCACCACTGCCCCGCGTCGCCCTCGTCGTCGTACCGATACGCGCTGCGGATGATGACGTTCCAGTCGCCGGCGCCGCACACACTCAGGTACCCTAGCACGCCGGAGTAGACGCCGCGCTCCTCGTCGGTGGCCTCGAGGGCCTGCAGGATCTCCACGCTGCGCTTCTTCGGCGCACCGGTCATCGAGCCCGGCGGGAGCGAGGAGGCGAGGATATCCAGGCCTGTCAGGCTGGAGGAGGTGGGGGAGGCGGAGGGGGAGGGGATTGCCCCCTCGATCACCGAGACCAGCTGGAACACGCTGGCGTACTCCTCGACGCTCATGAGCAGCGGCACGGTAACGTTCCCGGCGCCCAGGATCCGGTGCAGGTCGTGCCGGATCAGGTCGAGGATCATCAGGTTCTCGGCGCGCTCTTTGGGCGTGTTAAGCAGCTGCTCCGCCCGCTGCCGCGTCATGCCCGCTGTCTTTCTGACCGTGCCCTTGATCGGCCGCAGCTGCACTGCGCCCGTGCGCGAGAAGGAGAGGAAGCGCTCGGGCGAAGAGGAGAGCAAAGTTACGCCTTGCAGCCGGAGGTAGGCGGCGTAGGGGGCGGGGTTTCGCGCGCGGAGGAGCCCGTACAGACTCCAGACTGGGGGCTGGGGGGAGGGGAGGTTAACCCGTGTGCGCGCGGTTAGGCAGAGCTCGTAGGAATTGCCGCTTGCGAGGTAGCTTTGGCATTCGCGCACGAGGGATTTGTAGAGCTCCCCCGAGGGCTTGACGATAGTCGGCTCGCAGGCCTCTTTGTAATGCATCTGGATAGAAGATGGCGCGGCGATTCCGGCGGGCGGAGGGGTGGCCGACGGCGTAAGTGAGAGGTCGTGTTCTTGCTGCAACTGCAGCTTCATCGACTCCAGCCATTCGCCGTCGTGAGGGATCAAGGATTGCACATAGATTCGGCCAGTCAGACTGTCGATGACTATGCTGCGCTCCGCGAAGGCGAGGTTCACATCTGGTCGCCTTTTTCGGTTGTGAGGGAGTGGTATCGAAAGCGACTCCACACCCAGTTCGTAGGAGAAGTATCCGACCAATCCGCCCCAGAATGGGGATTCCTTCTTGCCACCACTGGCCTTGCGCCGTTCCATATAGGAAGCTAGGAACCGCCACACCGACGCATTACACGGGGGCTGTAGCCCAACGCGCGAGGTCTTTTCATCCCCAACTTTTGACAACTCAATATATGAGTCACCGGCTGTATATCGGATAAGCTGAGTGATACCAGGTGTTAAAATTCCGATTATGCTCCATCGGCCCGGAGTCGCGGCGGATTCTAAGAGGACGAACTCCCGTTTCGATTCCACGTCGAGCATTTCGCAGATCCTTCGAACATCGAGGCCTCGAGCAAACAGACTGGTCGTCTGGACCGTATTCACGGCGCGTGCTTCAGGAAGCTCTCCAGCGTGCCGCAGTTGGTCCAGCAAACTCGCTTCACGTGGGCGGACCCTCCAGCTTCCTGGGAGTCCCGTAGTCCTTCGTCCATGGTCCATATTCCACCTGCAGGCCGACCGCCAGAAATTCTCCACCACCCTATCGCTCCCTTCCGTGCATATAGATTCCGGATGGTATTGGACCGCCCGGAATGGCTTCGTCCTGTGCTTCACCGCCATGAGGACCTCGCCATTCTCCGCATCATCCGCCCATGCCAGGGCTTCCAGGTCGTCTTTGCCTCCCTCTCCAAGTGTCGCATGTAGTGAGTGGTACCTGACCGCACTCATGTTCCCGAGACCTTCAAAGAGGTCCACCCCGCCGTGCCGGATCGTAGACGACAATCCATGTTTAACCGTGCGCAGCCTCTCGACATTGCCACCAAACGCAAGGCATAGGCTCTGCAATCCTAGGCATACACCAAATACCGGTAGCATATGGGAGCTGCCCAGATGCCAGATATCCTTTATGATGCCGACATCTTTGTCGTTGTCCGGAGAGCCAGGACCGGGACCGATGACGACCGCGTCGAAGCACGGAAGGTACGGCAGTAGCCCCTCGATCGAAGCGAACGGAGAGTCGATGTGGATTGTGTGGACTTCGGCGGCGGTGTAGCGCGAGAGCTGTGCCGCAAGGTTATGGGTGAAAGAGTCGTAAGCGTCGACCAGGAGGATCCGCGGGGTCTCTGCTGCCGCCATTGTTACCCTGGGCTAAAGGTTGAGCTTATCAGGGACCGTAGGGACAGTCTTCGGGAAGTCGCAGTGAGTCGGCGGTAGCAGTCACGGCTGCTGTTGGCTGTAGTCGGTGTTGTGCGGTGGTTGTGCCATCGTGTCGGGGGTGTTGGAGGGGTTGGAGGCGAAGAGCGGCTTTTCGCGGTGCATGGAATTTTTATTTTTTCCCCTGTGTTCCGAAGTGTGGGGTACTTTTAGCTAGTCGTACATCATAGTTGAGAAGATGGAGGCATGGCGCATGGCTGGCTTTCGGAGGATTCTGCTTGCCGATGCTTCTGCAAGTCTGCAAGAAAAGAAGACGAAAGAAGTGCTTGTGGAGATGGGATGAGTCGAAAAGTCGCCGTTTTGCCCTGCATGCATGTCTTATAAAAACTGTCGACCCTGAGCTGAAGGCTCAATTGCATGCACGCGTGGGAGTTGTGCTAAAGCCGACCTCTACCACCAATCAACCCCGCCATCCACCTCCATCTCTATTTCTACGACCACATCCAACCTCTGCCGATTCCCGTATCTCAATACGGCTTGGATTACTCGGCGGGACTCTATACCGAGTCATCAGAAAGCACGGGGGCATTTTGACTGTTAGCACCTGTTGTTCGACCCATTTATCAGCCACTCTACTGTTCCACGGTTCTTCAATCTGAACCCCGACATCCGAGTTGCCACTTTTGATTGGTATTTGAGAGTTCCTCATCGCCGCCGCCACAGTCCTAACGCTTTGAAAACTCTCCCCTTACAGCGGTATCCTTTCACCATCGCACAGTCTACCTGGTCAGGGATCCTCGGTGTCGGCTAAGTTGAGACAACTGGTCATGGCTTCAACTCTTACCTCCGAAATGCTCTCGGAATCAGGAGACGAGCGATCCCAGGAGCTAGGAACAGTTGCATCCATCTATTCCGAAGAGCTCACCATTCTCTCACCCTTTTCCGGGATGGTCGATCTCCCGGTGTCGCCTGTGGAACCGCTGGCCATAGCATTCTCACTCGGCGATCCCGCGACACGGTTTCAACATCTTCCACCGATCCAACTCAAGTTTGATCTTCCCGAAGCGTATCCCCTCGAAGCTCCACCAGTGATTGAACTCACCACCTCACCGGCGTGGCTGCCGACCGAAAAGCTTGAGGTGCTTAAAAAGGAATGTCTTGGACTGTGGGAAGAGTATGGCCATGGCCAGGTGGTGTTCGCTATCATCGACCATGTGCAACAGCGTATTGAGCGGGGTCTAGGTATAAGTGGAGCACTGCTGGTTCCGGCCGAGCTGCAGGAGGAACTTGTTGCCTTTAACCAGGAGACGAAGCGGAAAAAGTTTGACCAGGAGACTTATGACTGCGGGATATGTCTGGAGCCGAAGAAGGGAGTGCTTTGCCACCAGCTGCGGTCCTGTATACATGTTTTTTGTCGGCCGTGTTTACGAGTCAGTGGGATTGCCTACGATGTGGAAGAGATCGCCCAGCTCACTTGGTGCATAGGACTATTACACCAACCTCATCACTGAAGGGGATGTATCTTCCGTCCGATGTTCCGACCCGTCTTGCGTGAAGACTGCCACGAGACAGCAAGTGGCTCCTGCAGCTCCCCTTCAGGAAGAAGTCAACGAGACACCGAATCAGCGAATGCTCTCGTCGCTCCCTCCAACTTTACCGCCCGAGGAGCTCCTCGACATCGGGATAGCGCCCGACATGGTGACGCGGGTACTCAGTTCTGAAGAAAAAGAAGGCTTTGGCCGCCGACCCGAAGACAATTTACTGTCCCCGACAATGGTGCCAAGCTCCATCGCGGGCGTCGGTGGAGAATGTAGAGGCTTCGATGAAGATTAGTGGGAATGATTATTGGCTGCCAGACCGCAATGCAGTCCCACAACCGATTGAAGAGCATGTGTACGAGGCGGACAGCAAGAAAAAGGTGAAAGAAACGGTCTCACCGTTAAAAGAAAAGCTCCAGGTGTGCTCGACTTGCTCGTTGGCATTTTGTTCGAAGTGTTTGGGTAAGTTCTCCATGCATAGTACCGGTTATCGCTATCAAACTGACACCTCCGAAAGCATCATGGCACGGCGATTTTCAGATCTGCAAGCCTGCTGATGGTACATTGACGGAGGAGGAACTTGCGAACGAGAAATTCCTCCGGGAAAACACCACACCATGTCCAACGTGAGCACACCACACCCTCGTCAAACTTCACTAACCGAAGCCTGCGCAGTTGCGAGACCCCCGTTCTTAAGAGCCATGGATGCAATCATATGATCTGTACCTGTGCCACGCACTTTTGCTTTCTTTGCTCGGCATACCTGCCGGCTGAAAATCCTTACTTTCATTACAATACCATCGGCACCGACTGCTACCAGCGATTGTGGGAGGGCGAATCTGGGGATATCGAAAACCAGCGGTTGATTGAGGCGGGGGTAAGACCACTCGGATCTGAAGAAGAATAGGAATCAAAGGCTGAAGAAGAATACATAGCGTCCACCCGACGGAGAAGAAGAAGACGAAGACGAAGCACCAGAAGTACCGCAGCCGCAACCGCAGCCACGAAGGCTGCCACAACCACAACCACAACAACCGCGGCAGCAGCGACAGTTACCTGTGGTGGAAGACCTGATACGAGTGCTATTTGAAGACGACTCGGATTTGGAAGATGACCTAATACTAGCCTTCGACTCGGATCCAGAATCGGACGAGGAGTTGGTCGATTTTGACGATGTCCCGGATGGGCCTGCACCTGCACCTGCACCTCCTGCGAGAGGTAGGGGTGGTAGAGGGGCAGCAGGTTGGAGAGACGGAAGAGGTGAAGGAAGAGGCGGGGCAAGAGGCGGAGCAAGAGGCAGAGGACGAGATGGAGGAAGAGGCGGTGGTCGAGGTGGCGGCGAGAGAGGTAGAGGCGGTGCGCGAGGGGCAAGGGGCGATAGAGGCGGGAGGGTTGCTAGAGCAGGGCATGTCCCTTAAAACCTTAGTTTAGGACCACGAGCTCAATTTCTACTACGTGTGCATCGCAATTCCTTTCTATCAGACATATTTTCTTGTTTCCAGCGTTTTGTACAGTAGATAAGTGCGTGCACCTAAATGCCTTTGTAGAGTACACGATAGAGCGACTGCGTGGTAATATAGAGTACCGGTATTCATTAAAGACCAGAGTAAAAGACATGGGCTACCCTCTAGGTATATATGGGAATGGAACAAAAAATGTCCGGTGCGAGGATCGAACTCGCGATCTTCGGATTGCTACCACTGAGTGGAAGTCATACTGAAGCATATGAGACCGACGCTCTACCAACTGAGCCAACCAGACATGTGATAGTTTGTCTTGGCAATCATCGTCCTTGAACTAAAGTCATTTCATTACCACGGGTGACGCAGCCGATCGGTCCAGGGCCGAATGGCAGTTTCGCGGTTGAGCTTCACAGCATGTAGGACAAGAAGTCAAACTATTTTTCCCTTTCTCAAGCCAAGATCAGTGATAAGATCCGCCACCACCACCACTAACTGTGCGCTACACAGACTAGGTGTAAACATCCTTGCAGCGATCGAACCCCAACGACCTCCATCATCAACGAGTAAGCTCAACTTTAGCAACATCCCAATCACTCCACTGCGACAACCAACGAACCCGAGACCATCATGTTTCCGACCGCCACGCATGAAAGTAGAATTCACGAGCCTTATAAGCCTCTGGCGATAGAGTACCTGGGAACTCAGGAGGACGTATGTTTCCTTCTCTTCAACTTCACCGGCAGTGGGGCTCACATGTGTGCTTTTCTGCGTGTAGATGTACGCGGGCTCAACCGCTCTCCAATTGGGATTCCGGAATGCGTAACTGACTGATGGCTGTGCAGTAACACCATATACTCACATCTTTGGCGCAACAATCTGGTACCGTCCACTTCCTGGGCAGTGATTGGGAGCAGGCACAGCGGGTATTAACCAGTCTTTAGGTCGCCTCCTCCAAGCGACATAACTACCTCTTCGTTGCGCTCCGCAGCCATGTCCACGTGTACATACCTGTGTACCCGCGGCAGCGCTTGCCTGATATGCCCCACGCAATCTTGAAATCCCCCACGAAGATCCCAGTATCCCACCAGAGAGGCGACGACCCGAACGGGATCAACAGCTTGACGGTTGGGGAACTGGGGTGCGAGGAGGTACTGGTCTCCGCCCACGCAGATGGCGATGTCATGGTGTGGTACACGAAGGACTTGAAGCTCATGCTGCAGTACAATGTTGGCAGCAGTGCATGGGGTGTCGCGCTGCATAAGGAGCGCAGACGACTGGCTGTTAGTGCCAATAGTTGGAAGATTACGGTCTTTGAGCTTGCGGCTGGGGGAGACCAGGAGATGGGGGTTGGGAGTGATGAAGGCGGCGAAGTGGGCGGGGTAGCTGCCAGGGCGGACGAAGGTCCGAGGATGCCACACATCAAAATCCAGGGGAAGGACGAAGTAGTGGTAAATTGCAAGATTCTCGTGGGTGGACACTCCCACAACATTCCTAACGTGACCTTCATGGACGATGAGAGTGGACGGTGGCTAGCAAGCACATCGATCGACGGGACGGTGATCGTGTGGGATGTTGATACGCAGCAAGTGGTGGAGACAGGCGAATTTTTTGGCGCAGGGTAAGTCACATTCCGTTTCGACGAGAAACACCACTGGTTAATATCAATCCAAGGCCTAGGTGTTGGTCAGTCGCCTATCTGTCGCCACAGTCATTTAAACCCGTGAACAGCATGTACGAGGCGTTGGACAAAACCATGGATTCACCTTGTGGGAAAAGAAGTGTTCACCTCGAAGATCTGCCTCCCAAAACCAAAATTTCCTGGGCGATCACGATACCAACGGACTACTACGGTGGCTCACATTTGGTCACTGGGGGCACCGCCTGGGACATCACGCCTGCGTTGGAATCAATATATACTGGTTACCAGGGCGAAGGGCCGACGCCGATGTGGGGAAATATGCATCTATCCGAGGAATGTGTGGACAGCGAGGATGAGGATGAGGATGAGGAATATGACAGCAATGATGCTTCGACAGATCAATCGGAGAACGAGGATGAGGCCTCCGAAGAAGAGGGGAGTCCGGGGAGTCAAGGAGAGGAGCATTCGGAGCCTCCACCTCCCTTTGCTCTAGATGAAGATGCCATGTGGAGTGATTTGCAGGGGGAAAGGGATGAGAATGTGGTGGAAGTGAACCGGTCGGTTATTCCTCGGGGAAGAGGAGAAACAATTGCGGATGAAGAGAACGAAGAGGATGAGTGGGAAGAGGAGGAAGACGATGAAGATATAAACATCAACTCGCCGGTCTCCTCCCATCACTTCGACACCATCGGTTCAGCGGTACTCCCCCCAGGCTCTGGTAGCGAGTTCGTACCTTCGCCGCAAGTACCAAAGCCAGCAACTGAAGCACCCCGACCACCACTGGGCTTCCTCTTCACAACCACCGGCTGTAAAGCTGCTCTCTTCCCCACGCGCCATCTTTTCCCTGTCGTCTTCTGCAAGCGTCCAGCCTGCCAGGCCCCACCACCGACCGTACAGCACCGATATCTCGGCCACTTCGACCGCCTCAACATGGTCGTCTCTGTCCCAGAACTATCCCTTGTCGTAGCTGCCTCTCAGCAAGGAAGAGCTAGTATCTTCCGTCTTACTCGCTGTGGCGACGACTACGGCATGAGGCTCGACACCGTTCTACCACGTGACCGCGAAAGCGTGCTGCGTCCTGGCGAAGAAAGGGATGTGCCAATCCGCCCGGCCGCGCCATTAATAGGTATTACCGTTAGCCCCGTTCAAGGGCAGGGAGTGGAGACTGCTGGGGGAAGCGGGAGGAAGGAGCGGTCGAGGGGTGGTGGGTGGAGGGGAATGGAGACGGGCAGACGATGGAGACTTGTCATGGTATACATTGATGGCACAGTTTTGAGTTTCGAGTTGGGCAGGCAAGGTGAGTCGAAAGTGGGCGGTCTGCTGGGAAGGAAGGTTTGTATGGTTTGAAAGCTTCGTATTTGTCTGCTTGAGTTACCTACCTGGTACTTGCTTGTGTCGGAAGGGTGGTTTGGTTTGATCGACAGCTTTGTATCTGTCTGCTTGGGTGACTTGCTTGTGGCGGAAGGGTCACTGTAGGAAGGATTGCAGGAGGGGCGAATAGGAAAACTATGTCCAGATGTTCCAAAGGTTGGATTTCACGAGATGGGGATTGAGTTCGTCATGTTATCATCACTCCAGTGACTCCACTAGAGCCTCGTAGAGTACCGTATTCTTTACCAAGCTGACTTGACCTGGCCAATCTTGTCGTGATACCTGATCCAAACCGCCTCCTTATCAAGGAGGAATTCCAACACAGCTAATCACTGGGTATTATACGCCGGCAATTACAACAACAAGCCCAGGCTTCTCAGTTCACAGCCCGCCATCGCAATTCTCTCTTGTCTGTCCGGTGTACTCGAACAACGCACGCCCGTCTCGTACCTGTATCAATCAAACTCACCGGTATCACGCGCGGGTTCGTGCGATACCGTATCGTGTGATCATCCAACCACAGACGTACGTGCACGGGAAGGAAGAGCCAGCAAGAGCTACTTAGGAAACAAGCACATCTTCCTCCGGGCTCTTGGGCTTTCTTTGCCCCCTTGCCTACATATGTACAATAGAAACGCCGCTACAATCAGCAAAAACTACGGTAGTTACCATCCATTCTGCGCATTCGCTTACTCGAGGAGTCTATGGATACCAAACTGCCACCTCAACTGATGGAACGAAAAAATATGACAAACGTTCTTGCCAATCCCCCCCCCCCCCCTCCTACGCCGCCAGAGCAAAAGGATTGTGTCCGGTGCGAGGATCGAACTCGCGATCTTCGGATTACCGCCACTGAGTGGGAGTCATAACCTGAGATATGAGACCGACGCTCTACCAACTGAGCCAACCAGACTTGTACATCGCTCTTCATGCTAATGACAATATTGATTTTTGCCCCTCGCTTCCGCTCAGTTATCCCAAGAAAACCAACTCCATTAAGTACCAGCGCTGAAAACAGACAAAATCCCCAGATCATCACATAACCTGGATCATCACATAACCTGAGAAAAAACAATAACAATGCCAGCACATAAAGTAAAGGAAATACACGCAAAGGCTAAGGCTAAGGAAACGACCATTCTGTCCACACACACACACACACACACAGACACACACGAAAACGCAAACACCAACGTCTCAGCTTCAATCCCGATCCGATACAACTCCAAGGTAGTATACAACCCAGCCCTCACCCGCTAAGCAACGACAAAAAAAGGCCCCTTAAGAAGACCCTCCAACTGGGGGTTCACTCAAGCATATGCGGTGGAGGGGATTGGTAGTAGTTGTGGAGGTGGTTAGAAGTCTTCTGACTCCTGGAAAAACATGCTGAAGCAGATGATGGTGCCGTAGATAAGGAGGCCTCCGATGATCGACATAATCATAGCCGGCACTTTGATGATGTCGCAGTGGGCGAGCATGACGGGGAGCGCTGTGGGTTATGTCAGCAGAGCTTCAAGAGTACAGAAGAGAAGCGGGGCGACTTGGGATAGCGATATCCGCGCAGAGGGGATATATGCAGGCACCTGGAGTTGGCAAGACCCCACAGGCCTCCTACCGGGGTAGTCTGCGGGTCTTTCATGCTCTGGCTCGAAGATGCCCCCTCCGACGGACGCCGCCCCAACCCGTTCCGCCTACACGTAGGAAGCTAACTCACCAATACCCATGACCACCAAGAATCCCGTCATGAACCGCCCGAGGTCGATGAACCCGCTGCCGTTGCTCTCGTCGATGAAGTCATCGGGGTTTGCGCACCGTGAGCAGACGAAGTTCGGGAGAGGCGCGATCACGTAGGTCGCGACGACAAGTAGGGGGTAGTAGTTCGGGCCGAAGAGGGCAGAGGAGAGGATTACGAGGAGGAATCCGATCGCAAGAATCTGCAGCTTGCATGTTAGCGAGGTGGTGGGGAGAGTAGCTGTGGAAGGTGAAGACTTGCGAAGGACAGAGCGATTATTGTTTTTAATCCGGCCATGGCGGAGAGCTTGCGAGGTGGTGTCGGGAGCGGTTGTTGGGAGTAGGTTGTGGTTAGGGAGGGGACTTCGCGATGACGGTGGTCTGCAGTTGGCGTTGCGCGGCTTCTCTTCGGCGATGGGGTGGTAGGTAAGCGGGTTGGTGGTTGTCGTTTCAATGAGGCTGAGCGAGCTGGGGGGAAGCGTGGACTGGGAAGCGCCCAAGTGAGCTAAGACCATGGCACTGGGTTCACGAAGACGCAGACAAACTCAGTACTCTTGCAGATATCAAGAAACAAAATAAGCATGGAATTAAAGAACTCAGGTACAATGATAATTAAAACGAGGTTTCCTGCTGTGGATATAGAGATGTTGTTGTTCTCATCTAAGGACGTTAGTGCTGAATTCTGTGCTCCCTCCGGCGTAGTTTTCATCCCCAACAACTGAACTGAGCCGCAACCTTCAAGCTCTCGCAACTATCCCCCACCAAACCACCACCAGCATCTACGACCTCCAATTCCATCACCTTCCGCCCATCCAAACATCTCTCTAATCATCCACAAAGATGTTTCGGAACAACTACGACAACGACTCGGTCACCTTGTACGTTTCCCGGATTCCCTAATTCCCATAGTTGTCTACAGAGAACTGATTCGAATCCGGACTGGTAGCTCTCCCCAGGGCCGCATCTTCCAGGTCGAATATGCCCTAGAAGCCATCAAACAAGGTTCCGCCGCCGTTGGGCTGGTCAGCAAAACGCATGCGGTGCTCGTGGCTCTCAAGGTATGTACCTTCTCGGCCTCCTCCCTCCACCCCCGGTGCCGGCTTCGTCTCGCGGGTGTTAACAGAGCACCAGAGGAACGCCGAAGAGCTCGGTTCCTACCAGAAGAAGATCATCGGAATCGACGCCCATCTCGGAGTAGCCCTCGCCGGTCTCGCGCCCGACGCCCGCGTCCTCTCCAACTTCATGCGTCAGCAGTCCATGTCATCACGACTGCTCTACAACCGCCCGGTCCCCATCGCCCGCGTCGTCAATGCGATCGCCGACAAGGCGCAGGTTAATACACAGCACTACGGACGCAGGCCGTACGGTGTTGGACTACTGGTTGCCGGTGTCGATGAGACGGGCCCCCACCTCTGGGAGTTTCAGCCTTCCGGAATGGTGCTTGAGTACCGTGGCGCGGCGATCGGTGCCAGGAGCCAGAGTGCCAGGACATACCTGGAGAGGAATTTTGAGGGATTCGAGGATGCCAGTAGGGAGGAGCTGGTGCTGCATGGGTTGAGGGCGTTGAGGGATAGCTTGGCGCAGGATAAGGAGCTCACGACTGCCAACGTCTCATTGGCGATTGTGGGTAAGAATGAGAAGTTCAAGCTCTACGACGGTGACGAGGTTGCGGACTGGCTGGAGAAGTTGGGAAGCACACAGAGTAGCCGTGGTTCTAGAGGAACTGCTCCGGCTGCCCCTGCGGCGCCACCGGCGGAGAGTAGCGGGGATGCTGCTGGGGATTCGATGGAAGTTGATGCATAGAGGTCTGGGAGCTCGTTAGATATCAACTGGACAAAACAAAGGGATGGCGTTCACGATTCTTACGAGGTCACGGGGGCGGCATTTGGCAATCATAATGACTGAGGAAACCAGCTGTTCTGTTCTCTAAAACAAGACAAGGAAAAAGTGAACCAGATGGAGCAAACAAAATCATCCGGTACAATCTACTAAGAAACGCCGCAAAGCCGATGAAACCATTGGACACGTTTCTTTCTCAAACCTTCCCTTCACTCTTCCAATCCAAATCAAACCTTCCCTCCGCAGGCGTATAGTTTCTTATCGCCTCCTCCACCTCATCCACTGTCTTCGCCTCGACGATGATCCCTCTCAAATTCTCCTTGATGAAACCCTCCTCGATAGCCTTCGTGACCCAACCAAGCAGTCCATCATAGAACCCCCCGATGTTGAGCACCACCACCGGACAATCATGAATCCCCAACTGATTCCACGTAACTACCTCAAAGAACTCCTCCATCGTACCGAATCCACCAGGCATGACGACAAACGCTTTCGACAACCTCCCCATCATCGCCTTTCTCGCATGCATATCCTCCACGACGGTAGTAGTACCGTACTCACTCGCCGGCGCGATGACACCGCCCTGCTCGAACTTGATCAACGGCCGCGGAATAATCCCGTGGACGGAGGTGGGGCCGGAGAGGGAAACGAGCGTGCGCGAAACCGCGCCCATCAACCCCACTGTGCCGCCGCCGTAGACGAGGTTCCAGCTGTTCTTGTGGAAGAGAGCGGCGAGGTCGTAGGCCGCTTGCTGGTATTGCGGGGAGGCGCCGGGGTTGGCGCCGCAGAAGACGCAGACGGTGAAGGCGCCAGCGGCGCTGATGGTGGCAGCGGTAGAGGCCATTGTGTGTAGATATCGATGAAGGCGATTTGAGAGAGATGAGGAGCCCGAGATGAGTGCGTTCGTGTGGGATTTGAAGAGATGACGCAGGGAGTTGCGGGTGTTGAGTAGAATTAAGTAGAACTTCGAGCTCGGAGGTTGGCGGGGGAGCCTGAGCAACCCTCCTCTCCCCCTTCTACGTCATAGCTCTCACTCGGCTACCGCGCTTTTCCAAGTGCGGATTAGCGCGATATGCTATTCGTTGCTGTTCTTTCTTGGGGCGAGGCCATGGCTCGAATCAGCAGCGACTGCGTGGCAAAATTATGGTTCACCGACTCGGCGAGTCACCTACCGTGTCTTAAAGTTTCGGAACTCACGGCTCTTAACATAAATGCTGTTTTCACTCGTACGGAACCGTCCGTCCTCAGAATCAGGGCAGCTGGTTACCGTCCAGCTCCAGAATTCCGGCTGATTTCTCTCTCCAAGGTAAGTAATCGCGGTTCAATACCGAGTCAGGAGGTAGGTATTGGTGCAATCCTGGTTTCATTGTCATTCCGTCCACAGCAGCATCCTCACACATGATCACCAGTACTACCCAAAGACAGCAAATATATGAGACTCGCTCAATACAAGGAGCAGCCTGGTACACAAACACCTCGAGCGTTTGTTTTTTCCCCCGTTTTCACGTCGAGTGTCTCGTTGCGGGGGCTCTGCGTGTACGTATCTTCCCAAACGGTCATAGCATGCTTCTTCTCCTGGACGGGATCTCATAACTGCCATGGAGCTGTTGGTACTCTGTTAGAGAAATGGAAGAGACATTACTATTCGAGGCGGCTCGAGAAGATCTCAGGTGTGTATGATTCACCCAAAGCCCGTCTCAACGAGTAGAAGGAGGAGGAGGAGGAGGAAGTATCGAGGGCCATGGTGTATTAATTGCTCTGCCATATCATCAATGGAGGAATTGGTTGAGATGAAGGGTAGATCCATATCTGTGAGATGGAAGCCTTACCATGTCTGGCGCATTATCACAAAACCATAACATCCTAAACAAAAAACAAACCCGCAACCAATCCGGAAAACACCAGTCGAGGATAACACTCTGCAAGAATCCATCCAGACTGGCTCCGCCCAAAGCGTGTCCCAGTTCTCCGTGATCACGCATTCAGGCTCCTACTAGAATGGTCCGAGGCTGTGTTGATCACCGAGGCTCGTAAACGGATCCCCTCTTGCCTAAGCACAGCCACAAGACTTTCTCCATAACTTCATGATGTGGCCGCGCAAACGGTCAGTGGTCTCGCTGGTGGTCTTGAAGACACACCTACATAGTTTCCCATCTCCGAGTCCCAAGACTTGTGATACCTAATTGCAAACAATGCCATCAGACGGAGCACCCATGATTATTGGTGGTAGTTAGTAGTCTTGTGGATTGAGCCATCTTGAGCCCACTCGAAAGGCGAGATGGTCGACCTGATCATCGTAAATTTGAACGGATAGGGTGGAGATTCCATAGGGCTTTTGGGGGCGATAGTCAAACTTCGACATCATTAGAGAAATCAAGTATAGTACGTGTATACTTACCTGGTACATGCCGGTAGGCATCGTAAAGCCTGCCTCGTGTCTTGACTGAATGAGCTCCGGACATATATGGAACGGTTGTTAACGGTGGTGAACCTAGATACAGAGATGAGATAAGAAGATGATTTCTCGAGCGGTCGTGAACAGCACCCCTTAGGTCTTAGCTTGTAACCTTGGGTTCGGGAATTCTCACGAGGTACATGTATTCAAATGTTCGAAGTCCAAAGTTTCCCAATTTGGACTAGTAAAGGCTTGGTTCCCCAGGGCCGTCCGACCCTTGCACATCTGGAACAGGAGTTGAGTCGTAAAAGTGCCTTCTCGTCCTCCATGCTCACGTTTCGACAGAGTCAGGCCACATATCGAAACCTCTACGACAATATTTCAATATGGCCACTCCAGCACCAAGAGGTGCTCAGGCCCCTGCACAGCAGTCCAGCTTCATGGTATGCTCTATTCCACGATGCCCATCCGTTTCCGCAATTCATCCCAGGCTTGAAGGTCACTGTTGCTTACTCTTGTACAGGACAACATCCGACCCGCTATCAACGGTATTCTAATCTTCTTCGTCGTCCAAAGCGCAATTAGTAGCTTCCCCCTCTCCCGGTTGATTCTTGGTTGGATTCTGACATCCCGTCGCAGAGTACTTCTCACCCGCTGCCCAGACCACGACGAAAGTCGACCAGACGACCGGCGCGGTCATTTCCTCACCCCCCGCCGGAAACTTCGAGAATCGCTACTACTCGCAAGATGTTGACAACTACCTCCACATCCCCGATCAGGTCTCGCCTATCTGGGGCGAAGGCACATCCATGGACATGAGCATCTACCTTTCCGAGGACTTCAACCTGCCACAGTTGTCGCATCCCAAGATGCAGGAGAATCTGGTCTTCAGTGAGAAGGACATCAAAATGGGCGATTGGAACGAGAAGCGGTCGATGGCGGTTGATGTCAACTTCTCCGAGTCGGTGCAGCACAACGGAACATTGTTCGCGCATATCTTTGTGGCGAAAAATGGCGCGGAAATGGATCCGTACGCCCACGGATACGACCCGACGCAGAGCTACAAGGTCATCAAGCTACTCACTCGGTACCACCAAAAGAAGAAGGTTGTCAAAACTAAGAAGCTTATCGGTGGCACGGAGGAGGATTCTGCCGACGATGAGGAGATCGCCGCCACGACCCCCGAAGGAAGGCCCATAATCACCAGCTACTGGCACTCGAACCTCACGTTGAACTTGGTTGGAGACGGCGGCGTACTGCATTACAAGACCCTTCCGGTTCCGCTGAGGCAGCATGTTGTCCTTGAGCAGACTGGTGCCAGGGAGAAGACCGGACGCAATGGATGGTACTACCCTATCATCTACCCCAATGAGTTCTGGCTGCTGCGGGACCACATGGTGGAGCTCAACAGCACTGTCAAGACGCTGCCGCTGTACATTGACATTACTCCTGTCTCGTTCTGGAAATTCCAGATCATTTCGTCGATGGACTTTTCGTTCAAGCAGTCCGCGGCCAATCCCAACACAGCACTTGGCCAGAGCGCCTCAACTGGAGCCGAACTCGAGGAGTTCAAGCGTGTCCTGATTGAGACCAACATCTACCTTCTGGGCACCACTGCTATCGTCTCGCTGTTGCACACCGTATTCGAGATGCTCGCGTTCAAGAACGATATCTCGCATTGGCGCAACAAGAAGGATAACGTCGGTATCTCCGTTCGCACGATCCTTGCCAACGTCTTCATGCAAGCCGTTATCTTCCTGTACCTCCTCGACAATTCCGACGGTACCAGCTGGATGATCCTCTTCGGCCAAGGTTTCGGAATCCTCCTCGAGGCGTGGAAGATCACCCGCATGGTCGACGTTAAGGTCCTCCCCACTCCCCCTGGATCACTGCTTCCCTACAAGATCTCTTTCGAGGACAAGCACAAGCTCTCTCAGCTCGAGAAGGAGACCAAGGAGTACGACGAGGAGGCGTTCAAGTACCTCTACTGGGTCGCGGTCCCCCTACTCGCAGCGTACGCCGTCTACAGCGTTCTATACGACACTCACAAGTCCTGGTATTCTTTCATCATCACTACGCTCGTCGGCAGTGTCTACGCCTACGGATTCCTGATGATGGTGCCGAGTCTGTACATCAACTACAAACTCAAGAGTGTTGCACACATGCCGCGCAAGACCATGGTCTACAAGCTGCTGAACACGTAATTCTACCTCCTCCTCTCTTCCCTTGCGCCTTATTAACAAAACATAGTTTCATCGACGACCTCTTCGCCTTCACAATCAAGATGCCCACACTCCATCGTCTTGCTACACTGCGCGACGACGTCATCTACTTCATCGCACTGTACCAGAGCTGGGTGTACCGTGTCGACCACCGAAGAGTCAACGAGTTCGGACAGGGAGGTGAGGACGGCGAGGAGGAGGAGAAGAAGGAGATTGAAGGTGCGGAAACCGTTGTTAAGGAGAAGAAGAAGGCCGTTGCTGTGTCCAGCGGAGCGGATAAGAAAAAGACGGGCGCCACGAAACGGCGTTAAATAGATGTTGATGGCGGTTGGTATGAGTTGGATGATGACCTAAGTACTTAGCTCGTGTTGTTTTCATATTGAAGCGATTGATAGCAATGATGATTTGCTTTTGAACAAAGAGGCTCTAGTAATTCATACTGAGAGTCCTAAAAACATGAGACAAGAAGCGACGTGATGAATTATTCGGTTGAGGTGGTCTATGATCTATGGTCTATGTGATGAATCAGAGAATGAACAAGATGAACAAGATAAGAATAGAATAGAAACAACAGAAAAACAGTTCAACGTTGACCCTCCGCATCGGGTCCGATCATGGCCACACCCTCGTAACACCAGGTCCCTCCACTCCACCGTTCAAAGCCATACAAAAATGACTTCAGTGCCACGCTCCCTCAACTCGACACCAAGTCTGGTTGGCTCAGTTGGTAGAGCGTCGGTCTCATATCTCTCACAATATGACTTCCACCCAGTGGTAGCAATCCGAAGATCGCGAGTTCGATCCTCGCACCGGACATTTTATTTTGCCAACTCGTGAGAGTTGGCACTGTTTGTCTTTTATTCCGGGGGAAGAGGTGGGAAATTGTCACGATTGGGCTGTGAGGGGAAGGAATGTTCAAGCAGAAGTCGTGAAGCGTATATATATAAACGGCGGCGTTTTTATGGGGATCACACTGGTTCAAGGCCAATATAGTAAGGCTCGCACCACCGACAGCTTGTCTCGTAATGACTCGTGAGGCTACCAGTGCATAGACGAGTCCAGAGAGGGGTTTCCACCTATTCGAGCATAGAGGCCAAGAGAGGGGGAGAAATGCGCCGAGTGCGTGAGGTCGGTCGTTGAGGACGTCTTTTATGGATCGATTCCCCTCATTCACGATCACTCACACCGTCGCACACCTACCGTATTCGCTGCTTACCGTCCGAACACTAGCTCTATCTGCTCGCCCACAAGAGCCGTCAGCTTCCAAGCCAAAAAGTTCAAATACCTAGGTCCTCCAGTGCTATCCATCAGAGCATCCTACAAACCCATGGTACCGTATGTTGTTCGGCTTCGGCCACAAGTACAACGGTGGCTCAGGCGATGGTGCCAGTGGGTGCTGAAGGGGAGGTTGATGTTGCGTGGGATCAAGGCTGTGTGGGTGTTCAATTATTTCCCCACGACATTACGCCAATCTTTTAGCAATCTACTGGCGAAGAGCGGAATATGAAACGATGGAACCAGATTTCGTCCCTGTTCAATTCCGGCGCCATTGTTGATGCATCGGAGCAGAACGAAGCGATGCCTTACGAATGTATGTCCATAAGTACTTGGAAGAACGTAAGAACAACGCGTGGGACTGAAGTTGAAGCTGAGCATATCCACACGCAGCTTCGAGGTGGATTGTACCTCCAACCCAAAGCCTGAACGGGGGCGAATATGCTGCATCAAAGATACATTTATGGAGATACAGCTCGAATGTCCGCCGAAAGAAGGACGTCGGTATGATTCAGTGGGTTATACCTGATCATGCGAGTGGCCGTCGTGAATGTACTCGTCACCAAAAAGCATACTCTTCCACTGACCAAAGACTTGGTGGAGGGAGGGGTGGATACCATCAGAATGGATGGATGGATGTTCGCCTGCCCTTAGTTATTGTTGTGACAGCTCTTGGAACTCCATAGGAGTCACACTAGTACACTACAGCACTACTGTCACTTGGCTCTTGTGCTAGCTTTAGCCCTAAGCCCTTAGCCCTAGAAGCGGCCAAAAATCTCGCACTAGCGCATTGCACCCAGTATAAAACCAGCGCTCCCCTCTCCCCTTCTTTTTTTCTCTTTAGCTCTCTTTGGTACGTGTTCCATACCCGCAACTATCAACCTCGAATCACCTGCTAATAATTCCCTTTACAGCCTTTTGGCTTAGATCAAGTGTAGTATCTGTTCTTTTCAGTTTAATATCTGAAATCCGATAATATATCGGTTCTAATATTAATCTTATTTTTGAAGTTCGGGAGTTGGCCGCTGTGCTTGCGCATGTCGACTCCCACTGTGTCACCAGTATCACACTGCCTCTGGTTGATGCGAAAAAAGAATTGTTTTCATTGTCACCCTGGTCTCTGTACGAGGGCACAATGAAGATTTATGACAGGCGCGAAGAGAAATGTCGAAGTGTCCCATTGTTTGGCGCTTGGAAAGATGGTGCTAGGAAATAGAGTGCGGTAGTTGCATGTCCGCAATCAATGAAATCAGCGCTGTCAAATAAGATTATCTGTTATGAGTGAAATTTCTGGCTCCCTTCGCTGCGAGTGCATCAGCTTACATATGAGCAGAGCTCGAGCCTCTACATAATATCACACCAGAGCACGCACGAGCCTACCACGGCTTGTTTCACTTTTTGGAGCCCAACATAACAGCACTGGCCCAGAATCAACATGCGTGACGGATGTGTAGTCATTCCCATATGGTCTCGTGAATCCTCCTATGACTATCCCGTGCGCCTACGCTTGCGGTCTCATCTACCTACAGCATTGTACGGCGAAACGACGACCACTGCATAGGATCTCACTCCCTCACCCTGTGGACTCGGAAACTCTCCTTCCCCGGGTATGGCGACTCGCCCCGTCTTGACCGCTTCCCCACCAATGAGACGTACCACTTCACGGACCGCTCCCGGTGCTCCGTCTCGATGCTCACTCGAGCTCCGATCTCAGAGGAAATGGATTGACCGCGGTCGTTGTGCTGCATACATGCCCTCCGGATACCATCGGGCGGATGCAGACTCGTCACTTCTTGGACTTTCGGGAGTTTGAAGTTCTTGGGAACATGGCTTAGGAATGATATTACGGTAGTAAACTGCTGCTCTCGCTGCTCATCGTCACGGTCCAGCTCGCGGAGAGCTCTGGAACTTGGAGGGCAACCTGATGACTCAGGTAACTTTGTCGACGCTGGAGCAGACGATCAGATCACTCTGGATAATCCAAACGCTCATCGACACGTCGACATGGAACTATGATGGTATGATACGGTAGTTTCAGAAAATTTTCTTCGTCTCGTGAATCACTTGTCACCAACACAGACATCAAACCGATAATACCCTATTAGGAAGGTTCTGGTGGTGAAGTGCGCACTTCGAATGCTGGTGACCTGGGGGTCCAAATGAGAGTTGGTGGGTGTATACCTAAGTAGTAGTGACGAAGTGGAGGTTTTGGGGACCGCCACCATCTGGCATCCGGACTCTGAAGACTCGAGAGTGAGCATTATCGTGGTGGATAGTGTCAAAAAAAGTTGTTCCCCCTGGCCTGGTGTTTGTATTAACTAATCGGCGTGTTTATTTACAGTTTTCAAGTGCGCACTTGCTCTGCGCCTACATAATAGTACAGCCTCCAAGTTGCACGTCAACTCGCACTTCAGGTGCTAATAGTGTGCCTTGGCAGGAAGTGCGCACTTCACCAGCAGAACCTCCCCAATAGGGTGATATCAACATCGGTCTGATGTCTGTATTGGTGATAAGAAAGAAGTGGTTCACAAGACGAAGAAAATTTTCAACCATGCTATATAGCCGAGTTATCCGCAGGGCTCACTACGGTAGAGTAGCTATCCTTCTGCCACCGAGAGAATCACAATTTGCATACATAGCCACAACAGAGAAGTTGATGGTAGCCCGGAGACGTGATGTCATTAAGCCAGACGAAAACTGGCTGTGTCTGATGATTTTCATGTGCAGAGAAAAACCCGAATGTCCCAGAACCCGCCGTGGTAGAGTAGGCATAGTGGTGTCTGATGAATTTTGCCCGCTGAGCCAGCCAACCGGTATCTGTAGATTTGATATGGATTTGCCTATATACTCATAGATATATCTACTACTTGGGCTACATAGCCCAGTTACCCGAGAAAAATTCTTACCATGGTTCGGCCAGTTGGTAGAGTAGATCCGGCCCGTAATAATTCATTCACGGGCCGCCTGTCTACTAGAGTAGAGTACAGTGGTATAGATAGGCCGGGCCATTTATAGACCGGTCTTTTCTAACTACCACTGGGTTAGAACAACACTAGGAAAGACAAATTCCGCTCCCTACTCTGCCTCGCACTCTGCCTCTTCATCAGGAGATGCTATGAAGGAGGGTGTGGGAAGGAAGCCCAAAACAGCATGACTGTACTGCTCCTCTGCTCGAGGTCTCTGATCTTGTAGGTATGTACCTATGTACATAAAAAATTTGCGATGACAGGCTTCTCCGGTCCAGATAGTTCCGGACCGAGTGATCTCCCAGCTAACCTCCGCTTGTTGGATGGAGTGATCTTCATACCACCACGACAACACCAGTCGTCCGAGATGGATGGCGAGGGCTTGGTGCCATGTCATTGCCAGCGCTACCATGTGGGTATGTAACTCGTCGATACCGTGAAGCGCCGGATGTGGAGCGGTATAGGTAGTTGAAGGCTAAATGAACAAGCAGGCACGATTCGTAGTCGCGAGATTCATATCTAGGAGATCAAAGCTGCGGGGGCCAGATTTGTATGTACATAGCCCAAGCGGATCATATTTAGGTAGGAGACATCACTGCGGTGTTATGAGCAGTGGCTATGTGTGTATTGTACAAATCAATAACAGGTGACCACTCCGCTGGACAAATCCACGGGTATTCGGACAGGCCACTAGGTATATAGAGTACCAAAGCCAGTCCATCGGAATACTAGTGGTACTATAGACACTTCCTATTTGAAATAGTTACCAGCAGTTAGGCCTCAGTTCGGGTTTTTCTCTGCTCCACTTCGTCGCTGCACCTGGCACCAACCCTCATTCGGACCCCGCCCCCTCGTCACCAGCATTCGAAAAACTTTGAAGTGCGCACTTTCACCGGCAGATCCTCCCTACTAAATAGCGGGATCGCTGCTTTCATACCATCTAGCATCTCTACCGATCATGTGACTGCGATGGTGGCGTACGTATCATACGGTTCGGACTTCAATTCGTCCGTGTTGAATATCGGTTGCTAATAAACCATGTCTCGATTCTCGGCACTGTAGATCTACAGACTACCAAGCCTACATACATACAGGCATATGTACAGTGACTCACTCAACTACTGTAGGCTCGTGTTGAGGGAGACGTCTACTCGATGTACTCTAACCTCGGAAATACAACGACAAACCGCATGTTTTTTTTGGCTCCTTCATGAATGCAATGGTGAACCTCGTTTTTTCTGTTTCTTCATTGGTAGATGGAAAGATGAACCTTTTTCTTCTGTTTAACAATTATTGTATCCGGCCTTATCAGATCATGGCAGTTACAGATCCTGTTCCTCCCAGCAAAGATGAACTTCAAGTCCACAGTCCCAACTGCAAGTCGCCAAGATTCGAGTGATCTACCATGCTCCGGTGGGAAAGTCTATCTATAGCCCGCCACGACACATCACTCTGGAGTAGGGATACCGGCCGTAACGTTACAGTATCTGTTGGCGGCCTTATACCCGCGCACTGATCTGCCCAGCCAACGAGGCTATGCTCACCCAGAGCATCTCCAACCCTCAACGATCATGTGTTTTATGTAACGCCTGGCAGACTACGTAGCCCCCTCCCCATGAATGGTCAGGCAACACTGAAAAAATACGAAGATACCTACCTAAGCCACAACCCGTGCCCAATCCCAATGCTGGCCCATATGCATACAAAAAGCTCGCCGAATCCCTTTCCAAAAACCTCCTCCTCCGTACACTCCTACATACCATACCCAACTGTCAACCCATCGAAAGCAGTAAAATAAATCCAACACCATCACCAGAAATGTCTCAACCAATGACAGGCGGTGACAGTGCCTCGAGCCCACTGCTCCCCACCACCTCCGACCACGCAAACCTCACCCCGCTGAACCCCGTGACGGCCCGAGACCTGCTGCAATGGCTGCGCGTTAACCGGCTCGTCGACACGCACACTATCCCGACCGGCGTCCTGCGCTCGGCCATCCACTCAGCCGGGCCAGCATCCGACGACCCCGACAAAGGGCACTGCGCGAAGGTACCCCTCCGCTCTTCCTCCGTCCACCACTCTCCCGCCCCCGCTGACATGATCTTGTGTTCTACCAGAAACGCAGGACCATCGCCTGCCTGATGATCACCGCAATCGCCATCAACACGCTCCTCACCATCGTGCTGTTCGGCGTGCAGCAGGGCCACCGCCGCTGGCGCGGGAATCCGCTTGGCATCTATGCGTTTGTCGTGTCGATGCTGCTGTTCCTAAGCACCCTGCTAGCCGCTGTGTTCATGTGCGGACTCAAGAAGGGACGGAAGACGGCGTATGAGGGGAATGGAAATATTGCGCTTGGTGGGGAGGAGAGCTTGAGGTTCTAGACGGTGCTGGTGGCGCACGTTTGCTCGCCTTGCCTTGCTGGCTGGATGGATGGCTGGCTGGATGGCTATAAAAGTTATTTGCTTCTCTGCTTTTCTGTTATGTACAACAAAAAAATCATTATCGGTTTTCGTACGAAATAATTAATAGTCCCTACTACATAACACACTAACCGTCCTCTACTGTGCTGTGCCCAAAGCCCGACGGACTACGGTACCCATCAGTGACTATACCCGACCGACCCATTCGCGAACTCGCGAACTCGGTCCTTCCCGGTCTCGATTTACGGGCTGTGTAGCGTACTTGTTGATCCAAGTTGATCAACAAATTTCAAACACCAGTATGTACATACAACTTGCAGCAGTGCCTCCCACCCCAAGGTTCAAGCCCAGGGTTCACGCCCCAAGGTTCAAGAAGGCCGCCGATCCGGAGCCGGTATCGGTACATAACTGGCTGCCGTATCAAGATACCGGTACTGGTACTCTACGTGGATCAGATCATCAGGAGGCTAAGCATGGCTATGCATGGATTTGCCTGTGGCATAGCCCACACACCTTTCCCCCGCAATCAAGCCAAAATTCAAATAAACGTATGATGTTTTTCATCCCCGCGGTTTCGAGGACCGGGACTCCTCCTCCCTAAAAGCAAATAAACCAGCTGGATGACTGGCTGGCTCCACGTGCGTGGCTGGGTGTGTATAGAGTAGTAGTACCGGTGCTTCACAACCGCTCACTCCGATACCGGTAGTTATGCATAGGTGCAGTAGCAAAAAGTGGGGTGCGATTGATGCCGAAGCTCTCAAGTATGCGTAGTACTACCGCTCGGATATAAATCCAGAATTCTCAAAGAATACCGATTTAATTTCGTATTTGGGTTTTCCTATATTCTCAATTCTACAGTATCGAAAACCTATACGAAGTGTTGTAAAGATACGCTTTTTAAAACGCCGGAAGGACTACTGCAGTTCTTCCGAATGCAACATATTACGCACTATTCGGAATACTAGAGAACCACTAGAGAACTAAAGTATTCGCACAACAATGTAGTGCGGACTGAACGGGGTCATGCTAATCAAGTAGTTCCTGGTAGACTGTAGTAAAACGATGACGACAAGAGTCCTACGGAAGAAATCAGTGTTCGACATAGTCCGGTCCCGACTGTCAAGATCCAGTCCCATCCGCACCTTTTGGAAGACGGGATAAAAGTACCGGTAGTCCGTCTCGTCCGCCAACTTGGTGGACGGGGCTGGACTGCAGTCGACTGCAGTCCGTCGTCCTGCCCTCGATTTTCTTGGACTAGTCCGTCCAAACACCGCTCCCGGACGGACTGCCAAGATACAGTCCAGTCCGGTCCGAGGCCCAGGACGGACGGACTGGACTATGTCGAACACTGGTCCGAGAGACGAGATGGGCTGCAACGAGCCGGCTCAACCCGGGGGGGAGGGGCAGACGGGGGGGCAGACGGGAGAACCGGGACCTTGTGCGTACTTACACTACTATGTATGATCCAGATGGTTACGAGTCCACATGCTCAAATTCTGTTAAATCTACGGACTTAATCACAGGAGCAAGGTGCTCACTGCTCATCAGGCAAGAGTGATATGCGATGCCGCCAGATTGTTTTCATTTTCTTCACTTTCTCTTCACTTCCAGTAATCACCAACATCCATTATCCAATAACCCAATGCATTCCCGAATTCCCAATCCTTTCTATATGAGCAAGTACATACTTAGACATACCCCTTAAGTACCTGATAACTAAAATCGAAGTATATATCCCCCCATAATGCCATGCAAAAAACCAACCAAAGAACAAGGGAATATCTAAAAAGAATCTACCGTATCCTGCGACTAAATACTAGAAAGGTGGGAAAGAAACCAAGGGAGTTCAAAACAAACAGAATATGCCACCGCCTACACAAGGAAACCAACCGAAAATGATTCCCCGAAATTAAATGATAATCCTTCACAGCACCAACTACCTCGCAACCGCCGCCGCCATCTGGCAGCACCACCCCTTCTGCTTCTGCATCTGCATCTGCATCTGCATCTGCATCTGCAACGCCGTCTGTGCGGTACAAGGCGAACACAGCGGGGGGGTGGCCTTCCTAACGACCAAGCCGAGGTCATGAATATCAAAGACGCCAAAGATGCCGTGCAAGCCGACGATCTCATGGTCGTCAGGACACAGCAGTGCGGCGACGCTCTTATTGAAGCAGTCAAACGGCACCGTGCCCATCGAGCCGATGATGGTTTTCTCGCGGCCGAAGGTCGTGTGGAACGACAGGCCGACGATTCGCTCCTCGTCTGAGCCGAGCTTGCGGAATGCGACCTTGATGCGCGAGATGCGCTCGCCGTCGGGGCCTGAAGCAGACGGGGTCAGCAGTGATGCGGCAGTTAATGCACCGGGTGGAGGCTTACCGTTGATGAGCATTTTCCGCTCGCTGCTCAAGTTGACTCCTTCCGCGTCCGCGGGCCAGTCGCCCACCGTGATGACTCCCATGGCGTCCGTTCCGTGCAGCCGGATACTGCAGATCCCTTGGGAGCACCAGACGCGGATCTGGAGCAAGTTTTCGGGCTGGAATACCGAAAACGCTCTCCCGACCGATTCGGGTGCCTGGCCTCTGTATCTTTCCCGAGATGGCTGGTTCCGATGTCCTTGTAGCAACGGAGTGAAGACTAGGCCCCGTGTCTGGAAAGGAGAGCCGTTGAGCCAGCGCAGATGGGTTGCTGGATCTTCAGTGTGATATTCTGGCTCGCTGGGATTTTGTCTGGTCCCCGAATATGCAACGCACACGGAGGTAGACTCCCGGGGGCGATATAAAAGTCCGAGCAAGTTCCACTGGATACGCTCGTAGAGGCTGGGTTTCTGCGAAGCATTAGTGTCGGATTTCTGGACGCAAAGGATTCCTGTGAACTACATACCTTGAACTGAGCGCCGTAGAGTCCCACACTGATATGCCCTGGTGGTGGCGTCAAGTGAAGTGCTGTAGCACCACTCTGAATAATTCCAAACCATGGTGTTGTTCGGCCACGATTCGTCGAAAGCTAATCGATTCATGGTCAGTCCAAGATCACAGCGAGCAGACGGGAGACATACCGCTAGAGCACTAGAGCTGCGGCATCCATCAACTTCAGGAACGAAGATCGAGTCAAAACGCTCCCCTTCCCAAAGCTCAAACGTTGTCTCGAACGCCGACCGTTCTCCAAAGACTCCCTTTGGCCATTTCCCTCTGCGCCGGAAGATGAATCCGCAGAACCGTCCTTCCCGCGTCACATAGGCTTTTACGGCATCTACGTGACCGGTCTCACTACTCTCGTCAAAGACCGTCGAGACGACATAGGCGGTTTCTGAGATGTAAAAGTCTTCGATGATATTCCGGTCAGAAGCCCTCCAAGGGAACCGGATAAGCCTGATGAGCTCCCTTTGCTCACAAGATATCTGCATCCTTTGCTCACGAGATCTTTGCTCCTTCCGCTCAAGAGATCTTTTGGGAGTTGTGGTGAAGATCGGTGCCCACGAGATCAGCTGATCGTGATTGAAGTCGAATTTAACGGCGACAATATACTCCGAGAACTGGGTACGGCACTTGACCGGTGAGGAAATTTCCGCTTCACCGAAATTCGTAATAAACTAAGCCTGTTAGCCCCTGAGGTACCCATGCGGAAGAACTGCCCGACTTACAAATATCCGTTCCATCGGTACAGGAAAGTTGATGGTGGAGTCTTCCCCTTCATCGTCGTCGTCGTATGATGAGGACCGATTTTCAAGTACGGCGACACCAACAATCTCCTCACCAGATCTTTGATTAATTTCCTGGACCACCGTATCCGATTCATCGTCCACGTCTCCGAAGAAGATATCTGGTTCGTCTCCCGCATAGCTGAACCTGATTCCCTTCATCTCTCCATAGATGATAATCCTAGATACCGATTTCAGACTCGCCCAACCGCTAAAGTCGTTGAACGGCTTTCGTCGGCGAACCCTGCACGAAGAATCGATAGCGATATCACTCGGGCTGGAACCGATAACCCAATGCTTGTTGGGGGGTGTATCTTCCCACACACCGAGTGACTCGAATGACTCGTCCTTAGCGTCGAAAGGAATCGAACACGGCAGGGGTTGTGTGAAGATCGAGCCAACGCAGCTACCCCCCTCTGCTGGTTCGAGAAATGCGAGCCCCAGCTGAAGAAACCTCTTATCCTATATCCTCCGGCGTGTCAGTCTATGCTATCCATGAACGTTCGGGGTTGGGGGGTTTTTTTTTTCCGCACCTCATAATCGTAGATTCCATGGACTCCAACTATATTCGTATGGATATTCTCGCGGTGCTCGTTTCCGCACTGACCAGCTGGATTGCTCAAGTCGGGTTGCGGAGCGAAAACCTTATGGGTCCCGCGGAATCTTGGGCCGAACACCTGGCTCTTCCGGCCAGTCTTGGTAAGGAACTATCCACATACACGGTCAGTAAGGGGGACGATGGACGGGATGAACGACAGCCACTGAGGCACCCACCAGAATTCCATATACCCCTTCATCGCCGAACGAGATGACCGACGCGATGATGGGCTCCTTCTCGTCCACGGCGAAGACACCTTCCTTCCCTCCCTCGCGAACGCCCAGCAGACATGACGTCCGCCTGCGATTGCGGTCGACATACATGAACTCCAATCCTCGCAGGAAGTGCTGGTCATAGTAGCCGACGATGCTTTCCAGTCTGCTGGAAGACGGAAACTTGGACCGAAGACCCAATTCGTTTTCGGAAGAACTGCGTTCCCACACCTCCCATTCCGCTCCACGCAGTCTCCAGTCCGGGATAGCCGCGCCCTCCCTCTCGTGCATATAGACGCTTCTCGGTGGAATGCGGTCTTTCCATAGCGATGCCTCTTCGTGGGTCAAGGGCAGCGTGCGGGGAGGAGCGCTTCGAGCGCTTCGAGCGCCAAAGTGGTCGTCCTCTTCGACGAACGTCTCCTCCAATATTCCCACAGTCTCGATGAAACCGGCCGAGCTCAGGAATCCCGTGAGGCCAACGAATTTCCGATATCTTGTCGGCACGATGATCTGCCGCATCAACTTATCCCACTGCCCGATCTTCTTGGCGAACTGGAAATCCACGCATGATTTCGAGTCGCTCTCGTACAACCAGATCGCCTGGGCGCCGCAGATGACGCCGTCGGTAGCGTCGTAGCAGAAGGCGAACCCGACGATGACCCTCCCTCGCAGTGACAGGTCGAAGTGCTTGCTCCCTTCACGGCCGAACCGCCGTGTGTCGGATCCCAGTTCCTCGTCGTGGACAGAGAATTCCAGGCCGCAGAACACGCCCGTCGGCCCATCGCACCAGAAGCGGACCTTCTCGGCTTTGATGTTGACCGTTTCCTCCTTCTCATCCTCGTCTTCGGGTTCCATCCACTCGGGCAGACGGCCCCGATTCCCAATGTACGCCGTGTTGACCGTACCTTCCCTACCGGATCTGGCGCCGACGTACCCCCTCACGACGCTCGTCTGCTTGGCCGCATCACCGGGTGCTCCGAGGAGGGTACGCATGGCATAGGTCGACGTCTCGACCAGGGTTTCCGCGATCGGCTTGACGATCTTCCAAATGCGATTCCGATTCTTCAGCCCGATATCGATCCTGTCCCATTCTCTCCTGTAATCTTCGTCACTGGCATTCTCCGGAAGCCTGGGGGTACGGATGAGGCGTCGTAGCCTTTCGAAGCTCCCTCGCCAATCGATCGAACTCGGTATGCCACGTTTGATGTATTCCTCGTGCCTTCCGATTTCCGGGGCGAGCGTCGGTAGGTATTTGAATTCTTGCTTCAGGAAACGGCGGTAGTAACTCGGCCTGAGCTCAACGTTGAGAGCGTCGGGACTGGCAATCTTGAGACTGAATATGTCCGAAGAAGAGAGGTAACTCCATATCTCCAGGATCACCTCCGGCGGTAGGCTCGAGAACGGATCCACGAGGGCTGCGCGCGGTGCCATCGGTAGCGGATCATGGTTCGGGAGAAGCTTCAGCGGGTGATCACGCACGGAAATCATCGAAGGATCTGCAGCCAGCCACTGGACAAGGATCGAATAAGCTGGGGGATTCACCCGGTATCGAACCGAAGAGTGTAAAAACGCTGATGGGAGCTTACATGACATCCGTCCTCGTGTCTCCACTTCCATCCCTCGCCACTCCCCTGTGCTTCTCGGTAATTCACTTCGCCCAATCGCGTGACGATCTCCTTCCTGGTCGTGCCTTCGCGGAGCACAGCATTGGTCTGATCGGCCTGCTGCCTGCGTCCGCTGATGGCGACCAGGCTGCGGAGGTAGCCCCACATGTGATCGTAGTCGATGTCTTCGTTCATGCCGTCGATGCCCTTCTCGTCGCCGGTCACCTCGATCGCCCAGTCCAGCAGCGACCAGCATTCGTCGTGGAAGGGAATCGACGAGATGGAGCTCTGGACGTGGGTGCCGCCGAGTTCCTGGTAGACGTGGAATCCGTACGTGTTCCGCAAGAGGTCGGATTCCGAGAAGATGGGGTATTCGGGGTTTCCACCGTCCTCATCGTCGACGGAGGCGTATGCGTCCGCCCAGTTGTCGCTCTGGCGTATCAGACCTCGGCCGGTCAGGAAAACCTGCTCGCCGACCTCGGTGTATCGCTGCCAGTTGGCAGGGGTGTTGGCCGCCTCGTTGTGGATCAGGGCTCGCAGATTCTTGGTCCATTTCATCTGTCTGACGGATATCAGGTCGCCATCGTACGCCTGTCGCACGGCAGCCTTGCCTTCACCCGCGACGTGCCGGGGCTGGGCTCGAAGCCGTAGCTGCCGCCTCCGCCGTGCTGCATATCCCATACCCTTCTCGACAATCACGTCTTCCGGTATCACAGCATTCTTCCCGACGAAGTTGAACTCGTTGCTGCTGTCAAGATCTTCTGGATCGGGAGCCTGCTTCGAGAGCCCTTGAGGGGGCGTTGCCGTGCAGATGCTGCTGCTGCCGCCGCCGCCGTCAGGATTGGCATTGCTCGAGTGCGCCGGGTGGACGGCAGTACGAAAGACCTGGGCAAACGGGCCCCCGCAGAGAGCACAGTAGAAATGGGTCTCGTAAGGATGATTCCGGACGCCCGGCATCACGACTGGGAGTCTTATTTTCTTTTCTTTCGAGTTGTGTGAGTATGGTTTGTGTATAGAGGCCCTGTGTAGCGATATGGATCCGGCGGTTTTCGACGGAAGACGTCCAGCTATGTATGTAGTTAACGCGTGCGTGCGAGCGAGCGGGCGATCGTCCGGTCCTAGATATCTGCCTGGCGATCAATGCGAAGTGGAAAAAGAAAGCGGACGGGAGAAGCCAGGGAATCGAGCACCCAGTCTCTTTCTTGTACTTCTGGCAATGCGCTTGGATATATGTATCCGCAACCGCCCTCCCTCCCCCCGCCTCCCCGTCCACCTCCACCTTCACGTCCACTTCCTCCACCTCTTCCTGCCTCCTGCCTGCTACTCCTGCTCCGTCCATCTTGTTATTCTGACCTGACGTGACCCTCCGGCCACCTCGATTTCCACGGTAGCGAGAGTCAACCGGGCGGGAGAGCCACTCTGCGAGACAAGCCACACCAGTGAATGCGTACTAGCGCCCGCATTGCAAGGATATGGGGGGCGCATAAATCTCGCCATGCTCGATGTGGAGGCCGTGAAAGCTAAGCCCGCAGCCAGGTAGATTTAATATTGGTGGTGGTGGTGGTGGTGGTGGGCCGGCCGGGAGGGGGGGATCAGGGACATCTAGTGCCGGAGTAAGTAGATATTTAGATCGGGGGAATTAAAATCTAAATGCGGTAATACATTAGCATTTATTAAAATTAAAAAAATTACAGGTGTCCGCAGGCAAATGGCCCCGCCGGGAACGAAAATCACAATATCGCGGCCAGTTCTTGCCCGTTTTCTTCAATAAAACACTCCTCTGGACTGCACTGTTGCGCTCGTTCTATCAGTTCGATAGTTCCACCGGTCTGTCGCCGTTGACCGGGCGTCCGCAGCCAACTGGCCCCGGCGGGAACGAAAATTACAATATCGCAGCCGGTTCTTGCCAGTTTTCTTCAATAAAACACACCTCTGGACCGCACGGGTGCGCTGATTCCATCAGTGTTCCACCGGTCTGTCGCCATTGACGGGGCGTCCATAGCCTGCTCCAGAGCTCCATAGCCCCGCCGGGACCGAAAATTACGATTTCTCGGCCAGTTCCTGCCTGTTTCCTGCTATTAATCACTCATCTGGATCGCACGAGCGCACTCATTCCATGAGTCCCATCGTTCCACTGGCCCAACGCCGTTGACCGGGCTCCCACTCCAGAGCTCCAGCACTCCACAGCCCCACAGGGACCGAAAATCACAATCTCTCGGCCAGTTCTTGCCTGTTTTCCAAGGCGCAGATATACAAAGCTCATCGACAGGTTAGTGATAAGCCAAAATTGTAGTAAATTTGTTGGTGATTATTCCCATTTATTATATGCATAATATTCTTCATCAGGGCAATTAGCCACCATGTTTGTTGCCAAGACTTCCTAATCGAGAACTCAGCCGTGCCAAAACTGGGCTGTGGCAGCCTTGCCCCTGGACATTCCCGGGGCCTCCCCATACTAAATCATTTTTCGTCTATTTATTTTGCATTTTGGTTGCCACCCAACCACACCCTTTAAAAAAAAAGAGCGCTGTGTAAATTATCTCCTGCCTCTTCTCTATCGCTGTACAGAGCTCTTTTTTAAAATTAGGTTGTTGTTGTCAACTAACCGAACGTCAAAAGTGGGGGTGAAAACACTCCGGATCTAGACGTCCCCAACCATATTCGAGACCGTGCGCAGTTCAGCCTGATTGTACTAACCACCATCTACTTGTGTACTGCTAGTATGATATATCGAGATTCTGCCATAGCCAGCACGACCAAGTCGGTCTCAGCACCTACATAGCATACAAAGATACCAAGGGCTTACATACACATACACATACTCACTTTCACACTCAGTTAGCACCAGCAATGCCGTGTCTTTCAGGGGGTGTATGTAGAGTATGATGTGTACTCTGGATGGATCTACTCGGCCATGTACACATCTACCGGTATGTGGCTACATATTCCCCTCTTTCTCCTTCTCCGCCGAGCTAAGATAGATACCGTATGTATGGGCTCGGTGCCGGCGGTGGATGATGGGGAATGCGGCCAAGTAATGATGATATTGATGTCCCCGCATGCGGCGCTTCCAGTAGAAGATACTGGTAACCACCCCCCAGTCCGGTCTTCGGCGATTGGATCCGAGTCCCATAACCATGTGGAAACAGAAAAGTCGAACGAATCAGCTAACAAGACGATGACCCGTCCACACCACCACCACCGACGATATGGAGATACTGTAACTATGATACTGACCAGTGACCAGTATCACACAACCCAACACACACATCACCTCCACCTAGCTCATGGCCTCCGTGGCAATGGTTGCTAGCTAGTGCTGTCAGCCACCGCTAACCCGCTTCACTGGCCGGCCCGGCGCTTCAGCCCGCAGCGTGCATACGGACCCAGCATGGCAGCACTGGCCCACAATACCCACGGTGCATAAGTCGGATGAAATCGAATGCATGGAGGACCTATATAGAGTGCTCTACATAAATACATCCTTTCTAGGTATCTGGCCAAGTACTTGCCCACTCTAGATGCTTCCACATGCACCCCACCTATCTTCCCAGGCCTATCCGGGAGAACTGAGGGGATGGGACGCGTCCTCGATAGAGTGGTTCCCGCCAATTGATACATACCCAAGTAATTATACACATGCTTCTTACTACCTACCGTACTCCTCTTCGCTCATGGCCTTCGAAGACATGATCCAGCGGAACTGGAGCCCCGACATGGTATGTTGGGTACCATGTAGGTGCTTGGGTACCGTAGATATGCATTTTCCAGCCTCCAGAAAGAAAGAAAAGAAAAAACAAAAAAACAGTCTTCCTGTTACATACTTCTTGGTACTTCCAAACAGAATCCGAGTCAACCGATCAAAAACATATATCTATATATACAGTGTAAATGGAACCACCCTCGAGTCTTGACTGAGCCAATGGGCCTTCGCGCCTATCGCGTTTGCACCGATCCTGTCCGATCCCAGACAGGACTCCTAGACAGGACTTCCGGACGAGACATCATTTTCAGTGAACATCGAGGACACTGGACACTGGACACTGCCGGTCCTGCCTATCCCATCGAACATCTGCCGCCGCCGCCGCCGCTGCCGCCACCACCAATGATTTGAACTCGGACTGTCCCGCCGCCTCCACCATCAATTGTTTGAATCCGGACTCTCCCGCCACCACCACTGGAAGTTTGCGCAACGAGACAATACTTCCCTCATAGGAAAAATGATCCTACATACACTCAACTAAAAACTTCCCTTTCTCCTCAACAGAGGTAGAGTACTAGTAAAGTGCAAACCTACTTCTCACCCACATAACTCCCATCCATGGCGCATCCATCCATCCATACTTACTATGTACTGCTACTACTAACTAGAGCATGCGAGGTAAGCGCTCATGCATGGGCTGCATGCTTACCGCAAAAAAAATCCCCGTCGTAGGCGCCCGGGCTGTCCTCCCCACCAGCTGCGAAGTGGTACACTACGAGGACGGCAGTTGTTTTTTCTTGCTTCCCTGGCGGCCTGGCCCGACTCCCCTCCCCTCCCTTCCCGACTCCCGAGCAAGCGCTGTCTTTTGTTCCCCCGGCGACCACCACCACGACGACGACGATCCAGCGGATCCAACGGTTGTAGCGTTGCTCTAAGGATGGATACGTACGTACGTACACATCTACTGCCTACTACGGTACTACGGTACTGCGGTAGATGGTAGACTGGTAGACTGGTAGTTAGTGGCTGACTAGCCGTTGGCGGGATATCCATCATAACCTTCCTGCCTTCCATGCCGATGGTCTCCGGATCCACATATGTAAGTATATAGATGTGCAAGTCCCGGCAACCGCATCCCTAGGCACTTCGGTACATCGGTGCTTATTTATGTACAAGTACTTGGCCCCACAAGCCAGCCCATCAAGCCAGCCTAGCAAGCACAAGCCCCCCCCCGTCGCCCCGTCGCCCCGTCACCTGACCAGAATCCTCCCAAACCCACCTCCCCACCCATGGCAATCTGGATACGTATCCTGGCCGAACATTCCAAAGTCTGGGACGCCAGCCAGGATAGAGGATGGGCAGGATGGGGCAAGATGGGCAGGGTGGATGCAAAGGATGGGCAGGATGGATGGATGGGCATTGGGCTGGCCAATGTCAGCCCATGTGGAATATGGCTGGTCAAGTGCGGGTTTCTGGAGGTCGAGACTCGAGACGGGTCCTGTGAGCGAGTGGGTGAGCCCTTCCATCTAGCCAACCAGCGGTATTGCCCGCCCGCCCTGCCAGTGCCAGTGCTGCCTATATACAGAGCATACCGTACTCAGTGCTACCATGGCGAGGGACTGAACCGCACATCAGCACACATACCACACACATACACACCCCCCCTATACATACACACACATACACCACCCTCCCCCAGATACATACGAGGGAATAACTCCTCTCCCTACTCTACACAATGTGAAACCATCCGGCGGCCCGGAGAGTTTATGTCTCAGCTCGCCGCCAAAAGCCGGCGGCGGCGAGTTGATTCACCGTCACGAGCGAAGAAGAAAAACAAAAGGCTGGGTGGAAAGATTCCGACCTCCTATGTACCGTACCCACGAAAGAACGCGGTCTTCGGCGAATGGTCGGCTCGGCATCAGCCGTGTGGGCGGGCGGGCAGGGAGGGCCGAGTAAGGACCGGCGCCGCGAAGATGGGCGGTGATGCACGCTTGCTACTACAGAGATATATGCGCACCAGCTCATAATCCGGCACTCGCACTCGCACGCGCACCCCCGCGCCGGCCCAAATGGAATAAAATGTCAACTCTTACCGGGTCCCACATATACCGTACTCTACATACCGGTACTCCATCTCGGCAGGGCGCGTTTCGAAACATCTCGTATTCAAGTATTTAAGCGCTGGACGCGGAGCATCGGGTGTAATTAACGCACTCGTTAAAGTACTCCACGCACTCCACGTGGTTGCTACGGACCTACGGTATTTACCGTATGTACGAGTACTCTGCGAGGCAAGTAAGAAGTAAGATCATCAACACCATAATGCGAAAGCGCCCTGACCGCAGCAGCAGCACGGAGGGGTTATCGAGTCAACGACGACGACGACACGGCCTCTTGGGAGCGGGTAGAGTGGGGGAGTGGGTTAGCACGCCATCGATTGACAGCTCAGGTCATAGCAGTATTGCAGTATTGCAGTATCTATTGCAGTGATCGACAGGCTACCTACGGTATCGTTGCTATGTAAGTGCATACATACATTATAATACATTATACACTCCAAGGAGTGCGAGTAACTTCGGGGCATTGACGCGCAGTAAGCTGTTCGGAAAGCATAGTGCACCCTGATATTGACATCCATCCAACTATGCAGATGCACCACTGGTCCAGTGATCCAGTGATCCCTCGGCGTGATCGAGCGCTGGACGCACTCACGCAGGTGCTCCGGATGCGGACCGGAGAGAGAGAGAGAGAAAGAGAAAGAGAGGGAATCACTAGACTGCGGTACCTATGGCATTGGCAGCCCTTAATTGTCGACCTGTACGTAATATACCGGATGGAAGCAACAGATAGGCACACCGAGTGATCACCCGAGAACCAAGTGCTTTCCCATGAGCCGAGGAGCTACCAGCTCTGGAGTAACCATTGACCCTGGGAAGGCACACTAGCCGAACGCGTTAGATAACTAGCACTTGGATAACTACGTCAAGCAGAAAATCGACACCCATCGAAACTCCGAGTCATGCCCATCTTGCCATTGCCCACGACGATGCCAACTATAGCGCCGCGCCTACGAACCCGAATATGCGAGAACAGCAGACGGTGGTTTTCGGCCAGCTATCGCAAGCAGGAGGTTCTTTCTATCCACCAACTGCCGGAGCGAATCCGCCCCACGTACACTAGTATGAATCCCATCGCCGACGCTCGAGCTTCTGGGTGCTTTTGGTGATAACGGTTGGAAATCCTGTGACAGAACGAAGCGATAGTAAACTCCTCTCGCTACAATGGGAGCAGGAGCCCCGGAATGTCATGATCATCCGGAAACCGGGGGTCGCGGCGGTCGGCGACGCAGTGGTTGAATTCGCACAGTGTGACTCGAACAACGTCCATCTATTATTTAGTTCCGGCTTGTGAGCGAGCGTACGAGAGACTGACGCTGATGGCGGAAGTGCAGACATCTCAAAGCTACGTACCCCTCGACGAACATCATCCTCGAGCCGACGGTCGCCGCGAATCTGCACTACCGTCTGCCCTTCCCCGTGTTCGCGATCCCTCCCCCGTCACGATCGACGCCGTTCCCGTTCACCCAGTCCACATACCCCCGCACACCGCACCACTACCAGTACCCGCGCATCCGCCCGGCCGGATACGACTCCGAGCCGGGAGAGGGGGACGGCAATGACGGGGCCGCAGCGGGGCCCGAATCCTTCGCCTCCGTCGAGCTGCAGACGAATCCGTACCATCGGAAAACCGACATCCTCGTGACGCTGGGCGGCGACGGCACGATACTCCACGCGGCATCGCTCTTCTCCACCAGCCGCGCTGTGCCGCCGGTCCTGGCGTTCGCCATGGGCACGCTCGGATTCCTGGGGGAATTCAAATGGGCCGAATACAAGGCGGCATTTGCGGCGCTGCGGGGCTCGAACGCCAGTAGTAGTACTACCGAAACCTCGCCGTCCTCCACCGTCCGCGTGCTCCAGCGGAACCGGTTGAAGGCCGGCGTGTTCGGCGCAAACGGGGAAAGGATCGGCGGCGAGTGGGGCGAGTACGAGGGCATCGAGGATGCGCACGCCATGAACGAGCTGTCCATCCACCGGGGCCGAGAGCCGCACCTGGCGATCCTCGAGGTGTACATCGACTCGCATTTCCTGACGGAGGCGGTGGCCGACGGGATCATCGTGTCGACGCCGACGGGGTCCACCGCGTACTCGCTCTCTTCCGGCGGCAGCATCCTGCATCCGTCCGTGCCGTCGCTGCTGCTGACCCCCATCTGCCCAAGGAGTCTGAGTTTCCGCCCGCTCGTGCTGCCGGAGGACGCAAAGATCACGCTGAAGCTGAGCGAGAGGAATAGAGGTAGGGAGGTCGAGGTCAGTGTGGACGGCAGGAGGTGGGGCGGGCTGGGCCCCGGACAAGAGGTCAGGGTGTGGTTGGAGTCGCTGGCGAAGGGGAGCGGCGAAGGCGGGATTCCTTGCGTTAAAAGGCTAGGGACGCCCTCGGCGGGGGATGGTTGGGTCGGCGGCCTGAACGGGTTGCTGAAGTTTAACTATCCCTTCGGAGAGGAGGAGTAGCTGCTGCGGTAACATCCAAAACATCTCGTTACTGCCAGATGCACTGCAGGTGTGCGTGCACGTATGTATATACCGTGAGCTCGATTATCTAGAAGATGACCCATTAGGGCTTTTTTACGAGTTTATAAGGACCACCAGTTTCTTTCGTTGATGATTTTGCCAGCACTGAACCGCTATGTAGCAGGGACCGTGTTCACGTGACCCATACTAGACCTACCGCCGTTTCGCGTCGAGTGTCTCCAGGACACGCGATTGTACTGGTAGTTACGACACGATGTCCGAACCAACGCCCTTCCCGCTCCCCGCCTCGTTCCCACCAACTGACACACTCTACTACCCCGCAACCCACAATGCCTCGACCGCGCCGCTGCTCCTCTTCCTCCCGGGCAACCCCGGGCTAATAAACTACTACCGCACCTTCCTCTCAACGCTCCACACACTGCACCCGCACCTAACCATCCTCGGCGCGTCGCACGCGGGGTTCACGCCGACCGCATCGTCGACACGGCACAGCGCGTCGTGGGCATGGACGTGGGGACCCGGCCCATTTGACCTGTCCATGCAAGTCTCACTAAAGCGCACTTTGCTATCGCACGCCATGTCTGTGCTCCCCGCCTGTGCAGACGGTTCCCCGCGCCGCGTGCTGCTAATGGCGCACTCGATGGGCGCGTACCTCTCGCTGGAGCTGATCTCGTCGCTGCAGTGCACGCCGGCAGACGAGCTGCGCATAGTCGGCGGAATAATGCTGTTCCCAACCGTCATGCATATCGCGCGCTCGCCGCAGGGCCGCGCCATGGCGCCGTTCCTGCGGAGTAAGCTGGTGCAGGCGGCGGCGGGGTGGGGGGCGTACGCCGCTTCGTGGTTGCCGGTGGGCGTGGTAAGGGGCGTGGTGAGGGGGGTTACGGGACAGACTAGAGAGGCCGCTGGTGTTACCGCCGTGTTGGTCGCTGATCCGAGTGTCCTAAGACAGACGATCAGGCTCGCTGCGGAGGAGATGGAAGTTATCGATCAGGATAGGTGGGGCGAGGAGGTGTGGAATGCGGGCGGAATTGGAGGGGCGGAGGCGGGGAAGGGCGGGATGGTGTTTGTGTTTGGCCAAGGGGATTGGTGGGTCGCCGAGAAGACTAGAGAGGAGATCTTGGAGATGAGGGGGAATGGGAAGGGAGGTGGCGCACGCGTGGTGCTTGAGGAGAGGGGGTTGCCACATGGGTTCTGTATTCACCATGGCGAGGTCATGGCTGAGCTCTGTGGGAGCTGGTTGAGTGATATTCTGGGGGAATAGATAGAGTACTAGGTAGATCGTAACGCAGGAAAGATACAGATAGGCAGTTTTAGAATGATGACATGATTTTCACGAGTGTGTGAGGTATGGTGAAAAGTGAACACGGATCACGGTAGTTTGCGACTCCTTCAACGCCAGGATGGTAACGAGCTCCCGCATAGAGTAGTCAACGGTGATCAACGGTGATCAACAGTGATTACAGGGACGACCTTCGAAGGCACGCTTCGGACTCTGAGAGCTCCTTCCGAAGTTGTCCGAACTAGTTACGATGACTGTATGATGGCAATTGCGTGCACTCCAATGTCCATCCTTCAGTCTTTTCCCACCACGCTCGCTCGCTCACGAAGTCACTCCCTCCCCCCTTCAAGATCCACAGCTTCGCAGCTCGGGCTTGTAAAAAACAAGTTCCTGAAATGAAGGTATAGGTACCTTGTAGGTAAGTCCTTGCCGCAAATGCACTCAGTCCGTATGTGTAATCCGGCGGTTCACAGGTAGGATATTGACCATCACTGCGGACTGCTCACAGCGTGGGGGGGACCGTCGACCGGCCCGAGCCGAAACGAGAGGAGAATCGACAGGAAGCAGGAAGTCGGTCCGGAAGTCGGTTCTCGTATGTACGGTTGGATTAAAGTAGATCAGCCTTCTAGATATACATCTGCAGGCTACCGAAGCCCTTATCGATAGTAACTTTCTTTCTGTTCGTCTATTAGAGTGGTCAAACATCCTTTGAGCTTGTCGAGATTTCTCATATATAGAGGTAAATCCAATCACATGGAGCATACATGGTATCACCTTGGCTTCTTTCGAAGAAGCCACGCTCTCGCTCATTCACCGAATGGATTATGGATTATGGATCTTGCCGTCCACTTGCGCCCGAAGCTGTACGGCGGGCACTTGTTAAATCCCCATCCATCAAACACCTCCCTCCGACCAGGCTCCCCTCGATAGGTATCCCTCGACGGAGCCATAACCACAGCCTGCAGCCCCTTCAACAAAGTACCTCCGAGAGAATTGTGTGGAGTTGTTGAATCCCAATCAACGGTCGAACTTTCCTGGGACATTTGCATGCATGCATTCAAGCTCGCCTTCACTCTTGAGGGGAGGAAATTCATCTGCCAATGTTCGTTGTCCATAACTTGATCATCTGGGCGATGAGAGATGAGAGATTGTGCGGCGAACAAGACGAACAAGGCGCAAAACTCGTGATCATTTCAACCTTCAGAGTCCAGATCCGGGAAGGGACAGACTGGTATTTTCATTAGCGGAAGAGTAAGGCAACTACCGGTATGAGGGAGCGAAGTATCTTGGCCTGTACTCTACTGACATTGAGCGGACGTCTGTCGATGAGATGACAGTTAAACATCATGCAGTTTGGCGCAACTAGCTTTGGTATACCTAGCACAGCTCGCCGCTTTCTCTCATGCTCAGCACCGTGCTTGCAGCTCGGATCCAGTCGATCGTCGTCGTCAAGATCTGGCCGACTCCCGGGCCTCGCCAGTAGTCTGTATGTATGGTGCGAATTCCGGGCTTTGTGTTCCGAGCAAGAAGCCGTTCCGAGCACACGCGTTCCTTCCTCTTTACCATACGCTCCGGCAACCACCACTACTCCAAAGGCGGCACGCCGTATGTCCATTATGTTTGGGCTTTTCCAACACGCAAAGCCGGCCAGAAGCCCGGCTCCACGCGGTATATATGTACGGTACATCTGAAGATTTGTAGGCTCGGAGGTTCCACTGGCCTTAGCTAGGTACACAGCTAGCCGGATAGCCTCGATCCGGCTGTCAGCTTTCTCTTCTTTCGAGCCTTCGTCAGCGGCGCGTCCGAGCGCAGGCAAGCAACCTACCGACCATCGGCCTTATGCACCGCTTTAGATAGCATCGGCTTCAGCACCGTTGCGGATAGCGCACTGCGCGGCGCGTTCATGTCCCGTCCATCACCGTCTACATACATACTCTGGGACTCTAGGCTCGGCACGGCAGCTCCCCAAAACAGGCATGTGCGTAAGACTCAAGCACTGATACATAGGAAGCACGCGATGGTGTCTGCGCCCGAATAGTCGGACGGAAACAGAGACAGAGAGAGAGAGAGAGAAACGAAATTGCTGTTGGATATCGTGGGCGTTTGGTGGCATAAAGTCGTAGGGCTGTTGTTGGCGTTGTTGTCGCTCTTATGGATCCTGTTGCTACGGAGACGGCAATGACTGTCTGTCTGGCATGTGGCTGTCTCTGAAGGCGGTCAAAGGTACAGTAAACACCTGCACAGTGCACAGCGGACAGTGTGGTGATGTGTCCAAGATAAAGCAAGAGAGAAAAAAAAAACCCGAGCAAGACCAACCCTTCAAGACTGCATGCAGATACTCAGGCGGAACAGTTGGATCAAGCCAGCCCATTCGCACGCGCAGGTGCTTGATGGTTGACACTGCACTTCTATAGCACCCAAGTACCTTGGTATGTACTCTACCTATCGACCATCATGACGACCACGAGAGCATAGAAACCTGGCCTCCAACAGATCGTACATAGCTGCAACGTCCACATTCTTGTCTCTCCACATCCACACCGTAAACACCTCTAACAATAGCAATACGTTCGCACCTCCTACCGCCCCGACGACCGGAAAGACCTTTGCAACTGGGAAAATCAACTCCTTTACCATCATACCGATACATACCTGGTCTTTTACTACGGTCCCCGAAACCGAATCTACCTAGGCTTCCATCTCCAACGCCGTCTCCCGACATCCCCGCTAGATCGATTCATTGGCCTGTCTCGTCTGCGTTGTACCTGCCTACATACGTCAAACATTCCACCCCAGCTGGCAGCCCCAGCTTCTGGCTTCGTCGCTTCGCTATTCTACGACCTATCCCACTCTCCTCGGCTTTCTTGTGGGGGATTTCTGCCAGCGCTTAGCCAGGTGACGGACATAGGGTAGGTAGCCGATTCTACCGGGGCGCACTGCTGTGAAAGGAAACAGGCACAAGCACAGGCATAGGCTCAGGCACAGGCTCAGGCACAGGCACGAGCACGGCACCCAAGGAGGCACCTGGCTATCCACACTGACCAGCGACGCTCGGATACCTATCCCAAATCGATCCGTTTACAGCTCAAGTCCTCAGGCCGGCGAGATCAAGAGCAAGAAAGAAGAAGGCCGTGAAGAAGAAAACTGCGAAGAAGGAGAAGATCGCACAGAACAAGACAGAGAAGAAGACGGAGAAGAACAAGTGCGGTTGACGCTTGCATTCCATGGCGTCACGACCTTCAACTCCTGTCATCAACTTCAACCTCAATAGCTACGGGCGACCACCCTCGGTCCGGCTTTCTCCACCCCCTCCATCCCCTCCCGCCGCCTCCGCCGCCTCCGCCGGCGAAGGTTCAAAGGCTTCATTTCAGATAGTGCCGCACACTCAGCATGGGTGTGGCGATCCTTGGGCTGGTGAAACCCCTCCCTCAACGCGGCCAAGCACCCCAAGGTCAATATGTGGCCGCGGTGGATCCTGGAACGGCAGCAGCACCAGCAGCACCAGCAGCACTACCACCACCACTACCACCGCAACCACCACCACTGCTACCACACCACACGGACAGGGCGCATTGGATAATGTCAACTTCCCCGACTTGGACCTGCTTCTTCTTCCCTCATACCATCGTCTACCCCCTCGACCTTCAGAGCTTACCGACAACTCCTCAACTATCACCGCAACGAGCCCGCATCGCAGCAGAGATCCTTCCCCGAGCCGTCTATCTATCCTAGCGTCGCCGCTCGCCCGGATCGCAGCACGTTCACTGTCATCGCCCCTAGGCCTTCCAGGAGGTGCAGAGAAATCGCCGTCGACAATCACACCCACGACTCCATCTCCCAGCCCGCGGCCCGGCGCCGCCGCAACGCTCCTTGCCAACATGTTCAAGACACCCGACGGCTCATCCGCCCCGTCAGTAAAAGGGGGGGGATTCTTCGGCTTCAAGCTTCCGTCCACGGCGTCGCCCCGCAACTCGCGGACGATCCAGAGCACCGACATAATCGATGAGTTCGCCGGCCTCTCCTTCGCCTCACTGATGACCGGCTTCCTGACGGAGCCAAACCCAAACGAAACTCCGAGCTCCCCCGCCGACGCGCTCAAACGCACCCCGGAACGCCGTCTGGAAGAGGCCGTCGCCACGGCAACCGACCTCCTCAACCGCGTCTACACTGCGTACCGCGCCCGCACCATATCCCTCGGCGACGCCCTGGGCGACCTGGAAAACAGCAAGGACGATATCATCAGCCATCAAACGCTGCACGCCAGTCTCAAAACGCAACTCGACAGCTTCATCACCGAGGAGCGCGAGACAGCCGCACGGCTGGCGGAGCAGCAGAAGCGGATAGCGGAGTTGGAAAGCGAGCTGCAACAGGAGCGCCGGAAGCGCGAAACGGCAGACGACGAGCTGCGGCTGTCGCCCCGTAGAATGCGCTGTCCGAGTAGCAAACGCACCTCAGCCGCCTCCGACTCGGGCTTCGAGAGCGATGTGGATTCGATTTCAATCCTTTCCCGCAGCGATGCCAGGGCGAGCACCGTCGTCTCCCCGACCGAAGAGGTCGACGAAGAACCCGACCACCCCCAACCCCACCCCCACCACGAATGCGAGAGTTGTCGCCACCAAGCGGCGGCGGCGCAGGGCGCGGAAACTAAAAACCCCACCCCGCTACGAGAGGCGTGGAGTCCTGACAACAACACCAACACCAACAACACCAATAACAACCGCAACAGCGTCCCCGCGTCGAAACCGGGCGTGTGGGGATTCTTTAAGGGACGGCAGCAGCAACAGGGTAACTGGGGAGATGTCGAGAACGTCCGCATGGAGAATCGGTGGTTGAGGGAGCGGGTGCGCGAGATGGAGAAGGCAGTCGATGGAGCGCTCGAGGCTGTGGCCGGCAGGGGCGTGGCGCTATAGTCTGCTGCTGCTTGCTGCTTGCTGCTAGCTGCTGGTGTTGATATAGAGCTTGTATGTAGATGGGATGATATCTTTTTTTTTTTTACTTTTCTTTGTTTGTTTGTGCATGTCTGTCTGTCATGTTGAGGGATCTTGTTTTTTTTCTCTTCCGTTTTTCGTTACGCTTATGCTTCGAGGTGTTAGGGTGTTACTTTTCCTGTTACTTTACTTTTCCTGTTTGCCGTGGCTTTGGGGGGGCTGAGATGTGGAGTTGAAGTTGAAGTTGAGGTTGAAGTTGAAGTGGAAGTTGAAGTGGATGGATGGATGGAAGGATCGATGGATGGAAGGATGGTGGACGGATCGATGGATGGATGTATATGAGCTGTATGTTCACAAGAATGTTTACCATCTACTAGTATCTGCTTCTTTCTCTTTTCTCTTTCTCTTCCATTTTCTCTTTTCCTTTCTTTCGTAGGTACATATAGTAAAGTACGGTATCGATTGAATGAATAGAATAGAATACAATGTATATACGAGGTATGCATACTTCATACTGGCATGGCGATCTCACCAGGTCGTGGTGTGGTTTTAGTGGGGTTCCTGGATGTCAAACGGAGGGGCCAATCGTGAAGATGTTTGATGTCCAATGCAGCTAGGTACCTACCGTGCTCCGTTCGATATGTATACAGCCTACAGCCTACAGCTTACAGGTGGGTACATACAGGGCACAGGGCGCAGGGCGCAGGGCTGGCCAATCCCCAAGCAGGATCTCACACATGATCAGCGCTGCGGGGCTTTGGGCTGGCGAACGAAACAAAAAGGTGGGGGTAGGCGGGGTTCCACTTATCATATCGTAACCGCTACAGCGTCTAATAATCCTTATCCCATCCAATCCCATCACCGACCCATCACTCGCCCACTCTACTTCCCAGCCGCAGCACCGCCACCAAGCAACACCCCCCAACTTCCCATAACGCCGCCCTGCTCCGCGCTGTCGACCCACCTAACCAACCACCCACTGTCCTGCTTGCTAACCCACAGATCCGTGCGTCCCCGGATGACGCTGAACGGGATCGGCTCGACAGTCCACACGCCGCCCCAACGGTAGTCCTCAAAGAAGCTGGTGCTGGTGACACACATCCACACGGTGGTCCAGACGTATGGGCTCGCCTTCTCGAGCCACGGTACATGCCCGCCCACGCGGCGCCAGCCGCGAGCCACCGCCGCTTCGAGCAAAATCCCCAGCGGCTGCAGGAGGAAGAATCTCGCTGCGCCGAAGCCGCCATTTGACTGCGTCCAGCAGCCGGCGAAATGCAGTGCGGCACTAGCAGCGAACGGGACCGTAGCGTAGAGCAGAGCTGCAACGCCGCCCGATGGCGCGAGGCGCAGCTCCTGCACCAGCCACCCCGCGGGGGCCGTAAACGCGCAGCGGAACAGACCGTGCCACCCCCGACCCCACCAGCCGCGCACGCCCGCGCCAAAATCCCCGTCCCGCCAGGACCCGAACGCGTCTGGCCACGCTTCGGGCGCTAGCCAGCGCGCGGGGAAGCCCGAGGGAAGAGGGTATGGCAAACCGAGCACCGCTCCCGAAAGCACGCAGAGCAGCGCGACAGCTGTGTACATCCCGCTGATGGTGGTGTACATAGCACTCGCACCCAGCAGCGTGCGCAGGGCATGCAGCGCGGCCGCATACACCACACGCACCCACCCGCCCTCCGGCATGGCCGGAAACCCCGCCGGCACGGGGTAGGTCATCAGCGGCTTCGTGGACCCCGCGAACAGGCTTGGATACGGCACTCCTTCTCCGGGCTCGAACCCCATCGCCACGCCCTGCGGCACGAAAAACCCGCGGTCGACGACACGCACGTACCACACCAGCACGTCGAGCCACGCGAGCATGGCTGCGCCGCGAGCTACGCGCCGCAACAGCCAGCGGGTGCGCGAGCCCGTCGGGCGCGATACCGGCAGCCGCACACACCAGTTCCAGCCCACCCCACGCAGCGCGTGCATCAGGTCGAGTGCCCAGGTGGCGCGGGCGAAGATGGTGGCGGGGTACGCTTCGCTGTCGCCCTCGCCGTCGTCGGGGGTGTGCGTGCGGCGATGCTCGCCGCCGCAGGTGGGGTACCGCCGGTAAGTGCCCCGCACGTCGCGGAAGACGAGGACCTCGAGGGTCTTGAAGAGCATGAATGCCGTTGCCGTGCCGATGGCGTAGCCGAATGCGGAGCTGGAGGCGCCGGTGCCGAGTAGGTGCCAGAAGCTTGCGAGGATTGGGGGGAGGAAGACGGCCGCGACGGGTTTACGGGCGAGGGGCGTGCAGAGTGCCGCGAGGAGGAGGGTTTGTGGTAGCAGGAAGGCGTGCAAAAGCAGCGGCTGCTTCGGCTGCGACCATGGCAGGGGCGAGGTCAGTCCAAAGAACTCGAAGTGCGCGTAGACGCCGTAGATGCCCGCTATGAGCGCGCAGTAGACGGGCGTTGAGATCGAGGGGGCCATGGGTGGCGGTGGCGGCGAAGTGTCGTTGTCGTGGTCGTGATCGTGGTCGTTATCGCTTGCTGGCTACAGCTGGCTACAGCTAGCTACACAGCCATCGTGAAAAGGTGCGGCCGGTGGCCCATTTAAAGGCAGCTCTGGCAGGACACCGAGGACAGCTCTGCCTAGCTGGCGGGCTGGTATTGAAGGATCCGCCATGTCTCAGAACACAATGCAAGACACCGAAGGCCGGAGGATGGGGGATGCACACGTCGGTCGGTCGAAAAAATCTTGTGACGAAATTGGATAGAGCTCCCGACCATGCTACCTTTATTTTTCCTTTTTCTCTTCCGAAGCCACACCAAAAAATACCCGGCGAGCCAGCGAGCCACCACCAACTTTACTTGAACTTTCTTCCGATCTACATACGCCCGGTGAAACATTAACCCACTGGTGAGTGGTGACAAAAGAACTTCCCAAATGGGCTAGCGAGACGGATGCTCACGACAAAGGGTTCACACGGCGTTAACTGTAACTTTAACTGACAGTAATTTGGGAAGTCTATAAATTCGATTTTTGCCAATAGTAGTCCGCGTATCCCCCACAGGCAGGATAACGAGCCGAACAGGTATGTGGAGTAACAATGGAAAAGGGTGTTACATCGTGACGAGAATTGAATGAAAATGACAACAGCACAGACTGTCCGAAAAAGAAAAGAAAAAGATATAGGAAATACCCAACCAACCAAAAGAAACCCCAGTCGCAAAAAAAAAAAAAAAAAAAAAGCTCCCAAACAACAATATCACTTGTACACAAACGCGAATAAGGAGGGTATTGAACTTTTGTAGGAAAAACGCATCCCCCCAGATGGATAACGAAATTGCTTGGACAGTCGCTTTGCCTTATCCCCGAGCTCCTCCCCCCCGGTAGCTGTAGTCGTCCGGAATATCGGGCATCATGGCATCGCCGTGAGCAGGCGCGATTGGCGCGTGTCCGCCTATTCCAGCGTATGGCTCGCGCTCGGCCGCCCAGCTGAGTGGCCTTCCCGGGTGAGCAGCTTCTCCATACGAGTATGTGCTGTTGTATGTCGAGCTGGCAACGCTTCCACTGCGTCCGTGAGTGGGAGGACGAGAAGCTTCGGTATCGTATTCGTCAAAATCTTCTTGCTGGTGGGGGGTAGTCCTGTTGAGAGGCGCGTAGTCGTCATTGCTCGAGAACGCGGCCTGGGTGGCTTCCTGGATCTCATGCGACGGGGACTTGTAGTCGTCGAACGGCGATATGGTGTGCTGCTTGAAGTACCAAGCGGCGTACCCAGCGATTCCGGTAGTTGCGAGCCATACGAACCTGATGGACAGGTCAATTAGTAAGATGGGCCTCGACTATGGGGGGACCTTAGGGAGCTCATACCACATGAAGACGCCAAGAATAATACTAGACTTGTTCAGCGTACATGCCTTCTCCGTCTCTCCCGTACCGGCCTGAAAGACGGCGCATCCACCCGCCTTCTTCTTGTTCTCATCGGTCTCCTTCGATTCTCCGTCGCTGATTCCACCGTTCGTGTAAACGGCGAGAGAGACGAACGCAGCAAACCACAAGATCTAGTTACGCAAGGAAGTCAGCCACGAGCGAATCCCAACCTCATTGACCCGAAGAACAACATACACTGTATATGGTGTTCATGCCCATCAGCCAGTACGGATGCGCCAGAATCTTTGTCCGCGGGAATCGCGGCGACATGGTGAGGTATATCAACGTAGGTATGTTCAGCCAGCACTGTGTTCGCCATCATCAGCCCTGCATTCCACCGACAACCATCGCGAGCAAAATTTACCATCGCGAACATGAATCTTGCCGCTCCGCTCGCGGATCCCGTCTGTGTCATGCTAGCGCCGATCACTCCCATGATAACTATCGACCATACGCCATGGAACGCATGCAAGCCTATCATGGCATTCATCATGATTGTGTGGTTGACCATCGTTGCGGTGCTGCTGCTGTCGCTGGATCGATCACCCCACCGGGATGCGGATTGGGCTGTGTTTAGTTTTGGTGTCGGAACCGGAAAGTACCGCGCCGAGCGAGACTTGGACGATTCGGATGGGGTTGTGGGACTCGATGCCTTCGTAGAACGATGGAGGTGATGGTAGCTGTTGAGAGGGGTTTCCGAACGGACGGAAGCGGAGACAAGAGGAGCACGGAAAGTGGTGTGCCTGGTTGTTGGTTGGTTTAGGTGAGGTGCTGCAACGGCTGGAGGAGGTGGTGGTGGTGTAGTGCTGAGGTGGGCGTATGACGTTGCTTAGCGAGTTTTTGGTGATTACTCTTGCTGAACACAAGGCAAGGGATGCAGAGGGGGGGTTGCAGGAGGATGGAGGAGTAGCTTTGAACGAGGTTGAAGTAGAATAGAGGGAGAACAAGAAGAGGGAGATGGATGATGCGGAGGAAAGAAAGTTGAAAAAGAAGACGGGAGCGGTGGCTCATGAAACGAGTTCGCCTAGCCTAGTCGCCCTGGCAAGCTTAAGAGCCCAGTTGCTGGTGTTTATTGCCCGCTGCTATTTTCAGCTGACTGCGGCTGACAACCTTTGAAGTTTGAGAGCACATAGACACCGGTACTCTCAAGTCGAGAGCGTCTACTGCTCTATCGCGAGTTAGGCAGGCAAGAGCAACGGCGAGATTGATAGAGAGAGATAGAGCTTCATCAATACGATCACTGCCTCAAGCTCTTCGTCTTCGTACATATCCTCTATCCTCTCTCTACTCAGCTACTGCGGCTTTTTGTGGGCTGTCGTGTGCCTGCTCAGCTCAGGCGGGGGCGGGGGTTAGGCAGCGCTGAGCGCATGTGCTGCCCCTCCCGTTACTATGGCGACCACCGCAACTGGACCCTTACGACTCGCCGCGATCTCCCGGAATGCAGCTAGTTGGTGCAGGGCACGAGAGGTTCCTCTGCATGGAGCAGAATACGAAGCTACTTCACCGGCCTTCGATTGATTCCCTCCTCACTGATGTACGGAAAAGACAGCGTTGATTGTTCACGTCGTCGGTGATTCTTGAGCCTCCGAGTCCCGACAGAACTCTCCAGGCGACGTGCAGTGCACCGCCACCCAGATACTCTACGGGGATGCATGCCTCCCGGCGTGGCTTAGGGCGCTGACGACACGCCCGTCGACGCGCTTCTTGGCTGCGAAGTATGCATGGTACGAGTACGTACACAGCCATAAACGACGGAATACGAGATATCTGGAGTACCGTAGCGAGCGGCTGTCTCCATCTCGACACGGCAAATCTCCGTAGTAGTTATGTGGTGACGGAAACTGCGCCGTGACGGGGAGTGGAGCAGATCTTGAAGTGACAGGCTCATGGAAGCTCAAGCCTCTCGTCTCGTGTATACGACTCGGGTATACGTATACATGGGAAGAGGTATGTACCATCGATTCCATTCTCATCGCGGTGCAATTTCAACTCCATCCGTTTGTTCTGTCAAAATTCCAGGGTCTTTTCCTCCCGGGAATGCGACTCCCGGAATTGCGATTCCCAGCTTCGAATTTATATAACCACATCATCCCGCCCCATAGGCGATCACTCGCACGCGCAGACTCAAACTTGGCATCAAGGCTGTGCCGGTTTGTCGACCCGGATGGTGCAGCTACAAGACCCAGACCAGGGAGCACCTTCTCAAGTCCTGTCGGGAATGGAAAAGTCAGCAAAAGACACTATGGGCAGAGACCGCTTCAAAAACCGGGATCTCTTCGTAGACGAGCGATGCAGCCAGGCCATCCTATATTTCTTCTCCTCCACTGATGTGGGCAGACGGATGCTAGAGGCCGCTGAGGAAGATGTAGCGAGTGAGGTATCCGAGTGGGAGCTCAGGGAGCGGGAAGAAATGGAGGCGGAGCTGAGGCGAGAGGAGGAGGAGGAGGAAGGTGTTGAGGTTGAGGAGCCGGGGTCACTCCCACTGTTCCTCCCCACACCTTCTTTCATGGCATCCCCTGGTGAAGAGGCAGGAGGCGGCGAGGGGAATGAGGGGCTCGCGGCGGATTAAGCACTCGCAGTGGAGTAGGGACGATTCGAGGGAGCGGACGAGTCGAGGGAGTTGACTTTGTCTTTTCTTAGTGTTATTTCTTTGGTGCGCTCATATCGTCGGGACAGGCCGGGGCAGAGGGCAGAGAAAGCCACATCAAGCCGCTCGATGAAAGTTGGGTGGAACAGTGGCGTGGAAACGGGGGTGCATAGGTAGATATTGCCATAATGCAGATATGTAGTCGAGTGAGCACTCGTTCAGGAGCTACAGGACATAGCAATCCCAGCAAACGATCCCCTGGGTGGAGGTTCGGCGGAAGACCACGGAGCGGAAGGCACAGGTCCAGATATCTGAGCTTTTGGCTGAAGAAGGTATACAGTCAATGCGTGATTCACGCATTGCTTGTACATACCCTAGGGAGCCCGTCCCCGGCAATCTTCCAGTCTTGATCCATCTGTATATCGTCTTACCTCCTGTGTAGGGGTGTGGCACAGCGATGGAGGACTGTTATGGGGTGTGGAGGAGCTGTCGGCGAGAGGAGGAAGTGAAGGAGGATGACATTGTTCGCTCGTTTAACGCAGACAGCCTCGTTGTGGCGGAGCTTCAATGTCCGTCGCGGGGGGTGACCAGTGAGCTACCACTTCATAGGTATCAAATTCATGTTTCCAGCACGGAAAAAAACCCCTGCGTGGTCTAGTGGTATATAGGCCACGCAATCGGCGAGGGCGGTTGAGGGGAAGGTCTCGGTTCAACCCAGGTGAAAGACCTTTCTATTCAACTCTTGGGGTTTCCAAGCCACCCGTCGGCGGTGGTGACGGTTTTTTGGAGCACTAGTTGCCTAGATATCACTCGGTATCTGGTATCACGTGACACGCCTTACGCTGCCACCGGCTGTGGTGCCAGAGTGGGCAGGAAAGGAGTGCGGCGGTTCGCCATAGTCTAGATAGGCTGCATGCGAAATAAACTGAAGATCTCTCTCTCACCACCGGCTGTGGAGGCGAGAAGAGTCCCTCTGATAAACTTCATCATCGAGGGTTGAGGGGAGGAAGCAAAATGAGCGGCTAGGAACCCAAATCCCCCATACACAGGAGGTAAGACGATATACAGATGGATCAAGACTGGAAGATGGAGTGGCGGGCTCCCTAAGGCACACACACGCATTGACTGTAGTATAGATTGCACTGACTGCGAAAAGCCCATTTAATGACATATTCATGTTCGTGATAAACGTGATGGTGTTCTTGAATACCAATAGCAACTGGCAGGTGAGGTGTGCGGATGAAATAGATTCGGTAGTTGGAGGGTTAGAGTGAATGTTTTCTCAACCTCCAGTGCGCGACGGTGTGGCGGACTAGAGTAGTGATGGAGGAGCTGTCGGTGAGATGAAGAAGCGAAGGAGGACTGTCGGCGGGAGAAAACGAATGTGGTTAGTAGTGGGCATCAATGTTGGCCAGCATGACGGGGTCTTCTTCTTCTTCTTCTTCTTCTTCCTCTTCGTCATCATCATCTTCTTTCTCGATCATCTATCGAATAGACGGTCAACCCCCCATCTCTGCTCTCTCCTCTGTGTGTGCTCCCTTCCTCCGAACGCCCACCGGCCTGGAGAGGCATTGGCGAAGAGCCCTCGAAAAAACGGTGCCGCAGTTGGGTAAATCTCCCAAATAATAACAACACCGAGTAACTTCCGGCAACATCACGGTTCATTCTGATGCTACTTCCATGCATGGACGGCGGGCTTACGGTGCGGGTGGCGTGGAAATCAGAAAGACAAATCCGTGCACCGACAAGTCAGATTCCACGGTGAGTATGTACATGAATACGGACCCATGGAGAGCATCTGTCAGGCGGATTTCCGGATCTGCTTGGCGATTTCACATCTGCTCGGGCTACTAGTGTGGAGGCACACACACGGGCGAATACCGTGCAGTCGGTCACTCGGAATCGTCTATCTAACAGCTACGATTGTTTGTGTGTAGGTGGAATCTCCAAGTGTTCCGTCGTTCCGGTCCGCGGGACATTGGACTGCAAGTACCGGGGGGTGCCACGGAGCTAGGCACGCCGCGGTGCGAAGAAACCAAAGGCCAGGTGACTTACCCGTCTGCTATTATTGTTGACGATGCTAACTACGCTCTTCATGGTTCCCGGCCGTTTTCACGAGCTGTAGCTAAACAGCTGGCCCGATCCGAGTGCCAGTGCGAGTGCACGATGGCTGGTCAGCGAGCAGCCTGAGTACTGCCCATGTTCAATCGTCTTTCGAGGTCGCTCTCCGGCACAGCGACGAGGCCTGTCGTGGATTTCGTTTTCCCGATTCGCATGATGTTTGTGTATGAAATATGTATCTGTCCAAGATTTCCTTCGTGTAAGTGGAATACCCAACTCAAGATTAGTGAGCGCAAACGAAGCTCCTCAACCTTTTCAGTGATCTGAATACAGGACGAATCTTTAGCCGAAGACGTGTTCGAGACGACACAGACGACAGGGAGCGTTGCAGATATTGGTGCTGCCTATTTACGGACTGTATCCTATTTTGTGCTGCGCCTACACTCATCACCTCGGCCAGCTCGACGGAGCTGTACCGGTAGCTCCCGCCAGGATGGTTCTCCCTCCTATTTACGTTCCACTATGGCTGCTAATTCGTGCGAGATGTAGCTGACTGCATACCGCTTACCTCTGTACTTTCCACCACCGAACAGTTTCCAGCCTACCTGAATGCTGTCCACCGACCGGATCGGAGCCTGTTCATCTACAGCATCCGTATCGACCACGTTGTTCGTGTATGAGTGCTGTCTACCGTTGGCACGCACTCAATCTTCCTAGCCGCATGGTGCCCACTATCGGTGCCCATTGTTGTGCCGCAGTGCCATTGACCGTGAGTGGACCACGTTCCTGGCAGGCTGCTGTTCACGGGCATACAGGAAAGGTCTGCCTCTTACCTAAATTCTCACGATGCGGGGTGTCATGATTTACCTATTTGCGAGAAGTGAGTACATTCTCTGGTTCCGGTGGTGGGCGAGAAGAGGTTCTCGGTGGTTCGGCGCCACCACTTGTATCACCCTACAGCCACCGTGCATGACTGCTGCCTCGCCCACATCCACCCTGTGTCACACTCACCAAGTTGCACTCTCTCCGGAGGGAGCCATAGGAAATGGCAGGGAAGAATACCATACTCTTGAGATGATGGCCAGACAGTACACGGGAGATGACAGCACTCCCACCCTACCATCGTATCCCTAGTCCGGACCTGCGGGGTTCGAGAGACCAGCCCCGTCGGATAACCATAAAATACTGACCAGGATATCCGTATATTACTAGATTCCGAGGAAGTTTTCTTTTTTACTTCTTGTAATCGCCGTATGACCGTCCACACGGTTTCCCACTGGATATGGAACTCAATCGTTATTTCAGGATGCAAGAACCGTCCCCTTGCATCTCTAGGTAGTCCGTTGAAAAATGCTCACGAATGATCGGAATTCCTAGACATGGGAAATCAGCGAGAGCACCAGTGACTACACCTCTGGAGTAAAGTTTTACTCATGGCGACCTCGACGGAGCGACGACAGGGCGAAAAACTGTTTCCCTAAAGGTAGGGTCCACGGAACGTGCCGTCCACGTCAGACTGGTGGCCTGTTGCCTATGAAGCCGGCCGTTCGTGTCTGTGTTTAGCAGCGATTTCCCGCCACCAGCACAGATGTCCAATAGCTTGGATAGAACGACCCGTGGAGCGGATGTATCCGGCTGGCTGGAAGCTCAAACGGCCAAACATCGTGACCGGTAGGTCGGTGGGGACACGGGGTCGACTGAGTCGTGCCAATATGAGAGCTCTGTCCAAACCGGCTTTGCAGGCCCAGTCCCGAATCCGCAGGATCGTCGCTGTGTCTTCTGCCTCGAATGCCGCTGGATCTCAGCTGCCTTCAACTTCAAATCTGCCTGGATCTCAGCTGTGTCTTCCCTTCAAACACTCCCGGATCTTTGCTGTGTTTTCCGTCTTGAACGTCCCCGGATCTTCACTGTGCCCTCCACCTCGAATCCCCTAACCCAGGGCGCAGGTACCTCCGGCAAAGTTGGATGGTCCAGGATGCCCTCATCCCACTGCAACTTACGAGTACGAGATGATACGGGTCATCAACGGAGGAGTTATTTCGATTCTTCAGTGCTGCACCTTCAGCCTTCCGTGATGCTCTCAGCTCGCGTATGTATTTCATTCCCAGGATCCCAGGATCCCAGGATCCCAGGATAGCAACCAAGGGTCGCACCAGCTGGAGAAAGCTTGTTCTCATGCCGCAACTGGTCCCGCTAACCGAAAAGCTTGTCTTCATACTACTTGCATCCTGCAGATTCCTTACAGCCACAACATTGCGGTCTCCCCCAATCATGGCTCTCGTATCTACTCGACGTGGCCAGCTGATTGTGACGTTGTGACTCGTCAGTTATCACCCTTGAGCGGTCTCTTCGACTCCCAGAAGTGAACGCCCATCCATGCACCTGCACCAGCGCCATGAGCAGCAGTCTAGGCAACTACCCAACTGCAGGGTACGGTAGCTCTGCTCGAGTCCCGAGACAGGATAACTGGAGGCTAGTTACCCCAATTTCTTACCAGAAATCGCCTTACCAGACCGGCATGGAGAAGCCGGCATGAAGTGTACAGTGTACTGGTAATAGTTTCCTCCGTCTAATAGAGACAACTCGTTCTAAGGGCCGTGAATAAAGTGCCGATATAGATCTATAACGACAGCAGCGAAGCGTTCTTGTGCCGACCAATGGTGCTGGAGCGTGTCTGTGTGTGTGTGTGGGAGGGGCGTGTGTACGGATCAGATCCAAGTGAGCACTGAGGCATCGCCGTCCCCGGTTCTAGATATGTGGCACGTCTTCGGGCTGTAGCTGGGACTTGCAAGGCTTCAGCTGTAGCGCATTCGCATCGGTCTTGCGAGGGGTGGGGGATCGGAGTTCTCGTCTCTCTCACTCGACTTTGGTGGGGATATTTCCAGGTCCGCACGTACATACATGCATCCAATTGCGAGGATGACGGGGCTGCTCAACCGGCCTGCATGTGAATCACTAATGGTTCCAACGTTCTCAGATTAACTCCAAGACGAATGGCAGATCGGACGCATGGACGGAGATGCTAGCAAAACAATCCCTTGTCACCACCAGTTTGTTTGCTCGGGAAGGCGGGGGTGTTTCAACCATCTAATTCTGTCGGAGGCCTCCTCCCCCCCTCCCTCTCATCTAGCATATCTCACCTGTATCTCACCTGCATCGTACCCCATATACTGGCCAATCAGTGGCAAGGTATCTTCAAAATTATCGACACCAGACGCTCCGCGTAAAAGACCCGTTTCCGCATCAGCCTCGTTGCGAGGGATATCCATATGTACATAGATACCTCTCGCCTTGTGTGTTGTCCACGGACCCGGGCAGTGCAGCCTACAGGTGATGGCCACCAAAAAAGCAGTGAAAAAAACAAACAAACGTTCCGTCTTCCTGGCGGACGAGCGGACGGGAGACAGGGGGACGGGGGTATGTAGAGGTAATGGGCACATGTGCTAACCTTTATATATCGTACTCCCTACCGCACTTGGGCCACAACAAACCGATCCAGCACACACGACAGAATGTGGTTTACAACTATCATCACGATCTTCCTGGTGACTGTGGCCGGGGCACTTGTAGTTCCCAATTACCCCTCAAACTCCGACCATCCGTTTGGATATGACGCTGCGTATTCGACGGAGCCCGTGCGAGTTCGGAAAGAATGGTGGGTCCTTCGAAGGCGGGGGCGTTGGATGTGAACACTGAAGCTAACAAATATCGCAGGAGACAGTTGACCATCCCGCAGAGAAAAGACTACATCAGGGCGGTCAAGTGTTTGCATAGCACGCCGGGCACATACCAGGACCTCGTGCCGAGTAGCTTGACGATGTATGAGGATTTCGCCGCTGAGCATAAACTCCGGACGCCTTTCGTGCACGTTGAAGTCAGTTGTCGTCCCCTCCTTGAAAGAGTGAAATTTTTCGGAGAGGTGCTAACCATTCGTACAGTCACAATTCCTCCCTTGGCATCGCTACTTCGTTTGGGTCTATGAGAACGCTTTGAGGAAGCAGTGCGGCTATGAGGGAACCCAACCGTGAGTTCTCCCTCACGCCTCCACTGCTGCATACCTTGACATCCCCTCAGTTACTGGGACTACTCTCTCGATTCTCATCCAGGGGAGCTAAGAGACTCGCCGATATTCGACGTCGAGCACGGATTCGGCGGTGCTGGCGAATCAGTGGGTCCCTTCCCGGAGATGCCACCAGGACTGCCGACCGGCTCTGGTGGCGGCTGCCAGAAAGACGGTCCATTCAAAGATTGGACCATCCACATCGCCGTCAGAAACTTCACCGAGCTGCGAGACGACCGGTGCTTGACGCGGTCCATCAACGAGAAGGTGGGTAGGAACTGGTGCACACGGGAAGTCGAGGAGGTGGTGAAGCGCCAGCCAGATTACATCAGCATGTACCAGAACTTGCAAGGCGCGCTGGGACCGTACGATCAGTATTTTGGACTCCATCCTTGCGGACACTTCATCGCTGGGTAAGCACCTGTCCTTCGCCGCAACGCAACGTAACTCGTATTCCTGCGGTTGAGCTGACGGCGAGATTTCTGCATGTAGTGGTCCCAAGGCAGGCGCAGACATATACCTGGGCCCAGTCGACCCTCTGTTCTATCTCCACCACGCGAACATCGACCGAATCTGGTGGGAATGGCAAGCAAGGAATATTGAAGAGCGAACGGCGGAAATAACAGGTCCGCTAAGGCCGCAACCCTTCCTCTTCCCGGAAGAAGACTACGCCGACTTCCCCGATGCGAATATCACGCTGGAGTGGCCACTTGAGATGGGCAGGCTCGCGGGACCGGTTAAGACGAGGGAGGTGATGGATATTCGGCAAAACATCTTCAATTATCAGTACACCAACCCACGTGCTCAGTACGAGGATGGGAAGGAGGTTACGGATGGGGAGTGTCCTGAAAACGGTACGGAAGAGTTCGAGAGGAAGGTGGCGAAGCTGCAAGAGCGGTGGGAGAGGTTTAAGGGTGGGCCAGCTTGGGGAAGAGCTCGGGGAGGAGCTCCTGCGCCGTAGAAGCAGGAGAGCCGCGGCTATGTATCAAGGAGGATCTTCATGGAGAAGGACGGGGATATTCGGTGTTTCCTTGCTGTTTGTCTTTCTGTGCGGAGGAGTATTTTTGTTTGGGGGTTTTTGTTTCTGTCTGGTGCTTTCTCACATGTTTCTTGAACGGACGTCCCGCAGTTACCGGCGTCTGACGATAATATTTAATATCTTATGCTAGAATGGCATGCTTCTCGGCCAACCACCGTCTTTCAACCAGAGCTTTCAATCAATTAAGAGGGGTAAGTTACCGACGGGATGGACATTCAAATCTCGGTACTCGGCCCGGATAATGGCGGCCTTGTACTATAGATATAGACGGATTCACGGTCTGGGCTGCCGGCCTCTCTCTCTCGGAGACAAAATTGATCGTTTCCCCGACTGAGGGATATATCCATATGAAATCTCCCCGCAACGTTCGAAGCGAGCTTCCCACGTGGAAGCGAACTTCCTGGCCCTGTGGAAGTGAACTTCCCATGTGGAAGTGAGTTGCCTACGCCCATCCTACTATACATACCGGTAGTCGGCGTTTGACATTGATCGACCCGCGTGTTTCCGTCCCCCTTTATCAAAACGCGGGGAAATATATGGTTATAGGCAGGCAAGCGAGGACTTCAGCCTATGTACTCTATTCCCACCGGGAGAAATGCGGTTCCATTGCTGAACATGTATGTATAAGAAGACGTTAAGAGTGGTGGGGGGACGGACGTTCCTGAATGCATAGTTTCGGTATACAACAACAAATTTAGTGTCGTCACAATGCTGTTTCTTCAACTATTCATAAATGCTTGCTTGGCGAGCCTCGTCCATGCGACGCTGCAGATCGTACGTAACTATAGTACCCGCCGCTTCCCCCGTCCTCCGGTTTGTCTCTTAAGGAGGCATTAGCTGAAACTCGGTCGTCTCAGGTCTCCGGAGGTAGCTGGACCGCCTCCAACGGCCAGCACATCCAAGCGCACGGCGCGGCGATCACCAAAGTCGGCAGTACATACTACCTCATCGGCGAGAACAAACTGAACGGCTCCTCGTTCCAATCCGTCAACTGCTACTCTTCGGCCAATCTCGTCGAGTGGACGTATGTCGGCCAGCTGCTGACTCTGGCCGCGAGCGGTGACCTGGGCCCGAGCCGCGTGGTGGAGCGCCCAAAGGTGGTCTACAACGATGCTACTGGGAAGTTTGTGCTGTATATGCACATCGATAGCTCGAATTATGGCGAGGCAAAGGTCGGCGTCGCTGTTGGAAACAGCGTCTGTGGCAGCTATACCTACCAGGGAAGCTTCCAGCCGATGGGCTACCAGAGTCGCGATATCGGGATGTATAAGGGTCTGTTCTGCTCCACTGACTCCCCCGGGATCCTGAGTCCTGGCGAATGAGGCGGCTGACCGTTCCGTGTAGACGACGATGGCTCCGCGTACCTTCTGACTGAAGATGTGAGAAAATCCGCTTGGCTCCGCTCGTAACGACCGCAACACCTGCTGACTTCGAATAGCGGGTCAACGGATTGAGGATTGAGAAGCTATCGAGCGACTTTCTCACTGTCGAGAGTATAGTCTATACGTGGGCGGAGAAGTACGAGTCTCCGGCTATACTGAAGCGAGACGGCGTGTACTTTATGTTTGCGAGCAAGCTTACGGGGTGGAGTAAGCAATTTTCCTCCTCCTCCGGATGGTCGGACGTGTTTGTCTAACTGCGGAGCCGGACAGATGCGAACGACAATCTCTACTCCACCGCCACCAGTCTCAGCGGGCCCTGGTCTGCCTGGAGCACCTGTGAGTGACGGACCGGTAGATGGATGTCCGGGAGCCACCCAGCTAATACGACTCCGCAGTTGCCCCCGTCGGCACCCTCACGCACACGTCTCAGACGTCATTCATTCTTCCCGTCTCAAACAGCTTTGCGATGTTCGCATTGATATTTCCGAAACGCTGTAGTGCTCCACTGATCTCGCGAGCAGGTACATGGGTGATCGCTGGGTCTCGTCAAATCTAATGCGCTCCACATACGTCTGGCTTCCGCTGACCGTTTCCGGCACCACTGCTTCGCTGGTCTGCACTCCTCCTTCCCGCTGTCATCACTCGCCTTCGCTAACTTACCCCGTGGCAGCCCTGGTATTACAACTGGATACCTTCCGTCTCCTCAGGCAGCTGGTCGGCGGCGCCTAGCGATACCGTCTACGAAGCGGAATCGGCGACTCTCGGCGGCGGCGCCCAAACCGTGACGTGCAGCGGGTGCAGCGGGTCCGCGGTCGGCTACATCGGCGGGACCTCGAGTGGGACAGTAACATTCAGCAACGTGCAGAGCGACGTCACAACGCGGACCACCATCCGCATGCGGTATACCAACGGAGACACGACGCAGCGGTTTGCGCTGATCGAAGTCAACGGCGTCGGCCAGCGCGTGGCGTTCATTCCTGGTGGTTCCGGGCAGGAGACGGCGGTCGTCAGCTTCACGGCACAGCTGAATGCCGGCACCAGCAATACTATCCGCATCTCTGGTGTCGATGGCGGTTGGGGTGAGTTGCCCGAGTCTATAATCGATAAAACGAGGAAACGTGCTGATGTTGAGGTGTTCAGGCCCGGATATTGACAGGGTTTTCGTGCCAACTTCGTAGAAGCGAGAGGGCGGAGAGGGCGCAGAGGGCGGAGAGATGGTGGGGAGGGGAGACGGATGACCACTGATATTTATGCGTGCATCTGACCCACCAAGCGAGTGATAATACATTGACAGATGCCGTATGATGTTGCGTCGCTATGGTCGATGAAACCGTGATGTATGATGTACCTATCGGCCGAATCAGGTTTTGCGGAACATAAGTTTTACATTTACATACTTATTAAGTATGTACTGTATAGTGAAGGGGGGGGGTAAAAAATACGCTTTTTGGCCTATCGGTACGGTCACAAAGCGTATTTTTTACCCTCCCCTTCACTATACAGTATGTACGTTGCGGTCAGGGCGTATTTAAATCCGACGGTCGGAAACTTAGGGTTGAGCCACGGAAAACGCCACCGTAAAACGCCACACCACTACCCTTATAGGTATAATAATACTTGCTTTTGGATTGTTCCAAGAGTCTAGGATCGTGAGGCTTCGTCAATCCTTCGTGATGCCTCCTGCAATGGCGGATTGGAACCTGACACCGCCGGTGTGGCGGACACAGGCACTCACTCGTCAAACAACATGATCATGTCTTCATCGTAGCAACCGACCCCCTTTACACGAGCCCATAGAGTCCGCAGATGCACATTGTTTTGGTTTCCTTCCTCCTCTTCCTCCTCCTCCTCCTCCTCCTCCTCCTGCTCCTGCTCCTCCTCCTCTCTTTCGTACATTTACTTTCCTCGGTGTGATTAACGTTCATAGCTTTCTCCCTTAATCGAACCCATAGTCCTTGGAATGTACAGTAGGAAAAAAAACGGTGAAACCCAGTACCAGAGTCTCACACGATCTCGCGACCAGGCGGTAGAGTATTGGTGCTGCGATTGACGCTTCGGTACCGCCTTATTGCGGAATCGTATAAAAAAATAGTTACGCCGTCATTGATTTTACACTTTCTTTTTTCTCCTCCGGGCCATATCTCGCAAAGCAAAGCTCGGCGTGGGCTCGTCAGGGTATGCTTACCAGCTCGTCAAAAGAATTTGGTACATTTCCAGTGTGACCGTCGCTTGTAATATGTAAGATGTGTCAGTCTCTAGCCTTCATCGAAGTTTATATGTTTTGTCTCCAATTGTACTCACACGGGGTTGGGCCAAAATTTCCGGCCGTGTGAGTAGAATGACTCATGATAGCACTCATTTTAGTTCAGTTGGAACGCAGTGTCTTGGCGATACGCGCTAGCGCAAGTAACCCGGCCCTCAAGGAGCCGCTGCGCGACGGGCGTCTTGCGGGTTATTATTCTGGCTTCAGCAACATCACCCAATAACCACACAACTCTCCTCCACCACACTCTCCTTACCCTAATACACATTCTTCAAGCTTTGCAAGCTCAATACATCGCCTGCGACCCACCATACACGCATGATATCTTTGCGCGACTTGCATTGAAGATTAGCCACCTCGAACCTAACACCATCACTGCTACCGGTCATGGCGTCGTCCATGAACGGTCATTCCAACGGGGCCTCCACATTGCGGCGAAAGCGCTTTGCCGACATTCCCGCGAGTATCGACATTCCCGTGTCTGCTGGTGACGACGATGAAGACGACGAGACCGCGGTTGTCGAGGTGGACCCGGACGCGCTCCCCGACGACCCTACGGAGCTGTGCACACTGCTCGAGAACGAAAACTCGCCACGCCGCTTTTGGATGCACATCGCGCTTGCGTATGCGAAGCACAACAAGGTCGAGACGGCGATCGAGATTATGACAAAAGGATTGCAGGCGCGCGCATCGGTCACCGACAGAAACGAGAAGCTGCCGATGCTGAACTGCCTCACATGGCTGTTCTTGCAGAGGAGTAGAGAGGCTGGAAGGACTGGGACCGGTTCTACTGTTGGTATGACTCCGTTTGCCCCTTAAGAGTAGGAATAAGTGCACTGACGGTTGCGCAGATGCCAATGGCTACACGGCGGAGGTCAAGACGAAGGAGCATTACCTCCAGCTTGCTACACAGACTCTCAACGAGTCGACGCGTTTAGATCCCTCGGCGCCGGTTAACGCACTCGCTCGTGGTATCTACTCAATCTTCAAGACTTCGTCCCAGAACGTCAACGAGCGAAACCACCACCTCGACCAGGCGATGAAGATCTTCGATGATACCATACGGACATCTCGGGGGGGCAACATGCTGGCGACAATGGGCAAAGCGCGCGTTTTTTACGGCAAGAAGCGATACGATAAAGCGCTTGAGGCCTATCAAGAGGTGCTTATGAAGCGCCCTGATATGGACCCCGACCCACGGATAGGCATCGGAATGTGCTTTTGGAGTCTCGGCTTTAAAGACGATGCCAAGGCCGCCTGGGAGAGAGCACTGGAGATTGATCCCGACTCCAAGGTAGCTCATGTCCTGATGGCAGCGTACTACACATACATAACGTCTACGCTGTCCGAATACGACCCCAACTGGGGTAAGAGTTATCGTCAAATCATCGACCATACGCAGAAAGCATACAAGCTCGATAAGAACCTCCCAATGGCGTGCACAACTTTCGCTGCTCATTTCTTCTCCAAAAAGGGATTCCAGCAGTGTGAAACGCTCGCGAAGAAGGCAATCGAGTACAGTGATGTTGCGGGTGTGACGAGTGATGGCTGGTATATCCTAGGAAGGAAGGCTCACGCGGAAACCGAATACCAGACGGCATTGACATGTTATCGGAAGAGTGATCAAGCGAGAGAGGGTGGTTGGCTGCCAGCCAAGATCGGTGTTGGCCAGGTGCAGGTCTTGATGAAGGACCTGTCATCCGCGAAGCTCACGTTTGAGGCGATTGTCCAAGAAAACCAAAAATGCATGGAGGCTAAGACGATTCTCGGCACACTATACGCGCACGACGTCTTATCAGCGATCCCGCGGTCCGGGTTCACAGGATCGAAGGAGGATATTACCGAGCTTCACAAGAAGGCGATATGGCTGTTGGAAGGTGTACGGAACATCTGGAAGAACGACAAGAGGACCGATCCAGCGAACGAGGCTGTTTTGCTTACGCTTGCTCGACTGTACGAACACGATCAACCAGAGAAATCTCTCCAGTGCTTGCAAGCTGTACATCAGATCTACACCGAAGTCAAGGACACGGACGAAGATCTTCTCGTTCCAATCCAGTTGATCAACAACATGGCTACGCTCTATTGGCACCAGGAAAACTACGATCGGGCACGAGAGTTGTATCAAGAGGCACTCACGTCGATTCCTCTCTACCAGGAGAAGGACGAACATCTGGATGCTGATGCGCTCGCTACGACCCTCACATACAACCTTGGCCGGTGTGAAGAAGCCGCGGGAAACTTTGAGCAGGCGACCAAGCACTACAACCAGCTCCTTCAGTTCCACGACGATTACGTGGATGCCAATATGCGTCTTGCGTACATGGCTCTGCGGAGTGGTTCGGCGGAAGGCCCTAAGATGATCTCGAAGCTGATGCAGTTGGACGGTAATAACCTCGAGGTTCGGGCTCTGTATGGCTGGTACTTGAGCAAGCAGAAGCGAAAACCTCCGGTCAACATCGCCGAGGATCCAGAGCAGCGGCACTACAAGCACTCTCTTCAGCAATACGACAAGCACGATCGCTTCTCTTTGGCTGGAATGGGAAACCTGTACCTCCATACCGCCCGAGAAATGCCACGAAATTCGGAAGCAGATAAGGAAAAGAGGAGGAAGACGTACGAGAAGGCTGTTGAGTTCTTCGACAAGTGCTTACAGCTCGATCCGAAGAATGCCTATGCCGCGCAAGGAATCGCAATTGCCCTGATTGAAGACAAGAAGGACCTCAGAAATGCGGTCGGTGTCTTGACGAAAGTGCGGGAGACGCTAGCCAATGATGGACACGCGGTGGTCAATCTAGGACACTGTCTGGCGGGGTTGGAGCAGTGGGGTAGAGCGATTGAGATGGTGAGTTCTTGTCCGCCCCTATTTTCTATCTCACTCGTTTCTGTTTTCCCTGCCTCAAAGTCGCTTCCTCTTACATTCTCCTTTTTTTTTCCCAATCCAATTTTGGATTGAGTTTTTTCCTTCTCGACACCTGGCCTTGCGCACGGGTTTGGAACGCCGTCTCGCATCGTAGGCGCCGGTGATACCCGCACCACTTCACAGTGGTACCAGGTAATACCTCGATATTGCGGCGGGGGGTTTCTGGCCTGTGCGGGCATTGCAATATGTGCAAGTCACTACTGTTGTGGCACAACGTCTCTGACGAGGCGTGATTGCGCGCCGGTTTACGCGATTGACCATCCCCACTCACGCCATGTGTCACCTATCTGGGGATTTGTGGCATGTCTATGAAGATAACCTTGTTTTCTCGGCGTCGGTTCGATATACTGCGGGATATTCCCCTGCGTCTGACATACATATCGCTCAGCTTGATACCCATGCCCACGTTCTATTTGTCAATTCGTGTGGATAATCATTGGTGTACATCACATGGGGGTTTATTCGAACGTGTTCCTGCATATTCAGGCCCGCATTCTTCATTGATCTTTTTTCGGTACGGCATGATCGCTAACTCCATGTGCCACGACAGTACGAAACGGCCCTCAATAAGCACAATCAAGGCCGAGATCCCAATATCCTCAGCTGTCTCGGGAGAGTGTGGTATGCCAAGGGTAAGAAAGAGAGCAAGATGGAGCCGGAAAGAGCTTTCGAGAGTCTTAAGAACTCGTTGGAGTACGCCAAAAAGGTTAGTTCGCATTCCGGTGAGAATGATCCGCCCGCTGACATGCGTCTCGTACAGGCTTCCGAAATTGTGAAGGACAACCCTGTCTTCATGTTCAATGTGGCATTTGTGCAGAGCGAACTGGTTACCCAGATCTTGCAGCTCAGTGAGACTCAGCGGAGTGTGACCGGAATGGAGGCTGCAGCCAAAGAACTCGACGAAGCCGTACAGTAAGTCATCGATCCATTTTGTTATCTGATTTTCTTCCGCCGCTGCCCGCTGCCCCGCTTTTGCCTCCTTGCACGGGTTAGCTCTTGCACACGGTGTTCTTCCCGGACACACGTGGCATGGCCGCTAGTCAACTGGGATATCCGCGGACGGTCTTAAGGGGGACGGGTCGGCGATCGTCAGCATCACTATGCCCCTGCCGTCCTAGGTATTCCAGTCTCACCCGCCGGTCGTCCGCGGCGATGAGGTATCCAGGTCATCGGGATCTCAGCATGCCGCGGGGTTTTTTGTTCCCCATATCTTCCCTACTAGCTTCTCCCAATACTTGGCAAAATTGGGAAGTCTGAGAAGTACAGAGAACTAATTGCTGGGATTCAACAGAACATTCAAGACGGTAGCGGCGCACAAGTCACCGCCGTACCCACCCAAGGACATCGAGGCACGTGCCAATATGGGCCGGACCACGCGCAAGCAGTTGGACCGAGCCATTGTAACCCAGAAGGAGTACGAGGACCGCAACGCTGCCAAGCTCGCCGAAGCGCGTAAACGCCGCGACGAAGATCTCAGACGCCGCCAGGAACAGATGGAGGAGACGCAACGTCGTGAACAGGAGGCCAAGGCCAAGGTTGCTGAGGAGCGACGTCGCATGATCGAGCAGGCACGCGAATACGCTGAGCGCAAAGATGCCGAGGAGCGTGAGAGAGAAGAACGCGAGGAAGGTCTCCGAGAGGGACGGCGACGCAAGCGTGGAGAGGGAGAAGGCAGGCTCCAAGGTCGCCGCAGAAAGAAGAAGGACTTTGTTGACTCTGATGACGAGTCTGGAGAGGAACGTCCTAGCGGTACCCGCCGTAGTCGTAGTGCGGCCGCAGCCGAAAGTGGCGACGAACCAAAGAGGCCGTCGAAGAAGAGGAAGAAGCTTACCCGCGGAAACAGGCAGGCTGACTCGGGGAACTTCAAGAGTGCTGAGGTTGTCAACTCTTCTGACGACGAGGACGATGACGTTGTCACTGACGCCCCTACCGCTCCGCTCGACGCCGCTGCCGCCGCCTCTAATCCCGCGGCTGACAAGAAGCGTAACCGGAAGAGGGCAGCTGTCAGTGACGACGAGGACGAAGAGATGGATGATGATCTTTCCGGCAAAGTCGAAGAAGATGCGGCCACTGTCGTGAAGGCAGATGACGTAGAGATGCAGGATCAAACCACGACGGCACCTGCTGCTGATGACGAGTAGACTACTTCTTTTTCTGCGCCGTAATTTCATTGTGTGGATCTTTTACTACGGGTGTTATTTTTCTGTCCTTTGCAGGTAGCTTCTGTTCAATATCATGGGTTGCAGCTCGCGTTCCGTTTTGTTTATTTCCTCCCGGGGGTTTGATTATTGTTTTTCGGTTTCTCTTTATCAAAATGCGGACTGGGTCGTTGCACGTGTACCTTACCTAAGTAGTGTACCTACTAACTATAGTAGTATACCTAGTCCAAAGGGGTAAGAGCTGTGGTAGTGCTACCATACCTTTGAGAAAATGGCAGTGACATGTTATATATCAATACAGTTAGAAAAAAGGTGTTTTGTAGGTCCTGATATGATACCAATATCCGTCCAGCAGGAATAGCCGTCCATTTTACTCCCTCCTAGAACTAGTACTGTAAAACTCACCTGAAAGATTCATACTGCTGGTGGTTGATTTTCGGGCTTGGCTCCCAAATCCTCCTGCGCAGGAAAATCTCTTTTAGAAAATCATCATTTGAATTCCGAGAAACCAGCGAAGATCTCAATTTAAGATCAGAGCTATCCAATAGCAGTCTCACGCTGAGAGGTGTGACACTCAAGTGAGTTTTTACTACTTACTTAGGTAAGGTATGTCGTGACAAAATCAGACCTCATTCCAGTCCTTCAGGACGGGAAAGCGGATCCATCTACGGAGGTCTATACGGCGGAGATACGATACCTTTACTCCGTAGTTGCCGTCAGAAGTTGTGCCTCTTCCCCTTCCTCATTTGTCTCTTCTAGATGTGTTCTGTTGTAGGCGTCTGTGAGGCACCCGTACATATGCAGAATACATAACTACCGTAAAACTCCACTTAGGAGCCACACCTCACAGCGCGGTGCGGCTTTTCGATCTGGTAACTGACGCCTAATCAAGGATCTTTGCTGGATTTTTACGTGACAGGTACTATGCTAAGCGCATATCATCTGCTGCGGGAGCTGTCTGCGCGGCATCTCCCCTCCACCCAATCCCTACCACCGCTCTCCACACCCAGAAGCCCTTACTATCAACCATATTACATGTGTATGCCACCGTCTAAGTGCTCCATGAAATTTCTCTGCTGCGTTCTACATTACCACGTCTGAACAGGACGCACCGCTGGCGGCTGAATGCTCCAAGCGGTGCAAGCTATCTACCTTCTCGCTGATCTATATACCGTCCCAGAAGCTGAACCTGTCAAAGGTCTCACAGATCGCCGTATTGATGCTACCTATTCGTCGTGATATTTCCAGGCAGCGGGGAGACGCCTTTCACGCTGCACAAGCCATCACTATGATCGAAGAAACAGCTGAGATTACCACCTCCAGAACGGTCTACCTGGCAAATCCCCCCTTGACTGCGCCGCAGCGAATACTATACATACATCCGCGTCCAGAAATATATTTTCGCGTTTTGTCGATTGGCCGTAAACAGACGTCGACCAGGTTGGGGGAGAGGGTCAATGCAGTCTGCAGCATCTCTGCAACTTGAAGTCAACCGATTGGATAGGTAACCGTGGTCGCCGGCTCCCGTCCGATGCTTGTCGTTCGGCTTGCACGGTTCGAACGATGAGGCCACCCAGGAGCAGCTTCTGGGGGGGCTACAGGCCATTATATTATGGACGACATATTTTCCGTTTCGTAGAGAGTGGTTGTGGAGATCGATGGTGCGATGAGATATATACCCGGCTTCCATGCAGCCATTCCCGCCAGCTAATGCAGCAGACGGAACTGAAGAATCTCGAAGGCGGATCGATACAGCGTTGTTGTTTTAGACTTCGCCGGTTTTGATTTACTACCATTAGTGGTAGTGGTGCCATTAGTGGTAGTGGCGCCATTAGTGGTAGTGGTGCCATAGTTACTGCGGACGGAGGATTGTCGGGCTGTTTGATAGCCGTGGTAATCAATCAATTCCCAACCATGGCTGGGAGCTTGTCAAAAAGGAAGGATCGAAGGATCGAAGGATGAGCTGATTGCTGTCAGGGATGCTACATGGTGGTATGGACATAATCTGCATGCAAAGCTATAGCCAACTTTGCGACGGGAGGAGCTGATCATCCGACGAGTAAAATGATTATGTACACGGTGTATCATATTTGCGTTCACGGTCACGCAAGGTGGGAAATCCGCCGCGATTGACGCCGTCAGGCGCCGAGTGTTCCCAAGAGTACTTGTAGGGCTCCAATTTATATCCATTTACCCACAAAGACGTCCACATTACTGGCATATCAGGATCACAAATTGAACGACACCGCTCAGGCAACCACTGCCCTCTGAATAAAGACAATGGCAACAACGATGACCAAAAAAACGAAGGCAACGGCGACTTGGAGGAAGAAGGAGGAGGTACGGGAAACAGGGAGCCTTGCTTATTCGATTCCCAGGAGGTTAACAGTACCTGTGGGCTGCTATATATCATCCTGACCGACGTCCTACTACGTCCAAGTAGGAAAGTTAGGCCTGATGGGATTTCGTTCATTGTCCCCCCGGTTCCCATATGGACGGTTGCAGCCTTACAGGCCGGTCGAATAGGCTACGGTAAAGCTTTACGAGTCGGTTGAGGAGTCTGCGGGAAAGCCTGGGGGTGGGCCTCAAGTTGGTAGCGATGCTTTATTGCTTATACCCATCCGGGCCATCCCTACTCCCGTATTATGGCATGATCGGAGTCAGCATGTATTGCTGTGCTGCGTGTGATGGGATTTTCAAGCAAGGTGACGAGTTCGATTACCTTGTTGGCGAACTGAAGTTCATGGATTGTATATATGCAGGCCAATCTACACCGACGTTTGTCCGCCGACTGCCTTCTTTGTGGAGGGCTGCCACAGTGGAACCTATGACAACTTGCTGTTCCCCGTGCCACACATGGCGGCCGGCTCCTTTGGCGAATGATATTATTATCTCTTTGTCAGCTGGCTACATCAAGTGGCATTTAGTCTGAACAGATACCTCCTTGAAAAGGCAAGGAAACATGTCGAACAGCACTGCCTCCACAAATACAATCTAAGCGAGTGGTCCCGCTGTTCTGGCAAGGAAGAGCCTCCAGCCCCGCTCTGCCATTAGCTGGTAGATAAATCGTGCTGGAACTTCATACCGGCTAGGAGTGTGCGGGGAGTAAACAATGTACGTTAGGAATGGAGGCTTGACTGAGACGGGTACGTAATGTCACGGTTTGGGCGGGAGGGCGGCCTTAATCCCCTTCGTCGTTATTTCTCTGTATTGGTTGTGTTCCTTCGTTTCTCATCGCGGTGCGAGTTGACGGGTTTCCCTTCCGATTCTCATGCTCACGAGTTTCATGTCGTCTTGTTGTTTCTATTCACCTTTTGTCCACGCACCGTCCTCCGAGTTGTCCGGAAATATGTATCAGTGATGGTTTACGATCCCACCCCCATCTCTCCCAGATCCGCCCTTTCCCGGTGCAAGGGAATACTCCGCTTCCGTTTCCTGATAATTGATGTTGTTATGGTGTGACAACCCGTATTCGGTGGAAATCCAATATGTGCTCGTATGTGATTACTATAGAAACGTAGGATCGTCAAAGTTGTGGTACATAGTAGGAGCGGGGGGTTGGTGGTGGGGGGAGGGGTGGAAAAAGTTTGGACGTGACGGGACTGAGAGGGCCCATTGATCATTCCCACCGGCGGATTTTCTGTTTTTGATTGGCATCCTTTACGATATCCATGGTTATGAACGAGTGATCCGAGACATCAGTCATCGAATTATGGATTTCTATTTCCGTAGTCGAGTAAGCATACCGGCATCCTCCTCCATGTACGCTCGTATGCAGACAAGTCACAGGTGGAGATGGATACTTACGAACTCACAGTTGGCTATTCATCAACCCCCACTGCTTACGAACGGGGCCATTCAACCGTCCTACCACCTTCTTCGCAGATGTATGGTTCGGCACGGCGGTCAAGGGAGGCACCCGGAGCTCAATAGCGGCCTAGCCGCCTGAGTATGATGCAACATACTGATGTCGTGAGTTCACTTTTCTCGGATCAATCATCAATCATCAATCCGCGGCCCGTATGGTGCTTCGCGGTCGAGTGAGATTTGGAAGATATTCCGCCTACCAGTACCACTGTTTGGTGGTTCGGTGGTGCGTAGAGTAACTGCATAATCGCTCTCACTCGACATTCGTCTCACAGAGTGGGGGTTACGCCGCCAAACGTTTATACCAGACCAGGTACCAAACAGCCGTTTTTTGGCATGTAAATACAAGAACGCAAACAAAATCCGTAACCGTTTTTCATCTCCCCCCAAATATGCAACAAAAATATGTAGTCCATCGACGATAATTCCAGTGGTTCAAAATCTTCCCTGAGATACGATTTTTTTCTTCCCCCTCCCCCTCTCCGCTCCCCCTACCAGGTGAATGACGTTATTCTGGAGCAGGTGCGTGGAAATCAATATTTTTTAGCTGCGAAACTTCAAACGGGGCCCTGGACGGAAAAAAAACTTAAAAAAACTTTGGTTACCCTAGTAATTAGCAGAGCAGACATTCGAGGGTTTGTACGAGTACGAGTAGCTCAACACGATCAAGACCCCCCCACCCCATCTCCCTTTCCCCGGGGATGATAGTTAGCGGCACTTGTTGAAGTGGTTTTTCTTTTTTCTTTTTTCTTTTTTTCTTCCTTTTTTCTTCTTTTTCTTTGCTTTTTCGAAAAAATAATTCGATACTCTACTCTGGCTCTGGCAATCTCAACCGGCCCAACCCAACCACTCTAGATACTCTACTGAGTCTATGTACTCCACTCTAGATACTCTACTGAGCCTATGTACTCCACTCTATGATATGTAGTACTCCAGCATCGCAACCCCAAACCGGGAATCAGGATGCGAGTAGAGTATGTATGATAGTAGAGTAGATATCATACTCAGAACAGAGTAGGTGGAGCAGACTAGAGTAGATATCTCGCACGTCGGCGGCGCTGTGGCCGGCCTCACCGACCCGGCCTCAAAACGATCCGGCCTGAAACTGACCCGGCCACAAACCTACGAACCGAGCTGAACCGGACGGCCGGCCGGACGGACGGACGGAGGGACGGCGCTCCCCAACCCGCTTCCACCCCCGGAGCCCAGCACGAGATGATAGAAATCAATCCCTTTCCTCCCCGAGAACACGTCGAGACATGCGGTATACATTGCTAGATACCTACTCAGCTCTGCGCCGGATACGCTACATACGGGGGCCGGTGCAAGGTTGCACAAGTCACAAGTGAGGTATTGGCTTGGGCTATGTATTTATGATCTATCTATGTATATCTGGATTCTGTACCTGCATCTGTAGATTCTGTACCTGTGGGTTCTATTTATTGATCGCGGTGGGTCAATACTGACTCCTGAGTCCTGAGTACAGTATCGTATCATATGAGGACTCTCAACTCTCAACTCTCAACTCTCAACTCTCGAGTACCTACCTAGGTAGTCCTCAGTCCCCAGTCCCCGATCCCAACTCCCCACGCTTTTCTGGTAAAGGTTTGCCTAGGTTTGTCTGGATATCTCCGAGCCACTCGGTAACTACCACTTCGTACATACGACCACTACCAATAATACCAATAGTCCAGATGGAACCTTCCGGGCCTACTATGGAGTCTGGAGTATCTAACTAACTATACATAGTACTCTAACCACTCTAACCATGTACACCCATTTCCATGGGCCATTTCATCGTGCGACGCCATGTCGATCGCCAGTGCACCCACGGGGTCGGTCGGTCGGGGTGGTGCCGCCGAGTGCACAGTAGAGTTCACGATGCTTAGATGCTACATAATAGTTACATACTCCCCCCACTGTCCCCACTGCTGCCCCACGCTTCCCCACGCTGAAGAAAAGGAAGTACTTATGTACATACTTCACCTACGATGGCACCAGCGCCAGCCCAGCTCGCGTGACTCGGTGCCGAAGCAATCGAGCCGATTGAGTTTTGAGCCGTTGGCCGACGAGACCAGCGACCAGTGAGGTGGTGGGGGGTTTTCCTTTTCAAAGCGTCGAAAGGAAAAGAAGGGAAAGAAAGAAAAAAAACAACCCCTCAATAATACCTACTTCTTATGTAGTTAATGCGCGAACGAGCGAGCGGGAATAGGGAGTTCTATACGAACTGACGAACTTTCGAAGCTCGGCTTGAAATCTGGGTTGACCTGGATTGACCGCGCGAGTGCAGTGGGGTACCGGTACGGCGGTACCTACCGTGCACGTCAAGACTCGAGGGAAACTCCGCCGCGATGAGGACTTGTGGGAGTGTATGAAATACACACAGACTCACCTAGAGCAACTACGTGCCGGAAGACTAGGCTCACTGCACATCACGCACGAATTCGTAGGATTGGATTGGACATCGATTTCACTTTGCCGACAGCTCCAAGTCTAGAGTCCGGCGTCCAGCGTCCGCCCCCGCCCCCTGCCAGAACCGAGTTCACTTCCGTGCCCGGACATTTGATGTTGTAGATAGTTATCTCGTCTCCCATCTCGCATCTCCCACCGGAAAGCAGAGCCTCACCGGAGAGTGGGGACCGGAAACGAGGCCCGAAGTCAAGTCAAGTCAAGTCACGGTGTGTCGGTGCGTCGGTGCCCGGCCTTGGACGCGACTTCTCCCTCCCTCCATCCATCCATCCTCGCAAGGGGCGGCGTCTGTCAGGACTTATTTCCGAGCATGACAATACTCTAGGTATCTAGAGTGCCTATGTCGCCCCCAACTTCGGACGGACACACAGACATTTCCCCCGGGGTGCTGGGCGCGGCGTGAGTGAGTGCAATGTCGATCGCAGCGGAGCAGTCGGTCGTAAACACCTACCATACCATACCATACCATACCATACCATACCGTAGCTAGCCCTAGTTTAGTCAGTTCAGGACGGCAGTGTTTCGTTTTTTCTTCGGTTTTCGTTTTGGATTTGTTTTCACGGGTATCTACATACCTATGTCCGCCCAGCGCCCCATCCAAGCCCTTCGCTTGAACTTCGAAGACGCCAACGCGAACGCCAACGCCGCCAACGTCAACGTCGACCGACCGACAGGCCTGCGGAAGAAGCCGCGCGCCGCAGGCCGCAAGCCACAGGCCATAGAAACGAACAAACGAACGGAGATGTGTGCCTGCCTGCCTGCTGCTATGCTTTGAACGGGTGTTCCTGCAGCGAGCGAGCGAGTAAGCAAGCAAGTGCAAGCAAAACTCTTAACCGAGCCGACAGACAGACAAGACTGCGCATGAAAATAGACATCATCCTTCCTGCAGTACGTATGTGCGTGTGTACGTGCGTATGTATGTGTCCTGCCTGCTCGACGTGATAATCGCTCACGGGTCGCTCGTTTCTTCGTTCGTTCGCACTGGGCCATGGGTCGCAGATGGTCCGCGCACGCCTCTGCGTGGTAGCGGCGTCGGCGGGGGGCGGCGATGTAAAGGTTATCTATCTTGGCCCATGGCAATCGCAATCTGGTATGTACTTACATACATACACGAGTGTGTAAGTACCATATGTACCGTGCTTACCTAGACGCCCAACTTCGAGCGGGTTGATAGGTACCGTACGTATCTAACCCTTTCATCCGCGGTACCGGAGACGCCAGCCAGGCTCCATGTACTCTATGTAGATGTATGTATAATCAATCCCATCTAGGCAGCATTCAGGCGTGAACTGTGTATTGTACTTGTACATATGGAGTACACGCACACCATCCGGCTCGGATAGCAATTGACTTGGATATTCATCCCCCCTTCCCCTTCCTCCTTCCCCCACCCGGCCAGATAGAGTACGGTAGATGTGCTATTCGTAGAGTAGTAGGTATGTAGTTTAGTCCCGCTGCCTGTCGCGAGTCGCAATCAAGACCCCCCGGGGAGGGGGGCTTTCAAGTTTCAATAGATTTCGGGTGTTTGTAAAGGGGTCGGCCGATCCTTTCCCGCGGAGCAGAGCAGAGCAGAGCAGAGCAGAGCATTGAGGTAGGTACTGTATGTACGTATGTGTGTAAAAAAAAAAAAGAAAAAAAAAAGTCAATCTCGCGGCATTGACTCTCGAGACACAACCCGATCCGTACGGTCAGCATGCCCCACACTCTCTCTGCAAACACGTGCATCCGACCTTCGTATGTATCTAACGTAACGTTGATCCGACGCGGCGCGGCGCCCTGGGCAGTGGGGAGAGAAATTTGTTGCAGCCGAACGTGCATAGTACCTCATATTGGGGGCGGCCGGAGAGGCGTACATACATACATATGTATTCTCGCCAAGTTTCTCTCGATGCATTCTGCATCGCAGACGTTCGTGGCATGAGAGCATGGGAGAATGGGAGCGTAGATACCTAGCGGTGGTGGTGGTGGTGGTGGCGGTGAACATGCAGCCGACGCAGCTGGCTGGGTACGAGTCGGAGCGAAGCCGATGGCCGTTTTGGTTTTGGTTTTGGTTGCTACTGTCTGAGCTGCTGCGGCCGTTGGGGGCGGCGGCGCGGCGGGGTAAAAGTAGCTCATGCACATATCATACATATGGATGGGTATGATGTTGCGAGCCTGTGACATCTCGAGCGAGATAGGAGCCCGGAAGGCGTCATGCTCGGAGCCGGTTCTGGAGCATGTTCGTCGATTGTGGTTGACCGGCGTCGTCCTCCTCCTCCCGTAAGCGGGAGTCTCATCCTCCTCACAACCGAGCCCGCAGGCAGAGAGAGATCTAATCTGGGTGTTCTTTGCGGCCAAGTAGGTACGGTCTTCCCTCCATCCCACAATTTCGAGGCCGTCCGTCCGTCCGTCCCCTTTTCCCTGTCTCGTCTTGTCTGCAGGAGGCAGCGGCAGCCAATGCAAGCGGGAAGTGATTGTTTCTGGTTCGCCTTCGCTCTGCTTTCGCTCTGGCTTGTCTGCCTGCTTGCTTCTGCTTCGCTCCGAAAGCAGTTGACGAATTATGAACTGTCCGGTTCTGCTTGAAGGCCGGCGGGCGCTTTCAAGTTTCGCGTGGTTGACAAGCGGCTGATCGGCAGCCAGGACAAGGGTGGCGCTTGGCGATGGTTTGGTACCGTATGATGTACGAGTACATATGATATGATACACATCTGCAATTGGAGCCCGCAAGTGGCGACTCGCGAGACGGGCCTCAAGTTCGAATCGCCAGCAGGGAGTCCGTGACTGGTGGAAGTCTGTGGGTATGTATGTATGAGCAGTACTTGGTTAGGTACTGCTCATGCGGGGCGCCCCCCAGGGCCCCAGTCCGCATCTTATTCCCATGGAGCCTATTGGTACCGTTTGTACCAGTACATTAAATACGCATCAACGCCTATCGTGGCGAATATACGTATATGCGGGTCTGCCATAAAAGAGGTTCGGAATATGTAGTGGCGTAGATAAGGCGACTTTTTTTTCTTCCGTTCTTTTTCTTCTTCTTTTTTCTTTCGTTTCCAGTGTCCAAGTGCTAACCGGTTGGGACGAGGGATTTCCGTGTATCCAGATACGTTTGGCGGAGAAGCCGGAAAAGTGTTGCTGCGGGAGCACTAGAGTATGGTACTGTAGTAGCACGCCGAAGCGGAGGCCTGGATGGATGGATGTTGGTGTTGGTGTTGGTTGACCGGGTGTGTTTGTGCAATGGGTGTGATGGAGAACGTTGAGGAGTGCTCACTGCTCAGTGGAACCTGCTGCAGAGCGAGCGAGCCTAGAGTAGACACTGGACCGCACTGTTGGATAGGATCCGGAGTGAGCCTGGGGCCTGAAGGGGCGGGAGGAGGCATTGAGGAGGCATGAGGCAGGAGGAGGCACGACGTTGGTTCGTATCCATAATCCGACGCCCTGCCCGTCGGAGATGGAGTTATTTCGGGAGTTGCCGTGGACACGATTCGAGCTGTTTGAACTTTGACGACTGTTGGACTGCGGACTCCGGTGGTTGTCGAAGGATTGGGTGGTGGTGATGGTGTTTGTTGGTGGGAAGAAATGAACGGGAAACAAACTGTGGTGATGGTGGTGGCAGTGGTGGTGGTGGACATTAACGTGCCGTCCGTCGTCCGTCATGTTGGCATGGTCTACATGGCCCACCTATGGGGTGAGGATACGGTTGAGACACGAGACACGAGACACGAGACACGAGACACGAGACATGCGGCATGCGCCCAGACCGTTCGGTTTTCGATTCGATTGGCGCCTCAGGCGAAAACAGCACAACCACAACAGTCGACTGACTTTCGGTGAGCGAGCGCGCTCACCGCTCATCGCTCGTCGTTTAGAGAGGGGCATAATCGTCTTGAGATACCGCAGGTAGAGTAGGATTCGCCTTGCATCCCCCCCCGCTCAACTCGGCTCGAAGCCGACCAGGCAGTTATTCTAGCCAGCCTTGTTTCCACCCAGGATCATGCTCCGGAAGGTTTACGCCTGGGGGCGGGGGGAGGGGGGAGGGAGCTGCCCGCCGTTCCTGCTGCTCCATCCATGCATCGGGTCGCCGTCTTTGCGTCTTTGCCCGGTCGGTCGGCCGGTCGGCCACGGATCAGATGGCCGGCCGGTCCAGAGCCCCTCTCCCTCCCCCTCCCACGACGCCCGACCCCCGGAGATGTATCTACATAACCAGCCCGGAACCCGGCACCTTGCCTGCCAGCTGGCGGACGCCTACCAGGTATATCTACTAGTAGTAGCACGGAGCATCTGTATCGTATCCAGCACATCACATCACATTGTTCTGCGGGCTCCGGAGCATCTGTATCCAGCATCGGTATCGAGAGCACATCATTCCCGGGCATTCCACGGTAGTAACGGTACTATATCGAAGGATGTACCTGGCATGTAGCTATACCTATACCTGCTCCATGTACTCCACGTACTATATAGTAGGTAGATGCCGGAATGATGAATCCTGGTGCTCGGCCGTGCTCCGCACACATGTATGTAACAGCCCCGGCCACGAATCCACGAATCCACGATGCCCCTGGTGCCCGGGGGCCCGATGGATCTATTCTAATCATCAGCTTCATAATCAGTGTATGTAACACGGATGCGGAGAAGGCACAGGCAAGGCATTGCCAGGAGTAGAGTACTATAAACTACAATCGATACTATATCTAGCCTGCGAAGCGATACACAGGCACTCCTCGGGTCTCGAACGGAGCAACAACATATCTACCAGAAGTATGTACTTACGGTACATACTCAGCTCCGTCGAGATACCGACAAACGGACAAACAGACGGACATCACCGGCAGCATGCATGCATATAGTTGGTTAGGGCAGTAGGTACGGAATGCGGTGTTTCCTTCCATCCTCCTCCTCCTGTTCCTTCTCCTTTTGACGGCGGTGGAGGAATTACACCGCTGCACCGTCATCACCGCTGATCAGCACTGCCGAACGCTGCACCGGCGCACCGGCGTTCCACGATCCAAGTGAGCGGAAAATACCTTCATGCCTAGGTGCTCTGGGTAGTACCGTAGATACGTTGCGTGGCCGGCCAGATACCTAGAAATCCTAGAAACTGTAGATACCGTGATCCCTGGGTTTTGCTTGCTTGCCTGCATGCAACGCAACGCAACCCAAGTAACGCAACCCATGTTCTTGCACTGGACGGATTATTATTAGTTATCATACATATTATTTTTTCTTCCGCGAAAGGGAAGGGATTAATCATTCAAGGGAACGAAAAAGCCCCGCAGGCTCTGCAGGCTTTGCAGCGTTGGCGGATACTTTCGGTACGGTACAACCTTCTCTTTCGGGATTCTTCCGGATCCTCCCCCCCCAGGCCCCGGGGGCAGCCAGCTGCACGATTTCTGCACGCCTTCTGCACTTCGCGGGCCGGTCCTGGACTCCTCCTGGACTCCTGGGTCTGGGTTGATCTCTGCCACTGCCACCGCCGCCGCCGTCGCCGCCCCCGCCGCATCATCATCATCATCCCCCCCCCCTCCCCCTCCCCCTCGCCGTCATCAGCGCCGAGGTATGCTAGGGTAGAGTACAGTACATGGACTTGTGTACCGTACCGACATATCTGCACAGAACACCGGGGTAACGCCGCCAGTAATCGCCAGTCGCCAGTCGCCAGTCGCACCAACGCAGCTCCTGCGTTCACGCCTTTCATGTGTTCCTGCGTTCCTCCGCGGTCCCGACCCTTTGATATAGAGTACCTGAGGATGTACCGATGTATCGTACAGTAGATGCTCCGACATCCATTCCAATCCAGGCCCACCAGCCAGCCAGACGAGAGACGAGAGACGAGAGACACCCCCGTGTATTCGTGTGTGTGTGTGTCACGCACGCAGACAGCGTCGCGGCGGGCCGGTACTTATCTACCTGACTAGCGAACCTTCCATGGGCTTCCATGGGCTTCCATGGGCTTCCATGAGCTTCCATGGGCTTCCATACCATCCATACCATCCATACCATCCATACCATCCATACCATCCATACCAACACTGAACGAGGCGAACGGACCCGTGTCCGTCCATCTGTCCGTCCGTCCGTTTCTCCCGTAAGCCAACCAGGAAACATCAGCCACCTCCATTTTGCCTCCCCCCTTCCTTACCGACCCGATCGGGCATGTGCGGGCGCGCGCCGCGGAAGGTCAACGTGAACGTGGAGGTGAACGTGGAGGTGTTGTTTCGTGTTCGTTACTTCGCGGCTTGGGTGTGGGGCGCTGCCAGATCTGGCGCGACGAGGAGGGATGAGGGATGGTGAAGTGTGAAGTGCGGGCTAGGGCTGCTCCTGCCACAGAGTCCAGGGGCTGGTTACCGTGGTTGACCTAGCCACACCAGGCTGGCTGGCTGGCTGGCTGGCTGGCTGGCTGGCTGCTTCACCATTCGTCTTTCTTTCCCCCCTTGGGTCCCCTTGGATGGGTATGATATCAGAGCAGTAGAGCAGTAGTAGTTACTCAACTACTTTGTAACCGCTTACTTACCGATGCTATTATGTATAGGTACTCCACATCACCAGCCGCGGAGCAGCAGAGCTAGAGTCCCAAGGAGACGATGGTGAATCAACAACCGTGACCGTACATACAGTACATCCATACATGCCGCATGATGCACGCTTACGCTTACATATGTAGGCGGGATATTTACTCCATGTACTCGTACATGAAGGAGCGGAGCATCATCACATCCACCGCACATCATCGCATCGCACATCGCACATCGCACATCGCACATCGCACATCGCACATCGCACATCTTCGGTTTGTATGCGGCATCCCGAACGATGAGCTCGGGTCTGCTGCTGTTTCTGTTGCTGTTCCTGTTGGCTTGTTATTGTTGTTGGCTGAAGGGCAGCCTGGAAGGCAGTTTGAATGGCAGTCTCGGAAGCGGAATACAACCGCTCGGAAACCAACCGCTGCGGTGACCAACCGGTGCGGTAACTAACAGTTCACTGGTTGGAACTTGGAGCTTGGAAGCTCGGGTTGGGATTGGGATTGGCTTGTCTATGCGAAGGTTGGTGTCTGGTCGATCGGTCGGTTGGTTGGTGATGGTTTGGTGATGGTTACCAGTATGTAGTAAGTACTATTATACCGTAGTACCTATAGTAGACAGCCGCGCGCCCCGGGCAAGTGCTGCTGCTGGGCATCGTGAGATCCAAGACGCGTGCGTACATGCATAGGTGCCTCAAAGGTAGGTACTTGGGGTACTTGGGGTACTTGGGGTACTTGGGGCACTTGGGGTACTTGGGGTAGGTACTCGGGTACTCGGACATGTACTTGGGCACATCGTCAAACCTACCAGCGCGAACCTGTGGGCTAGAGTACCGTAGTCACGACTCACAGCCCCGTGTATCAGGTTTCAACTACTGCACTGCCGTTCTCCGTCTGCATCTCCGTTTTGTCTCTGTCTCCGTCTCGTCTCCGGCTCTGCTCTCCATCTTTGTCTTCGTCTTTGTCTTCGTCTCCATCCTCCTCGGTCTCCGTCACTTTCCCTCCCTCTCCCTCTGTCGAGCGCACATGGCACATAGCAGCAAAGTGGAAGGAAGTGTGGAAGGAAGGCAGAATACTGCCTTGGGGGCAGACAGACAGTCAGGTAGACAGTTAGACAGTCAGACAGACAGGCAGCAGTACGGCACTGCAGCACTGGCGATGTATGATATGTAAGAGTAAGACACAACGTCTCCAACACGGGCAACACCAACTATGCATCCTCTACTAACGTAGGGCTAACAGCAATAACTCGCGCCAAAGTGGGGGGGGAGGTTATTACCAACATCGACGACAAGCTCGGAATCTAACGCCGAACTTTGAACGTCGATAACTACCACGACTCCACGAGAGGGAAGTCCAAGAGCTCGATCGAAACGTTGGCACCACCACCACCGCCGCCGCCGCCGCACCACCACCGCCCGACCGCGCCCCGGACTGACGCGTAAGTAGGCCGGTCGGTAAGTACCCAGCCGAAGTGAAATAACTGGTTAGCTAGGGAACTGGTTAGTTAACTGACTGGTGAGCAACCGAACGACTTTCACCCCACACCACACGACCACTATGTACATAGATGTTTTGCATCTCCGCAAGCGAAACGTATGTAGCACTCATCTCCCAGGGCAAACATATGTACTATAGCCTACCGAGTTGGCTATACTCTAGATACTCTACTCTACTATGGGATGCTCTAGATAGAGCACCGTGCGAGTTATCTATACTCCCACAGAGCATAGTACTATGTGGTAGAGTAGAGTACAGGCAGGCAGGCAGGCAGGCAGGCAGGTTGTTCCCCGGATTCCTCGGTTCGCCCTCGATTCATTCTCGATTCTCGAGTGGGCACTCTATGTGCGGTACATAGATGGGGAAAGCTCACATAATACTACATAGAGTAGTAGGTAGTAGATACCCGTGTTTCGTCTTTTTCGCCAGCAGCGTCGACAGCAACATCGTCAGCAGCAGCGCCATCAGCAGCGATCCCGAAGTTATTTCCGGGCCGGGGGTGGGCCGGGGTCGGCCTGAATCAGCAAGAGAGCTCTACTCGTTGTATTTTGCGTGGTCCGTGTTGTCCTTCGCTCTCTCGCTCGCGAAGGAGGTAGGGAGGGAGGGAGGGGGGGTAGGGAGGGAGGGATCGT